CCAATGTGTCTATTTGTGCCAGGGTCGGAGATGAAGCTGGATCAGGAAGCCGAAAAGCTGAGTCTGTCATGCTAGATCCGAGCAATGGCGGCGCAACAGTGGATCTGGGGTAGCTACTGGGTCAAATGATTAGTTATCATGATGCGTAGAACCGAGTGCGTTCCAAGCCATGATGGCCGTGTGCAGAGTTGGGCTCATGAGTGGCTGAGAAGGGGTGAAGGAAGAAGGATGCCGAGGCAGTGTGTCAAGACACATGTTTCTGGCTGCCATCTCCTTCCTTGGTTGGCCTTACTTTGCAGCCACTGATGAGTCCGACGCAGCGAATCGAACTTCTTGGATGGGTATTGGGGTTGCGGTGATTTCTGCACCTGGCTGGTGGTGTGGATGCTGAGGCTGGGCTGGGACTTGTCAGCTCATCTGGGCAGCACCAGCATTCCGAATCTAAATTTCGATCTTGTCAGTCCCTACCCCTGCAGCGACCAGTCAGTTCGCCTAGCCCGGCCAGCAACCGAGCGCAAACCGGCATGACAGGTACATGGCATACCAACCGTTGTGGTTGAAAGTACTCTGCACCAAGCGAGAAGCTTGTCAAATGCGGAGGAACAGCGGCGCCACACGAATCGTGTCAACAACATCTCCCCCGCAGTCCGGCAAAACAGCCGTGCCGGGAAGCGGCAAGAAGGTACCTCCGTAGACATTGCCGCGACTCCGTTATCTCACGCATCCGCCACCGGTCGCAAGCCTCGAGTTTGTTAGATCCTTGGCGATGGCGAGCCGCCCGTGCTTTGTCGTCAATCGCCACAGAGGCGGAGACGTGTCTGCACATTGTGCGAGGCTAAGACAATCCGTGTTGATGCTGTTCTTTTACCGAGCACGTGCTCTACGCGCGCAAGCCCAGCAACATGGGCAGTCGCAAAGGGAGGATTCCGCGTTTGGAAGTTGCCCACACCTCATCTCCACTGGTGTTGGTTGTCGATCCCAGTTGAGGCAGGTACGGAGCCGAGTTGGTTGGCAGATGTCACCATGTCCGTAAATTCCACCTCCCAGGTCTCGTTGCAGGCGTCCTTCCATTCGAACTACTGTACGTACCAACTGCAGTAGGCAGGCAGTTGGCTGTGTGTTGGTGGCGCACGCGCACCAAGACATGTTCTCCATCCAACTCATCCAACCGTTCAATGCTTCGACTTGGAGCACTTTTTTCGCGCCAGCAAGATGGTCGCCGAAATGTCTGTGGAAACCCAGACCCACGGATATCACATTACGAGGTGCAGGCGTGCATGTCTGCAGAGGATTCCGTCTGGCTGGTAAGCTACGGTTACAGCGCGCTTCTCGCTTCTTTGGCCCTTTGGCTGCGCCCACAGCGCGGAGATTCGACGGCTTCGGTGGATTGATGCCCGTGGAGCGTCGTGAGTCGAGACGCTGACATCCATCTGTTTCTAGCCTGGAGCGGTGGCGCAGCATATGCCGTAACACAAGCTCATCTCTTAGAGCTATGCACCAGCTAAGGATCTCCCGGCGTCCATCTTCAACCCCAAACTGCCAGTGTCTGGAAAAGCGAGGCGCTCTCACGGACCCTGTCGGTTCTCAAGTGGCTCCCAGAAAGCGAGGCGCCAGGTCGACGCTAGCGGCAAAAGATCATACGAGTGCCGTGATGGGCGTGACGATAGTGCCATGCCATTCCTGTTTGGGCTTCATATGCCGCACCCAGCAAGACGTCATGCGTGTGGGCCTCTCCGGGGACTAGCAATTTAGGTAGCGGCCGGCACTGCGCGAAAAGCAAATTCTCCCCACGACGCCGTCAATGATCCAGGTCAGCTCGGTGCGATAGGTGAAAGTCAATCGCTCCGGCTTGAGGATCGACATCGGCTTGCCAGCCGTGCATCCTAATGGACTCCCCAACCGCGGGCATAAAGCCGCGGGGCGTGTCCGGAGACATGCCAATCCGTCGATCACGAACTACGTAAATCTTACATGTACTCTTCAGCCGCTCTCAGTTTGTACGAAGTAGGCATATTCCAGGTTACACAGCCGCCTCAATGCAAGCCCAGATAGGATCCTTGCCACAAACTCACCATCCTTGCTACGCACCCCAAGTCTCAGAGTGTGTTGCCAGTCAACGTTCGCACCCTCGATAGTGGTAGTGCGATGCAGCCAGCCAGATTCGGGATGCCGGAAATCACCAAAGCACCCTCCGAACAGGGCACGAGCAGGGCGCGGCCGCCCCCAGCCTGGGACGACAACGGTTTCGCTAGGGCTGGATTAAAAAAAATCGCCGCCTTCATGAGCACCAAATGTTGGTGGTTCCAAGCGCGGATTGCTTAATGCACCGCGGCGAAGTGTACAAGTGTTGATTCCGCCTGTTTCTTGTTTCCATGTTACCAACACGCCCCGCTCTTCGGGGGACGCACTTCGGGGATGCACTTCGGAAGTAACTTCGAGGCTCACCAGCTGAGACAGTCTTAAACTCCATTCCTTCTCCACATCGATGAGGGCGGGCAGAGACAGCGCGGCGTTCTTCGGGCTCCTCGCACGGGGCCACTGCAAAGCAGTGCATTCGGTATTTCCGCCCTTGAGCGTTGATGCGTGCCATCCCCCTGATTATCGTCGCCACCGTTGACCACCATCAGCATCTTGCTTCAGAGCCAGGGATATGGTTACCAGATGCTTCCTGCTCGGGTTCTAGCGTCTTACCCCAAGCTGCAGGTCGAACGGGAGCCTACTACGTACTTATGTACTCAATCAGGCCAGGCCAAGAGCTATGGAGGGTTGTGATTTGCTGGGGAACGAAGTCTCACGGCAAAGCGTGAATGCCATTGGCGCACTCGTCTGTTCGCTGATCTATGGTCCGTTGAGCTGATGCTGGTCCCGCAATGCCGTCCTACGAACCCAGGGGACTGGGAGACCTACCGGACCCCTTCTCCTTTAGCGCAGCTGCGTCCCCTGGTGACAAGGATTGAAGACTAGGTCTAGAATACCCAGCAAGACTTCTGCCGCTTCTGCCATGGTCCCTCCGTGCCAGTGCCGTATGGCTAGTTCGACGCCGGGCAATCTGGTTCTCGCCTGGCTGCGCTTTGGTCCGTGGATTACGGTAGCATCGATTCATCCCGTCCAAAGGTTCCGCTCTGGGCGATTCGTGTTATGCGTATCCTCCACCGTACCGACTGCAGCCGGCCTTCATCTATCTGAACGAATTGCAACCCCGCGCCGACTCCCGCCATCGTTGGATGGTACTCTGCCTGGGTTCCCCAATCCACCTGCTGCCTGCCGGCACATGCATGACGCCCGCGGTTCCATCGAAGATGACAATGGCAAGGCAGTTGGCTGTGCATTGGTGGATCCATCTCATCCTTCGGTGGCCATCGATCCCTTTTCGGCTGGCACAAAAGCATGCACTGCCATCTCGCTGCCGACGTGAGCGGTTTGTCTCTGCTGACGGTTCGCAGTGCCGCTCAAGTTCGGTCCTGGCTGATTGGCAGATTTCGCAGCGGCCGGTTTAATATTTCAAGCTCGACGGATACGCTTGTTGACGGTGGATGGATTTATCTCATTGCGGGTACGGAGCGGTGCGGAGCATATCCGCACTCTGCCAACATCCGCTTAATAAAGGACTTCCCGTTCGACTTGGCTTCCGTCCTGCTTGCCAGATTCCCTCGGGACATGCCACCTGGTCCGGCCCTGTTGGTTAGTTAGTGCTCCAGACGGAGCTTCCACCGAGGCAGGCAGCCTCGCACGGATCCATTGCCTGTCTCGCTTCGTGGCATTGCTCACACAGCTCGCACACTGACCACTCTGGAGAGTTATGGCCAGTATGCTGGCTTCCCGTCCCCTAATCTGGATCAGGGATCTGGCTGACGCAAGGCGCCCCCCCTTGGCAGCCTGACCTGACTCTGGACCTTCGCTACTCCATCCTAGACTCCCGGTTGGACTGCTGATCCTCCCACCGTTCGCCCACCGGCGTCAGCCATCAGCCGTCAGTCTGAAGCCACACGCCCCCGAGTCTTCAGCGAGCCACGCCCATCCGGCTCCGTCCCTCGGTCCCCCGGCCATCCATGCCTCATCCATGGCGGCGTCTGCAGCCAGGATGCTCATCGAACGTGAGTTGAACCGTCCCCGGCGAAGAGCCGTTGGGTTGGCGTCCACGCCATCTTGTACCCGCCCTGCCGTTGGTGCCGATGGCCAGCGACTTGGGATCGCTTGACGCCTGCACTAGTATCCGCAAGTCATCCAGCCCATACCGTCCCATGCTGCAAATAAGGCCACAGATGCGTACCGCACCACACGTGTGGGTGACGGCACCACTCTAGACAGCCCCGGGACTCGCACTCGCGTGGCGGCCGTAGCTCCTGCACCACTCGGCTGGTCTCTCGTGTGGTCCGTCGTCTCGCAAATCTAACGAGCCAAGGCCAATCCAGCCCGTCCCGTTCATCTCTGACCGTTTGCTGCGCTGGTTACGAGGTGACCTCTGGCTCCTCAGCCTTCTCCGTGCCATTTTTCTCGCTAGTATATCACTTGTTTCCCCATCCTCCTTTTCCATTCTCCTTCCTTTCTTGTTCTCCCTTCCGCCCTGATCGCCTTCTGCACCCGATCCACCTGTAAGTCGGCCATTATCACTCGACTCATCCACAAGCGGACTGGGTCCTTGTCCTCCTATCCCCCCCCGTCTTGCTCTACACGCCCAACCCTCCCGACAGTCTGGGTCGTGTTAAGATTGGCACATCGCCCCCTCCCTCATCCCAACCAGCGTCTTCCTGGTATCGACTATCCGTATTGGGTCGCCCGCCGTGTGTCCATAGTGGCCTGTCTTGGCCCGCGTTCCCTAAGACATCCTCGCCGCTGGTGCGGTAGTTACCTACATATATCCGAGGGGATATCTTTCCTGTCCCCCCTCCCCGCCAGTCACTTCTGACTGATGTTCACTACCTCACCTTGTCTGCGGCGGTGTTTTCAACTTCAGATATGCTCCGTCGCTCCTACTCGAGATACATCGAGTAACTCTCTCAATGGGGATCCTACCTGCTTTAGATTCTCGTCCACGTTTGGTTCTCCCAGATACCCCGCCGGAGCTGGTGAGCCCAGGTGCCTCGTCGTACTCGTCTAGCTCATCGCTGCCTGCGGACCAACCTTGGATCTCACCCTCACTCACTTCTCCTTCCATGTCCAAGTATGAGAAGCCTCTGACAGTCGACATGTCGTCCGTGGATCAGAGCGCGGAGGGAGGGCAAAGCCGACCAGGCTCAGCCGCCCAAGCTGCACCTCGACAACAGTTGCCGTCGTTGAGCAGCCTCTTCGGGCCTCCCCCGCCTGTACGACCACTTCACTCTCCCGTTTCGGACCAACCCAGCACCTTCTCTGCTACCTCACCTTTGGACCATCCCCGGGCACCTTCTGGAGACCGGCACCACCCGGCCTCTTACTTCTCGCAAACTCTTTCCCCTCCCGTATCGCAGCCCAGGACCACTTACGATACCAAGTTCGAATCGGACCGCCACCCACCCCATGGTTTGGCTAGATCCTTCTCCGGCCCTGAGTCGCCTAGATTCCGCGATGCCGATCACATCCGTCCGGCTTCGCGAGCGGATGGTCAAGCTGGCAAGTGGTCTATGCAGCAAGATACTGGCCGCCACGACTACACATTGGGATCTCGAGATTCATCTTTCCGATCGCCACAGGATCAGTTCCGACTTCACTTCCCCGGAACCAAGGATCGCGCTCCTCCTAGCTACTCCGACCAAAGGTCGGCCCACGGAGGACCGAATCCCCCTCCAACGCCCACCAGCACCGTCGTCTCTGAAGGTATTCCGTCAAAAGATGGCCTGGGCCCCAAGATATGGACCGGGTCCCATTTCTTGCCTCGATTTGTGCGAGCCGCCGAAGTACCTGGCGAAGGAATGTGCTACTTCTACGATGATGGCAGCCACTGCAAAACGGTCATTGATGGCGAAGCAGTTAATGCACACTGGGGAGTTACCAAGGCAGGAAAGCCCCGGAAGCGACTCGCAATTGCGTGTGTGACGTGCCGAGAGAAGAAGATCAAATGTGACCCAGACTATCCTCGCTGTGTCCAGTGCGAGAAGTTTGGCCGAATCTGCAAGTTCAAGAATGCGTTAGTCCAGCCTGCTTTACATTCCCAAAGGACATTGACTAACCATTGTACCAGCCCGAGAGGAGGCCACACTTCTCCGTCAACACCACCCGCCGAACTCGACGACATGCGCAAGTTGAGCGGGCCATCTAGGCAGAATGATTTGCGGATATCCGGAAGCGAGACTAGTTCGCCTGTCTCGCCAAGAACCACCTTGCGCCAGCCTTCACCAGACACAGGTTCCCACAAGCGACTTCGAGTGGGATACGATAGCTATGTTCCTGGTGGACCGCCAGTTATCTCAATGGCGACCGCTGAGCCGACCAGAGTCCATTTTCCAGTTCAACACGAAACTGCCGAGTTGCCTCGTATCCCCGAAGACGTCTTGGGCCGGGCCTGGGGCACCGATCCTTCTTTGTCTGATCCTCAGTCTATTCGAGTCGTCATCTCGCAGTTTTTTCTTAACCTCGACAATACGAAGATCATGCGATTCATCCCCGAGGCACAATTCAAAGCTTGGGTTGCCAATCCGAACCACCGAAAATCCCCCGAAGACCTGATGCTCTTGTATAGTATGCTGGCTGTCGGAGTGGCTTTGTCAGGAGGACCGAAACCCATCGCCTTTGAGTACGCTCAGGTGGCACATTACGCTCAGAGAGTCACGGCCGTCGGCTCTTTGCAGCTCGTTCAGAGCAGGATCCTCCTTGCTCTCTACTACCTCTCGATATCCCACATGCCAGATGCAAATGAGATGATCTCAGCAGCAATCGCCGCCACAACATGCTTGAAGCTTAACGTGGAACTCGAGGAGTCAAATGATGCAGTCTTGACGATCTACCCCTTTGGAATGACCAAATCTGGATACCGCGAGTCTAGGAGAAGGACCTTTTGGTCATTGTTTATGCTGGAGCGTCTGGACGGACATTTCCCTGATCGACCAGCGATGATCAACGCCGAGGACATCTACACTCGCCTCCCTGCCGACCCACAAAGCTTCGAGCGTGAGATTGAGAGTTCCTCGCCGATGTTCAACCCCTACATTTCGAACATTGCCGGCAGTAACGACAGAGAGCTTGGGATCTCCGCTTATCTTGTGGAGATGGTGCATATATGGTCCAGCGATGTTTCTCGGATATACCGAATGGCTCGTCGCACCACTTTGTTGGACACCGACTCGGAGTCGTCGCGGAGGATGCTGAAGCGAATTCAAGATTGGCATCACGCGCTGCCTTCTCGATTACTATTCATCCCCACGAACCTCGAATCTATAGTACTGGCAGGTGAACTTGGTCCGTTCTTGACCATGCATTTGCTGTATAATCATGCTATGATCAAGCTGAGCCGCCATAGTGTCGCGGCCGGACGGTCATCTCCCCAAACGACATCACTCCACGTTCAGCGGTGTTACGAACACTCCACGAACGTCTTGGACGTGGTCAAGGCCCTCCTGCGACTCCACAGAAATGGACAAGACGTCATCAGTGCATCCCCTCCGGTGATGGCCATGGTAGCGACAGAAGCTGTGGATGTCTTGACAGCTAGTGGACGGCTATCGCACCTCGGTGACGTTATTGACGACGTCAGAATGGCTCTGAGCATTGTGGATGCGATGGGAGCTATTTGGGAAGACTCTCGAAACGCTCAGGAGGCCATTGATGGCCGCCTGGGAATGCTGCTCCGAATTCGGGATCGGGGCAGCCAGCCAACAAGTCCTATCGAAGGGTACCGTATTATGTATGGTGCTGAGAAACAAGGAGACGAGAATGGTCTCCGATGGCAAATCATCAACCCGATCGAGATCCTCTATCCTAAAGACATGGATAACATTTACTCCACGCTCATGTGAAGGAAAACGATGGGGATTCGATACACTCGGGTGTCTACACGAACCACCTGAATCACGAATTGAACGTTTCATTTTTCTTATTTCTTATCTTGCTTCATTGTTTTGCATTATTTGGCGTTGCATGATGCTAGCATTGGGACGGGCACTTGGACATCGGATGGTGTGGCCCAGCTGGGTTTTCAGAATACGGGAAGAACTTCCCTCCCATCTCTTCGTTTTCACACAGTGTATATTATCCTCTGAGCATGTTGCATACGGAGATCGGAGTTGGTCATTGCTGGGAATTAGGGGCAGGGTTCTAGCCCCAAGGGCTATAAGAACTGGAGTCCTGGTTGTCATATTGGAGACGAACTGAAGTGTCATGTGTGACGATGTCAGCTAGTTATTGAATCATTCAAATCAATCCGAGAGCGTGCAACGGATTCGAATTCGACGACGGACGTCCCCCATGACTTGCGAGATGAAGTACAAGTATTCGCCAGGGACGTATACTAATCTTTATGCAGCAACAGGGATTCAAACTCCCGGAGACGCCCGGCGGTACAGTGGAGGCAGGGTTGATGGCAGTGTTATTATTGGGACGTGTGCTTGAGTGCACCATCTCGGACGATTCAACCACCCCCTGTCGCCACGTCGATGGTAAATCGTACACCCATCTACCGCTACCCTCCCACAGGCCGCGATCGAGGCGGCCGCCGTGGAGCGCCCGCGCACGCCCCGGCACAAAGAAACATGTCTTCTCCGAGAAGCGCGCGTGCCCCTCCATATCGGCTGGGTGTAACATGGACGGCACGGCCTGTAGGCTGGGCCGGCTTGTAGGCGCGTCTGGGGCTTATGCAAGCGGATCTTGATTCGGACTAAGTGCCTGGGGACTAATATCGCCAGCCGAGCCGGGGGACTAGAGCCCTGTGGTACGCCGAACAAAGGAGGGTGTATCCGGAGCTTCTGCGCCTGCCGAAGGATGGGATCTTGTGGCGACATTAGGACGAGGTCATGGGAGATGGACGGGCAGGTGATGGTCCGGGACGAGGAGTCGGTGAGCGGCGCATGGGAGGAGAACGAACGCCAGGTCAAGAGGAGCGTCTCAAGGGGCTGGGATTGAGGGCGTTAAAGATTTGGAGGGGATGTTTCGGGAGGGGTGTTGGTTCTATGGATGGGTGTGCAGGAGGCGTGTGGTCCGGTGGCTGTGGTTGTGGTTGTGGTGGTGGTGGTGGTGGTGGTGGTGGTAGTAGTGGTGGTGGTCATCAGTGTGTTGGTTCAGTGTGTTGGTTGCGGTGTTTAGAGATTTAAACCCCGAATGGCCTTGAGAGGACAAGGAGAGATGAGATGAGATCAGATGAGGGTGTCGACGGCCTTTGGAGCCTCGTGGGCTTGAAATAATTTTCAAGAGCAGCCCAGTTGAGTTGATGGCCTTGATATCCGATAGCTTGGGCCACGCTGTAGCTGGAGGCGTAGACCCAGTCCCAGAGGAGGGCCTGTACCTCGTCGCAGCAATTGCTCCACCTCGACAACAGGGAACGACGCCATTGATTGACATACTTTACAGTGCCGTAACAGGTTCGGCCTGCAGCGCCCATGAATTTCATAAAGACCTCGCAGTGTACCGCAGTACGTAGTGCGTGATGCGACTGAGATGTCACCGCTGCAACTCGACATCGCGCGAATGGGGTTGCACAAGGACGACGAAAGAAGGTAGCCGCGCTAAGCCTGGTTGGGACAAGACGGATGGTGTGGGGCTCCGGGTACATCACGGTACGTACCTTCTACTTACAGTTGACAATTTGAGATTCTCCCACCGCGTTGTGCCTCGCTGCAGTAATAAACTACCTGCCAACTCGTCATCGTGCCGTCGCATCGCATCGCATCATCGCATCTCGTCCGCTCCCCTGGGAATTAATGGCCGCGAGATAATGGAAAATTCGGCCTCCCAAGATGGGTTTTCCCGATGAGCCATCTGCTCACCTGCTGGGCGCTACCGGTCAGTTTCCTCACCTTCTTCACCTCCTCTCATCGTCGTCGGACATACGGCTTCACCACGCTCTCCACGCTCACCACACTCACGACCCGTTGTCCCGTCCCCGCCTCCTCCAGCGGCCCCCTTCAGCTTCCGGTGTGGCGCCTGCTGCTCCCTGACTCATCCTCCTTCGCCGTGGCTCCCTTTTCCCTTTTCTCTTTTCTCCTTCTGCCCATGCTCATGTTTCTCCTGCTGACCTCGGCATGAATCAAAGGCCCGGTCCATGCCGTCGCATATTCAGCCTCACCGGGGACGTACATCCTCACCGGCTCTGCGGACCGATCAATCCGCCTCTACAACCCCTTTCCCAGCACCGCCGTCCCTGGCGATAACCCAAAACAGAAGCCCCCAGTGCCCCAGGGCCGTCTCATCCAGACCTACGCCGCTCATGGATACGAGGTTCTGAGCCTTGCTGTCGCTGCCGACAACGAGCGCTTCGTTTCTAGCGGTGGAGACCGTACCGTCTTTCTCTGGGACGTCGCTACTGCCGTCACCCTCCGCCGCTTCGGTGGCAACGCCCAGAGCCACTCGGCTCGCGTCAACTGTGTCAGTTTCGCGGGAGACGGCGACTCTCTCGTCGTTAGCGGCGGCTTCGACACTACTGTTCGAATCTGGGACACCAAGAGCACTAGTTACAAGCCTATCCAGGTCCTCAGCGAGGCGCGTGATGCTGTGACCTCTCTCGCCGTGCGCGGCCCGGAAGTCATCGTAGGAAGCGTCGACGGCCGCGTCCGCAGCTACGACATCCGCATGGGCCGCTGTACCACCGACGTCATCGGTGCGAGCGTCACAAGCGTCAATCTCACTCGCGATGGGAGGGCGATGCTCGTCGGCGGCCTCGACAGTAAGCTGCGGTTGATGGACCGCGACAACGGCGCTTGCCTGCGAGCGTACTCCCATCCCGAGTGGAAGAACGAGGAGTTCCGTGTGCAGACACTCCTGGGAGGAAGGGAAAAGTACGTCATTACCGGTGACGAGATGACCAGTGACCCCGCGCCCAATGGTCAAGGCAGGATCTGGGCGTGGGACTTGTTAACGGGCAGACTGGTAGCTAAAGTGACGGTTCCGTGGGGACCACAAGGCTTTGAACCCAAGAAGAAAGCTGTGGGAAGAGATGGCAAGGAAAAGACGAGAAGCAATGTCATTAGCTGTATGGCGTGGAGGGAAGACGGTTGGGGCGACCAGTTTTGCGTGGGAGGAACATCTGGCGTTGTTACGGTATTTGGAGCGCTGTAGATGCTTTGAGGGACTCTCCTACAGTCACATCCTTCCGCGACTACGTGTGCAACCGTTCGTGTCTGCCGTTTCTATGCTTCTGAATATCATTCATCACACGCATTCCCAGCACGGGTTGCGAGGAACTATCTATATCATAATCCATACATCTTGTGTAATGTGGTCCGCCAGCGCCGAAAATAAATATGTACCGTCCCGGATCCAGAACACTCCGATGGTTCGTTTCCTGGTATAACATCGTCTTTAATACATGAATACATGGCCAACTTCTAGCCAATGCGCTCCTAGGGATAGACCTGGAGAAGCTGATTGAAATGTGGCATTCGAGTAAAACGACTCGTCACGCTGAGTATACCAATTGGGTATTTAGCCCATGCCAGCGAACTCGAACCAGTTCGGACGGCAGTCTTCTCGGTGAAGGAAGGCTTCGCCGTCAGTGAGACGGCCGGTGACGCAGCCTCTGCATTTGGGCGAGTTGGGGCAGTTGAAGAAAGGAATGTGTTGGTAGCCGATATCACGGAACCTAGAGGCATGGGTGTCAGTGCTGCGCTGGTCAAGCATAGGAAAGTCGTCGCTACGAACCAGTGGATCTTGCTTCGGTCTTCAAACAGACCCAAGGCAATGCTGTGAACGGGTGCATCTCCCCATCGCTCGTAGAAGAAGCCGCCCGCGCGGTCGAGGTGATTAAAGTAGTCTTCGTACGTCTTGCTGCGCCAAAACTCCATGTCGGCAACCTCAAAGTTGCTCCAGAAGTGGCACGTAGAGAAACCGTGGGCGGCCTTGTTGTGAGGGGGTCGTCGGGTGTCGTCCGTCACCCACTTGATGGCGTTGTCGTCGTGGAGGTAGTCTGGGTGATCGGCGAGGAACTTGACCGTCTCGGGCCACAGCGAGGGCAGCGTCTTCGGGTCGTCGTACAGGTTGATGGTGAAGCCGTACGTCTTGTTGTTGTCGTGCATGTAGCGGAAGACGTCGTAGTCGACATCGCAGAAGAAGTGGACGTTGGGTTCTACGCGCCAGTAGTAGCGGGTGTCTTTGAGGGCCGGGTGCTTGTAGAAGAGGCCGCTGTTCCAACGGCACATCTTGTGGTACGAGATCATCTTGGCGTATTGCACACCGTTCTTCTCCAGGATCTTGGTTGACTCCTCGTAGAGCTGGTGGTCGATCCATGAGGGCGTATCCCAATGCTCGTCGGGGATCAGTTCTTTATAAATCGGTCAGCGAAGCCTGGCGACGGGGGCAAGGGGCGTCGTACCATAGTTGCATTTGGCCTTGGTCGCGGCGCTTGTCTTCTTGATGAACTCCTCGGTGAAGGGTACGTCGTTGAAGAAGGTCCACGGATAGTTGAACTTGTTGTTCCAAGTCCTCTCGAGGTCTCGCATCGACATGACCATGGCATCCACCTCCTCGTTCCTCACGAGCGCTAGTAGGGTGGCATCGATCCGGTCGGACTTCTCGGCATCGGGGGCGTAGTTCTCGTTCGTGCGGACCAATGTTCCTTCTGGTTCTCCGGTCGCTGTGGAATACAATGGTTAGTTCTGATGACCCAAGGAGAAGAGGAAGCTCAGCCATGACTTACGGTCTAGATTGGGATCCCGCTCGAAGTTGACGTAACGATCGGCGGGCCCGCGGAGGGACCACGACGGCGAAAAGATCTGGTATAGAAAGAAGCACCAGAGCACCACGGCCGAGAATATTAGTGCCCGGACCGGCCGTGCGACAGTCATGGTGACTGAGGTTTGGGAGACGAGCGTCGATGTAGATGCAAGCAACTCCAACCAGATTGCGATGGTGAGGGCCTCAGGAGTCCATGGAACGAGATCCGACAACGACTGCTGAGCAATGGCGGGGACTTTGAATGGCAGGGAGCGTCTCTGTCTGCCGGCGCGCGCAGCGGTGTTTAAATAATAACCCAGGGACTGGTGACCGGGACCTTATCTTGGAGCCAACGCTGAAGATGTTGAAAGGGGTTGATTTATTGAAGCTGATGTCACCGCCCTGGGGCCAATCACAGGACGTAGGAATTAATTTATTAGGTGGACCTTGTTGACGCGACAGAGGCGCGCCCACATGTAAATGCCACCATAATTATACCGATGGACTGTTGAAATCGAGGACAATTAGAAATGCTAACAAATGACACAATATTAGTACCCGTTGAAATACTAGGATCTATAAAAAATGGCTCTATCTATTGAATTATCCAGAACAAGTTACATAATATTTGCTTGTTTGAGTCGCCTTTCTCGATTCTTTCATGAGTTCCATTCAACCCATTTTTAAGGCGCTGTCAGCTATTTTTGGCGCCCAGGGGTGCTCCAACGCCAACGCGTAATTCCTACTCCCCCACTATCACGACCTACCCACCGATGACGACGATAGTATCCGCGCCCGCCTGAGCGAACCATGGACAATTCATGATACGAACATGGCTTTTGCTGCGAAGCTAAGTGCTCTCACCGGGGAGCTGGTCGAGGCTGTGACTCTCACCTCCGCCCAGGTCCGTAGAGCTACCCGCCCTATCTGTCAACTACCACAAGGACTAACATATTACGGCTCAAGACACGGCCCAGCAAGTTCAACGCCCACCGCGAGGCCGCTCTCCGCACTCTCAAGTCCAACCCGTACCTACGCACGAACCAATTCGATGTCGAGAACAACCTCGACGGCCTGGAAGAGCGATTTCGGGTCAACTTGCGAGAGGAGCTCGCAGATGCCCTCCACGAACGACGAACTCTTCTCCAGCAGACGCCCGCGAAATGGCACCCCGAGCTACTGTTTCTGCTCCTGGAGCTCTCAAACCAGCCCACGTTCAACTCGGGGCTCAGCGACTTGGACTTGCTGAGGACGGGCTCGGACGCCGAGGAGCAACTTCGCTGGGAGGACATCGCCCGAGAGGATGGCTGGGACGAAGACGGTGCCATCTGGAAAACCACAAAGTACAGCGACAGCTCGGATGATGACGATGAATACGTACAAGAGTCGGGGAGCGAGTCTGATGCCAGCACCGCTTCTTCTGAAGCTCCAGCGGGCAGGACCGCAGACGACCTAATTATCCACCCGGAGGACATTCCCCAGCTCAACCTTATTCGAAGGGCTCAAGAGTGGCGGACTGGAAAACCCCCCAAGGATGCTTCAGGCCACACACGCAAGGTGCCCGTCACTGAGTTTCACATCGCTCGAGAGGTCTTGTTCATGCTTCAGGGGCTGGACACGACTCTCTTCGGGTCCGATGGACCTCCAGACCCTGCGTTCCAGATGACGCACACAGCATGGGACACCCACAAAGCCTTGATCAGCTACTTTTCTGAAGCGGGACGTCAGCTTTCGATTTTGCGCAAGTTCGTTTCCCAACCGCAGCGAGTCTCGCATCTCCAGGCCTTCCATGATAGCGTCGCCTCTCGTCTTCATGATTTCGACAAGATGGTGACCAAAATCCAGACGCCGCTGGTCGTACCTAAAGGCGAGGTCGTCGTTAGCCTGCTGAGAATCAAAGCGGAGCTTACCGCTGGTCTGAATCCGTTATATGCACTCTCTGGAATTGTTGCTCGGATGCAAGATGGGTCAGCGTCTGGCGCCTTTCGTTATCTCGAGCTGCTCTTCGAAGAAGCTAGCTTGGCGCAGCTTGCTGGAAAGCTTGCCATTTACGAATTTCTTGCTCGAATATTTGTCGAGTGTTTCAATGTCTATCTACGTCCGATCCGCTTGTGGATGGACGAAGGTAAACTGCTACCGGGCGACAAGATCTTTTTTGCCTCAGAGTCTCCGACCCAAGCCCCTCTCGGTAAGATCTGGAAAGATCAATATCGCCTTCGCCGTACTGCAGACGGAAAATTACATGCGCCCAAGTTTCTACAACCGGCAGCAGGCAAGATCTTCAATACCGGAAAAAATATCGTGGTCCTGAAGAAACTGGGCCGCTTTGGGTCTATCAGGTCCAAGTGGAGCGTAGAGGAGCCTCCATTAGACTACGAGACCATCTGCCCTGCCGGGTTTGAGCTGGCCCCTTTCCGCGATCTCTTTGATGCTGCATTTGATCGGTGGATCCAAAGCAAGTACAACACCACTTCTACAACGCTCAGGAACGCACTATTCGAAAACTGCGGCCTCTGTTCCGCTCTGGATGCCATGGGTTATCTCTACTTCATGTCGGACGGCTCTGCAACTGAGCTCTTCTCAAGGAATTTGTTTGCCAAGTTGGACGTCTTGGCCCCTACCTGGAACAACCGATACGGCCTAACTAGCACTGCCCAAGAGGCATACGCATCACTTATTGAATCAACTCGATTATCTGTTGCTGTCGGCCCTGAAGGCTCGCGAGTACCAGTTCTGGCGGCTCGGGACTCCATCAGGACAGCAATCCCCACCATCATGGTTAACTACCGGCTATCCTGGCCGGTCCAAATGATCTTGTCTGAAAACAGCATATCTCAGTATCAAGCTATCTTTACGTTGCTCTTGCAACTAAGGAGAGCTCTCTACGTGCTTCAGAAACAAAAGATCCTTGACAGCTACTGGACTGACGATGACAACTGGGACGAAAGAGCACTTTACTATTCGATACGAACTAGACTTTTGTGGTTCTCGACCAGTCTCCAGACGTACCTGGTGACATTGGTGCTCGCGCCGAATAGCTCCAAAATGAGAAAAGAATTGCAGGAGGCCCACGACGTGGATGCCATGATTGTTATTCATGCCACCTTTATGAAACGGGTCATTGATGAGGCATGCCTAGGGAGCAGATTGACCCCAATCCGGGAATGCTTCCTCGACATTCTTGACCTAGCTATCAAGCTTGATCAAGCCCAGGCCTCCCACGACAAAGAGGCAGAGGAGTTGCGGGAACTTTCGCGTCTGTCTGCCATGTCATCACCTGGTCCACCGGGAACACCCAAGCCCAAGACGCCGAGATACGTCCGTGATAGCGATGAGGAGAGCGATGAAGAGAGAGACGAGGAGAGAAAGCCACACAAGGCCAAACCGGGAAAGCCGTACGTGACAGTGCTGAGAGAGACTAGGGGCGATTTTGAAAGGCACCTGCGGTTCATCTGCGAGGGGCTGCGTAGCGTTGCACGGGCGACGAGTGATGCACAGTCGGCGAAGTGGGATATCCTGGCAGAGATGCTGCAAACAGGTAGCCGGAATTGAGGCGAGTGGGATTGCGACGAGTCGATGAATAATGATACCCCTTGTCGAGCACTGCTTGGCCAAGTATTTCAGTCCCTATCATCTATGATCCAGTCCCAACTAGAGGCTTCTCATAATCTCTACGTGACTTGAGTGCGGGGCTTAGAAATCGTTCTTGAGTCTACCCGCAAAGAACTCCATCAGAGGCAAGACTTCATCCTTGTCCCGTGGCATCGAGACTCCCTGCCGCTTCCACTGCACGACCTTGACGTCTGCAAACTCCTTCTTCGCATTGTCGACAGCGTCTGGTTCCAGCTGGCACACTAGGATGTTGGTGCGGCTCTTTTCGTGTGCGCTGACAGTCGAAACCATAGACTGCGGCAGTGGGCCTCCGATGGAGATGACGCCCTTGAAGGCAGTGCCGGGTTGGGGTTTGTCGCTTTCCGTGACGTCGACGACGCGGTCCTGTTGGCTCATCTTGGAGGCCAAGCCAAGGGCCAGAGAGCCGCCTTGGCCGAAGCCAAAGAAGAGGATGTCGCTCATTTCCCAGCCGAGCTTGGTGATGAGCACTTCCTTGATGAGTTTCTCCATGACAAGTCGCTCCGCCTTCTCAAACCCAGGGTCCTCGTCGAGCTCCCCAGTTGCATGGTCAATAATGAGGTCATCGCCCCAGTGGTGATGCTGTCCACTGCCACCGGGCGGCAGTAGCGCCTCGGGGAGGGGAGTGGTACCGCGGACGGAGATGCCAAAGACGCCGGGGAGGGCGAGGTCGCGAGCGAAGCCGGCAAAGGGAGCCTCGTAGTCGCCGAGGCCGTGGAAGAGGATGAGGAAAGTGGTGGTGGACTCTGGCGGGTCGGGGATGTGCAGGGCGACGGAGAGCGTGCCGGAGAGGGAGGCGAAATCGGCCTCCGTTGGGATCTGGGGAGGCATCTTGGTTATCTGTTGTTGGTGTGCTTGCGTGGCTTCTGGTGGTTGAGGTGGTGATGGAGGTGAGTGAGATGATGATGAAAAGTCCAGGTTTGGACAACGAATGGACGCCCAAGTGGGGGCAGGAAAACAACGGTATGTTTGTGCACAACGGCAACTGTCACGAGGTTTGTATGTTTGTACAACTCTTTCTGGAACTCATATTACACAAACCGTGCACTTCACTTATTGCCATCGAGTTGCAACGGACGTACCCCATGATCGGCCGGTAATAGTGCCCGCTGGTGACGTCGCGGACGCGGGGGACGGACGGAGCTCGTCGGAGATGTGGATCCATCGTGTGCCGGCGCTACTCATTTATTCACCCCCTCGTTTGGAAAGAAGACGATGTTTGTTAAATATATTGTGTAAATGAGTTTATCTTGCCGTGTCGTTCAATTTCTATATCCACATGTCCCTACGTTCTCGCATCTTGCATCTTGCATATCACATAAAATCAACGCCGTACCCTCTCTTCCTCGCCCGTACTTCGAACCTTTACGCGGGACGGCCCTGGCTTCATTTGCTCCCACTTGCCTTCGGCCGTCCATGTCCCCGCTTTGGTGTAATCGCCGCTCGAGCTACCTATCAAATAAGCAAACCGGAAATATTCTGGCAGATCTAAGTCGCTGTTTCTAGACCAAATAAATTTATGCTTCTCGTCGTCGGTGTGGTCAAAGTACGTGCGGAATCGCTCTACGTCGTTAACCAGAATGCTGATGCCGTCGTATAGTGGGGTGGGAGGACTCTCCCACTTCAATGTAATATTGGACACGATGCTGGTGGTGTTGCTCAGATCGATGACGGGGTCTCGGAGGATGGGAAGGCGGGATCCCTTCTGGGCGTCGCCCTGAAGAGCTGCCGGTGTCTCCAGCACCGGATCGAATCCCCACCTCGCGATGCCGTTGATGAAGAGACCAACCAGCAGTCCCTGGTATAGCAATGACGGCCGCGTTTGCAGGCTGGTCCCGGGAAGGAACAGCAGGCCTATAATATAATGATGAATGCGCAGGTTGAGCCCTGGCAGGAACAGGGAGATGACGATGCCACCCACGAACAGGCCATAGAGCTTGAGATGCTTGACGAGGCGGCCCTCATGTCTAAAAAACCACACTTGTGAAATGACGATGGCCAAGATGACCAAGATGATGATTGCGAGGGCGGCTCTGGCACCGGGCTGCTGGTCCAGGTCATGCTTGTTCAGCCGCTGGATTGGGATGAAGCTCAGCGTGTAGTTGTCCATGGCCCCAACCCAGCAGGCACCGAGCCACAGGATGGACTTTTCGATCTGAGCGGTAAGGCCCTGGAGCGTGCGGCGGACGCCCATCTTGTCGTACATGACCCAAGCACAGAACATAGCTGGGAGGAACTTGCCCAGCAAGTTGGAAACGAGGCCCGCAACGGACGCGTATGGCGGCGGGTCCAACGCCATGCCGACCGTCCAGAAGAGGCCGGTGAAGACGGGGAAGAAGAAGAGCCCCGGCGAGCTGGTGAAAATAGACAGCACGCCGCTGAATGTGGCCGAGACAGCTAGCAGGGACCAGCGCATGTCGGTGGCAGAGCAGTCGACGTCCTCGACAAATTCAAAGGACAGAGGGAAGTACGAGTCGAAGCCCACACTTTTGATGCCGTGTTTTTTGGAGCCGAAATACTTTTCCCGGCGACCAACCAGCCTAACCACTCCACAGCCTCCGTTGGCGTTGGTAATGACTCCGGCGTGGATGGCGGCGCCGCAAATGTACGAATCGCCGCGGTAGGTTGGCTTACCATCGCCGTCGGGTCCGCCCACAACTAATGATCGGTAGTTGACCTCCTGGTTGCCGACAGCGCGGGGATTCTGAAGATGGTAGCTTTCACAGTCTCCAGGACATCGGAAGGGGAACCCGCTGCCATTGAACGGGCGGCAGTCGTTGCCGTCAAGACCGCACGAGTTTCCGGATCCCCAGTATGTCACCCCACATCCGATGATTTGAGGCTCGCCCCATCCGGCAATCTCAGTCGCTATAGTGCCCTTTCGCTTGACCAGCGCAAAAGCGACAACCCATATGGCAAAGTAGAAGGACATGAGCCATACGCGGTGTTTGAGGACCGGCAGGAACCGGTCGACGAGCCAGAGAGGGTACTCCTGGACGATGGGGAAGAATGGCTTGATGCGATACGGTTGCGGATTGACAGGGCCCCTAACCCATTTGGAGATGGACTTGGAGACGCGGCGCATCGAATAGGGCACCCATCTCCAGCGTTTCCATGATCCTTCGTCCTGGATGAATCGTGGAGTCGGGGGGTCGCTTTCGTCGATTTCGAGCTGGACGCTGGTGTCTAGCGTGGGCACACCAGTATGCTGATGACGCGGGCGGTTATCACTGTCGCTGTCGGTGCCGACGGGCACGACTTGGACGTCGACGGGATGTGTCTCGGGGCCGGCCATGAGAAGGGGTTGGGACTCGTCTTCATCATCGAGTCTCACCATGGTGAGCAGGTCGAAGATTTACGAGCAGAGGGGAAAACAGGCGGCAGCGTGGTAGCGAAAGTCTCGGCGATGGCGCTGGCTGGCGAGGTGCGTCCCCGGAGGATCCGCAGCCGGAGCGGAGCAGGGTGGGGCGTAGCTGACTCTACGTGTGAGGAATAGGCCCCTGAAAGTGGTCTGAAAGTGACCGCCTGGTCGAGTGAGAAGCACTGGAATCGCGGATTCGCGGGGGACTGACGAGCCGGTTGGATGGCGGGAGTGGTTGACGACGCTGGGTTTGGGGCTGAAGCGTAGCGTGTGTCGAAAGGTTTACATGTCGGCGATCCAGCCGCATCACGGGTCTACTACGTGGTATATAGTTTTGTACGGAATCCACGGCTCGCGAGCGATGGAGGCTGGACAACGTTGCTGCTCTGCCTCGCCGGATTGGCCCGACCCATCCGGTGGCTCCGACGGCGAGACGAGTCAGCAAGACGAAGCATCACGAGGCATTGCGCGTCATGGCAGATGCGGCTGATCTTCGGCACGGGCTGCACAGTCCCAGACAGTGTGTTTGCGCACTACGCACACTATCACCACAGCGCTCTCGGATCCTGGATCGCCTCGTCAAAAAGCGTCCCGGCCCAGTATCAGTGTAACACACGGCGTCCGTGTCAGTGCCAGGGCTGCCAGCCAGATAGTCGTGTTGGGTTCCTCAGCTTGATTTCTTTTTTTCCCTATTCTGTCATTTGCAGAGGTCTCTCTCCTGTTGCTCGAGCCCAGCTGTTTCGTCGCTTGTCGCAGACTCATAGGCACCCGATTCTTCACTCGGCCATGCCAAGATGACCCAATCTGCTCTGGAAGACCCATCCGGAACCTCAACTCTCGCAATGTTTGAGATTCTGAAGTCCGCCACTGCCGATGCTGGCGCTGCCCGTCTAGGACGGCTGGCTCTAGCTAACCGCAGAGTTATGGAGACGCCAAACTACCTTGCCGTCGCATCTCGCGGAGTGATTCCTCACTTGACGCCTGAAAACATGGAAAGATATACGGCATTTGATGCAGCATATATGGCTATTGAGGACTGTATGTAACCTCACTCGAAATGCTTAAATCCCTTCTGACACGAAGATAGTTCTCGAGAAAAGGGAGCCTCCCATCTTGAAAATGTCAAAGGAGTCACCTAGAAACCTCCACAACTTCACTGCTTTTTCGTCAGAGCGAGCCATCGTTCTTGGCCCTAGGCGCTTCCCACCTGTGACAACTCCAGTCGGCAACGGTGCTCAGCATCTCAGCATCTTCACCTCCACCGGCTTCCGCAACCTGACAATACCCGAGTTCACCAAGGTTGTTGAGACGACCCAACCAGACATCGCCATCCCTCCGGCAGACCTCTGGCACACCAGCACTACGCCTCCGTCTAAGCGTCAAATTCGAATGGTCGAGCGCACCGAGGACTGGGTCGATGAGTTCATCAAACTCTCAGATCCCCAGGGACGACTGAAGGAACTCGGTGTCTCTGTCTTCGCACCCGTACTCCCGGTCGAGTATCCTCTCCAATGGGACTACCTCCGATATCTCACCGAGGATGTGAGAGAATCTATCTCAGGACTTGCAATTTATGATGTGAACCTACTCCCGGAGCTCATCAACTACCCGCCTCTTCTATCATTGCCGAGATTGGCATTTGGTCCTTCCAAGTCCCCTCAAGACCTCCTGCGGCAAATAGCTCTGGGAGTCGATGTTTGCACGGTACCCTTTGTAAACGTCATGTCGGATGCCGGAGTCGGGTTGACCTTCACTTTTCTACCCCCTGAGACTCAAGGGGAACAACCCCTTGGAATTGATATGTGGTCTCCAGATCACACTACATCTTTGCAACCCATAGTAGAGGGTTGCAAATGCTACACATGCACCAACCATCACAGGGCTTTCATCCAGCATCTCTTAAATGCAAAGGAGATGCTGGGATGGAACCTACTCCAGATTCATAACCACTGGATCCTCAGCGAATTCTTCGCTGGTGTTCGAAGGGCGCTGAACGAAGGCCCCGCCCAGTTTGAGGAGTGCAGTCGCAAGTTCTCGGCCTCTTATGAATCCGAACTCCCGGTTGGGACTGGCGAGAGACCCCGAGCGAGAGGATACCACTTCAAAAGCATCGCCGGCCAGACCAAAATAAATGAGCCCACTTGGCAGGTGTACGATGGCAATGACGACGGCAAAGCCACATCGGGATCCGAGACGACAGCTGAGCCACCGGTCGCTCCGAGTGCCTAGAGAAAGGACCCTGTGAAGCTGAGGTTGCATCGGACCTGACGAATCCAAGCGGATTGCATACTCTCCACTCATGTCAACCATGTTGGCGGGAAGCAGTGTCACCCACTGCGTTGGGAGGGCCCACACCATGGAGGGGAAGCCCGTCTGTCTATTTTGTAGAGGGAATAGCTCGTCAATGGTTGTGGTCGATACGTCATTCAATAGTTCGATATGATCTCGACATGTCGAGAAGTTGATCGAGCCATGACGGATCAGAGCACGTGGGAGGTCGCGTTGACGACTATCGATGTAGCAACCCGGCACGTGCCGCAATCGCAACATTTGTTGATGGGAAGTGTTGCGGGCCATACGGAGAGAGTTCGGAGTCGTTGATCATGGCCCCATCTCCAATGGATTAGTCCAGACTTACAACTTGGATATCCAAAAACACATGCATCCATTGCGTCGCTACCATCAATACACTACCTACACATTCAAGCTTGTTGGACATTTCCCAGATTACGTAAAGGAGTGCATTGAAGGATTCAGATGAGAAAAGTTTGATCTACAATCAACTAATACGTGCTGAACAGATCCGGATACCAAAACTTAGCATGCGAACCGTACTACCCTAGTCCTAAGGGTGGATGGTACGGTATGCAACGGAGAGGCGAAGTTGTACAGGGCAGAGAGGTTCGGTTAATAGCGCAGTCTCCCTGGCCGTTTCTCCAGCTAAGCAATGGATTTGGCCACTGGACAATTGCCAAATCACACAAGCTCAGTCAATTCTTCCCGAGACAAAAAGACCGAGAGCGAGATGGCGAGACCACAATACGTACGTAGCCTGAGTTCGCGGTCCCAACATCACGGGTGGGGACAGACAAGATTGGCCCACCTACATTTAGGTGTGCGAACCAGGGATCAAGCCTGGATTATTGGATCCGTCAGCGCTGTGCAAACCTTCTTATTACGCCGCGACAGGGCGGACACGGGCAAGTCGCCCGATAGAGTTGCGAGTTGAGCTTATGATCAAGCATGTCTGATCTTGAAGGTCCGGGGATGGGTGGAACCAGGGGTCGCCGCCAATGAGACGGCGCCATCCGCCCACGGGCGAGCTGATGGAGGCAGAAACGAGAGACGGACGAGGGTCCGAAGAGGGTCGAAGCGAGGGCCGCAGCGGGGGGCGCCAGTCTAGCATCGCGGCGTCCGTCCGCCTCCGATCTTATCGAAGCCAGGCAGGACATCGAGCATCTGCGAGTTCTGGACTTCTGGCAGACGACTGGACGGGGAATCAGGGAATCAGGAACCGGCATGTTGGTGGGCCGCCCGTTGGGTCCTCCTGGGGTCTACCGCCGTCTGCATGTGCCTGTCCAGCTCGAGTTGGTGTGGTTGCTTGCATCTCGGTGACCGTCTTGGGACAAGGACCCCATCACGGCCGACTTACACGGAGTGCCAAGGACCGGCCGTGGCGCGGAGCTTGCAAGCTGCACTACAAACGTCCTTTGGCCATGTGCGTGCGAGCCAGGCGTGAGAGTACCGAGTACCGCGGGTGTCCGCATGGGTCACCGATGTACGCAGGCTCACTGCAGGTCCTGCAGGCTTCGACGGGTCTTGTCTCGACAAGCATCGACGCATCCTTGAACGGCCTGGCACGCCCTTGGCGAATCCCTCTTGGAGCGGGGAGCCCGGCAGACTGCACACACGTGCCGGCCTCCCTCGCCATGACGCGCCCAGGCCCTGCTGCCATGATAGCTCCATCCCGTTCACCTTCCCAGCAGGACGGAACTGACCGTGTCGATCCAGCCCTCCTCAGCCCTCCTCAGCCCATGAATCATGCCCGTCTCTCGATGCCAATTGGCCAACACCAGCGTGATATTGCAGGACGGGGACATGGTCCTCGACACCGTTCCGCTAGCCCACTGCGGAAGGCGGATGACGGACGACCTGCGCCTGGGATATCCATGGACACCAGAGATGGATCATGGCAACCTGCCGTACGAAGCTGCAGCTCTCCACGTGGGATCGTCGCTGGAAGCACCTCTGCAGCTCTCTGCAGCTCTCCGCAGCTGCCGCAAGCTCTGGACGATTTATTATAAATGAGTTCAATGCTGCACAAACCTTCTCCCAGAGCTTCCCCTTCAGCCCGCAGCTGTTGTCTCACCCTCCCCAACACCATCACCAAAGGCACCGCCCGCTCTGTCAATTAGACCCGGGTCGGGCTTCTCACCATGTTGGTCAAGCTCAACGCCCTCGCCGTCCTGGCGGCCTCGCTCTGCGCCGTCTCGGCCCAGACCTACCAGCGCCTTGGAACATGCCCGACGCTCGGCTGCATCCTCCCCCCGGACCAGAGCGAGTTCCTCCCCGGCCAGCTCTTCGATCTCCGTGTCGAGGTCCACGCGCCCGTCAACGGCTCCGAGAAGGCCCACGACGGCAAGCCTGACGAGAAGTTCAAGGTGACCATTGCCAAGAAGGGCAAGAAGAGCAAGGACTTTGCCACCGCCTTTGGCATCAAGGAGCCCAAGCTCGAGACCTGGACCTTTTCCTGGTTCGAGGACCTGTACGCCGAGGATGCGAAGACACCCTCGGTCGTCAACGTCGCCGCCAAGGCCTACCGCAAGCTCGCCATCACCGAGCCCGGCACCTACACCGTCACCCTCAAATACTACAACGGCGAGACCACCACTGCTGAGTGGACCGTCCGCGAGCTCAACACCAAGCGCAAGGCCAAGAACGTCATCTTCTTCGTTGGTGACGGCATGACCACCAACATGGTACGTTCTCGCGACTCAATTGACTCCCGATTCGCTCGACAGCCGCTAATGACATCTCCAGATCACTGCCGCCCGTCTGCTGGGACACAAGAGCATCAACGGCAAATACCAGTCCACCCTGAAGATGGACGAGTTCCCCGTCATCGGCCACCAGATGACCCACTCCATCGACAGCTACATCACCGACTCTGCCAACTCGGCCTCTGCTCTGTACAGCGGCCACAAGAGCACTGTCAACGCTATGGGGTATGTAGATTCGATCCAACTATGAGTACTTGCCAGACGCTAACCTGACAATAGTGTCTATGCCGATTCCTCCAAGGATCCCTTTGATGACCCCAAGGTTGAGACCATTGTCGAGATCTTCAAGCGTATCTGGGTTCGTACATGGGAAGATATTCCAAGCGCATTGGATTAATTGCTAATTCGTCACGTTAGGGCGGTGCTTGGGGTGCCGTTTCCACTGCCTACCTCGCTGATGCCACTCCCATTGCCCTGACCGGCCACACTCGTCTTCGAAGCCAGTACGGCCCTCTCATTGACATGGCTCTCCACGGCAACACCAACTACAGCTGGACCGACCACGAGGGTCCCGATGTCTTCTTCGGCGGAGGTGCCGAGTACTTCTACGCTGGTAAGGACTCTTTCCAGGGCAAGGACTACTACAAGGAGTTCAAGGACGAGGGCTACTCCGTCAGCAACACCAAGTCTGCTCTCGCCAAGGCCCCCGACAACAAGAAGGCCCTCGGTGTCTTCTGCCAGGGTAACCTCCCCGTCTGGTTGGACCGCAACGTCTACACCGACAACATCAACAAGATGGCAAACGACCCCCTCGGCAGCACCAAGCCCGCCACTGACCTGCCCGGCCTCAAGGACATGACCCTCAAGGCCGTCGACATCCTGCACAAGCGCGGTGGCGACAAGGGTTTCTTCCTCATGTCCGAGGCTGCCTCCATCGACAAGCAGATGCACGCCCTGGACTACGACCGTGCCTTGGGCGATCTCCTCGAGCTCGATGACACCGTCCGCGCTACCATTGCCAAGCTTGATAAGCTCGGCATCCTGGATGAGACCCTCGTCATTGTCTCCGCCGACCACGGCCATGGCTTCGAGTAAGTACCATCAAGTCTAGTTCAGTGTAGTTCATCCCGGCGAGATTACTAACATCGACACCAGCGTCTGGGGCTCTGCCGACACCCAGTACCTCGCCGACCAGGACGACGAGCGTGCCAAGCGCCGCGCCATCGGCACCTACGCCATGTCCGGCGAGTCGCAGTACACCAAGAACCAGGCCGGCCTCCAGTACGGCACCGGCTCCAACTTCCCCACCAATTGGGAGCCTCGCTACGCCATCGCCGGTGGTGTCGGAGCCGCCCCTGACCACCGCGAGGACTACAAGGTCCACAAGGAGGGCCCCCGTACGCCCGCCACCAAGGGTGCCGACGGTTCTTACTATGTCAACCCCGTGGATTCTGTCAACGGAGTCGTCATCAACGGCACCATTGGCACTAATGAGGCTCAGGGCGTCCACTCGCTAACCGATGTCCCCGTCTTCGCTTGGGGCCCCTGCCAGGACACCTTCGGCGGTACCTACAACAACATCGACATCTTCTACAAGATCTCCAACTGCCTGGGTCTCGCCCGTAGCAAGGGCGCCAACGGCAACAAGTACCGCTCTTAGACGGTAGGAGTGTGGAAGTGAGCATTTGATGGCGGAAGCGGTGGATTACGACGAGACGAACGATGTAAACTAGAGGGTTGAAATGAGAACCAGGCGTAATGGGGATGTAGTAGTAATCCATTGAAAAATGATGACTATGCTAGCAATTGCCTGGCACTGACTGAGTGCATGCTGCTGTATAAGATGTCTCTATAATGCTACCGTAATGGTGCGATGGTGCTCAATCCCACGAATGAGTCAATGTGACAAACCAGTTTCCGAATACCCATCCCCATATCCGTTGCCACGTTCAAGACGGGGGTTGTTTCAGTGAAACAACTGTGTCCAAACCTCCTGAGGGGAGTGCTAGTCCACATCATCAAGACCCAGAGCCGAGCACAGTCCTATGAGCTCATCGGGGTCGACTTCCTCGGGGTCGAGATCAGTTGGTTCGTCGTGAGACAGGCAAGACGAGTGCATCCAAATATTGAGTCTAGCAATATGATCGAGGCGCTGGAGAAGTTCTTCGACGTTGTAGTAACGAACACCGCCGCCCACGATGATCTGGAGATCAGGCATCTGGCAGCACATGCGGTGAATACGGTCAATGTTGTCGTAAAAGGGGCCGTCGCCGCCGGAAGTCAGGACGCCGGTGAAGCCGCAGCGGACGAGCTCGCTAAGGCCGTCGTGCCAGTCGTCGGATTTCGCGATAACGTCAAAGGCGCGGTGGAAGACGCAGCGGATGGGCTTGGCGTGGGCGACGAGCATGGTGCAGCGGCGGATGTCGATGGCGAGCTCGCGCTCAACAGGGGTAACGCCAGGGCCAACTCGCTCGAGGATGCCGAAGACGAAGGCGTCGCCGCGGACCGGGTTGAGGGTGCGGAGGTTCTTGAAGGCCGTGATGGAGTCCCACATGGTCTGGAACTCGGCGTCCGAGTAGACGAAGTCGTGCGGCTCGGCGTGGGTGGGGCCGGGGGCCGGGCGGGGCCGGATCATGATGCGGATGGGGATTTCGAGCTTCTGGTCACCCATCTTCTCGGGGCGGTGGAGGCTGGCGACATCGCTGACCAGGGGCGTGAGGCCGCCGTCATCGTAGGAGCCCTGCGCGTTGAGCTCGACGCGATAAGCCCCGAGGGCCTGGGCGCGGAGGGCGTTGGCCGGGGAGAAGACGGCGACTTCGAGCGGAGTCTTCTTGACCATGGTTGCGTTGCTCGAGTGAAGAAGGGAGGAGATGAGGATATGTGTATGAGTTGTGATATCCTCCTCCCAGGGGATTGTGGTGTGATGGTGAGAGGTTGAGAAGGGCTCCTGGTGGTGAGGCAGGGTTGATTAAATAGTGCTTACCGGCTAGAAGCCATCACCATGGCAAACGTCGATGCGATGTGGCTTGGGGGGTTTTGAGGCATTGTGAGATCGAAACAACCCCGAGAGGTGCGGCGTTGAGTTAATTAAAGGAGAGTCGTTTGTTGGTGTGTGAATCGAGTTGCAGGTTTCCTTTCTTCTGTTTGGCTTGGGCACCCACCCCAAAATCAGGTTTTAATTAGCGCCCTTACCCTGGACGTTCGCCCTCCATTCCCGCGTTGAGAGATATGGTTGAGTTCGTTCGAAACGTTGTTTACCTCACCGCTTTATTACGCCATTGAGGCTAAATAGGAGATTATGCTGCGATGTGTTTGCAGAACAAATTGGCTGTCTGTTGATTATCCACTTGCGTTTCTGCCGTCTGCCTCATGCGTTGTCTTAACTAGGACCTATGGTCTGTTTCCAGTCTTTTTCGATCTTTGACTACCTTGGCCTGAGACAAAGAGGAAGAACAATTGAAGATGACCGCCATTAGGTAGATCCCACGCTGTGTAAGCTGATCCATATCGCCGAGTTGGGATTTGAGGAAGGAAGAGTCGGTTTCAAGCACAACAAGGCATTTGGGATCGTACAAATAAATACTCACGTCCCATTTGTGTTGAGAAACTCACTTATACACTCGGCTGACTGAATGATAGTCTGAGGCTTGGTAGGGGACGAGGCCAAGCATCAGTCATGCGACTTTCGACTTCGGTTGCGATGCTCGCACTTGAAGAAAGTTGAGAAGATGCAGAAGGAATAACCCCAAATCCGAATTTGAATCAAAAGAATGACTCTCGGGGCTCAACATGTCTCCATGCAGCTAACCCTCGAGCTGGCGCGTCACGCAGTCTAGTGGCGACATGGTCATCAATGCACATATCTGATCCTTGTGGGCTCTATTATCAAATTGGAAGAATGCCAAGTATCGTATTTGTCCGTAAAGTCCCAGTGAATATTTTCCATAATTGTTTCACGCTCGGGGTCATGGCAAATTAAAAGTTGGGTAAAGATCCATGGCAAAGGTCCATGACAACGGCGGGGCAGCATCCACACAAACAACGGAATAGCGGGGTTTGAAGCTCAACTCTGGATTTTTACTGTGTGCAGCAGTTGGCAGCTGGCCACTAGATTGCCCCTCATGGCAAAATGCAACCCCTGTAACGGGCATGAGTGGGAGCCACCCAAAAGGGAGGCTTCCAGCGGGTTAGCGGGCTAGCTCCTGACTGTCGCCTCCGCACAGCGTAATTAGCGGGCCTTAGCACCGCCGAAGAGAAAAAAAAACTAAAAAACTCCAGGGGTCTTGGAGGGGCAGCTAGAGAGCCAATGATACCAATGACATCAACACGACCCCACCAAAAAGATTTCACCGACTCACACACACGCTTTGCGCTTTGCAGTGACGGAGCTCGCGCTGCCTAGGTTGGTTTGCTTTTGCTTTTGCTTTGGTTTGCTTTGGTTGAGTTGCGCTGCTAACATTTGGATCTGCTCTTAAGCTACCACACCCGCTCCTCATCCTCCACAAAAAAAAACTCTTCTTCTTCATATATCTCATCTCTCTCTCTCTCTCAAGCCAGTACACTTGAGATTTCTTCCAATCCTCTTCTTATATACCCGAGATTCTCTTCACAAGATAATTTCAACACAATCACAGCCATGTCTACCAGCGATATGCAGGACGCCAACCTCCAGGAGGCCCTCGTCACCTACGAGAAGCTCCAGGACATCGAGGATGATATGGATGAGGTCGAAGTCGAGATCCGTAAGTCATTCCCGAGCCAATGCCACTTGCGCATCTACCCGCCGCATCTCGTGTGAAATCTGACGGTGTGAAATCCGAGGCCAATTCGCTAACTGAAAATTTTCTACTCGCAGTCCGCCAGCAGGACAAGCTCTGCAAGGACATCTACGCCAAGCGCGCCGAGGTCATCACCAAGATCCCCCAGTTCTGGCCCCTCGTCATCGAGCAGGCTCCCCCGGACGTCGACGAGTACATCCAGCCGTCCGACTCGGCCCTGCTCCTCAACTCCCTCACCAACCTGACGGTCGAGCGCTTCGAGCTGCCCCAGGGCGACCCCCGCAGCGTCTCCATCAAGTGGGAGTTCAAGGAGAACGAGTACTTTGAGAACAAGGTCCTCGAGAAGAAGTTCTGGTGGCGCCGCGCCCGCGATGGCTGGGCCGGCCTCGTCAGCGAGCCCGTCGACATCAAGTGGAAGGACGGCAAGGATCTGACTGGCGGCATGCTCGGCCTCGTCCAGAAGGTCTGGGAGGAGGAGAAGGCCGGCAAGGAGGGCGAGACTGAGGCCGCCAAGAAGCTCAAGCAGCTCATGGAGGACACTGGCCTCGGCGGTGTCAGCTTCTTCGCCTGGTTCGGTTTCCGCGGTCGCAAAATCTCCGCCGAGGAGGACAAGGAGGCCTTCCAGAAGGAGCAGGAGCGCCGCGCTGCCCGCAAGACCGGCAAGGAGACCGAGGAGGACGCCATGGACTCGGACTCGGATGACGATGATGAGGACGAGTACGAGATGGAGATCTTCCCCACTGCCGACGACCTCGCCGTGTGCATCGCCGAGGACCTGTGGCCCGGTGCCATCAAGTACTTCAGTAAGTCGCCCCCAGAGAAAGCCGTGACAATGAGACACAAGGATGCTAACCAACCCCCCACAGCCAACGCTCAGGAGCAGGACGACATGAGCGACATCGACTTCGAGTCTGATGAGGAGATGGGAGACGACGACGAGGAGGCTGAGGGCAGCAAGGATGCTCCCGCCACCAAGAAGCGCAAGGCCTAAACGATTTCGGCTTTTGCGATTTCTCAACACACATATAAGACCCCTTCCCTTTGTCACACCCCCCAAAAATGGATAGACGCCAGGAGAGAGGGAAGAAGCCACCTAGGAGGTTACGAGATAGACGATAGACGTATATAGATCTGATCATTCATTTATTCATACCCCCTTGACTGATATCTTCCCATTGTGGTTTTTTTTCTCTAAAACCTTTTCTAAAAGAAAAATATCTGGATCAACTCGCTCCATACCCTAACGGCTTCCCGCAAGTAGAAATGCCAGTATTACAAACTCGCAGGGCAGCCGGCTGCGCCTAAGCGGGGCACATCCCACTGACATTCACAGGCCTCGCCAATGATGTCAGACCAAGCTTGTTTGAAATCCGGGGTATCAGCAGTAGCGAATTTAGCGATCACTTATCAATCCGGGAATCTCGCCGTCGTTGACCGACATGAAAAACCTCGAAAGAGCCATATGCTCGAGAACTACAGGGCGTCGGTTGACACTGTGTGATACCGTTAATGTGCGACTCCAAAGCCGTTTAGACAATTAGACTCTCCTCCATTTATTTGTCAGCGCAACCACCTCGCGCCCTGCGGTAAGCATCATCTGCATCACAAGACGTGTTGTACATACATAAGATCTACGTGCTACAGGCGCTGTGCGGCGTCGCCACTGGGAGCCAATTGGGCACAGCGTTCGGAAACCGGCTATTTACTTTACTTATAAAGCGACACATCACCCCTCATCTCAACTCCAAATGCTGTCCCGTCAGACATGGCGAGTCTTAGCAAGGCCACGATTGGGAATCGCCTACAGGACCTACGCTGCTATGGCTACGCCGTTTCGCATCGATGTCGAAGCTAAGGATTCGGGGTTGTTGGGACTGAAACTGCGGAATGAGGAGGCGGCCAAGGTCACGGAGCTGCTTCAGAAGGATCTTGAGGTTTGTTCACACTGATGAGCCGATAAGCATCATCATCAACTTACACTCCAGTCTAGACACACCACGTCTTCTTCAACGTCGATGGTTATCATGACCACGTAAGCTTCACTCATCCCATCAGCTTCCCTACGACTCCTTCCACTCACGTCGCATCTAGATCGTCCACCACCTCCTCACACTCTACGGCACCGGGGCGAGTGCCCAGGACTTGCAGAAGGCCTACGACGCCAACGACTCATACCAACTGAAGGCTATGAAACCTCGCGACGAAGTCGTTGACCAACTTTCAAAAGACTGGGATGCCGCCAAGGACTACGTCGGCAAGGGACGACAGTATGCGTCGTTCCTACGCTTCTTCCAAGGCGAGATCGAGAAGCTGGGGTGCGAGGCGGTGCTCATGGAGTATCTCTTCAAGGACGATAAACGGGGACGCGACATGCAAAGCCGTCTGTTTGGAGGTATCCGCAGATAAACCGCTTCACTATGACTCCTTGGACGCTGACGCTTTTACAGGCCTGCTTCACCCCTTAATCCAGCTCATGTACGGCCTCGAGTGGGAACAGCCAGCAACCATCGCCTCGGGCCTCGCTCAAATCTCCATCCACGACAACGGCCTGCACGAGTTCCTCACCCGCTCTCAAGCCGACGCCGCTGCCAGGCCAGACTCTTACCAGATGGGTTCCATCATCGACCTCTACGCCCAAATCGCTCCGAACCAGAAGCTTGCGTCGAGCGCTCGCTGGGAGGACCGCAACCGCATCTACGACGGCGTGCTGAAACGCGCCCCTGACGAAATGGTTGAGTTGGCGAGCCAGGTTCAAGTGAGGCCGGAAGAATTGGAGGAACGCACGGCAGAGATGTTGCATACGGCGGCGTATGTTGTTGCTTCGGCAGCATTTCATCCTCCTCATGTCCCCAAGTTTGACTTCTTCCTTACGTATGGCATCCCATACTCTCTACTTTGGTCATATGAAGACTTACATCTGTAGACACCACGTCACATCCGCGCCCTTCTTCCTCACCCTCAACAAGCTCCCCTGGGTACCCACCGCCGTCAAAGTCCGCCTCCTCGAATCCAAGATCCGCATGGACCTCTTGCAATACGTCGCCCGCGGCTGTCCGGCGCTGCACGCGGACTCGCTCTTCGACTACACGCCCAAAGACGCGTCGTCGCTCGTCGCCAGGCCTGAAGAGCTGCTGCCCCGGATCCATACCATCGTCGACGACGGGCACACCGTCAAGCTCTCCCGCGCGCTGCTGCTGGCGCAACGCGTATCGCAACCGTACCAAGATCGGCCGTGGATACGGATCCCGGATGACGATGCGTGGGTGAGGGCGCAGTATCTGCTGTTGGATGGAAATGAGCATTGGGAGGTCAAGTGGGTGAGAGCGGGCGGCTTTGAGGAGGCATGGGAGGAAATTCCAAAGGAGTAAGGCACATGTGTAAGATTGCGTGATAGTAACCAAAAACCAGATGTGTATCATTAAGGACGGAATGTAACTGTGGTTGTTGGGTAATGCTTGGGTATTTTGAATCATCTCTGCCCGTCTAGTCTAATCCAATCCACTCGTCATCGTCAGAACCATTTTCAGACTCAGCCTTTCCATCCAAATCAATCATTTTCACCTCTGCGTTCTTGCCGCCCGGCGCATCCAATGTCTTGACGTCCTTCTTCTCGCTCTTGTCCTGGGCTTGCCCCAGCAGATAGTCCACCATGTAGACGTTCTCGTCCGCCAGCCGCCTGACCTCATCCCTCATCTTCGACACGGCGCGCGAGACGACGCGCAGCTCCACATCTGCCTTGGCGCGGTTCGCCGACAGCCAGGCGCCGTGCTTGTCGACTATGGCCTTGATCCAGAGGAGGCAGAACTCGATGTGGGGGGACTCCTCCGTCTGGGCTGCGACAAACCGCAGGAGGCGCGAGACGTAAATGGTTGGCAGGTCGCCAACGACCAAGGGGATCGTGGCCGGCGGAACGGCCTGGAATACCCGCTTGATCAGACCAGCTTCGTTGAGGCGGAAGGCCATGACGATGGCCTTGAGGTAGTCGCGGTCGGTTTCCAGGACGGCGAGGGTAGACGCAGGTGTGATTTCCATGTTCAAGTCAAAGGGGTCGAATTGGAGATCGTTGTCCAGGCTGTAGATGAGAAGACCCTCTGTCGAGGCGGCACAGAAGGCGGTTCCAGTTGGTGAGAAACCAATGCCAGTCACGCGAACTTCGGGCATCTTCTTCCTTGCGGAAGGGTCTCCACGCTTCGAACCAGGCAAGGAGCTGTCAACTCGGTCTTCCCTGTCAGATGCCTCCTGATCATCGAGCTCTCCCTGGGGACCAGCCTCTGTCAAAAGCTTGTTGTTGAGGAACTCCTGGGTTCCCGAGAGAGAGAGGTTGACGCTGACGGTGAACTTCTTGAGCAGCACCATAGTAGTCACTGAGTACAAGCAGATGTACTTGCTGTTGCCGCCCGCAAGGAGACAGCTGCCGTCGGTGCTGTATCGGATGGTGTTGAAGCTCTTTGTTCCGGCAACATTGGCTGCGGTCCTTCGGTCTGTGATCTTTCGTCCTCCAGAGACGTCTCTTCGTCCATCTAGTCCAGACACTTGCTCAGCATCCGTCATTGACCAGAAAGTCAACTGTCCATCAAGTGTCGAAATTGCCAATTGCAGAGAATCCGGTCGGATCGCCATGTCAAGGACGTCGGCCTGGAGCTGAAGGGGCTCGCTCGTCTGCGTCCGGCTGAAGATGGACCAGATACGAGCGGTTCGGTCCCAACTGCCGCTGACGAGAGAGTCGCCGTTTGGCGCAAACGCCAAAGAAGAGACGGGACCCTCGTGTCCTGAAAGTTGGTCGAGCAATTGGCCGGTCTGGACACTCCAGATGTGAACATCGAACGAGTCGAGGGATCCAGCTGCAACCACCTCACCACTAGGGTCAACTGCCATACACGAGAACGAGAGTCTAGTGGGTGCAGTGAATGTTCGGAAGTTTCGGTACCGGATGAGATCCCAGGCTCGGATGGAGCCGTCAAGACTAGATGTAAAGAGGACATTCCCCTTCTTGGCAAACTCACAGGCAGTGACGCCGCTAGTGTGCTCGGTAAATGTCACAATGCAGAATCCTGACTGGATGTCCCAGACTTTGATCTTGCCATCGTCTGCAGTGGTGATGATCCGCTGGCCATCTGGTGAGTAGACCAAGGAGTTCATCGAGTCGAAATGGCCCTGTTGCTTGAGGATATACGACTCCGACTGCCATTCCCACACCAGAAGCTGGCCTAGCTTAGATGCTCCAAACGCAAGCCACTCTCCGCTCTTGTTGATAGTGACGAAGTCGATATCATTCTGGGAGATGCTCAGCTTGTGGATGTTGTTGAAGTCAGGCATCTCGTAGAGTCCAAAAAGACCGTTGGAGAAGCCGGCTACCAGGAGGTTGGTCTCGGGGTGGAACGCAGCACATCGTACGTGGGCGCTTCCTTGCATGAAGTAATGTCGCTGGACGATGCGCCATCGCATGTCGGAATCGTCGTCGTCGTCGCGCATTTGGTCGTCCTCCTCAACCCGGTTAATAGGCTTGACGTATTGCCAGTCGAATACAGCACCATCCTTGCTAACAGTGTAGATGGTTTCCTGGTTCGCCGAAAACCAAGCACCGATAATAGCCTGCTTGTGTCCCGAGAGGACTGTGGGCGTGAAACCCTCTTCGGGATCCAAGCTCCATATCCGGGCCGTCAAATCCTTGGAACTGGTGAGGAAGAAGCGTGAGTCGCTAGACCACTCGATGTGCTGGACATTGTCGAAATGGCCGGTGTGTGTGTGATATCGAACAAAAGGCGCGAATTCGAGCTCGCCCTCGGTAGAAGCGTCGGGGGTGGAAGGGACATGCCAGACCTCGATCTTCCGGCCTAGGCCAACAGCGAAGTGGCGGCCAGAAGGCGAGAAGGCGAGCGCTGTGACCTGCGCACGAAACGAGAAGTGGTAGATCGAGATGCGCCGAGGCACATTGGTCAGAATCGCATGGCCATCTTCGTCAATTGAGAGCAGGAGGTTGCCGCGGGGTGTGAGGCCGATCCGGGCAATGTTCTTGCGGTGCGCGAACGGAAGTGTATACGACTTGTTTCTGCGCAACACTCAAGTTAGTCATGGAAACGGTGTGTATTCGATGCTGTAGAGTAGCATCCCAGGCAAGGCGCACGTACTCTACAAGGTTAAAGACAGTCACTCTGTTGCCGACAGGCGAGAAGAGATGGGTGCCATCGGGGCTGTAGAGCAGGTTGCCCTGGCAGTAGACAGTGCCAAGCAAGTTCGAGAACTACGGCGGTGAAGTTAGCACATGCGCCATAGCATAGAAATTGAGTAGGAGAGCATCCAGGAGGTTGGGCCGTACCTTGAAGTCGGTCTTCATTGTCGTCACCTGCAGGTCATAGCCATGATAGACTGCTTGAAGTCGCAACATCCAAAAAATCGACCTGGGCTTATCGATAAGGACTGATTTTTTTGGTGGAGTCTCTGCGATAGCAAGGCGCCGGCAGATAATTACTCCGACATCCGGCACTCATTCCAACAAATGGAAGCGATAAATGGAGACTAACCCCAAAGAGGGAAGAGGTGACTTCCCCCTGTGGCTGGTTGCCGTTGAAAGTGGCATTGTGTGGCTTCACGCGACGGCATGGACCGTGATTGGCCTGGGGAAAAGGGGACCGTCTTTCTTTCCCCTTTGGAAACGGCCACACCTCCTCCTCCCTTGTGGCTCCTGCCCCCTTGTGCTTGTCGCTGGCAGTTGCTGTTGTTTGGCGTGTTTGGCTCCTCCCCTGGCTCCCTAGCTGCCCCGTGTCCACTCCCCATCAAGCACTGTCCACTCACGGTCCGCGTCGCACTGGCCAACCAAAGTACGCCCGGGCCAGCCCCCCCTAAGACGCCTCATCCCAAGAAAGGGCAGGAAATTCGTTCCCCTGAAGCACGAGCTCCCAAACCTCCACCTCGCCTAGTTCTCGTTCGACATCATTGCAGCCGGCCGCGAACCTGCATTGCTTCCGTCTGCTTGCCGATTCTCTGCATCTCGCCTCCGACTACCCGTCTCGATCGATATCCTCCTCGTTTAACGTTTATCCCGTGAACTCTGCCCAAGATGGCTTCCGCAGCTGCTGAGAGCGCCTCACCGATTGGCATTGCCAATCTCCCCAACCAGCGACACAAGATTGTCGCGAAGCGCGGTGCTGGCTTCACCATTATGGTACGCCCCCATCGCGATGAGATGCAAGCTTTGAATACGCATTCTGAGCCTCTGCTGTATTTGATCCCGTTAATCTGACCGCGCAATCTAGGTCGCTGGCGAGTCTGGCCTCGGCAAGACCACCTTCATCAACACCCTGTTCTCCACCACCATCAAGAACTATGCCGACCACAAGCGTCGCCACCAGAAGCAGGTCGACAAGACCGTCGAGATCGAGATCACCAAGGCTGAGCTCGAGGAGAAGTTCTTCAAGGGTAAGGCACCTTCGCCTGGACGTATCGTCTAGTTCAGTAGCTCACCGACCCTCCCTTCTCTAGTCCGACTGACCGTCATCGACACCCCCGGTTTCGGCGACTATGTCAACAACCGCGACTCCTGGATGCCCATCATCGAGTTCCTCGACGACCAGCACGAGTCCTACATGCTTCAGGAGCAGCAGCCCCGCCGCCAGGACAAGATCGACCTCCGTGTCCATGCCTGCCTCTACTTCATCCGCCCCACCGGCCACACCCTCAAGCCCCTCGACATTGAGGTCATGAAGAGGCTCTGCTCTCGCGTCAACCTGATCCCCGTCATTGCCAAGGCTGACACCCTCAGCCCTGCTGATCTGGCCAAGTTCAAGCAGAGAGTAAGCTCCTACAAGCAAGACATTATCCTAAATAGAATGCTGACCGCCCCCTTCAGATCGTCTCTGTCATCGAGGCCCAAAACATCAAGATCTACCAGCCCCCGATCGAGGAGGATGACGAGGCCGCTGCCCAGCACGCTCGCAGCCTGATGAACGCTATGCCCTTCGCTGTTATCGGTTCCGAGAAGGACGTCAAGACTAGCGATGGTCGCATTGTCAAGGGTCGCCAGTACTCTTGGGGTGTTGCCGAGGTCGAGAACGAGGACCACTGCGACTTCAAGAAGCTCCGCTCTATCCTGATCCGAACCCACATGCTCGATCTCATCCACACTACCGAGGAGCTGCACTATGAGGCCTACCGCGCCCAGCAGATGGAGACCCGCAAGTTCGGCGAGGCCCGTCCCCGAAAGCTCGACAACCCCAAGTTCAAGGAGGAGGAGGAGGCTTTGCGCAAGCGCTTCACCGAGCAGGTCAAGATCGAGGAGCAGCGCTTCCGACAATGGGAGCAGAAGCTCATCTCCGAGCGCGACCGTCTCAACAAGGACCTCGAGCAGACCCATGCTCAGATCAAGCAGCTGGAGGCCGAACTCGAGTCTATGCAGGGCAGCGCTGTCCGCAGCCACGGCCGCCGTTAAGCTGGTCGGAGCAGGGTCAACGTTCTTTTGCGATTGCAGTTGGACAGTCGTGGTTTTGTCATTTCTCTTACCTGTGGCTCCAGTTCGGGGTTTGGAGTTGAAAAAAATGAAAGGTCCAAGAATACCACAAGGGGAGGGAGGAGACGGGGGCCCGCGTTCATGGATATTCCTGCCCGCCGTCTCCGAGGGAGGAAGCGGGGAGTGTGGCTCGTTGGGACGGCTCCATGGCTATGGCTGTGGAGTCATGATACCAATATCTTGTCCGCGTTTTCCGCCCCTTGGTTGCGTCAGCAGCTAAGCACCAGAAGTACGACCCCGAAACGAAACAAGACGTATGGAGAAAGCTTTGATAGTCTTGCCCTTTTTTATTTGCACCTTTTACTAGAGCCCTTCTCGCAGCTAGGCACTTTTTAGTCCCCATGTAATTCAGTCACCACCTTTCATGATACCAGCTTAAGATTGTCCAATTGGCCCTTGTAATGTGATGCGATGCTTGTTGTACAACGACGGCTAAGATCGCCCAACTATGAGATTTGACCCTTAATAAAGAGCAACTACCGTGGTGACGTATAGTATAGCTCACGAAACTCCATGCTTATACCCAAAGGAAAAGTGCCCAAGAACCCCCAACCAAGTCTCATTCCCAAACACTCCGAGATGTATGCTATTCCAGAAGCCCCTCTGATGATTCCATTCCCCAAGGACCGAAAGTCCTGGGCTGCTAAACGGCGTCCATGCTAGCCCGAGTAGCAAGCTGTTCATTCTTGTTCCCCAACTTTGAAATCTGCAAGAAAGCATCGACTCCATAACCCTCAAGGCTATGTAGCTCAAGACTGCCCGCCCAGTACTCGGCGTATACGCGGCTTAGGGGCAGGCCCATACCAAGGCGCAAGTTTGGCGGACGGCTAGTGAGAGAGGAGAGGGAGCTCTCGTAGTTGGGTGTCTTTAGGTCGGCACGGGCGAGCTCATCCTCGACATGGAGCTCCTGCATGGTGGCGGCCATTCGGGGTACGTGTGAGAGGTTCTCGAGACGCTTCTGACTCTGGGGGCCCTTGCTAAATGACCAGAGGTAGGGGAGCTCAGCACGAGGGATGCCGCCGCCGCGATCGCAGATGCGGATGATGACGTGTTGCGAGGCCTCACATATGGTGATTTCGATCGGAGGCGGGACACCGGCGGTCGTTGGGTCTGGATGCTTCTGGTGACGCTCGATGACGGCCTGGACCGAGTTGCGTAGAAGTTCACCGACAATGTACTCGAGATGGCTGAGGATGTAGGGGAAGCTGGCGTCGAGGTGTCCGTCAACCTTGATCTCTGGGATCTCGACGTTGGGACCATTGGTGGAGCGGGCGAGGGCAATAACGGCCTTGGAACAGCGCTCGACGACGTCCTTGGCGTTGCATTTGATGAAGACTTCGCCGATGTAGTCGGCTTCGGAGAGTTTGGTGCCGGGGGAGAAATGGGGGGAGTTGAAGGTCTCGGAGAGAGAGAGGTGCTGCTCGGCAATGACTCGCCGAGAGATGCGCTATCGGAGCTTGTAAGTACTTGGTGATGGGACCTGACGCGGAAAGACGTACGGATCTCAAGATTGTATTCATGAATTTGTCCAAATCATTGGGGTTCATCAATCCGCCGCACTCGAGAATACCCATGGCCAATTTAGGGATGACGGTCAAGTGGCTTTTAAGGTTCTGACCGATGATGCTGCACATCTTATCATTGTCCTCGAGTGTTTTGACCTCCTTGATCTTGCGAAATGTATCAAAAGCATTGTAGTACAAGTTGTAGACTTCGTTGATGTGCGGGTTCGTGACGACGACGTAGGGTAGGCGCTGCATGTCCCGAATGCGGTGGGCGAGTCTGCAGGGTTGCATTGTCAGCGGTCAATGGCGGGATGCATCCGTCCGGCCGAGATGTCGGCTCACCTTGTGGGAAGCTCGGAGCGGACATAATTCGCCGAGCTGATGAGGCGCGATTCTGTGAGGGAGCGGCCGAAGACCATGAGCTGGCGGAGGCTGATGGGGCGAGCCTCTTTGGCGACCCATCTGGAGGATCGCGGGTTAGCAGCGGGAGGGAGCTTGCAGGTGGAGGGAGAGCTCCTCACTCGTCAAGGATGGAGACGGGACGCCATGCTGGATTGTTCAAAGTGCTCGCGCGGCGCAGTTGCCATCTGGGATTCGAGGGATGTTGTAATATCGGGGCGGACGAGAGGAGGAGGAGGGCGCGCGAGTTAGTTAATCTACATCGCCTGCTTGGTCGCAGGGCGATGGAGGTCATGACGGAGGAGGTCGCATGCAGAGTGAGGCGTCAGCCCAGGGCGGCGGGAGAGAGGAGCGGCGATCGGATTGGTGTCGAGTCGAGAACGGAAGCCGGTCAAGTCGGTCCACAAGCTGGAGTTCGACGGTGCGATTTCCCTAGGCGCGTCGACAGTTGAAACAGAGAATCGTGCAGTTTGACGAGTGAAGAGTCACCGAAAGGAAGGGTCCAGATGGAGACCGGGGAGCAAAGCACCGGGACCGCAAACGCATGTGCCGCCTCGGACACGACCGAAAGCTTGGGGAATGACTGGAGAAAATTACCCCACATTCGCGATACCGGCCGCCCGATAAGCCTTATTGGAGGCGCCTGGGAGAGAGCTGAGGCAGCCAGCAGCGGCCGGTTTCGCGGGCGGCGCCCGATTAGCAATAGCGCCACAGTGGTGGGTGTGGCCAAGTTTCTCGGCGATTTAGGGCGAGTTGGGCCAGGTATTGCAGCTAGCGGTAAAGGGCTGGCTGATCGGAGAGGGGCGCATTGCTGTCTGGTTGGCGATGGTCGATGACGATATTGGGTGGCGGACAGCTTCCAGGACTGTTGCTTGACCGTTCGCCCTGGGCACACTACAGCTGCAGGGCGTGTGTTCACATTATGGGATATGATATTACTGCAAAGCGAATATTTCAAGAGTTGTTCTGGCATCAGAGTGAGGGGTCATTATGATTTACCGAAAGGTGCAGCTGCATTAATTGAGTCTTCCGGTTGACTACTGTATCGACTCAGTAAATTGGCCCTGAATCTTTCCCCCACTTATTGCCTTCCGAATTTTTTATACATAATGATAATAAATGATTTAGAAAATCTATGCCTTGTATAGGTAGCTTAGCTTTAGTCCATAAAACAGGGCCAATTTATCGAGTCGATACGGTAGCTCTTCTGCAGTGGAAAAAACCACAAGGCTAGCCAGGTGAATATCCATACCAGGGTATCCCATCTTCGAGGCACCTGGTTCGAGGCACTGGTTCCAGCTCTGCGACATCCCTTTAACCAGGTATTTTGCTGCCGTAGGGACATACATCCAACGTCGTGAGTGAGCTCCAGGTCTGATGCTTCCCCTCTGGTGCACAGTATTCGGCATGACAGGGCTCCATCTCCGACCGCCGCCATTTCGTATTCACCCCAGTAGCCTCATCGCCTACGAGATATGCCTTGTACGGATGCAGATCGTGGTGCCGCGACCGCCGTAGCTTACTGAGCGATGTTGCCCGGTATAATAACCTGGCAAGCAAAGAAATCGAGGCCCCAACGTCATTGGCGGGGTGACCTGATGACGCTCTTCAGGCGCGGGAACCATGTTAGACCTCTACTTGGCAGATGGGCGTCGATACACCAGACGCACATGTACCCGCGTAGCCCCGCCTCGGTCGCCTCACCAGAGTCCTGGCGGGCCTGCCTGGCTGGGCTGTGCTGTGTTTCGCACAACTCTCTGCTCCGTCCACGATTGTCGGGTGTGCCTGATTGATTGATTGATGCAAGGCGGGCTGCACGCTTCTTCTTCCTCCACTCCACTCTCATTCTCCCTTACTACCTCTGACGCCTTAGTTCCGGCTCAGACTCAGACTCAGACCTGGAACTTGGAACCCGGGACTTTGTTGCAATTTGTTGGATTGTCTGTCTCCATCCGGCGGCCGACCATCCTTCCAATTCTCACTCCTCCACCCCGTCCATCCTCCTCTTCGCCCTCCCCTCCGGGCCTTTGTCACCCGGCCTCTCTCTCCAACTCTTTTTTCCCAGCCTTGCCTTGTTGCATCACTCTTCGACTTGGCCGTCGAGCTGTGGCCACCGCTAACGCTGCTGGTGCTGCCGTTGCCGAGACGCCCGTTCCAACCGCGCCCGCGCCGCTCTCGACGACATCTCGTGAGATCGACCATCTTCGAGCCGTCTGCAGCCTCGTTTCCTCCGTTGCGCTCCTTCTCTCCCTCCACAGCCAGCTGCCGCCGTTGCTGCTGCTGCTGCCAGCCATAGCAACATGGTGAGTACCGAGTTCTTCTCCGAGAACAGTTCCCCTCCTGCAGAAACTCGGCCTCGAGTCCCTCACTCTCGGTTTCCTGCATCATTCGCCCCCCCACCAATTCGCCTTGATCCCGTCGACTCCCACCACCGACACACCCCGTCCCTCCCCACTCCCACCCACGCTCCATCGCTTCAAATGCCGACATCATAAGCTCGCCTCCTCTCGAGCTCCACGTTCGCTTTCGCTTCAAACCAGCTACTGACAATTCTCTCCGTCACCAGAGTCACGACGTGAATTCCCCAAACGACATGGTCATGGACACGGACGACTACGTCGGCGTCGCCAATGAGCCTGACAAGGACCCCGTCGCCATCATCCCAGAAACTCTCGACCAAGAGGCCGACCAGCTGCAAGACCTGCCGATGGCCAACGATCGTGCGTCTCCCTACCCGTCCCCGTTCCAGTTCCCGTCACTCGTATCGCCGTCTGGCCTCCGCCGCCGCCTGGCCTGACGTCCCCCGGCTAACTCCAGATAATATCAGACGATGCGATGAAAGAGCTTGTCTTGCCTCCGCTGGTCGATGAGCCGAAGATCCTCGGCGACTACGAGCACACATGGACAGTCGAGAACTGGCGCAGTCTAGGCAAGAAGGAACATGGCCCTGTCTTCCAGGCCCACGGATTCCCTTGGTGCGTCCCCCGCGATGCTGCCACCCCTCAACCATGTCATGTTCATCGCTGACCCCCATCTTCCCCGCTACAGGCGCATCTTGCTGTTCCCCCACGGCAACAACATCGATCAGTGCTCCATTTACCTCGAACATGGCTTCGACGCTGATGCCGTCCCCGATAACTGGAGCTGCTGCCTCCAGTTCTCCCTCGTCCTCTGGAACCCGAACGACCCCAGCTTATACTGCCACCATGCTGCCCACCACAGGTTCACCAAGGAGGAGGGCGACTGGGGCTTCACCCGATTCGTCGAGCACCGACGCATGTTCAATGTGCCTTGGGATGGTGGTAGCCGGCCTCTTTGCGAAGATGACACTGCCAACATTACTGCCTACGTTCGTTTCGTCGAGGACGAGACAGGTGTCCTGTGGCACAACTTTGCCAACTACGACTCCAAGAAAGAGACGGGCTATGTTGGGCTCAAGAACCAAGGCGCCACCTGTTACCTCAACTCCCTCATCCAGTCACTCTACTTCACAAACGCGTTCCGAAAGGCATGATCCCCAGTTCCCAAGATCTAGCCAACTTCCCCGCTAACCTCACTAGGCCATCTATGAAATCCCCACTGAAAATGATCAAGGCATGGACAATAGCGCGTATACCCTACAGCGACTCTTTTACCAGTTGCAAACATCCGAGCAGGCCGTCGGAACAAATGAGCTCACTAAGTCTTTTGGTTGGGAAACTCGACACATCTTTGAACAACAAGATGTCCAAGAGCTGTCCCGCAAGCTCATGGAGAGAATGGAGGAGAAGATGAAGGGCACAAAGTCGCAAACTGTCCTTCCTGAAATGTTCAGTGGAAAGATCAAGACTTACATCTCTTGTATAAACGTCGACTACGAATCAAGTCGCATCGAAGACTTCTGGGATATTCAACTCAACGTGAGCGGGAACACGAACTTGCTCGACAGTTTCAAAGACTACATCCAGGTCGAGAAGATGGATGGAGAGAACCAATACTTTGCAGGTGATCAATTTAAGCTGCAAGACGCCAACAAGGGAGTCATTTTCACCAGCTTCCCCGATGTGCTGCACCTCCAGCTCAAACGATTCGAGTACGATATCCAACGCGATATGATGATGAAGATCAACGACCGCTACGAGTTCCCCGACGTATTTGATGCCGCACCATACCTCTCCGATGATTCCGACAAGTCCGGATCGTGGATGTACCAGCTTCACAGCGTTCTCGTTCACAGCGGCGATTTGAATGCCGGTCATTACTACGCATTCTTGAAGCCTGGAAAAGACGGCTGGTTCTATAAGTACGACGATGACAAGGTTACCAAGGCCACCATGAGAGAAGTGCTTGAGGAGAACTTTGGTGGCGAGTACCGAACCTCGAATGGCTTCCCTCGTGCGCCCCTCCAGAAGAAGGCCCCTATCATGCGCCAGAACAGCGCATACATGTTGGTTTACATCCGCCAGTCGCGTGTTGACCAGATTCTTCACCCTGTCAACCAGGACGATATTCCCCAACATCTCCGTAAGTGGTTTTGTTTCGCGCTCATCTACGGTAATGCTGACTTAATACAGAGGAACGCTTCAACGAGGAAACCGCCCTTCGGGAAGCTAAGAGGAAGGAACAGAGGGAGGCACATCTCTACATGATGGCAAAGGTCATTACTGACAAGTCCTTCCGAAGCTATGGCGGGACCGATCTCTGCCTCTTTGACGCCAACCCGGAAGTCGATCCTGCCGCTCCCAAGTCCTACCGAATCCGTCGAGCCATGACGATGGCGGAGTTTGTAACCCAGGTAGCCGGTGACATGAACGAAGATCCGCGCAAGGTGCGACTTTGGCTCATGGTCAACCGACAAAACAAAACTATCCGACCCGACCAACCCATTATGGATCTAGGACCTACGGTTGAGGAGACATATGCTCGCTCGGCGGCACACCGAGACACCAGTCTGCGGGTGTGGGCGGAAGTGGCGGACGAGGTTAACTCTAATGGCGAACCAATCTGGCCGTCCTACCAAAGCCAACCGAATGGCGTTGTCGTCAAGAACGACACCATCTTGCTCCTTCTGAAGCACTTTGACAACGAGACCCAGACCCTGAGGGGTGTTGGCCATGTCTACATTGCGAAGGAGAAGAAGGTGGAGGAGCTAGTTCCGTTAATCGCCAAGAGAATGGGCTGGGGAGAGAAGTTACCCGCCGACGAGAAACTTCTCTTGTGGGAGGTGAGTCTATTTTATGGTATTTGCACATCACAGAACCTGACTCTTCTTAGGAAATCAAACCAACAATGATCGAACCCCTGAAGTCGAAGCAGTCTTTGAAGGTTGCTGAGCTCCAGGATGGAGACATTATTTGCTTCCAGCGATCTAGCGAGCGCAAATCCGAGCAACAAAAGCGCTCAGGCGACAAGCCACTGGAGACGTACGTCAACACCATGTCTCAAATGACCATTTCACTCACAGCTCCCAGGGTCACCACATCGGATCACTTTGAGGATGCCCGCGAATACTACGACTTCCTTGAGCACAAGAGGACAGTGAGATTCCATCCTCACACTACACGATGCGATCCGGCCCTGTACCCCCCGTTCGATCTAGTTTTGAATTCTAAAATCACGTACGACACTCTGGCGGAACGGGTTGGGGCTCACCTCAAGGTAGACGCAACACACATTCGATTCTGGACGGTCAGCTCGGCAACCGACAACCCCAAGGCATCAGTGAGGCGTGGAGCAAACCCTACCCTGCGACAAATCTTGAACCCCCTGGGATCCACCAGCCTTAGCTCAAGTCAACGAGGCGACGCCTTTTATTTCGAAGTCCTTGAGATCACTTTGGCTGAGCTAGACACGAAGAAAAGCATCAAGCTGACTTGGCTGAGCGAGGGAATCACGAAGGAGGTAAAAGATTCCCGCATTTTGTACTGTGACGACTTTGCTGATTATGAGATTAGGACCAGTTCGACTTGCTTGTTCCCAAGACCGGAACAGTCGAGGATTTGATCGAAGCTTTGATCAAAAAGGCGCACATCTCGAGCGAGGATGAGGGTGGCAGGATACGGGTTTACGAGACCAGCTCTAACAGATTCTATCGTGAACCTGTTCGAGAACACCCAGTCATGAACCTCAACGATTTTACTCAGCTCTACGCCGAGCGTGTTCCGCAGGACGAGGCAGTAGCGGAGGATGGCAACTTCATCCAGGTCTTCCATTTCCAGAACGACGTGAGCCGAGTCCACGGCGTCCCGTTCAAGTTCCTCCTCATCGAGGTGAGTTATCCGCCTAATTGGTTGCGTGTCTGAGAAACTAAAATGACCCAGGGCGAGAAATTTGCGGATACGAAGAAGCGATTGGAAAAGCGAACTGGAATCAAGGGCAAGAGCTTTGAGAAAATCAAGATTGCCGTGGTTCGACGAGCCAACTACTCCAAGCCTCAATATCTCAATGATGGTTAGTATCGCCTTGGCATACATAGAGTGCTTGAGTGTGGCTGACAGATGAAACAGAAGATGAACTTTGGAATGTTGCACAATCCGATGATGACTACCTCGGCCTTGACCATGTGGATAGAACAAGGACGCTGAGGAATGGCGTTGGGGATCTTTTCCTTAAATGATTCGCCAGCAAGCCGCTGAGCGAGACGTGCATTAAGAAGGGCAGTGCCAGCCCAGCCCTGGACCTCGGTGTTTAGCATATCAGCCTACTTCAAAAGCACTATCGTAAAGTATCTATAGCCGTCGTCGCGGGCGCAGGCGTTTCTTTGGTATTGGAACGGGAACGCATATGAGACAAGACAAAGGATGGCTGTGAAAGAGATTTGGACTTGCGGCAGGGGCTTCGTTTTGTTACAAGACGAGCACAGGCATTGAACTGGGACGTACGGGGAGAACTACCATGGGTGAGGCCTTTATTTATCTCTTACTTCTGCAAATCACGATGTCAGTTGAGCTGTCCAAGCTTTGGGGCATCATGTAGAAACTGTGACGACAGCTTCATTCGTGTATGATATTTAAGCTAGCGTTGATCATGATGTGCTATCTCATCCTGGTCACTGCATTCACAGTACTACTACGTATCTGGAAACCAAACCTGTCACCAGAATGCAAAATCCTCTCTTAGTCTCCATGATAATTAAATGCGTCTAGTGTAGGGTAGGTTTATCACTGCCGCCGTGTCGACAAACGTACTCTACATTTGACCACAATTCAGTGGGAAGAGAGGATGTCTTCGTCTTTGATGTTAATAAGGGAAGTGAATCACGTGTAAGTGCTGCGAGGAGTGCTCTTATTGTATGATGTTTATTGAACTTTCGGGACCTGGAAACAGGTCAAGCACTTCCATTTTCCACCAGAGACAAACCCGTTGTCTAGGACCATTCGCTAGATATCTCCATGCAACTAAACCAACTCCAAAAATGTTGTCAAATTCATAATCATCCAAAGGCATTCTATCGCTTTTTGTCCTGTTCTGTTCGCTTATATCCTTTTAGCATGCAAAATATACGCCCCATCACATTGGGCTCTCGCGGCCACCAGGCAGACACTCCCTTTCCTCGACGGACAAGTGCGCACCAGCGAGACGGAGAAGCTGGGCGCAAGGCTCTTTGCCGGACTTGACGGCGACGAAGAGGGCAGAGTTGTTTGCCTTGTTGCGCTCGTGGACGCTCGCGCCACGGTGCAGTAGTTCGAGGAGGATCTCGGTGCTGCCGGCGACGGCGGCGAGGTGGACGGCCGTGTTGCCGGCGTAGTCAGACTGCTTGAGCATATGACTGCCCTCGCCTTGCAGCAGCTCCTTGACAAGGGTCAGCTCGCCGTTCTCGATGGCATAGCCCAGGGCGCTGAAGGCCATCTCATCACGCGTCAAGTGGGCGGCGGCGAAGTCGAGGGAGCCGGCAGGGTGAGAGAAGCTCTGGTGGGCGATCTCCGTCATCTCGCCGCGAAGGGAGCGGGAGAGCTGGTCACTGATGTCCTTGGGGGTGAGGCCGGGGAGGGCAAGCAGATAGGAGAGCTTGGTGAGGGCAGCTTCGGCGGTGAGGTCCAGACCGAAGATGACACCGGCACGGCCGAGGAGGGTACCTGGCCCGTATACAGGAGAGACGAAGCCGTTAACACACTGGCTGACGTTCACAACGACGATGCCGCGGGCGACGGCGGCCTTGATGACACGGGTCAGCTGCCCATCGGAGCCGCCAGGGATGTTGCCCATGCCGAAGGTCTCGAGGATGAGGCCGCGCAGGTCGGGCAGGTGAAGGACAGAGTCAATCATCTCGGGCTTGATACCGGGGAAGACGCGCAGACAGGCGACGTGGGTGGTGTCGAGGCCCTTGGAGATGTTGAACTTGGCGATGGTGGTTGGTCGCTGGACGAGGGGCCAGTTGACAGTGATACCGAGGCCATTGACGGTGGCGAGGGGCTCAGCATTGGGGCTGTCAAAAGCCTCGAAGTTTGTGGCGGAGACCTTGGTGCTGCGGTTGCCGCGGTAGAGGCGGTGGTGGAAGAAGAGACAGACCTCGGGGATGACAAAGGTACCGGCGATGATGAGGGATCCGAGGAGGTTGTCAACGCCGTCGGACTGGAGAGAAAAGATGGGGGCCTGGGAACCAGTGAGGATGACGGGCTTGCCGAGGCTGTTCATCATGAAAGAGAGGGCAGAGGCAGTGTAAGCGAGCGAGTCAGTGCCGTGGAGGATGACGAAGCCGTCAAAGAGGTGGTAGTTTTCGTGAACGGCCATGGCCATGGCATCCCAGTCGTGGGCCTCGATGGAGCTGGAATCGAGGAGGGGGTTGAACTCGAGGATGCCATAGCGGACGTGGCGATCGTAGGCGGTAGGCGGTGTACGAAGGGAGTCAATGTGGATGCGCTGTCCATTGCGGTAGGCGGGGAGAGTTACTGTGGTTTGTGTTAGGATGGCGACTTGATTGAGGACGTGTATGTAGTGGTTTAAAGGTGGTAGTGGTGGTGCAGGGGAGGAGTGTCATGATGGATTCATGTCATGATAAGTCAGGCGCATGGGGGTTGTCTTGGCGAACAAACAGTAAGTAGGGTCGAAATACCTTTGGGGCTAAAATCGTTAAACGACGGCCTTGGGGCCATGGCATTTTCGAGGAAATTACTAGTTGGCTGGAGGCCATCGGGGGTTTGTTGCATGCAGATGGTGCCTCCGGTGCCGATGATAAGGACGCGGGACTCGGGATATTTGGTCTCGGCTTCGGTCTGGATGCGGCCAAAGCTATTGCTACTGCGGCTGCCATGGCGGCTACGATTGGCGACACTGGGGCTCACGACACTGCCGTTGTTGACACTGCCATTGTTGAAACCGCCGTTGCTGAACCCGCCGTTGAGGATGCTGCTATTGCTGAACCCGCCGCTGTTGAACCCGCCGTTGTTGAAACTGCCCTGGACGCTGCCATAGACACTGCCGTTGCCATTGGCTTGGGGAGACGGTGGCTGATAATCAGACATCTCGTTCGTCTTGGGCGTGCGTGTTTGCGAGGAACAGGGAAAAGAAAAAAAAGAGGAGAGACGAGGGGGATAAAGATAAGATATTGAGAGATAAGAGAGCCAAGGGCCAGTGAATCTCCTGCAAGAGGCGTGATGACGAGAGTGAGAGCGGGCGCAACCAAGCTGTGCCTGTGTTGGTGGGTGTGTGACGTCGCGATAACGCGATAACAAGGTGCGATAGTGGCGGGGGAGGGGCGTGAAAAGTGTAAAGGCGGCTGGCTAATAAACCAGTGAGATCAACCAAGAGCAGTTGAGAAATCGCTGAGGGATTGGGAATGAGAAGAGAAAGAAGGAGAAAACTGCAACTCAGAAGCCAAAAAAAAAAAAAAAAAAAACCGAGGGAGGCGGCTCCTCTTTAGAAGCGATGCCGGGGATGCGCGAAACCTGAGTGAGAAAACGCAAGAGAGTGATCAAGTGGATCCTTTTGGAGTTTCCGAGGGGTAATAGCAACTCGACGTCGCTTTGAATTGGCGAGTGAGAGAAGATGATGGGATCACACACGCGCAGTAACCCAAGTCACATGGTGCATTCGCGCGGTTAGTGGTTTTTTCCCTGTCTCTTTTCCTTATCTCTTTTTTTTCTTCTTTTTTCTCTCAGCTGGCTTCTCCTCTTTCTGCTCCTTCTTGTGGTGTAATAGCGTAGCATCGAATGTTGTGTTTCCCACCTGGAAAAAAAAAGGTGGCTCTTGTCGCTCTCTTATCCGCGAGTCGAGGGGCTTGGTGTTGTTGACCTAGCCAGCCATGACCCAGCTGACCAGCCCAGCCCGAGGTTTGGACATGGCATGGCCCATGTGACTGGACTGACGGACGGTGTCCGTATGCCGGTAATTGGACGCCGGACCATGCCATTCATTTCGGTAGTTTCGACGTCCCGTTGCGAGGCGTACGACTCTCGTCGCTATTACCCCAGAGAAATACAATCGACCACCTCCGACGGCGGGGGTGGCATGCTACAGCGGTTGGTTGGGCTGGGCCGTTCTCCTTCGCCTCTGGGCGTTCGTCGTGGGCACCGATCTGGGCATGGATGGTCTAGATGATCTGGATGGGTCTCAGGTACACACACCCGGCCAGTGGGACAAGAGAGAAGAATCAGAAGCCGGCGAAGAAGAAAAAAATCCCAGCACTACAGGACGATTCGGGCAATCGGAGGCGTTGACGGGGCCTTCCTCCACTAGAACAAAGTGGAGTTTTCGGCCGCTTTGGACAACAGCGTCATCAACCGGCCACTGACTGGGCCAATGTGTTTTCGGAAGGTGGATTCGTGCTGGGTGCTGGGTGGCCACTGGCGCGAAGGGAAACCACCCAAGCAGAGGCAGAACGCAGAAACGGCAGGCGCGTGCAGGGCGAAGGACAGAACAGCTCCGATTTCCGGGCCGCCCTACGCCGTCAAAACCCGGCCTTTTGTTTGTACAGTACGGGGAAGCTTGCGTCGGTGATTAAGGGTCGCAGAAGTCAGGTTGTCGTGCATATCGGTGGGGTCAGTTATGATGTGATGTGATGCGACACTGTGGGATGCTTCAGTACAAGAGCAGACGGAGAAAGGGGAGCGAGTAGACGGACATCCAAACATGACGTCTTTCACCGTGTTCTGGCTTCCAGGGTCTGGACTCCCATACCAAGCACACGGCATGTCTCATGTGCTCCATGCTCCATGCTCCATGCTCCAGGCTTAGTACAGAACTCTACGTACCTTGCAGGCTTGCAGCGACGTGACCCTGGCCCTGCCCGTGTTGGAAATTCTGCCCGACTTTCGCGCCTCACCGCCTTCGTACGCCTCGCCTATTGTCCTGTAGGTACGTGTGATAGTGTAGATTCACACGACGCCTGACAAAGGCGAACAGTTGTGACGTGCGCAGCCTCAGCTTTCCATCACCCTCATTTCACCCTTCGCCGGATCAGCCCCCGGGCTTGATTTCTACTTCACCCTAATTCCACCACCTTCACTCGATTCTCTCCTTCCGTCACAACCATCGAGAGGCGATGCGAGTCCAAGTCTGCTTTCAAGACGGCCCATCCTTCGCCTGACGCGCCATCCGCTACCTTCCAACCAACCTCTTCAAAACCTCTCCAATCCCGACCCCAGAACCCAGCGCATCACCATCCAGGCGCCATGGAACTACCTACAGATACGCCGCCAGACGGCACCTCGCCGCGAACCTTTGCCCTCAATCACCTGCGACCACGATCCAGCTTCCTGGGCTGCTCGCGCATCTCCGACTATGAGCTGCAGGGCAAGCTGGGCGAGGGAACATTTGGGTATGGCCTCTCCATCCCTGGCCTCTCTTTGCCTGGCCTTGGCACCACTTATCCAACCAATGCTGTCTAACACTGGGCCTTCCCGTATAGTGAGGTTCATCGAGCCCGATCGCGGAAGACCGGCGCCATCGTCGCCCTGAAGAAAATCATCATGCACCACGAAAAGGATGGCGTATGTCATGCTCGAGTCGCCTCCTCCACCCCGACCTCACCTCTCTGACCCGATACAGTTTCCAATCACCGCCCTTCGCGAGATCAAGCTTCTCAAGCTCCTGTCACATAAGAACATCCTTAGGCTTGAGGACATGGCTGTTGAACACCCTTCCAAATCCAGTGAGTTCCCGCCTCCTGTCTACCAGCCTCGCAGCCCGATCATTTGCTCATGCAACTTGCCCCAGCCGATAAGCGCAAGAAACCCATTGTATACATGGCCACGCCGTACATGGACCACGACCTCTCCGGCCTTCTCGACAACCCGTCAGTTCAATTCAAGGAGGCCCAGATCAAATGTTACATGCTGCAGTTACTCGAGGGCCTCCGCTACCTCCACGAGAACCAGATCCTCCACCGCGATATGAAGGCCGCCAACTTGCTCATCAACAACCAAGGTATCCTCCAGATTGCCGATTTTGGTCTGGCCAGACATTACGAGGGACAGACTCCCCAGGCCGGTCAGGCTATGGGCGAAGGTCGTCGAGAGTACACTGGTCTCGTGGTTACGAGATGGTACCGCCCACCCGAGCTGTTGCTACAGCTGCGGCAATACACCCCCGCTATTGACGTATGGGGAGTTGGGTAAGCATTTGAACTACTCGTGCTGCCTTGTTCTTTTCGTCCTAACACTCGAGATAGCTGCGTTTTCGGCGAGATGCTGGTGCGGAAGCCGATCCTGGCTGGCGAGAGCGATAGCCACCAACTGGAAATCATTTGGGATCTGATGGGCTCCCCGACAGAGGAAAATATGCCTAGGTGGAAGTTATTACCAGGCGGTGAGCATTTGACGACGCGACCCCGAACGGGAAACATCCAGAATCGATTCAGAGAGTGAGTTGCCATTCCTTTTCGGTTGGTGGAATCAACATCTAACCCCTACATCTCAGATATGGCTCAGGAGCCATCTCGCTTCTGAAGGAACTGCTGAGATTGGACTGGCGGACCCGAATCAATGCAGTGGACGCCCTGAAGCACCCATACTTTAAGATGCAGCCCCTACCCCTGGAGCCGCATGAGATCCCAATGTACGAGGAAAGTCACGAGCTGGACCGAAGAAAGTTCCACGATCGCAAGGCCGCACTCCCTCCGGCTCCCAAGGGAGGAACAGTGGGAATTGGCCCCGACGCAAATGGTGCCACGGCCGGCTTCAACAGTAACGATCCTTACGGTAACGGACGCAATGGGGCCAATGGTCGGTACCGAAACGGACCTGAAGACCGTCGACCAGCGTGGCAGCGGGAGCGAGGACCACCGCCCTCTCGCCCGCCTCCCGGAGACGACGGTGATTATCGGGATCGAGGGCCTCGGGCACGCGGTGCGCCTGGACCTCGAGGTGGTCCCGAAATTGACACTTACATACCTGCCTACAAGCGGGATGATGGAGCGCCTCGACGAAGGGACGACCGTCCCCCTAGAGACGACCGCCCTCGAGATGATCGTCCCCGGGATGAACGCCGACGTCGCAATAGCAGGGAGGACCGACGGTATGACAGAGACCGCGGAACCATGAGCCGTAGCCGATCGCCTCGACACGAGCGATCGCGAGATCGGGAGAGGCCGGATCGCGATGTATACCGAAGATAGGATGTTCGGTCGCAGCAACACATGACAAGAAGGATTGGAATTGGCGTTACAGAGTGATTAAACAGAACATGCGAACCCGAGTAAAGCGAGAGACACGGCGCAAAGGGATGGAATGAAAGCCAAGACGACTATATTAAAGGGCCAGACAGAGCATTGGCCTGCATGGCATGGAAAGGTGCGACGCGGCGTGGCCCGACGTGGGATTGGGGTATTTCGGGTGTGCTAGAGAAGCTGTAAGACTATGTATTCATACCGAAATATCTATCTTGAGCGGAACAACCACCTTCGTTTACCTTAGTATTCAGAATCATCATCCTCCTCGTGAATAGTCTGCGACAGCAACCCAGCGGCGGGTCTGCGCCGGTGCGAGGGCGAGTCGAGCCATTGCCAGTCGAGCTCCGTAGAAGACGAATCACGGCGGCTTTGAGGGTCTTGAAGGGAGCCCTGCTTGGAGCTGGACCTTTCCGTGGAGGCGTCGTCGTCGTCCTGCATGCCTAATTGGGAGGTGATGAGCGAGGATGAGATGGCGATGACGATGCCGGCGAAAATGCCCACACCTGCTGCTGCACCGAACTAGGAGACAGGGTTAGAGTCGATATTCTGATAATTGATCATCTATGTTGATGGAGATGATGGTTTCTTACAAATGTGTACAACGGCTATACCTAACGCATCAGTGTACCAGTCTTCACATGTTGGAGCATAGACAATCTCACCTCAAGGCTGGCAAAGAAGGAAGCGAGGGCTTGAACGCCGGAAACGCCAAATGATACAATGTAGATGGCGGGAGCGAAGAGCGTGAGAAATATGCTGGTGATGAAACGCAAGGGATAGAGAATGAGGCGGAATGGAAGGGCGAACAAGGATAATAGCTGGGAGAGGCGGAGGGACCAGCGGATGGAGTAGAGGAAAGAGAAGACGGCGGTGAGGGCGTCGAGGAGGAGCGAGAGGATAGAGCTGGAGGAGTGGGAGGCCGAGGTTATCGGGGACGTGTCAGCCATCGTAGCAGCTGGCGATGTTGACGATGATGGTCTCTGTGTTGAGCTGCGGGATGCTAAGGCGGGTTGAATGAGGTCACGACATTGTCGGAGACGGTTTCAAGTTTCAAGAGGGGATTGGAGGAAATTAAAGGCTGGGTTTACAGTGTGTTTGATCCAAGAGACAATCGGTTGGTGTTGCGGATTGAATATGGATACGTTGATGTACGTTGATGTACGTTGATGTACCTGGTACGGAGTAGGTAAGTTAGAGGGAGCTTTATTGTGCTGTGCAAGGGAGCTGTTTGTATAGGTAGCAGGCGGCTCCGTCTCACCCCACTGCGGCATGCCAACCCCAGCCACTGGAAGCCCCTGGAACTTGGAATGGTGGGTGATAGCAGGTACTGGGAGGGGCTGCATGTGTACATGTGTTGATGTGCAGTATTGGTGGCAGACAAGGTCGTCTCAAAGTCGCTCTTTAACTCCCATCACTGCATCTCATTCCAGCCCACCACCTCCTCCCACCTCCCACCATTTCTCTCCGCTCTCCACTCTTCCCCCGCGACAGCGACACCAAAACGGGGTCCAACAAAACCAACCATCGCCAGACCGAACGAACAATCCCGCAAACGCGACGTGGGACAAAGCAGCTCCTCATCACGGCGCAACCCGAAATACGACACACGGCGCTGCGCGAATCGAATCGTCTCGGTCCACACGCAATCGAGCCCGGCGGCCATTTTTTTTCCTTCTCTACTTTGACAGCTCTCCCACGGCTACACAACGCCAGCGTTGTGCGCAGCTGCGTTCGGGGGCGCGCTGCTGATTTAATTGGGGGGCCCTGTTGATGCGATACTGCCGCGGCCCTTGTTGCTGGATGCGAGTGTCGTCATTGTCGCAATAGACAAAAGAGAACCAGCGACTCGGCGGCTTGGAGGATTTCGCCGTGAGCCATACATAAGGTACAGAACGCTGGCTTCGAGTGCTATCGCGATAAGCCGTCCGTCGCTCCTTTCGTCCTCCCGCCTTGAACCTCCCACCTCCACTTCCTCCACCTCCTCCACCTCCACACCACTCCACACTCGGCGCTTGGACATCCGACTCTCAACCTTCAACTCTCAACCTCCCCAACCCGCAACGGCACCGGGGCTTTCCCCCGCTTAGCCAACGACCACCAACGACCGCCAACGACCACAGGGCGCACCTGCAACCGCAATCATGGGCAACAATCCGTCCACCTCGTCCAAGCCCGTGACGCCGACGTCCTCTACGCCGTCGGTGTCGGCTCCGGGCTCGGGCCACGACTCGCCCCGCCAGCACCGTAAGGACGCCCGCAACATCATCCCCGGCCACACCCACCGCTCCGCCGCGCCGCCGGAGCCCTCGCTCGCCCAGGCCCAGGGCTCTACCATCGTCAACCGGCCCAAGAGCCTCCCCACCACCGCCGTCTCGTCCCTCAGCGGCTCCCCCCACAGCAACACCTCGGGCCCCGTCAAGCCCGCCGCCGCCGCCGCCGCCGCCGTCGAGGCCAAGCCCGCCGAGGCCAAGTCCGCGATTCGTGACGAGCCCTCCAAGCCCGTCGCCGTGCCCTTTGAGTCCTCCTCGCTCCGCTCTCACCACTCGGCCCAGGCCGAACTCCCCCTCGTCTCCAACAGCAGCATCACCGACATGTACCTGACTCGCCCCCCGCGATTGCCCCTCCCCATCGAGGAGGAGGTCCACACCCCCGGCTCCCCGATCCTCGCTCCCGAGCAGGAAACAGATCTCCCGGACGTCGAGCACATCGATTCTTCAGACGGCATGACACGCAAGAGCTCCGCCCTTAGCGCAACCACTGTCGACGAGGAGGAGGGCGAGGAGCTGCGCGTCGACAAGACCCGGCCTACGGTCCCGACCAAGCTCGAGTGGCGTCGCGGAGGCGATAAGATCTACGTGACGGGTACAATATTCCAGTGGAATCGAAAGCAGCGTCTCCATCCAGTGTGAGTAGTTCATCTCTTTCTTGTTATTCCATGGTTACCTCCGTCCGAGACATTAAGGCGGCTGCCCGCGTCCTCTGTGCCGCGGTGGCTGCCTTATCTATGCTCAACCGTCTCGGATGCGTGTCACGCTCGGCTCAGCCCGACACGCTGTAACGAGGACCGCGTACATATAGGTACCGCCGTATATCTGGTTTTGGACATGCTGACATGTCCGGGAAACAGAGAGGGCAACCCCGGTTGCTTCGCAGCCACCATCCACATCCTCCCTGGCACTCACCATGTCCGCTTTCTGGTGGACGGTATTATGCAGACGTCTCCGGATCTGCCCACCACGGTCGACTTCGGAAACAACCTCGTCAACTACATCGAAGTCAACCCCGACGACGCCCTGCAGGTCATCCCTCCGCTGCCGGCGCCCAAACCCACCGAGGTCGAGCCCGCGACCCAGACGCAGGAGCATCAGCCTATGCCCCATCAACCCCAGCCGTCCAAGGGCAGGGAAGCGCTTCCCCTCGAGAGTTACCGCCACCCGATCCCAGCGTACCTGGTGGACTTTGACCAGTCCGAGGACTCGGTCGCGTATCAGTATGCCGTCTCAGCCATCGAGAAGTTGCCCAACCCGCCTGGTCTTCCAGGCTTCCTCAGCAAGCCCGTGTTGAACGCCGCGACTTTGATGAAGGACGACAACAGCGTCCTCAACATGCCCAACCATACCATTCTGAACCACCTTGCTACCAGCAGCATCAAGAACAACATCCTCGCTGTCTCCGCGACAACTCGATACAGAAACAAGGTAAGACTTCCGTTGACGCCGGTCTAGAGCAGGATGAGATGACTGACTGGTGAGTAGTATGTTACAACGATCATGTACAAGCCCACCTCGACAGACGAGGGCTAAGAAAAGACTTGACTCGGAGCTAAAGCATTGCTTGCCGAGAAATGGATTGCCTCAGGGCAACGTGGATTTAATGGACCATCTATCTTCGGTTGCTACTTTGGATGTAGGAGTGGAATATATCTGGCATGAATCTTATGAGAGAACGGGGTCGCAGGATAGGGATGGACCCTCAATTGCCATGTTTTTTGTTGCTGTTGGAACCCGAGATATCGGCAGATGATAGATTATGGATGATGAGAGGCGCGCTGGGGATGTCTCTGGGCCCAGTGGCGCCTCGGAAGAATATTTGATGATCAAGATTCACGGCGGATGACACCAATGACACCAATGACACAAGGCAGGAAAGGCAGGCTCGGGATCAGTCTCTCCACTTAATAAAGACCTCATCAGTCCTGAAGCGCTGCGTACATGTGCTCTCCTCGAAGGGCGTGCGGAACCCCGTCTCGTAGGCCAACAAGCCGGCGTGGGCAATCATGATGCCATTGTCGATGCAGAAGCGCTCGTCGGTGGCGTAGACGGAGCCGCCACGCTCGCGGGCCATATGTCCCATCATATCCTGTAAGCGCTCGTTGCAGCCGACACCGCCGACGATGAGGACCTGTGAGCTGCCGACGTGGGCCATTGCGCGCTCGGTGATCTCGACAAGCATGGCGAAGACAGTCTCCTGGAGGGAGAAACACAGATCGGCGGGTGTGAAGTCGGCGCCGGCCTTCATCTGTGCGGCGAGGCCGTCCGCGGAGGCCAGGATGCCTGAAAAAGAGCAGTCCATGCCCTTGACTGTGTATGGGAGGTCGAGTAACTTGGAGCCTTTCTTGGCGAGCTGCTCGATGTTGTAGCCGGGGGCTGGGTCGTTGCTGATCTCGAGGGTGCGGGCGAAGCGGTCGAGGCAGTTCCCCACGGCGATGTCGAGAGTCTCGCCGAAGATGCGGTAGCGCTGCTCGGCGTAGGCGATGACTTGCGAGTTGCCGCCAGAGACGTAGAGCACGACGGGGTTCTCGGCGCCGGTGATGTAGCGGCCCATCTCGATGTGGCCCACGCAGTGGTTGACGCCGACGAGCGGGCGGTCCCACAGCAGCGAAAGCGTGCGCGCGGCCACGGCGACGCTGGTGAGCGGCGCGCCCATGCCCGGCCCGCGCGTGTAGCATACGCAGTCGACTTCGGCGGGCATGATGTTGGCTTCGGCGAGGGCTTCGCGGGCGAGGCGCACAAAGTGGGCGCGGTGGTGCGCGGCCGTGTCCTTGGGCAGGAAGCCGGTGCCGGGCGGCGAGACAAAGGTGTGGCGCAGGTTGGAGAGGATGGTGGTGGCCGTGGGCGTGTGCAGGATGACGCCGATGCCGAGCTTGTTGGCGGAGCCTTCGCAGCCGAGCGCGATGTAGGAGGATTTGTTGGTGAAGGCCATTATGAAGATGGCCGCTGTACGGTTGAGCGCGATGTGCGGATTCGGGGGTGACGCTTGTTGGTGGAGGGCGTTGGCGTGGGTTGGGTATTAAGAGGCCGGAGGATGTAGAAGAGAAAGTGGTGATGTCTGGGTGGTGGAGGGGATGGTGTTGAAAGGGGGCACGACGTCAGCGAAGAGTAAGATATATCGACAGGTCGGTATTGCCTTGACGTATGTTTGAAAGTTATATCGGCAACATGAAGTTTCACAAAAAATGCAACTAATTACTGCAAACAATCCAAAGAGCATTCAGTCTGTACGTAGAATACTCCTGTCTGATGTCGTCGTCGTGGAGGGGGTCTCAAAAAAAAATGAGGGGCGATAAGAAGCGAATGGAGGGGCAACACCACCACATCTTCCAGGGCATCGCTGGGAATGGTGGGGGGGGGCCATTAAAGTGTTGGTGGATTAGCTAATCTATCTTAACCTTTGCGTCACAGTGCCCATCGCACAACATACCTCGCCAATGCTGATGAATATTACCTAGAAATACGGCGATTGCTCGAATTGAGGCGGGAGATGACAGCCCAGACATTCTGATGGACAAAAGTTTGCTCCAATTCTTGCTTCCTGGGCCGCCTCCCATGCGAAACTTGTTTGTGAATGAGGCGTCCGCCAGTGTCCCACAGCGCGAGAGCCCTGAACCCAGAGCCTACTGTACCTAGTTTTTCCAGGGCAGCGGTCCAGGGCCAGCGGTTCAGGGTCTTCAGCGGATCTCTTAGCGACCGAGCCCGCTAGAGACGAGACGGCCGTTGCGGGAGGGCACCCACTCACCCACTCACCCACTGAGCGACGGCCGGGTTTTTAGCGCACCTCCCACTATTTCCAACGCCCATCCGGCGCTGCTGTTGTGCTGCTGCTGCTGCTGCTGACGCTGCCAACGAAATTCAAGGCGCCTGGTTCGCCCGCCACTTTTTCTGCCCGTCTGCCCGCACCACCCACAGCACACCCACAGCACCACTCCCACGCTCGCTTCGGAACAATCCAACCCAAACCCACTCAGCCCGGCTCCTCCTCACTTTCTCCTCCACCACTCGACCTACTAGCAAGCACACTTTTTTTCCTTCTTCCTCTTCAGCCTTGCATCCCGCCGACCTGCTGTCCTGTCCTTGCCGGCAGTAGCTGTATCCGGCCAGTGTGTCATTCGGTGAGTTGCTGTCTCGTTTCTGTTTCTGACCCTGCACAGCCTTGCCGCGCTCGCTTGCTCCGTCCGCCGGGCTAACATGACTTATTGCCTAGGATCTCGAGTCCAAGCTCCTCCCTCCTTCTGACAACACCACCGAACCTTCGACTTCGTCTTCCGCTCCCTCCTATTCAAAAGAGCCGCTTTCCATGGCTGCTCCGTCCTCTCCTCGTCGGCCTCGAGCCTCGCCGATCGCCAAAGTCTACATATACTTCTGCTGGTCCTGAGCCATGCCCGTCGGCTACCAGAGCTCACTCCACCTTCAGCCGGCCCGTCATCACGACCACGTCCACGACCACGTCGCCCTCCGCCGCCGGTGCCTCCACCCACCTTCGCCAACGCATGCGCAGTCACTTCACCGTCATATGGAACACGTTTGTTTCGGTCTGGATTAGACCGGCGTTTGTTTTTCATTTTTCGACCTGGGCCACCAAACGGGCTCTCCACGTCTAAGCCCAAATAACCCCCCTCAGCTCCAAACTCCGCGCAATGCCCTGGTCCACGACTAAATACTATACATCCCGAACCGAGACTAACAAATGACCGCCTTTCCTTCTTCGACCGGTCCACGCCTCGCATATCCACCAGCAATGGGTATAAACACAACAAACGATATCATACAAAGCACACGACTAGGCCAACGCCAACAGTCTTGGGGAGTGAGGGAGCCCATCAGCCCGACACCGACGCTGACGCCGCTTTCGCTTGCGCTGCAGCCTGAGCCTTCATCTGCACATGTGCCTGCGCGATAGCATGGGCTTGGGCATGCGCCGCTGCTTGTGCTTGCGCTGCCGTCGTCACTGCCGTCGCCGTTGCAGCTGGTGGTAATACTCGAGCTCCCCCTTGCGCCGCATTCACGGCTTCTGGTGGAACTGCGGGTCTCCCTCTGAACATATATGGGTTCAACGGGATCGTCGCCCTGAACTTCAGAGCCCGAGTGTCGAACGGATCCACCTCATATACGGGCGGCTCGTCGTCCTCAGAATCGGAGTCGTACCTCCAGCGGTCCGAGTATCCTTCACCCTCCGCCCGGGGTGGGGTCACCATACCCCTCCGGTCGATCCACAGACGGTTTAATCGACCGATGCGGCGGCGGAAGGCAGGCTGGTTGGATTTGGGCGGCTCGCAAGCCGCTCCGGCCGTGAACTGGAAGACGGGGTGGTCCTGCTTGTCGACTGGCTTGTCGACCTGCATGGTGTCAGGTGAGTACTCGTCCACATCCATTTCTGATGACGTCGATGCTGGCGGCGTCATCAAGTACTGAGTTTTGGCCGGCCTGAACTTGAGCTCTGCGCCCTGGTCCTTGACCGGCGATAACGGATCTCGAGTGAGATCGATATGGTTCTGGTTCCACTTGCGGTGGTTCTGAACCTTCATTTCTATATCAAGACGAAGCTCGTTCTCCTTCTCGGCCAGTTTGTCAGCCAGCGAGACGAGGTCGGCTTCCAGCGTTCTGCCATCGGACCTGACAGGCGCCCGCACGTGGGCGCCAGAAGGACGAGGCACAACAGGGGCTTCTGCAACCTTGCGCTTTTGAGGCTGGACAGGGGAGTCAGTACCAAGTGGGATGACTCGATTGTGGGGATGGGTGATATCACATACCTTTTGGTTGATGAGGTCCTCATCCTCGCCCTTGATACCCAGCCTGAGCTTGACATCCTTGAGCCGAGCTCGCTCCTCAAAGACGGCTCGGTCCATGGTGAGCAGCTCTCGCTTCAGCATTTCACGCTCGAAGGACATGAGGACGAGTTGACGACCATCCTCGAGTTCGCGACGCAATTTCTTGAGCGTCTCGGCGATCTTGTTATCCCGAGCACGCGTCTTGCGAGTCTGACGGGCCTCCCGGCGTCTGAAACAGACAAAGGGGTCGGTGTCATCAGTCTCCTGGTGCGTCTCGAACTTGAGGGTTGGGTGCAAGGGCTTGTTGCCAGCAGCCTGTCGGCTCGACTTCCAGTACTCATAGACGGGCTTGGCATGCTGCAGAATGGACGGTGAACCAAGGTGGTTCAGCGCAGGAACCATCATGTCATAGGCGACAACAGTATTGTCTACCGATGCGAATGGAGTCTGCTCCGCCGCGGTGTCCTCAAAGACCTCCATGATGCGCTCAAAGTCATCTTCGGAGAGGGCACCAGCGGCAGGGGGTTTACTATTGTACTCTTTGAGATACTCATCATCTTCCGTGTTCATGTCATAGAGGCATGTGATGCACTCCTCCACCGTCTGCGAGAAGCGGATGTAGGAGGAGGGCTTGTGGAAAGGGACGGCGTAGAGCTCATTGTAGTTGATGTTGCTCTCCGTTGGAGGCGGGACAGGGATCTCTTGGTCATTGCTAGTACCGGCCTCCTTCAGGATGGTCTGGAGATGGTATTCCTACAGCCAATTGGGTTAGTTTTGATACTGTAGGATTGCATGGCGGGGTGCATGGTTGGTGATTGATGGGGTCGACATCATGGTGGAGGGGCACGGTGCACGGTGCTCTGGGGACGACGCCAAGGCATATCACGTGTTTCCGCACGTGATATCGCGATATGTGGCAGGGAAACAAGGCATCAAAACACTCACGTTTTCCTCGGCCTGCTCGACACCGGTTGCGATTTGGTTTTCGGTCGTAAGGGCTTCGTACTCGGACGGGTCGATCTGGTCCTCCCGGAGCACGGGGAGGGTTGTCTTGACGCTGAGCTTCTTGACTCGGACCTTGCGGGACGACATGGTGCAGGGCGGGGGCGGACGGCGAGATGCCAGCGGAAAAACCGCGAAACAAAGCGATCAAATCATAAAACGGAGGGTGTTGAGTCGAAATCGATGGTTTTTGGGATGCAAAACGCCCCGTGGAGGCCCTGTTTCGATGGCAGCGTGGTCGGGCTCGATGGGGTGACGTTGGGGTTTGTTTTGCCGCGAAGATTTTTCGCCTGGGTTTGCAAGGGCGCTGAGGGAGATGAGAAGTGCAGCGTGCCCAAACCGTAAACACAAGAGAGGTCGAGCGAGGCAGCGGGGGATGACCGTGCTGGGGCAAAGTCACTCGCCTGCAGAATCTTGCGGGCGAGGTACCGACGGCGCTCGGACCACTGTCTCCTTTTTTTCTTCTGGGGGGGGGCTGATTCCCTTTAGGCGGCCAGAATCTTGGTTTGCCCAGTGGGAAAACGTGAGCCAGGCGCACCGTTAGGCAGCCCCCTGCCCCGCGCGCACGACTCAGTGAGCGCGCTGTAGCACCGTAGCACACCTAATCAGGCCTAACCCACGCTGCCACCCAGCACTGTCACTGGACGCTCAGCAGGCTTTTGGCGGGGATTCAATGACGCTTCCAGTTAGCAACTAGCGCCATCACACTCGACAGGCTTTCTGTCAGCGCCTAGGCAACCACGTAACAGACGGTGCGTCCGGACCGTAATCCTCCGGCTCGTTAAAACGCCGGTTCTGGTTGCAGCTCTGAGTGGTGATGCGAACTTCGACATGGCATGATGCTGCATCGGGCACAGCCACACCGAAAGCCTGTTCGTGCCTGCAGCTGCGATATTCCCTCAAACAGGAAATATGGTTAGGTAGTCTGGGGAAGGTTGCGACTGCAATGCAAAAGCGTATATAGTATGCATACATCCTCAAAGCTTGGTTGAAGTGAACGATGCTCCGTTTCCAACCACGTTCACGCACTCCGTTTACGTCAAATATACCCCGTTACCGTATTACACGGCTCCAATGGCCCGTGCGCGCCACTCCGGTGGCCGACCACTCCGTTTCGTCATCTGCCGCCTCCGTTATTAAGTTACCCCTCGGCCAATACGGTTTCCCCTTTGACGCTCGCTTCATACCGCAGTCCATCAGGCGGAACGGGCTCGACGAAATTCAGCCTTATCACGACTTCACTCACACAACCACGACCCCACGAACCACCGAACCCCCCGAACCCACCCTCGCTCTCCGCCGCCGCGATCTTTGCGGAGCCCTCACGAAGGACCGCCCTCCGTCCCGAACACACCAGCTCCACCGCATCCTCCCCGCCCGTAATCCGCCACGATGGGCAACACTACCAGCGCAGTCCTGGACAACATTGTCCAGGGGTCCAACTGTGAGCACATGCCCGCCCTAACCTGACCGTGATGGAGCTTTTAGGACCCCGCGCTGAGACGTCGCAGTCGACCGAGAGGAAGTCGACCGCTTGCGAAAGCGGTTCATGAAGCTGGACAAGGTGCGCGCCGCCCCCCTTCGCCGAGACGAGGATGGGCCATGGATGGGACAGTGCTGACCGATCATTAGGACAACTCCGGCGCGATTGAGCGTGATGAGTTCCTCAGTCTCCCCCAGATCTCCTCCAACCCCCTCGCCACACGGTACGCTGCGTCCCCGTCCACGTGCCCTCCCCGTGGAACTTGAGCTGACAAGCACCACCCAGAATGATTGCCATCTTCGATGAGGACGGCGGTGGTGACGTCGACTTCCAGGAGTTCGTGACGGGCCTGAGCGCCTTCAGCAGCAAAGGCAACAAGGAGCAGAAGCTCCAGTTCGCCTTCAAGGTCTACGACATCGACCGCGACGGCTACATCAGCAACGGCGAGCTCTTCATCGTCCTCAAGATGATGGTCGGCAGCAACCTGAAGGACCAGCAGCTCCAGCAGATCGTCGACAAGACCATCATGGAGGCCGACCTCGATAAGGATGGCAAGATCAGCTTCGAGGAGTTTACCAAGATGGTCGAGAACACCGATGTCAGCATGAGCATGACGCTTGGTGAGTTCTGCTTAACGTCCCGCAGACGGCGAAGCTGTAGCCCTTGCGGCTCTGTGCGTCTAGATGAGGGGATGTTTGCTGACCGACTTCATCTACAGACCAGTTCTAATCATAGACAAAAATGCTTCACGGGATGGGGAGTCGAGGATAGGAATGGCGGCATGCGAGGCCACGCATTGTTGACAAGAAGGACAGACTGGTGTGCGGAACACCTAGCGAATTTTAGCAGCATCATGATCATGAATTCACGCATTCGGCATACGACATTTTGCCTTCGCAACATCGTCCCCGGTCTGGTTATGGTTCTAAACTCCGGGTGATACATTAGATGAGGACCTGGATGTGGTCAATGGGTGTGGATGATGGCGTGGACGTGGGCATGGGCGTCGAATATTGACCATCAAGGCTCTATTGATGAAATGAATAAGAGGGTTCATTGATACCTCAACAGTCAGCTGGAGAACTCAGAACCCTTGGTGCTGTCTTCTGTGCTTCCTCATTCACCGGGGATGCCATCAGCTGCTTCAATAGCTGACTCTCCGATATTCATCAACAGTGGCGAGTACCCCAACACATTGAATACATGATGACCTGGCCAGTCGAGTTCGGTTGGGTGTCTCAGTCCAGCCCAGAGCTTATCACTCAACCTAGCCAACTCTGATGTGATTGACGCCCGCGGTATGGCTTCAGGAAAAGCCTTCCAACGATGTCGCAAGTACCTCGACACCTTACGGTGGACGCTCCCTTCCGACTGAGGTACCCCACAGCCACTCTTCCTCAGCTATCACCATCCAACACTTTCCGCGGCAGGCAGACATCAAGTGTAGCCAACGCCACCCGAGGAACGCCACCGCACACCTCGTCCGCGTGACAGCTGTCAAGATGGATAAGCCCGTGGGGGTGGGAGTCCCGACCGCTCGGGACCAGGCTACAAGCATCTGCCGTCGATCGGGTCTCACTGCTCCCGGCTGATCGTCATTATCGGGCGCTGCTAAACCATTTCCATCTACCGACGCATGAGATGCTGCAGTGCGTGTGGCTTCCCGCCGCAGGATCTACAAGGAACCGTATGATTCCAAGTCATGTCTTCCCTGCCGGTGGCGTACCACTGATCTAGACAGCTCCATGGCTTCGGGCGTACTCTTGAGACCCTGTTTTTACATGTCCCGCCCTAAGGCACATACCCGGAGGCCACAATGTTCGGTTGCGCGTTAAGCGCCGTCCCACCAGGTACACAGTGGTCGCACGGAGTGGCAGCGGCGTAGCTGAGACATTGGACAGTCCAAGAATCACAAACTCGAGAGGAGTGGGAGGGGGTGTCATGTCTCGGCCATGAAGAAATCCCCCTGTAAGTACCGCCACGCTGGGTTTGCGCGACACACATGCCAACTTCAACTCGCATAAGTAATCTAGTTGAGTAATCGGGAAACTTTGACCGCATGATTGCGAGGCCGCCAGGCTATCCTACTAAGGGAAAGCTGTCGCAACGAGGCGCGTGGGGGACGAGGCAAGGGCATTTGCAAGAAAAGCAAACACCCAAGCACCTAAGGAACGAGGCGACATGGGGAGGGCGTGTTTTCTCAACGTACCGGAAGATTGGAATCATCAACTACTGAAATTTCTGACCGTCATTATCTTCAGCCTCGCCAGTGTGGTCTTGAATGTCACCGGATAGTCACCCTTCGGAAGCCTGCAGTCGGATTTCCGGGCTTCGGCGCCGCTCCAGTCTGCCCCAGTGCGGAGCCTTCCCCACAGTGTCGAACCGGGACCGGGAGGCTGCGCCGCCCGCGCCCCGGGAGTGATGAGGTTGGCGGGTTCCCAATAGTCTGGGCAGGCGTTTCCATCTCCACCCAATGGGAAGCACTCACGAGTCAGTTTGAGATCCCTCGGCTTGTTTCGGGTCCGAATGATCCCCTGCAATGGCGCCGAGGGATCGATTGGACTGGGTGACATTGCGTGAGTGAGAAATACTCCATCAAACAAGACATACAAGACGGGGCTGCAGGAAGACTAAGCGACGCCGTGGGGGATCGAGACTCTGAGGCGTTGTCACACAGCAAACTCCCAGGCTGGCAACGTCACAGCCCGGGATAACAAGGGGGGATGGAGTTTGGCATAGCTCGTAGACTATTGGTAGAGCTGGTTCCAGGAATGTGATCCAGTCGCCGGCGATGCTGTTGATGTGCAAGCGGGTGGCTTGCACGGGTGACACATCACAACCCGCGAGACAGGGCGAGCGATTGACAGGGTTGCCTCCCAGGATTTGAGGGAGGCGTAGGAAACAAAGCAAAAAGTCCAGATTTTGCAAGGCGAGATTCCTGCAAGTCGTAGATTGCTTCATTTTGTGACTGCCGAATGCTACTGTGCGAAGCATGCCTCGGAAAATTACATGTTTCGGCGATAATCCGTTCTTGGTACTTGGGTCCTGCCTGGCGATCTTCCAACTGGCACCAGTATTTCTAGGGTGTGGCCGTAGTTGGGATGTGACCTGTCATATTTGGATCCCTCGAGATGCTGTTTTCGCTTGCCCGGCAGGCTGGGACCGGCGGGTCGGCCGAATTCAGGCAAGGGTAAGAGATAGTCTGATTGCGGAAGGCTACCTCCCGAGATCTACGGGACGCTGTCGACGGCGTGTGTCTCTGGCGTGTCTGGCCGATTTTGCGTGTAAGTCAAGCTATCAGCGGCGCTGGATCAGCTACCGGAAATCAGAGACACAACAAATACTTCCAGCCACAGCGGCAAAAACCGGACTGACCTCTGCATCTTAGACGTGAAGTATGGTAAACTGCCGAAGCAAAAGGGGAATGAGGGGGGAAAGCATTCGCCAACGCCCAGGCATGTCGAATCCCTCATTGGTTACCGGCATCCGCTCTGCCGGGACTCTGAGGAGACGGGTCCGCGCACTACTGCTGCAGGCCATCCCACTGGCGCCGTGCGAGGGGACCAAGTCAGCCATGGTGGCGGTAGATTTGCTTCTGCCTCCTCTGGCTTGTCCTTATTCTGGTTGACGCTGTTGGCGAACCGTGACGACGGGGACACGCCAGAAGTGAGGCTGAGGCCTCATGATCCAATGACAGGGGCATTGACTTGGTGGAGTGGACTTGGGTTGTGTAGAGTTCTGTGTAAACGAGCGCAAGCGAGGGTGGAGAGCAGGGAGGTCAGCAGCAAGTCGCAGAGACAAGAACCGGAAAAGAGAATTCGAGGCTTGGAAAAAGCAAGACAAATTAGGAGTCTAGACACAGACAGATGCCACCATCTCCAGCTTGACCAGGGGGAAACGGGAAGCCGGGACCAGGGCCAGAACCCCCTTAGCCAGGGTCGACTCAGCAAGGCGGTGGATGGTTGGCCGAGATTGATGCCCGATGAGATGTATGTACATCGATTGACGGCGATCGGCAGCATCAGGCTGACCGTATCGCCGAGCCCACGATCCCATAATGGCGTAGGGCGTGACCTTCGTCGCCTTAGGCACCACTAGGCCCTCTTTTGCCATCGTCGTCATGATCCGGCGGTGCAGCGACGGAAAGAGAGCAATACGATTTGCCATGGCCATCAGCCGCACTTGCGCAGCGTCGCATCAGCGAGTTGCAACGTGATCGGCGGCGCACGATCGCCCACCCCCTCCCTCGATCCTCCGGGGTCGTTAGCCGGCGGTTGTGATTGGCATAGTTCGTTTCGTGGTTGGGCAGGGCGACAGAAACTGAGTCCGGACCCGTCGGGTTGAATTGGTGTTGCTGATTGAAAGAGGTGGAGGAGGTGGTGGTTGTTCCGGTTAGGCTTGTAGCCGCCAGGGTATCAACAGTGGCGAGTGGGGGCGTGACGGATGGGTTGAAAGATAGTCCGTGTCCTAAAATCAAGGAAGCATGGGTTACACACCGAAAGAAGTCGTATGAGGAACAGGCGTGGTGGGAGCAACGAGGAAAAAGCAGGGAGAGAGCAGATTTTTCAGTGATGTTGTTGATGCCAAGTCGGGAAGACGGGGCTTGGTTGGGTATGCATCCGGGCCTTTGTGCGATCCTTCCTTCCTTCCTCTGTTGTGTCGTCGTGCATGGAAACAACCCCAAGCGGAGGAAAGTCGGTAAGACCTAATCCAAGCGCGCCTTCCTTGCAAATGAACGGTCATTTTCCCAGTGGCACTGTACATCTGAACATCCCTACTACTTACCAACCTTAGCAAGGAACCCAACTGGGTGCCTTAGTTTCAAAGTCTGGGATACTCAAGTGAGGCGGCGGCACAGTTGGCCAAGGTGATGCAGATAGGTACCTAGGTAGGTAGGTACGAAGTAGGTAGGTACCAACGTAGGTTGTCAGGTAGGAGGTAAGTTAGGTAAGGTAGGTAGTTAATCAACCTTCCCGTCAACCTCCGCCACAGCCGAGATTGTCGACGGCAACCAGACCAGGCCCTTTCGTCCAGCCCAACTGCCGAAACCAACCAACTCGACTTGCGCTCCTCGCTCTCTCAACGTACTACGTAGTATGTATGTACTGTGTATTTCCCGCAGGATCGTGCACGCGCGTGTCCCCATAACCCACCTTCTCTATCTCGGTCTCGCTGAGCCCGGCTTTGCTGCGGCCGCCCTGCACAACAGCCTACAGCCAAGCAATGTGAATCCCCCCCAGCCATCCAAACCCTTGACACCGGGCAACCCAAAACAACCCTCCGCTTCCCTTCCCCGAGACCCCTGCTGGGCTCTCTCATCGGTGACAGGGGGCTGACGCGATACATGTACGACTGTGTAATCGTAATCGAGAGGGGCTGAGAATGCGCAGGTAAGAGTGGGGTTTTGAAAGAGAAAAAAAAGCACACAGTCATGGGAAATCCCCCGAAAAGAGACGGATGAGAAGGGAAATGGCCTGGGCAATCTACTTCCTACGTGGAGCACATGGGCCGGAGTCTCGGGTTTCTTGACGTGTTGTGCATAGGACTGTGCTCTGTCATCAAGCATCAAGCATCAAGTATCATACTCTGCAATTATCTGAGCTTTCGGACGTGAGAATGCGCTTCCGGAATGCGGGTGCTCCGGGGCGCGTCCGTTCGTCCCCTGGTCCCCTGCCATGATGATTATGATCATGGCTGCTTGAGCGTGTATCCCTGTTTTTATCCGTGTGCTTCCGCGTCGTATGTCCTCTATCTGTAAGCCTGTGATTGTGGTGTGTGTCCGTGTGTTACTGCATGCGCCGTCTTCCATTCAGCTTCCATTCTCTGCTGACTCCCCACAGTTGCAGCGCCCGGTAATAAAACGAAAAAGGTACCTGCATGAGTTGCAGCATACTACGTAGTAGTACGTAAATGCCGTTGCGCGTTTGATTACCCGACGCGGTACTTGTTGCTACGACCCTAGGGGTCAGCGGCCCGCGGCCTATTTCGCAGGCCTTCTCACGGCCGCAGTGGTGGCCTCCTCAACCCTCCCCGGAGTGGCGGTCGCATTTGTATTTGGCCGAGATATGTACCGTCGCACTGTTGACAAACTAAGCTTTTTTGTTTCGCAGGATGAGGCGGACTGAGTTGAAGAGAAATGGGGAACCTGGACGCCGCGACTTCTTGTCTGTGCCTTGACGACACTAGAGACTAGGCTCTCCACTAGTTGCAACGGCCTTGGCTCAGAGGCTCAGACTAAGGACGATTGGGGAGCTAACCCCCATGTAGGAAAAGCCTGCTCAGAACTGGGAGAACGGAGACGGGAATTGCTACTATTCTTGTGCGCCCTGCCCAACCTTTTACACGCTGACCTAGTGAGTTTCCGCTTCCTTGCCCATCCCTCCGGGCCTCCTCTCCGCCCTCCGGCCTCCACTCCGCCAGCGCCAGCCTCCCCGCCCTTACTTCTTGCGATAACTTTTGGGGTCTCCGAGCTTCCTCTTCCCCTTGTCACCATGTCTCACGGGGCTCTAACTTCGGTAGCCAAAGCTGGAGGTGGCGGGACGGGAATCTTCGGGATAAAGGGAGTCAAAACAAAAGTATATCGGACAAGTCAACAAGCACGTGGGTGTGAGCGAATGACAAGAATGGCGCACCATTGGAAACTACTCGGTAGCAAAAGGTATACAGAGATAGACAGGGAAACTTGATTTCCAGTGTCTGTTTGGGCTCAAAATCTATGTCTATGCCCAATGTCCCCCCATTTCTTTCAACTTACACCCACCCACTAACACCGACAACCCCAAGCCGAAAGACCTCCAGGCCCATCCCAATATTCTCGGTCCAACACGCCGAGCTACCCCTCCCAGTCCTCGCAACCCAAGCCAAGCACCACAAGGGTCCTTCACAGTGTCATGCTAAAGGCAAAATAAAAAGAAACGAAAAAAGTACCTGTACTTTGGCTCCCCTTGAACCCCCCCCCCTTCTCTCCCCTAAGAGACACCCCCCTCTAACACCAGAGCTGAGCCCACAGCACCAACCCCCCTTTCCGAGCATGCAGTAGCTGCGACGTCTGTAGGTTCCGCACTTGCGGTCAAGAAAAGGACACTCGGAGAATCGAAGGGCAAGGGGGGGGGGGGGGGGGGGTCGAGAACGAAAAAGAGTGGGCTGGGGCCGCGCCCCATCGGACGCGGAGACGGCAAGGCGCGTTCGCAAGAGATTCCCTCACCTTCTCACGGATAGAACTCCATCCGTCAATGGGGGAATGGGAATGCAGATGTGGATGTGGATGTCGGTGCGTTGGCCGACACGCGGTAGCGTGCCCTTCTCCTCCAGAATCCTCTCGTCCCTTGTTCCCTGCTCGCCCTTGGTTGCGTTTTTCCCAGGTTCCAGGTTCCATGGTCGCCCGGAACCAACGATTTGCTGTCCTTTCTCATCGTTGCGCGCGCTAGAACTAGGCAGAGTAACTGTGTACTGTCTACTGTACTGTTCACGATTTAGTGTGATCCAGCGGCGTGATAGGAGTTGGGCACAAATTGGTCAACACGCCATCACCAAGTTCTCCATCGTTAGTCTAGTGGGAACCCCCAAACATGACTGTACCAGTAGTTCTCTCGTCCTGTGTGCTTCGTCGTCGTCGGCGTCTAGCCCGGCCAGCACGACCTCCGCCAATCAATCCACCCTGAAGTCAAGTAAAGGTAGTGATAACAATAATTCTTATTCGTACATGGGTATTAGTCCCAATCCTCCATGTATCTCGTCACAAATGTCCCATAGTGTGTCTTGACAAAACGCCTCATCCAGGTTCGTTCCCAGAGCACTGCCAGGCCCGTGAGGGCTTCCTGTCCTCGCCCCCAATATCCGCCTCAGCCCGCTCTGATCCATCTAGGCCCTGTAGATAATACAACAAGCAAAGTCTATACCAAGAGATGGAAAAACAAACCCCACTCCACTCCGACCGATTTGCGTCCCACGCGGTCAGAGTACGACGCAAAGTCAACGCCTTGTCTGTAAAACATTACCCGCACGCCCATTCCGCTGCCGCCAGATGCCCTTTTCCGTCCGCTCCCGATCCTCCAACCCGATCGTGTTTCAATGTCCCTAGCCGTTCCCCGGTAACCTCCGCCCTGCCGTCGTGATCGGTGTGCTGTATACATGTGTCCCTAGTAAAGTGCCAAGAGAGCCCAGCTAGAACCATTCAAGGAAATCGTGAACCCGGAGATGGGGGTACCATACATGACATCCGCCAAGGGCTCTTTGCTTTTCTTGCCACCATATCGACGGGAGACCCAGCGATAGGAGAAACAAAAAACAATGAGCAGAAAAGACGGGGAAAACAAAACAAAAACAAGATGCAATAAGCAAAAAACAAAGTAGTCACCATTTCAAACTCCATCTCATCCCTGTTGCCTGCCATCCGGTCCGGCCGCTAAGCGCAACAAGGGGGAGGAACATTTTTGCGTAAACATAAAATAAAAAAATAAAAAGAAAAAGAAAAAAGGAGTCACGAGGCTGTTAGCTAGAAGCGCAGTGGCGCATTTTCAGCCGCTGTCTCCCCGCCCGCCCTCGCAGCCCTAGTGTCCAGGAATTAAACAGCTTCGCTTCGAGGGGTCTCCGTGGCGCTCGAGGGGTTGAATGAGACACGCATGCGGCGGGTCGTCCTGGTTTTCGGGGCCTCCAGATCGAGGGTTACTGGCGTCCTGTGGCTTCAGCGGGATCCGCCACTACCGCTCGCCTCCTCGGGGGATTCGTAGAGATCCAGACAATCTTCGAGCACTGCGGCGATCGGGTTAGTTGCGCGGGGGTCTGGGGCCTGATGCTATCACACATACCAGTAGTAATTTGCTCCTCCCACACCCCATATTGGTAGTCAATCAGTCCATGGCGCTCGATCCCATCGCACAATCGTATCAGCTCGTCTCCCATCTTCTTGACCATAGACTTAGACATGACAGTCTGGGCCCTCAAGGGTTGTTGTGACGATATCATAAGCTCAATCTGTCGGTGGCCCAGGGCTAACCATGCGTGGTTGAAGTCGTTCCAGAGCTTGATTCTGTCAGCGTGAAGGCTGGTGTCGTCGAGGTTCAGGCCTGCGCGAGTAATGTGAGCCATGTCGTTGCTTTTTGTCCGGTCTCTCGGCTCAAAGAAGCAAAAAATACATACCAAGGTCAGCCACCTGAGTCAATAGCCAGCTGGAGACACTCAACAATGTCTCAGATGCGCTCTCAAGAGACCCGTTGACAATCTCCTGAAAGATGGTCCCCAGTTGCCGCTGGTAGTTGACCCACTTCTCCTCCAGGGCGCCTTCGGCATACTCGTGGTCGTCATTCATGGAGACATCGGCGCTCGCTGGTGTCTGTTGCATCGCGCTCACGCTCGACATGTTGCCAGCGTAACTCATGGGAGTGTTTTGTTGGTAAACGTTGGCGGATGCGCCGGAGCCCTGAGCCGGTTGTTGTAGACCCGGCCCGCCGGTGCTCCCTGCCTCGGATCCAAAGTAGGTCGAAGCAACATCCGGGGTCATCATCTGCATAGCGGCGGATTGCCGCGTCCCGAATTGTTGCGCATCGTAGACAGGTGTTTGCGTGCTCGGTTGAGCCACGTTGTACATCATGGTCGCAGCATTGCCGTAGCCACCGAAAGCCTGAGTTGGTTGGCGGGAGTCTGCGCCGTACTCGGACCCGTAGGCCATAGCTGCTGCCGGCATGTTTGCTGTTGAGAAAGATTGCGTCGGTTCTTGGTAGTATGCGCCGTAGTTACCCGCACCTCCCATTCCTCGCGCCGGTGACGAGGAAGTGTTAATAGGAGCCGGGCGATATCTGTCGTTAGAGCCTCCAGCTACCGAACGGCGTTGCTGAGAAGGGTCGTGAATTGCGAATCTTTGGTTGGAAGTTTGATGAACCGGCGGTTCATTCTGCCTCCTCAGTCGGTTCGGGTCATCCATGCCACGGAGACCTTGGTTGCCACACGACTCTATCGTCGAGCCCAGCCGATGGGTGGCCGGCAACGAAGCGGAGTGTACAGCGGCCAGTTTGGATCACCTGGGGGGTCGTACAATAGTAGGAGGTTTGTCGTCGAGGAGACTGAAGGAGCGTCCGGCCCGGAGAATGGTTCACACAGGCGATAGAGAAGAGCGCGAGCAGTCCGGCGATGGGATGCTGGAGGGGCTATCGCGGGGTTGTGTGAATCAAGCCCACCTTGGCTGGAGGCGCGATGATCGAAGATCGAAGACCAAACAAGGTAGGGAAGGTGTGACTAGGCCAGACGTGATTCGAGTTGAAGGGTAGTAACGGAGGCTTCTGCAAGCAGGGTGCCTCCGGTTTATTATTCGCAGCAAGGCCCAATGCTTTTTATGGTCAGGCAGGGAAGCTGATGGCTCAGCCGGGACCTGGGTCGCAAGGGAGTTATCAAGTCAAATCCAATGACAAGGTCAGCCGAGCTAGAGGCTAGCGCCATTCATGCCCGGAGGGACAGAAGTCGATGAGATGACGAAGAGCGAGGCGTTGGGACCCGCAGGTAGCTTGGTCTGGGGCTCTGGGGCCCAGGGCTGTAAACAAGCCGGTAAGGCGAGTGGGACTTGCGGATGAGTTGTCAAAACGGTCGTCTCGCGCTGTACTAGGTGTATCCTGGACGGGCCCATGCAAAAAGACCTCGGGCATGACAAGCTCGAGCCCACCACGATCTGCTGGGGCTAAGAAACCAACCGCACCAAAGTCTCAACGAGCGACCAGAGCGCTCGAATGAGAAATCACTAGGCCGGCGGCAAGGCGCTGGAGTCCGCCGAGTTGAGCGATGACGGTTTTCTAGCTTGGTCGAGAATATTTAAGTGAAGTGAGGGCAGCTAGTAACACAGCGGCGAGGGGTGTCGAGTGTGGGGACGACGGAGAAAGATTGGGATCGCAGAGATGACGAAATCCAAAGGGACGGGAGGATTGTCTTGGGATCTTATAGCATAAGTCGGAAGGAAATCGAGCTGCTGGCCCAGTACCGACACGCCCGGGTCCGCGGAGAATGGCAGGGGCAAGAGGATGAGTGATTTGAAGTGGACTGGGGAATAAGGAAGGGGATGGGACCAAGTGAGGAGAGAGGAGGGGGGGTGTGTATGAGACGAGAGCGAAGGATAAAGTAAGGCGAAGAGAATGGGATCAGAATCTCATGCTAGACATGGCTCGAAGACGGCGTAAAGAGATGATCCAGGGCAGCTGAAGTACGGTGCCAGGCCATAGCCCTTGACAACTAGTTGGGGGTGTGTTAAGATAGACCAGAATGGCGGCAATTATTAGGCTGGCTGTGTGAGGGATGACTTATTAGAGAACATAGAGGGGCGAGGATCGATGCGGGTAAGGTGAGGCCAACGGATTGAGGCGGCTTGTGTGGCTCATGGGCCGTCGCGGCAGAAGGGCTCAACACAACGGCGCTCGAGATTGTAGCGGATCGGCGAAACTTCCACCATCCACCTCGCGACGACACCCCTGGCCCAGCGTCGTGTAAGAAGCGCCAGCGAAAAAGATGAAGGGGATGGGCAGCCTTCGACGTGGCTTGCCATGGGGTAGAGCTAAGGGGGCGCGGCGACAAGACAGTTAATGCGCGGGCCACCACCACGGGCGCGCCGTGGGAGCAAAGGCTCACAGGCCGTGGGAGCCGTGGGCCTATCCATGGATTCTCGGGTCCGGAGCACCTGCGTTCTGATGGTTTCTTCTTGGCCGAGGGCTCCGTTTCCTGTCTGGCCGCGTCGGTGGAGGCTGGGATGCGGACCAATTTCATCACGGGCCCGACCTGCTGCGAGAAGTGGTGCTGGAAGCTGCTAGAGCTGCTGGTGCCGTGCAGAAGATCCCTGGACGAGAGGCCCTGGAGGAACGGGGTCGTCGTGCTGCATGTGTTTCTGCTGCTGCTGCTGCTGCTGCTACTGCTGCTGCTCGCTGTCGCTGTCGCTGTCGCTGTCGCTGCTACCACCGTCCTGTACTGTAGGTGTACTGCGTAGCACCTGGAGGAATGAACGGGGCTCTGATGGAGATCCTTAGGCCAGTCAGTGGTGGATGGAGGGTCGCAAAGTCTAAACGCGTCGTCGAGTGGGCTATTACCAACTTGAGACAAGTCCCGCGATCCTGATTATTACTGGTACGTTTCTGCCCAGGCACACACCACGGGCCAAGTCGAAGTCAGGTCAGGATGCCAGGGACGGACACATAAAAACCTTGGAGAGACTGGCATCGTATCCCCAATTGCACGCCGCATGCCGCCAGTGGACAGGTGGTGGCTCTATCACCCCGACGGCGTTTTCGGCAGCTCCAATGCCCATCCAGAGACCCGAAACACTATTAGGTGTAGGGAGATAAAAAGAAAGAATAAAAAGAGACGCGATGCTGTGCCGCACACAAGCATGCCGATGATTAGACGTTGTCCTGGCAGTCCTAGGTTTGCCCTGGGTCGGCTGAAGATCAGACAGTCGGCCGGGATGCCGACGAATAGACCCGAGGGGGCGAATCCCGAAAACCACACGTAGCCAAACACATGTAAGCCATTTGTGGTGAATCTATCAGGCTCGACCCCAATGTCCGGGACAGCAGTTCCCAGCCAATCGATGTGCTGTGCTAGCGGTCCTGTCTCAGCAAAGGCGAGGCTGAACGGCCGATCGCAAGCTAGGAGACAGCCAGCAGCTGAGATGGGGGGAAAAGCAAGACAGTCATGCTGGATCTAAGACACCGGGGGTGTTTGGCAGACACTATCCTTAGGGTGCAAGGGGGGCTCACCATCCCGTGAAGAAACGAAAACTACTCTCTCTCCTCCCCCTCAACCAGGGTGACAAGATGGGGCACAGGCGTGACGAGGAATTTTTGCGAACAAAAGGAAATCTCCCCTACAAAGATAGGGAAAAAGTAAGTACAAAACTCCCAGATTGGGGCATGGCCTAGCCCGCTCCAGGATCCAGAGTCTCGAGGAACGTTGCCCAATCGATGAGAGAGGGCGACAAAGAATGCTATCCATCATGACCCATGTCACGCGTAGTAGGCCGCGTCCCGTACCTGGACGGAGCACGGGACAGTAGGCAGGGCCCCTCGTACTTGGTGCATCCGTTTGCCGGCCCGTGTGGTTCCTTCGGGGAGTGCGACTCCGGGACGAGCGTCTGAGTCCGAACGTGAGCCTTCGGGTTGACAGCAGACAGACGGACGGACAAGCTGGGGCTTGTGATAATGGGGCTTGGGCGACTGGGGCTGGTGAGGTGGTGAGCACTGAGCAGGATGAGCTGGTACCGGTACGTTCGGGTTGGTTGGGCGTGTGCTAGCGCGCCTGCGGATAGAGGCCAATGACTGCTGACGGAGCTTCCAGGCGCAACGATGAGGAGAGGAGACGGATGGCCCATACTACGTAGTAGAGCTATTAGATGGTGGAACGCTGGGCCCTTGAACCATGTCTCGTCGTGGAGGGAGGGAAAAAAGAAGGTGCCAGGGGCAGGTGTTGGAGCCATGGATGTCGTCAGGCGGAAATTTTTAGCAGCCAGGGCTAGTGCACCAATGGGACTTGATCGTGGGGCTGGGCTGGTGGGGAAGCTGCCCGAGGGCGGGGCCGAATCCGCCTCAGACGCTGGGTCGGCCGGCGGACAGAAATATCCCGACAGATGAGTTGGCCACGGGCGACGGAGGCCAGTGTCTGGTGGACACCTGGTGGCCAACTGCCAGCCAGCTGCCAACTGTTACCTCAGCCACTGCCAATGCCACTGCCACTCCCCAAGGTGCCACTGCCCAGCTGCCGACGTCGTGGCCACCTGTCACAGTCTCTGTGAGAGACCCCCACACCGCTGTTACCATCCGCAACCACAACCTATTTTTGACTTTGAACAAAACACCACCCGCCAGCGAAAAGAAAGAAACATGGTGCATGATGCTCACCAAACTCGCCACTAACTCTCATCTCCCTCCTTCGCTGTCATTTCGCCAAGTGGGAGCTTGTTAATTCCTTCTGCAAGATTCTATTCCTCACTGGCCACCTTCCGCGTGCACGGCAGCACCTACGGTCCCGACCAGCACGCTACCAGCACCCCTCCCTTCCCCGAAAGGATGGCTGGTGCACGTATGAAATTGTCCACTTCGAACACCGAGATCTCCCATCGACGTCTCCACACACACTTGCTCTTGGCCCAGTACCGGTACCTGAGCCGCAGGGTTTACTGCTGAAGCTCGCTAGCTGACGCGCATATCGGATCATGTTTCGCGCGTCTAGCACTGCAACAGGCAACGCGCATCAGCTCTGCATGAGAAGCCGTCCCGGACTCGAGGGCTGGCGGGCGGCGTTAGTGGAGAGTCTCGACGGCTCCACGTCCAAAGGGCTAAGTGATGAGTGTGAGCCCAATCATGGTCCTGCCCACAGCCAGAGCCATTGGCCAACTGGAGTCCATCGCGCCATGGTTCCAATCTGCTTCGACGAGGCGCGCACTTCACCTTGCGCCTGGCCTTGCTTGCACTGGCCTGGCAGCCCTCCTGGCGTGCACCACCAACAAGGGTGCTAATGTGCGCCGATGATGTGCAGACGCTGGCACGCTGCTGCCCGCTGGTCCTCACCAGTGGCAATCCAGTATTCAATCCCCCATCGATGTCGCCGCGCCCCCGCGGTAATGCATCGCTACTGCAGCGGCCTGCAAGGCGCCGCATCGGACTGGCCCTGGATGTTAGATCAATGGCCGATCTCAGCCTCATCGCTGAGAACCTGCTCGCAATCGGCTATCTCTTACGGAGTACCGTCCAGATGTATCGAGTACAACGTGCCGCAACATGGTACTGTGTGTCTGCTCTTCTGGTGCAGGGCTGCCATCCACTCGTGGTTGCGTCCGCCCCAAACGCCGACCTCAAACCGCCGTCCGCCCTCATCCACCTCCACCTCGGGAAGTACCTGTATCGGGTCTGGCCTAGGCCCGAGCTGGCCTGGATCGAGCTGCGCCAACGGCCTCAAACCTCAGTCCTCTTGCCATCTAGGTGATGCCACTTCGTCGCCAGCCGGCCCCTGCTCCGTTCTTCGATGCCGTCATCGTAATCGTTAGCCGCTCTTCTTTTCGTCGCTTTTCGGAGGATTCCCATCCATCGACCCGCCAACACACTTGATGCTGCTGAAACGACGAGTACAGACCAACCGGATCGCTCCGTCTCAGCGGGCTGAAACACCTAACCCACCTCTGGCCTTCTAGAAGCCTTCTCGATCTTACACCCTCTTTTTCCGACTTGTGCCACTGCCACTGTCACTGCCGACTCCTCGCCGCAGTTTAAGCTTCTTAACCGAGCATTTGAATCATACTTTGCCGCTTCACCATTTCTCCAACGTCGCAGCGAATTGTTTGGAACCCAAAACGGGAGCTTCTACTTACTATTTCGAAAACGGCTAGACTTTTGAAAGCTCGGATATCCATGGACCCTTGAACTTGCTCGAGACGTTTCCGAAAACCGTTGCGTCCGAACTAACTTTGTAATCCCTGCGGGGATGTGTGTAGACCTCCAACGGTCGGCCAGCCTCCATGAAATTGAAACGCCGTTGACGAGTTAATTACATACACGGCCTACTCTCTTCACGCGGGCGCAGTGGCGCACAGCATTTCTCTAGCCGCCCAACCCGCTCCCGCATGCAGTCGCGGCTTAATTGCCGCTCATCCTGGGCAGCCCTGATGCCACTCTGAATGCGGATGGGATGGAATTAGGATGGGATGAGCCGGGGGGGACCGCCTCGCGGCTAGCACAGCCCACCTCACCACCTGGTCTGCGAGATTTTCCCTCTAGATGTGGTTTGCCTTCACATGATACCAGCAGCACAACACCATCACCCACAAAACCCTCCCCTACCACCAACCGGCCCAAACCCAAAACTGGCCAGGTGATTTGGAATACCGTCAAAGGCCTGCACGGGACGAGCATCCGGTGTAAATGCCACGTTTTGCTGCAGGGGCACGGGTGTCTGCCCAGTTCATGAACTCATACACGGGGACGAGGACGGGGTGTGGTCCGATTCACAGCACTGGGTCATCAACTCCGCGGGTGGCTTAGTATTGTCGTAAAAGTACGAATGCAGGGACTTTGAGGTTGGTCCGTGTTTTGTTCCGGGCTGGCCGGCTCAGGCCTCAGGGAAGCATTGTTACATCGATGTGGCCAAGTCCTCTGTCATGACAAACTACCCTATACCTCAAACCGTTGGCGATGGAGGATGCAAAAGATCAAACCAAGGTCTCCCATGCATGTCATGGGGTATTCTCCAGATTCAACAGTCCGACCGCACAGTAATGGACGTATGGCACGTGGCAAGAATCCCGATGGCGTAGGACGGTTGACCCTGCTCGCAATATTTTGTGTTGGATGATATGTCGTGCATGGGTTATAACGAATGGCTTTACGCCGAGAGCCATTACGCCGAGAGCCATTACGCCGAGCGCCTTGACGCCCGCACGACGCACGAACATCCGTTTGTCACATGGTAGGCGGCCATGGCGTTTACATGATAAGTCACACTCACACCCAAGAGATGTGACTTGTTGGTGATTGCACGTTAGTATCGGGCCCGGACGCCAATCCTGGGATTCTAAAACTACATTGACGATTGTTTGTACAGTAGAGTACAGGTCGCGTACGGCATCGCTTGGCCTGTTCGCCATCCATCTCACGAGCCCCCACACCACCGACGACTCGTCCCACGGTTCCGCGTCGTCAGCTTTCTGACGGTTCCTGCTTATCGCTTGACCCAGGCTGGCATCTTGCGCGCCTTGACATGGCCGTGCTTCTTCCTCTCCACAGTTCTCGGGTCTCTCGTGATGCAACCAGCTGGAGTCGGGGAGATTAGTTTTCGGGTTCAAAGACTCGTCATGGCAAAGGCCGGAACACTTACCCTTCCGAAGGGCCGTTTTTAGCGCTGGCTCGTGGATGATCAAAGCTTTGGCAACCGCAAGAGTGAGGGCTTCGGCTTGACCGGTCACTCCGCCGCCTTCCACGAGTGCCCAGACGTTGTACTTGTCTAATCTCTCCGTGGCCTGCAAGGCCCATATGGCACTCTCGCGATCATGGACGCGGCCGAATGCTTGGCTCAGCGTCTTGCCGTTAATGAGCACCTCGCCATTTCCCTCCACAACCCAGGCACGGGCAGTCGACTCCTTTCTCTTGCCGACCCCGACAGCACGGCCGTGCTTGTCGACAACACCGACGCTCGGTACGTTGCGGAACGGGTTGATATCTCGCTTGAAATCGTCCAGGGCGACCTTGACATCCTGGGGGAATAGCGATGGCTCAATGAGGTTGAGACGCTTTGCCACGCGCATAACTTTGGCAAAGTGCGAGGCCTTGACTGGTTCACCCAGCTTCGATCGCATCTCGTCAAGCTTGACCCATGGTGTCTGAGGCGTCTCGCTGGCTGGAAGTGTTGGGAGGTGGTGGTATTTCGTCAAAAGGCGGGAAATGCGAATATAGAGGTCGTTGAACTGCGGCTCTCGGGAGAAGTATGAGGGTGTCACTGGAACAGCTCGCGCATGCTCGACACCTTGAAAAGGGACCCCGATGGGCGCAGACTCAGGGATTCCAGGTTGCTTTGGCGTAGACGATTCGGTGGTGAGACTTCGAAGGCCGAATTGGAAGCTGGATCGGACCAAGCCAGGCTGGCGCCATTGGGCTCGGGCGAGTTGGCTTGGGCATCGAAATTGCCGCAAGCCGTTTGCGAGTGTGGCCATGATAGCGGAATTCCCAGGTGGCCCCGTCGAATTCGCGGTTCGGGCTCTCAATTATCAACGTCTGGTCAGGAAAACTGCGTCGGAATTCGAGATGCAAAGCTGGGGCGGCAAGCTCCGCAAAGGTCACGTGGAGATAACACGAGAGCCGATGCGCAGACAGACTCGAGTTCGAGTCTGGCGTGATTGGGCAGAATTAAAACTGCCCTCACCGCCTTCAGTTGCCGCCTCACCAGCCACCGCGTTGCCCGCCCGTTGCTCAGGCAGCTAGCGCGGGGCAATTTGGCCCACCACCGTAAGAAAAATTTCAGACGTGACACCTTCCCCTCCTTCACTTCTTCCCTTCATCTTCTTACAACTTGTTCTCGCTGCCAGCCCAGCAAACGTCCAAGATGCCTTTCGGAACGCTCTACACCCGCGAGGTATATCAGCTCGTCTCCTGACGCCTGCCTCGCCGTTACTGACCGGTTTCTTGTGTTCAGGGCAACGCCCGCTCCACCGCCATCAAGGCCGTCGCGAAGGCCAACGACCTCGAGCTCAACATCGTTGAGGCCGAGGTTGGCAACGCTTCCGCCGAGCACCTCACTGCCAACGGCCTTGGCAAGATCCCCGCCTTTGTTGGCGAGGATGGTTTCACTCTGTCCGAGTGCATCGCCATTGCCGTCTACCGTACGTGAAGCCCCAACATCGCACCATTTTCTTTTGTCTCGCCAACAGCCCCCCCTTGCGAATGATGACCTAGCATTTTTTATACAGTTATCCCTGTCTGAATGTATTTTTTTCAAAATAATTTGTGGATACCGTCTAACTTCTGACCTTGCAACCCATCGCTTCTGCATTATGTTGCCATTCTTGGTCGTGGGGCTTTTTTGCTAACCCCGCCACAGTCACCTCCCAGAACGAGAAGACCACCCTCCTCGGCAAGACCAAGCAGGAGTAAGTTTACCCCGCTCACAGACCCTAATGTATTTCAGATAGCTAACATGAACAATTAGCTATGCCTCCATCCTGAAGTGGCTCTCTTACTTCAACACTGAGGTCCTCCCCCGCCTGGGCGACTGGTTCGGCCCCCTTCTGGGCCGTGCCCCCTACAACAAGAGAAACGTCGAGGACGCCTCTAAGGCTACCCTCAAGGCCTTCTCCGTTGTTGAGGAGCACCTCGCCAGCAACACCTACCTGGTTGGTGAGCGTATCACCCTGGCTGATCTCTTCGCCGCCGGTATTGCCCAGCGTGGTTTCCAGTACTTCTTCGACAAGACTTACCGTGAGGCGAACCCCAACGTCACTCGCTGGTTTGACACTGTCCGCAACCAGCCCATCTTCTCCGCCGTTGCTGAGAAGCTCGAGTTCCTCGAGACCCCCGCTCTCACCAACGTTGCCCCCAAGAAGCCTGAGCAGCCCAAGAAGGAGGCCGCGCCCAAGAAGGAGGCCGCTCCCAAGGCTGCCCCTGCCGATGATGGTGAGGAGCCCGCTGCCCCCAAGGCCAAGCACCCCCTTGCTGCCCTCGGCAACGCCTCCCTTCCCCTTGACGAGTGGAAGCGACAGTACTCCAACATCAAGGACCACAACGAGGCCATGGCTTGGTTCTGGAAGAACGTCAACTTCGAGGAGTACTCCCTCTGGAAGGTTGACTACAAGTACAACGATGAGCTCACCCTCACCTTCATGTCCAACAACCTGATTGGCGGCTTCAACAACCGTCTTGAGGGCTCCCGCAAGTACATCTTCGGTTGCGCTGCCGTCTATGGCGAGAACAACGCCTCCATCATCCAGGGTGCCTTCGTCATCCGTGGCCAGGAGTACGTGCCCGCCTTCGATGTTGCTCCCGACTACGAGAGCTACACCTTCACCAAGCTGGATGCCAGCAAGCCCGAGGACCGCCAGTTCGTTGAGGACGCGTGGGGCTGGGAGAAGGGCACCACCGTCGATGGCAAGGACTGGCCCCTTGCTGACGGCAAGGTCTTCAAGTAAATGCTTAATGACTTTGAGTAAGGGTAGGGGAATGATGATAATGGCTTATGGTTAGAAACGATTTGGGAGGCAAAACGGAACGTGATGGCGGTATGCCTCGCCTTATGAAGGCCCAAGAGGGCCCGGCAGCTTGTACGTAATGCCCGGGAAATGTCACTTTGACGAAACAAAACGGACAATAGATGCAGAATGTTGCTGCAAAACGTACAATCAACAAAACTTTGTGTCAACTCTATAGTGCATGTTCTGTTTCGATTTCCTTTGCGATGAAGTTCTATGCATAATGAGGTGATGAAGCCTCGGGGTATCTCAAAAAGGTGAACGAAGTGGCTCAAAACATGAGCTGCCGGGTTAGTGACTCTAACCATGTCACTTCCCATCCTTCTCCCGGACGCACTGTTCCCAAGGAAGGCATTTTTACCCTGACGGTGGCAAGACGTATCTGGGGTCGAGTTTAAAGGAAGCTAGTCGCATGAAGCGACTGACGTCGGATTGGTAGGAGAGTGAGTTGAGGTAGTCATGAACCTGGGGCAAGACGTTCTGGGATTCGGTAGCGAGGCCAGAGAACTCGGGTATCTGGAGCAGGTTGAAGGGCTCGCTGCGTGCCTTTTCCAGCGAGTCGTCGACCAGGACGGTGTTTGTCTGATCCCAGCGGCCACCTTCGTGGGCAGCCGGGTGAGAGGACATAACGCGGGGATTGGACCAGATACTGGTGAGGCGCTTGTAGACCTGGACCTTGGAGTCGTAGTCGGCCGAGGAGAGGCCAAACTGGTCGCGGGCCCAGACCAGGAGGCAGCGTTCGCGCTGTTCGGGGGTGAGCAGCTGCTCGACCATCTTGGAGACGTTTTCGGGGCGCGCCGAGGACCAGATGGCGACGTAGAAGGTTTCGAGACAGTATGACATGAAGGCGCGGGCGTGTGGTCGCTCGACGAAGTGGAAGGGGCGACGTTTGTTCGGGCGATAGAGGAGGGTGCCGTTGAGGTCCATGACGATCAGGATTCGGCGTGGCTGCTGGAGAACTTGCGGGTTGAGGAGCGCCTGGGCGATGTACTGCGGCGTGGGATCGGGGACACCGCCGGAGGAAGCACTGGGGATCTGGGTGACGGTGAACTGGTCTCGGTTGCCGGCTTTGCTGGCGGCTGCCATGAGAGCGGGCTGCGTAGGAGGTCTGGGGGAGTTGGTAAGTTGGTGATGCTTGTAGCAGCGGAAAGACTGGGAGACATACCGGGGCGGCAGGTGATTTGCGACATGGGGAGGAGCAGGATGTTGCGCCAGAGTGAGGTCTAGGACCTCGACTTGCGCAGCCTGCGCCTTCGTGTATGAGCGTTTCTGCCGCTGGCGGGGTGTTTGATATTTGGTCATTGTAGAGGAGGCGTGCAGCACGGGGACATGATGCGGCGGGGATGGTCTTGGCGGTTGCGACGGCCGCGGCGGAGGAGTAGTTGAAGGAGGGAGATGGAAGACACTGGAGAGAGACGGAGACGCCGTGGAAGGGAACGAATGACTCGGCGTGGTCAAGAAGAATGTTTGCATCAACCCGCGGATGTAGTGGTTGAAGGAGCGGCTGGTTCTGACCAGAGGCTGTTGATGCGGCATGGGAGCATGTCCAAGACGAAAGGCCACTGACGCGCCGGCCGGGTTTTCATCAACCGCAAAGTCAATTGGTCTGACCGTCTGACTGTTTACGAAGCGTATTTCGTGCCATCTTATTTTTTTATTTGAGCACAGGCAGCCCCGAACGGTTGTGAGAATCCGGTTCTAACCGAGCCGATTTCCATCGCTAGCTCTAGGGTAGGTGAGGACGTGTTGGTATGGAACAGAAACAGCAGAGCAGCTTAGACGATGGGTGCTGGAAACAGCACACTAAGCCTTCTAGTGGTCGTGTTTTATTCTATCTTATTTTTACAAAAAAAAAAAAAAAAAAAAAAAAAAACCCTTGAATGAAATAAAACCTCAGGCTATCTGTGTACTTCATTTAGATGGCTGGAGCCGGTGCTATGTGTCGAGGTTATGAATGACGAAGAATTTCGAAAGAGTGTAAGGTGACCATAAAAAAATTGACATGTAAGTTCTTCCCATTTCAAATACACGTAGCTTTCAGAGTGATTACACGATTTGACATCCCGAACCCTCATAAACCCCCCACTGCTGTTTGAGTGGGCGGTTGAACTGAAATGCATAAAGTATCCCCCTTGGCTTCACCCAGCATTTGTGATGACACCGGTGGTTCGGTCAGGGATGGTGCATTTACCCCTCTCACCTTCGTCATCGGTTTGACTCATTGGGTTTGACATGATTCAAGAGGGCATTAATCACAGATATTCCACTGGTAAAGTACGTCACGGCCGTATGGCTGAGCTCATTGTGGATTTCGTCCTGCGGAGTGTCTGGTCCGCCGCGGACCCTGTTGTCATCGTTCCGTTCGGAGGAATGATGATATATTGATAGCCGTGATAGTCAGAATAAATGCAAAGATGACAATACTAGCGCCATTGGTGGCCAATGGTGTAATGGCCGAGTGTAGGGGATTAGGTGGTGCAGATAGTGGCCTTTGTGAGGTCTGAGGGGCTCTGATTGGAATGGGAAGACTCCTTTCTGGACTGGTCACCATGTTCCGACAGTTCGTTCTAAGATCATGGAAATATACCAAGTCATTAGTAGAAGCCTCATGTTCTTGCTCTGTAGAAGGGCACCGACAAGAAAGATGCGACGGTGACCTCGGCCTCTGCGAACAGTATTCCTGGAGCCCATGTTTTGTTTTCGTGCCTTTCTCTTACCTGGTTTTGCTTCTCCATCTCAACTTTACCTCTGACGCCAAAACCAGCGATCACCGTTATGGCAAGTGCTGAGATCTGAACGCTGGGTGGCTGAAACATGAGAAAACTCATATGGTGGTCATGGATGACGAAACGATGCCACAACCACTGTGAGCCTGGTCACTGAGTAGCTGGCGCGTTTGACCTGCAGTCAGCATCATTAAGTTAACCGCTCTAGGAAAAAAGGATAGAAATGGGAAAGATAATGACGAAGACGGCAACGACAATACCAATGACGATGCTGATGACGATGCTAATGACGATAGTCACTGGCCTTAGACCAGCTCCCATCCTCCTTGTTGCCCGTGCCGCTGGCCCCGCCATTGCCACAATCGCCACGATCATCTCTATTTTATCTCTATTTCTACCATTGCCTCCCATATCGTCACGACCTGGTACTCGTCTCTACCGTGGCCAGGCAGAGCACCTCCGAGCCGCCACCAGCGTCAGCCCGCATCGCCGCTCCGACCCACGCTCTCCCTGCGGCCCCATCTTTTGGCCCGGTCGATCCCCGAGCCTAATCACACTCTGGGGGGAGGAAGCTGTGTCTGGAAGGAAGGTGTGCTTGTCTGATTGTTTAAAGAAGAGAGCCGACAGACTGAGAAGGAGACCAAGTGATGCAGTATTGAACAACCAGAAGAAGCTTGATGACTCCTGGGGTCCTCGACATAGCCTAGCTTATCCATGTATAATGTTTTGCTCTTAGTTGAAATTTTAGGGCAAACTCCCTCTGAGTCCCTTATTTCTTAGGTGTTGATAATACAGGCCTAAGATCGCCATGAACCCTGGAGATCTAGCGTCTGGAAGAGCCCGTTAGATTTTCGCTGGCCCTGAGGGTATTGTCATGCAGAAATGATTCAGCTGTCGTCGAGCTTGTCTCCATTGCGATGGTGTGATAGCTGTTGCATTGCTTCTAGATGATACTATCAGTGCTGTCATCACACGTCAGACCACGGGCTCGACAGGTCCCAGGGGAGAAATGGGACCAAAACAAGGCTAAGTAGCATGCGCTCCCTGTGTAAAAGCAAGCGCTGGAGGCTAAGTCACCTTGCAGTCGATGAGCGACGATCCTCGAATTTCAAAGCGTCTAAGGCTCCTAGGGTCGTAGAGTAGTGCGGCGTGGCGGCGGATGAGGCTCTCTCGTTGCATCCCGCTCCTCCTTTACAGAGTAGGGTGTCTCGCATGCGAGGAGGGTAGCATTGGCATTGTGTGTAGCGTATCATTGACTTAACGAGAATGACGAATGCTTCCGGCGAGATTGTTAAGTCTGACCGTCACCGTCTTCGTCACACGAAAAGAGGCAAACGGTAACGCTGGGGCGTGAGACAGGGATGATGACGGGGTACGAATAGTTGCATCACCATACCAATATACTCCGTAGAGTGTCCACAGTTTTCGACGGGCGCCTGCCTACTTCCGTACTTGCCTAGTTACGTTTAGCGAGTGACATCAACCCGTGTGGCGGATTCTGTGGCGGGGGCCGGTGACCTCACTGGCGCCGTGCCGCAGGTGCGTTATAGTGCATTATGCCGTCATGGTCCACCCACCAGAACGGTGAAGCTCACCGTCCCAGCGCCACTGAAGACTGGAGGATTCCTGCGTTGGGACGTTGGACGTAATGATGCCTGTGTGCTCCGTTTTTCACGAGTCAATAGGCATTTTACGTATCGTACGTACCGTATTTGTCCTGTACAATTGCTGGCTAACGTAGGTACTACACTACGTATCTGGTGGCGTCGGGGCAATGACGGTTGGCCAGGGCGTCGACGTCACAGCTGTCTCCGGATTGTGCACCGCGGCAACTCTCGAATAGACGCCAAGCGATTGAATAATGCTTGAAATCAAGACAGGTAGCTGGATCAAGGCTTAAACGCTGGATGGTCCCAGCGGCTGAAATGGCCAACGGGCGCTCCCTCGGCAAGGAGAATATACATGCAGAAACGGCTCGGCAGCATGACAATCCCGGGACTCGGACAATGTCATGATAGCCCGGCCCAGCCCTGATCTTCCTCGGACCCTTTTCAAACCTTCTACAGACCTTTGCCAACCTTTCCAGGTTCTCTCTGTGTCGCCAACCGCTAGTCCCCTGGACCCTGGGGAATGCCTAACGCCTAGTGTTGCTCGCCCTTCAGTACGGCCCAGTCATTCCCGAGATGGCTTCTCCACTGGGGCCGTCGATGTCTGCGAGGGCCGGATGCCCTTAAGATCTGGGGGATTGACGACCCACCGGGAACTATCCTCTGGGATGACGGCCAGCCGGTCATTGCCCGGTCTGCGAGCCCGTCAATCCTGCTTTTTTGCAGCTCTAGTCGTTTAGACGTTCCGTCCGGCCAACAAGGGCCGCGCCAACCCCAGAAGCTTGCGCCCCGGCCATGGTAGCTGCAGCGGCGATCTTTTCCGCAAACTTGGCCGCCATGTCTGGGATCGTTGCTTGGCCGGTTTGTCGTAATGGTGTCGCGCTTCTGTTCATCTCGCGGCCCATCCTAGAACGGGCTCCCGAACCGATTGCTTGTCCATCCGCGTGACCCGCCAAGCAGCTCGAGGCTCCGCGACACACCTGACATCGACAGTAGTGTAAGCGAGAATTGTTGGTCCCCTGTTGATATCTGGTTGCCGTGGACCCTCAATTCCAACCTGCAGGGTCGGCAGATATTAGTCCTCACGGTGCAGATGCAACACTGCGTTGTTCATGGTTCGATGATAGTCCGACTGCATGCCTCGTACTTGAATTCCCTTTTCTTGTTCATGTTATGGATTGTTTACCAATAAAGAACAAAGATGGACGCCATGGAATAGGATGTGAACTGAGTACCAGCCGGGATCGGCAGGGTCTTTCCTCGTTTGTTGTGTTCTCCCTTGCCCAACCTGAGCCTTGTCTCGCGGTCGTTACTGACCCGCTAGTGCATCATGTGGCGTTTACACTGCAATAAGGTAACACATACGTAGTGTATCATCTTGACCCGGTGCTGCCGTGGCGAATTGGAAAGGCTGGGATGGGGATGGGAATGGGAATACAGGATGGGGAGACGAGGACCCTGAATGACGAGAGCACGCGTGGGTCTCACTTGGGTAGCACACCCGTACTTGATACTGCCTTGTACATGCGAGCACAGTACTCCGTGCTATGGATTGAGCAAACCCTGCAACCCTCTAAAGCCTCCAGCTACGCAATTCACCTGCACTAAGAAAGCGACAATCACTGTCGATCGTCCTGGAGGTGGGACGGGATTGGGCCAGCACTGCGCCATCTCCTCCACCGGGCAGAGACTGGAGAGTCGAGGATCCCTACAGATGTGGGTGAGGGAGTTTTTCGCATGGCAGGGGGTTTGGGTCGATCCCTGTGTCTGAAGGAGAGGAAGAAGGGGTTCATCCGTGATGTTGGTGATGCCGGCCTGATGCTGAGCACTCGTCTTGGGGAACGATCAGCAACACCCTAAACCGACACCGTTCCGGGATCCATCCCACAATGCTCAACATGCTGCAGTCAGCTCATCTACGGGGGCCTAGGGGTGCGTGCAGGAGAATCCCAGCAGCAACTGTGAATCCACCCCAGCTTTGCCTGTTCTCCGCCTCCTGGATGAGGCGGTGGCATGGGGTTTCTTGGTATTATAAGGCCCCCGGCACTTCCCACTTCTCTCGGTCGTATTCAAAAAGCTTATTCAATTCCTTGACCATAAGAGAAAGGACCTGCACCGTTCACACTTCTATAAATCACTTCTGCCCTGAAGACTCCTATTACTCCATCTCGCCAACACCACACACATCCACTTACACAACCCAAAACCGCCCTACAAATTCCAACAATATGCCTGCCCGACAAGAAGCCTACTCCGTCAGCATCCCCATGTCTGTGCCTCCCCCACAGAACCTCTCCAGCTACTCGAGGTTTATGCACGACCACACCAAGCGCCAGATGCAGGCTTTCGGTGCCAACCCAGGCTCCCGCCGCCATGGCAACCCTACGACAATGAACGGCACCAGCCACAACAACAACCACATCGGCTATCACGCATGAACATCAATCGCGGAAAGACAGTTCATCTCCTGTTAGGAGATTCTCGGAATATCAAACATCCCTACCCCTGAGGTGGGAGTTCAATTCTCCCCCTCATGACATCACCGCCCACGACTTGATCACTATCCTGGCGGTGGCGACTTGACATGCCCGTGCACCGACGTGCCGGGCTGTGTCACCACCAATGCAACAACCTACGTTCTCTTCTGCACTGCGTCAGGTAACAGATACTGCGGAGTTTTGAGCGATGGATACACGAGAGCTCATGAATATGTGGTTGGCGTTGATATGAAAAGCGAGCGACTGTGGCCTTACTTGCCTCGCATTCCACTCATTGGTTTGACGAATTGGCATTTATACATACATGGTGTTTTGGGACTCGGGTTTTTTTCTTCGGTGGGGGGACAGGGGCACATAATACATCAAGGGAAGCAACAAGGATGGTGTACGGCGAATTTAACGAAGGTACATGGCAATGATATACGAGTTTCTCTTCGCACCATACACCCCTGACGAGCACTGTGACCAACCCAAGACCCAGCGAAGAACATTTATGTTGTGTTGACTGCCACAACTAAAGGAGATGTTGAAGGCTGATCCGCGTAAATGTACAAGGTAATCCTTCAATAGTGTGCATCATTATATGATCTGGCAAACAAACATAATCGACTATGGAGCTTGATGACCTGCCACTGTCACATAATCCGTCACTGCCCGATTTCCTGGGATAGCAATAATAAATACTAGGGTTGTGATGGCAAGTAATCTAATCGTTTGGAGCGAGCATGCTTGTTCGTTTTGTATTTTGCTAAGCGGCTTGGATCATGCCCGCGTATGTGGTTCTCGAGTACTAATTGCACCAGGTTGAATGCCCCCAAAACCTCCTCGCGTATATTTGCCCATAAACTCCAATAATGCCCAACTGTCCCAATTAGTCAATCTCATTTATATCATCGAATTCCGCTGCCATGCCGTGAACTTTCGCTCGCCAGGGTATGTAGTTCTTGACTCGGTGTGTCCTGCAGCTTCCTGACCATCGTCTTCACACCTCTTGTCTGGCGCATCATACCAGCGATGGCTTCTTCTTGATACCTAGCATTGCTGAATAGTTCTTCTTCTTCTTCGGAATTCGCTTGAATGACGGAGGTGGCATCTCTGAATCCACCACAGGCTCCGAAGTGACGAACCCCGCCAAACTCGAGGACGGCGCGCTGATCGATGCTGGTTCCGATTCCGTTACGTCTTGATCCAAAGCGTCACCCTCTACTACAACGTCCATTTGGGCTCGGGCCTCAGCGAATGCTCGCTTTGCTGCGTCCTCATCTTCTCTTTCCTGTTGCTCCCGCTCTTCATCTTCGGTCCGCACAATGCTGTCAGAGTAGTCGACGCCATCCTTCTCTGATCGGTTTATCCGGGCGTTTCGTTGTCGAATCTCGTCCAAGGCGTCAGCCGCTGCCATCTCCCGCCGCGCATCGACGTTCTTGGCTTCCAGATCTGCCATCGCATTCTTCTCCTCCTCACCCGCAGCCTCGGCTTCCTCTCGCTCTAATCGATCTAGGCGCTCTTCCACCGTCTCTTCCTCCGTAACCTTGTTCCGCCAGGGCTCCATGTTGCGAACCGCGCCCTTGACCACCATGTAATCGTTGTTCTTGGGATCTGTCCGGATGATGATTTCGGAGCTGCAGCGGGTACAGCGAATATTGAGGAAGAATATCTGGATGCCCAGGTACTTCTCGTCCAGAGGCGTTTCCTTCCTAGAGTTGAACTTGCGGCCCTTGTAGATGAATTCTCCGCATGCCGTGCATCGCATACTGAAAGGTGCCATGATTCGTACTGTTTGGATCTTCGGGCCGGACGGTTTGGGACCTTTGCGGCGAGTGATATCCCTCGGGTCGAAGTCTGGGGGGTAGTATTTCTGCACAGCAATGGTTAGCGACGGTGGTGTGTATGGGATGTTCTGGAGAATTTACCTGAAGGACTTTGCGTTCAGACATGTTGGGCGAGTTTGTCTCTTCGACCGAATCTGAGAGGCAAAGGAATATGGGCGACTCCGCACAAGGCCTGGGTCTGTGGTATGTGCGACTGGAAGTAAGGGTGGAGCTTTTGATTGACCAAAGACGAAATAATGAAGGTGATGTGAAGTCAGGTTTAGAACCGTGAAGGGATGTCCCGAGTTTCGGTTTGGCGCCGGATAAATGTCGGCCGATAAGAGAATGCCCAGGCAACCCCACAGCCGCAATCGCGAGTGACGTACTGAGTATGCCGCCTTTACGGTGGGCTTATGCTTCAGGTTTTTGGAATATGTAAAGAAATAAACCCCAGTACCTCATGGCATCCCATGGCATTATACAGTATTATCGTTAGCAGTTTATCAGGGTGATATAGACCCCTGTAGACTCGGATGAGTAAAAGGTTCCTTGACACCATTGTGGGCATGTGGCGGTGCTGACCAACGTCTAGACTAATCCTAATTCGAGTCAACGCCACACTTCAAGGTCAAATCCAGCGAACCTCTCCCGGCTGGACTCTACCTCCTGCAACCTTGCGACTTTCTGTTGTCTCACGTCAAAAGCATCAAATTGCAACTCACCGAGCCACGGACGGGCAACTCGAAATATAACAAAGCGAACTACCCGATCACGATCACCACCATAACCCACAGCCCAGCATGGGCAAAGCCGAGGTTGGGTCGACGAAATATGTCGCCAACCGCATGAAGTCGAAGGGCCTCCAGCGCCTTCGCTGGTACTGCCAGGTCTGCGAGAAGCAGTGCCGCGATGCGAACGGCTTCAAGATGCACACCCAGTCCGAGAGCCATGTCCGTCAGATGCTCGTCGTTGGCGAGGATCCCAAGAAGTTCATCAACGATTACAGCAAACAGTTCCAGAGCGACTTCCTCTTGCTTCTGAGGACCGGTCACGGCGAGAAGCAAGTCAACATGAATAGGTTCTACCAGGAATACATTGCGAATAAGGAACACATCCATATGAACTCGACAAAGTGGCCGTCACTGACGGAGTTCGCTAAGCATCTTGGTCGGGAGGGCATCTGCCGCGTGGAAGAGAACGACAAGGGTCTTCACATCGCCTGGATTGACAACTCGCCCGAGGCTTTGCGGAGGAAAGATGCCCTGCGTCGCAAGGAGGCACAGGACCAAGGCAATGAGGAGTTGGAGCAGCGCATGATTCGGGAGCAGATCCGACGAGCTCAGGCCAACACTGGCGCCAAGGACGATCAGGCGGAGGAGGATACCGAGGCACGCGAACTTAAGAGACAGGACGGCGAAAAGATTAAGCTATCCTTTGGCGCAAAACCAGCGACAACTTCCGAAAGCCCTGCACCAGCCTCGACCGACTCTGGGGCAGAGGCATCAAAGTCTGCCGATGCTGACGCCAACGCCGAAAAAACCAAGGACTCTAGAGCGGCACCTGCCAAGCCAAGTGGGTTTGGAGGCATCTCGATGAAGCTGGGAGGCAAGCCGCAAACTAAGAATGTCTTTGCGCAGGCCAAGAAGAACGCCCTGTCTTCCGGGACCAAGAAGAACGCCATGGTAGAGCAGCCTAAGAAGATGAGCGAGGCGGAGCGTATCATGAAGGAAGAGATGGAGAAGAAGCGATCTCGGTCATCAGCTGGATTTAGCATGCCTTCCAGCAAGAAGCAAAGGAGCAATTGAGATTGGATTAGGCTTGCACATTGGCTTACTGTATGAAATGGCGTTGGGGCATAAGGTCATAAAATGATGATTCAAAACATGCCGGGGCGTTCGGCTTGGTGCGGAATTGTCTATGATAGATACCACAATGATGACTTTTTCTTTCCGACATGACAACTCTTTGGTACCCTCAATGGCCCTCCATCCCATTCCCGTTCAACGCCGTATTCGCCAGAAACAGTAATATCAACAAGAAATCGTAGTCAAGCCTCTGCCTAAGAGTCTGTCTCCGTTTCCGTGCCGTCACGTCTGCAAAAAACCGTTGGTCAGCAAAACTGTTTGCCTAAGCAGTCGGTGAGTTGCCACTTACGGGATGTACGATATCCGATACTCCTCCTCGAGAGTCGTGCGGATCTCATCGGGCAGCTGGCCGGAGACCTTGATGGCGTAGACGCCGCCGACGTAACCATCGAGACGCTGCCACTTGGCGATCCAGGAGCGCGCCGGGTTGGCGAGCGTGATGACGCCCTCGAAGACCTGGGACGTGCAGCTCTCGATCTGGTCCTGGGAGCCGGCGAGGTGCAGAAACTCTTCGCAGTTGGGGCAGCCCTCGTCGCGGAAGCGCTGAAGAAACAAATGTCAGCATAAGCACGAGAGAGCCGTGACGTGGTCTGGCACGGGAGGACAAGGACGGCCTACGCTGTACGTCATGACGATGGAGCAGACCATGCAGGCGCGCAGGTGGCGCTGCTGGCCGGGCGTGACGAAGTTGGCCGAAGTCGACATGGTGCGGGCGCCCCGGGTGGGTTATTCGAGGGGATTGCTGCGACGAGGCGGGTGTGCGATATTCGGGGAGCGTGAAGCTGTCGTTGATGGAGCTGAACGGTTCGCGATGGTCAGGGTCCAAGTTCATTGTCCCCAGATTCGAGAGGCTAGTATGCAACTAAGCGAGATATGCAACAAGGACAGTGTCCACTTTATCCACTGCGAAGAACTAAGTTAGGTACCTTGGCGTAACAGCTATCTTCATGAAGAACATTCACAACTTCACAACAACCAGGCTATTATTACAATCCGACGGAGCGTCTCTCGATATGGCTGAAACCATAGAGTCTGGGACGCAAAAGTCCCTTTTCCAGCAAAAAGACCTGCAAAAATCACACGATATCCTTACCTGCACCATCAAGGCCCCGCCCTTCTCATACGCCCACCTTGAGCTCGTCACCGACGGCGCACCCGTCGAGCTGGACAATCTGCAGGTCAAGTCATACTGCACTACAGCGCTGCGGCAGTTCCTGGGCATCACGGGTGTGGCCATCTCGCTCGATATCCTCAAGGTCCAGGGGAGCCACTGTTGGCTGCGAATCCCGCGACCGGACCTGGGGTCTTTTGCCGCTGCCATCACAGCGTGGAAGGGCATCAACGACAATGGCGTCCAATGTGTACTCCAAGTCCGGCAGTGCTCGGACTGGCTGGGTGCCATGGTTGGGACTGACGGCCAAGACCGGTTGTGGAACTCATGAAACAGCATTGGTTGTTCAACTCAAGACCCAACATCATTTTTTCATCTAGATGGGTATACATGTATGTGCACATTTCCATCAACCTGCCCTTGCAAATGCACCGTTCCCAGACGCCCGGGACATGCCTCGACTTGGCCGTCCACACAAGTCTCCTACCCATCCCCTCAAACCAACCCGGACATAAGGGAGCTTTGGGCATACGCCTGTGGATGCGGTTAGTTCTCATCCTGAGACATGTGCATCGAGGGGCAAAGTGGACTCACCATCGGGCGGATATCAGGGTGCGGCACAGCATCGAACTGCTCAAACTGGAGCTTATAGTCGGAGCCGATGTTGATGTAGGCACCCCTGTTCTCCGTCGAGTCGCAGTATCTAGGCGCAGAGAAAACTAAGAATTATCAGCAATTGAAGACATCTGCGGATTTCTGGGACGTCACATACCGGTGATACACCGACCATCGTGCTGAACCTCGTAGCCGTCCATGCGAACTTCGTGACTGCGAATAACAGCCTCGAGGCCGTTGTTTTCGCAGAACTTTTTGGTGATATCGGGACCAAACTGCATACCAACACCTCGCTTGCTGGGGCCACGACCAGGCTCCTCTTGAGGGTCCGTCCAGAGCATCTCCATCATCAAGCCGGACTGGCCGGGTTGTCGCTGGCCGTGTCGGTTCAGTTTCCGAATGTCATCCAGAGTAATGCTATCATCAGAGAACAATCCTCCGTGGAGGACCAGGTACTTCTTGCCAATAAGAGTAGCCAGCGCCAAGGCAGAGAAACTCTCCGAGAATAGCTTGAAGACTCTGTGCCTTGTCAGCATGTGGCGACAGGGGTTCAAATGGGGTGTCGTCTCACCTCTCGTTGTACTTGGCCTTGCACTCTCCCTCAAAACCGTAAGCGCGGTTCATGTCATCCGTCTCGTGGTTTCCACGGTTCAGGAAGAAGTTGTTGGGCCGCAGCCACTTGTAAGCGTAGAGAAGCAGGGCGATCTCGGTAGACCAAGAGCCACGATCCACAAAGTCACCGTTGAACAGGTACCAATGCTTATCGTTAGGGGTGCCGTTACGACGGAAAAGCTCCATGAGATCAAAGTATTGGCCTGGCGAAAATGTCAGCGACTTTGTTGTGCTGCGGGCCTGGGCAGGGGTTCTTACCGTGTGTGTCACCACAGACGGTCATTTGGACATCGTCGGGGATCTCGACCTCAACCATGGTGTTCTCCTCGTAGACAATCTTCCTGACGGCAAGAATAATCTGGTAGACGTATTTGCGGTGGATCTTCTTGCCAGTCTTGAACCTCTCCGTCATGTCGTCGATAAACTCCTGAGTCATGGTGTCTCCTAGTTCAGCACCGTCGTAACCAGGCTCAACAGCCATGGAGTCCACGTCGAGACCCTCGGCTGCGGATGGCTCATCGCCAACCTCGATGGCCGCAAAGAAGGCTAGCTGCCGCACAATCTTCTTGCAGTCCTCCAGTCTGAGCTTGGCATCCTTGTTAGCGGGGTCAAGCTTGACGCACTCCTTGAAATCGTCGAGGGCATCCTTGGGCCGCAAAATCGCCGTCTTTGCCAAACCTCGTCGGTAGTACGCCTAAAAATTGTGCAACAGTTCACTTCAGCGTTCGTCCAGCATGGTTGGGTTGTAAGGAGGGGTAGCCCACCTTGACCATCTTCGGGTTGAGCTTGATGGCGCTCGTCGTATCGGCGATGGCGTATCCATAGGCTTCGGTCTTGATGTGTGCCTATTGACCCAGAGAGACCACGAGTTAGCATACGAGCCTCGCGGTTGCAGTCGCAAACGTATGTGAATGGGTGTCGCAAACCTGGGCCCGGTTGGTGAAGAAAGTGGGTTCCTTGTCGTTGAGCTCGATGGCCTTGGAGTAGAAATCGATGGCGGTAGGCCAGTCGCCAGCGGCGAAGGCCTTGTTGCCCTGGTTTTTCAGGTCGACGGCTGATTGCGACATGGTAAACGGGGAGAGGGAGTTGCGAGGAGGATTCGAGGAGGATTCGAGGAGGGGCGAACGTGGGGAAGCTCAAGATGCAGGTCGGGGGTGGAACTCGGGCTCCGAGATGCTGGATAGAATGCGCCGAGCACGGCAGCAAGCGCTTCCTACTTCGACTGGGAAAGACGCTTGTCGAGACGAAGAGAAGGCGCGAGAGAGAAGCGTCTGGAACTCCGCTGGGGGCACGTCAAGGGTTGGCGAGGCTGCCGAAAGTCGAAGAATCAATGGTTCGCGGCGGGAGGAGAGAGAGGCTGCAAGACTTTTGGGCTTGTGGCGGCGTTTGGTGGAGCGGGACGGGCGAAGCTTCCAGGCCCCGGACCCAGCGTCATTGAGGCCCTGTGTACGCTGGACAAAGGGCGTCTTACTGGCCAAGCCCGGTCGCTACAGGCCGCTACAGGCCGCTCCAGGCCACTCCAGGCGACGGGTGCCCTAACTACCCGCTTGGCCCAAACCAGTAATCTCTAGCGTGAGCCACCCAGCGCAGCACATGGCGAGTTCTTCGGCCCTGGAGTCGCCTCAACCGATCGATCGCCACCCGCAGGAAGCCCAGCCAACGACAGCGGGCAGCCGGCCGAGATCGGATAGTTGCATATGCATAGATCGCGACGGGCGCCGCGCCCACATGTTCACGGCCCCACTAATGGCCTTGGCTATGCCTCGCCGCAGGCTCTCTTTCAACGTCACATTAGGCAGCTCTGGCGAGAGTCTGTAGCGAGCTCCCACCGGAGGCTTCTTCTCTCAACTCATTCCTTTGTCTTCAGGGTTCGGTGGCGGGATTCTACACGCCTCCTTTACCCACAGCGCTTGGCGTATCGCTGACTCGCGTCATCATGGATCCATCCCAACCGGGTACCTCCAGTGCCCTGATCCGCAAGAGGGCCGAGATGGAGTTGATGCCGCCGCCGCCCGCAGCGAAGAAAATCAAGCGCCCTAAGAAGGTCCTCGACGAAGACTCATACACGGAGACTCTCTCACAAATCATCGCCCGTGACTTCTTCCCTGGACTGCTTGAGACCGAGACTCAGCAAGAGTACCTGGACGCGCTCGAGTCTAAGGATGCAGCCTGGATCTCGAGCGCTGGTCGGAGGCTGCAGCAGGTCATGACTCCCGGGCGACAAAAACCAACTTCGCAGTCGCAGGGCAGGCCCATTGCGAATGGAGACCGCACCCCGTCCGCCTATGGCGCAGACACCCCGGCCTCGGTTGCCTCTACCGTTGCACTGCCGCGGCCACGTCTAAATACAAATATGAGTCTCTCCAAGTTCCAAGAGACATACACCAGCGAGGACAATGAGAGCTTCTACAAGCTCGTCGACAAACAGAACCAGAAGAAGGCCGACAAGTATGCCTGGCTCTGGCGCGGCAACAAGCTCCCATCAAAACAGATGATCAAGCAAAAGGAGGTCCAAGACAGACTGGGCCAGACACGCAGCCTTGTAGATGACGGCCACAAGCGAGACCTCTTGGCTATCAAAGACAAGGACGATCGCCCGGCTCGACCAGATACTTGGAATGCCCAGCCCAGGAACAACCTCATGTTTGGCCCAGACGGGGTTGAAGACGACGTTGTCACGGTCTCACAAAGGGCCGAGGAGACTTCCAAGATGGCACCCAAGTCTATTGTATACGAGAACACTAGGATGCCGCAACCTCATATTCCTGCGCGACCACCCTCTCCCACCTTGTCCGCAGTACGCGATGCTATTGCAGGGAAACCACGTCGCGAGGACCAAGACTCGAGTGTGGTGGGTGGCGGTGAAACGCCAAGGGTCAATGGATACTCCTTCGTCGACGATGAGGATGACGAGCCTGAAACAACACCTGTACCAATCATCAACCTAGGTCCCGGTGATGCCTCGATAAACCCCTTCAGGCTACAGGAGCAGCGGGAGAGAGAAACTTTACATGAGCGTATGGTTGATCGGATATCAAAATCGAAAAAAGAGGCGTCAAGAAATGGGCTCACCGGAAGAGTCGACAAGACACCAGTACCAAAGTTTCCAAGTAGCCCACGGGTCTCGGGAGGGTTGACACCTGCGGCGCAGAGGCTATGGAGCAAGGTTGGCACTCCTGGCAATAGGGGCCCGGGAAGCTCGTTCGGTCAGTCGACACCGATGAAGCCGAGGGGATCACTCTTGAGGTCCGTTAGTAGGACAAGTTCGAAACCGGGATCGAATGGGTGAAGATGGAACGTGGTGTTACAGAACAACATTATTAACCCGAATCGGTACCGACCTGGTCCTAAGAAACGCATCACACCATCTTCCGCGGTGCTACAACACTAAAATGAGACTATCATATTGCCCATCACAAGTGCACTGATTGTCCGACACCGGGCAGAAAACATGGCAGGGTGCAACACTATATGCAGGAGGCGGTGTCGTGACATAACCGCCGGCGCTTATGACTATTGAGTCTTGGGATATTTTTTTGATCATCGATAGCTTGATCTGACCTGCGATCTTTACTTTTATAAAGACGAACCCAATTCTTATGCTAGAAGTGGTGGTTGGCGGATAGCAAGAAAGATAACACCTGCCGCTTTGCAATAAGAAAATATTAAATAGATGAAACAAGCTACCTCAAAGTATTGTTTTTTAATAGAGGATCCTTAGTAAAATTCTCTGTCTCGGCCGAAGTGTGCATCTTTATTGTAGCTGTGACGCATTTGATCCCGCTTTGAGCCCCCTTAGTTGCATGTCCTATCAATTGGATCATGGCAACTTTTTGGCGAGCACTTCAATCAATTCAGTAACCCGCGACCACCTGGTAATCGACACCAGCACGCCATACCGAACTCGCCTGTCGATGCGCGCCCCGTCACTCGAGGCCGCGTAGCCCCCCAGCCCTCATGAGGTTCGTCGACTTCGCCATCGACCTCGCGGCCGTCCTCAATGCCTCCCGGTCCGTCGCCGCCAAGCATGTCGCCCTTCGGAGTCGGCAGCTCGACAATTTCAGTCGGACGTCGAGCGTAGCCGGAGCATTTAGGAGCAGAGCTGCGCAAAAGGCATCCCGGCCTGAAGGATCGGAGGAGAGAGGCCAGTCGGCCGCGGAGAAGGACGCCGAGGGTGATGAGGTCATTCAACGAGATGCGCCGGAAGCGCAGGAAACGAAGCCCGCACATGAGAGCTCGCAAGATCTAGGACCAACGACTGTAAAGGCGCAGGATATTAAGCCGGAGCCCAAGATCGAGCCTGCGCAGCCAAAGATAGACCACTTCGCTGAAGCCGTCTCAAGCTTGAACCAAGCGAGAGCCCAGCAGGACCAAGCGAAGGAGGAGCTCGACCTGCCTACCGGAATCGACGTCAACATCTTCCACACCACTCGAGGATCTAAAATTCTAGACTCGCTCCGGAAAGAAGGAAGATCTACGCCTGCGGATCGGCGCCCACGGGCTGGAGGCCCTGCCAAAGAACATCCTCTGCGGCACTGGGGTCGGCCTCCGCTCGTGCAACACGCGGAGAGCTCTGCACCAGCTGCCCCAAAGCCTCAGGAGTCCGAGGGCAAACCTGAGGAGGAGCCTCTTGTGCCAGCCGAACCAGTGCCAGCTGAACCAGTGCCAGCTGAACCAGTGGTAGCTGAACCAGTGGTAGCTGAACCAGTGGTAGCTGAATCAGTGCCAGCCGAACCTGTGGCAAACCCTGGGATAAGTCAAGCTCCCTCCGCTCGTCCGCAAACCAGCAGCTCAGCACCATCAGAGACGAGAAAAGTCGATGACAGTGTCGTTCCCCCCTCAAGGGAACGAACCGCCAGCCCTACGCCACAGCCTACCCCCATACACGCTCTCCGAGAGTCCGCAGTCCCAGCCTCACGAATCAGCCGCATGTGGAACTATGGAGGCCTCGCCGCAGGCTTGCTCGGAGGTGCCATGACGGAGAGCGTCAGCAGAGCCTTTGGCGGCGGTGGCCAGGGCTCTGTCCTCCTCAGCGGTGCCAACATGGAGCGCCTGGTTGCCAAGCTCTCGCGCATGCGCGGCGCCGCCCTCAAGATCGGCCAGATGATGAGCTTCCAGGACACCAAGATGCTGCCGGCGCCCATCCAGGAGGTGTTGCAGCGTGTCCAGGACCGCGCCGACTACATGCCTGCCTGGCAGCGTGACCGCGTGCTCTCGGCCAATCTTGGAGCCGACTGGCGAGAGCTGTACAGCGAGTTCGAGGAGAAGCCCATTGCGGCCGCCTCCATTGGCCAGGTTCACAAGGCGGTCCTCAAGTCCAACGGTCAGCGAGTCGCCGTCAAGATCCAGTTTCCTGGTGTCGCCGACTCCATCAACTCAGACCTCGACAACCTTGGCATTCTCCTCACGGCCACCAAGCTCCTACCCAAGGGGCTATACCTCAACAAGACTATCGACAACGCCCGACTCGAGCTCGGCTGGGAGTGTGACTATTCTCGTGAAGCCGAGTGCGCTACGCGCTACAAGGAGCACCTAGGATCGCAGCAGGATGTCTTTCTCGTCCCAACTGTCTACCCCGAGGCCTCGGGCAAGCAGGTCATCACCATGGACTGGATGGATGGCACTGGCGTCACGCGTATCAAGTCCTTTACCCAGGAGCAGCGTGATTGGATCGGCTCGCACATCCTGCGTCTCTGTCTCCGCGAAATCACAGAGTTCAAGTTCATGCAGACCGACCCCAACTGGACAAACTTCCTCTACAACCCGGACACCCAAATGCTCGAGCTGCTCGATTTTGGCGCCTCCCGCGAGTACCCTGACGCCTTCGTAGCGCAGTACGTCCAGCTGCTTGAAGCCGCCTCTCGCTCTGACCACGCCGCCGTCAAGACGCTCTCGGAGAGCCTGGGCTACCTGACGGGCCATGAGAGCAAGGTCATGATCGAGGCCCACACACAGTCGGTGCTCACGCTTGCGGAACCGTTCCTCGCCTCAGCCCCCGAGGTTTACGACTTCAAGGACCAGACCATTACTGAGCGTGTCAAGGCCCTGATCCCCGTCATGCTGCACGAGCGGCTGGCGCCCCCGCCCGAGGAGACATATAGTCTGCACCGCAAGCTCAGCGGTGCGTTCCTGCTATGCGCGAGGCTTGGTAGTAAGGTGCGCTGCCGCGAGATGTTCGTGGAGGCCCTGGCCAAGGGGGGCTACTCTCAGGGAGCTTAAGAAAACTCTACTTTATCCACTGTATAACCACCTTGTAACATATATCTACCATATGTGTGTGTAACACCAGCGTTAGACCGTCTAAAACGGGGTTTGGGGTATATAATCATAGATGACAAAAAGACGGGTTTGGGCACACAATGCCCCCCTCCAACATAAGTGAGCTGTTAGCGATGGAATCATCATTCCGAGGCATCCTCTAACCACGACCCCCCCTGAATCGCTCTAATGAACCCATCTCCTTCTTCTCCTTGCCCGCAACCTTCTTGCGCTTGCGCTCGATGGCGCGGTTGACCTGGCCCTTGCTCATGCTGGCATAGCGGTCTACGAGGATTTGCTTCTTCTGCTCGCTCTTCTTCAGGTAGAAGGGCGTCTTGCCCTGGGCAACGAGGTCCTTCTCGCGCTGACGGTGCTCGCGCAGCAGGTTGTCCGCTTCCTCTCGGCGCACACGAGACTTCTTCTTCGACTCCATGGAGAGCAGTTGGCGCTTGAGGGCGTCCTTGGCTTCGGGGTCCTTGGTCTTCTTGATCTGAATGCGGAGGTCGGCCATCTCACTGTCGCGGTACTCGTCGAGGAAGGCGTAGGCCTTGTTGGCCTTGGCCTCGTCGAGGGGGCCGGCGAGGGGATCGAAACGCGGGTCGCGGGCCTGCCGCCGGGTGTCCGGGATGATCTCGCGGAGGCGGGAGACGGGACGCTTTGAGGATTGCTCCTGGGGGGCGTGCTTAGAGGAGCGCTTGGGAGTCGGGTCGTTCTTTGAGCGGGTGGGCTTGCGGGGAGGGGGGTCGTCTTTGCGTGCGGAGGTGTCGGCGGTGGCAGCAGCCTCGGAAGACTTGGATTTGCGCTGGGAGGGAGGGAGTGAGGCTTGGGCCTTTGCAAGAGCGCCGAAGGAGATGGAGGTGAGGTCAACATTGGGGGCGGCTGGTTCTTGATCATCGTCCTGGGAGAATGGTGAGCATGCGAGAGTGGATGGAATTGGTTGAGGGTGGTGGTTACCTCTGATTCTTGGTCGGAGCCAGACTCAGGTTCAGACCGGCTTTCATTGTCGCTGTCGTCGGCATCCTTCTGGTCACGGCGTCGAGTTCCCTGTTCTTCAACCTCGTCGTCGCTCGACGAAGCTTGGCTGCCATCGTGGTCCATCTCCCAATCGTCCTCGCGCCTGGGCTTCACGCGTCGCTGCAAACCCGCCGAACCGATTTTCCGTTTCAAAACCATGGTGTATTGCAGTTGTGAGGTCCGACTGTGTGTCAAATGTCGCCAGGATCGGTAACGGTCCAGACGACTTGGGGCTGGGTCTTTTGGCTGAGAGCGGTGATGGTACTTTTTTTAATTTTTGCCCGCCCGATAAGCCACGCCGAAATCTTATCGGCGTTTGCGATACGTGCATATTTACACTGTGCGCAGGGGTCCCCGATTTGCCCCGCGACTAACTTAGCCCCCCGCCGTTGAGCTAATCAGGTAACTTGATGGACTGGCATTGGAGAGTCTCGTTGCTACAACATCAGATGCGCCGATCTCCAATCTGCATTGCTTGCCTGATTAGATACTGACCCATCGTGACATGAAATAAACGAACGCCTGATACATTCATCCGCTCATGTAGGTAAACGGAGGTTTGATTTGTTGACCTGGAGGCTGAGTGTTAGTCAAATGCATCCCCAGTCTTTGGCACCTGGGGATGGTTGGACATGCTGATCTAAATACTGTATATGCCGCCGCTTAATTACTGGAGTCTCCGGACCGCAGGAGAGGTCTGTATTAAATAGCCTGAACACCTCTCTGAGTATCTGAAGTTCGATTTCATCCCGCGTATGCATGTTTGCGCCACGCTGCCGGTCAAACTCCGCAATGCAAACTCCGCAGTAATTAGACGGCGCGCGTTTCGATCAGCCAGGGTGGTTGCCTCCCCACCCTGGCGACTATCACTGCTAATTTTCAAAACGACACATGGGTGGCTTGTTTACAATGGCCGCCAAACCGATCACCATTCACCAAGAGTCATTCGGCACTTGTCTGGTATGATGACGGACTGTGTGTTGAGAGGGGTTCAAGCTGTCTATATAGTCCAAGCCCAAATGCTGACCCGCAACCGACATACCGAATCGGGAAGCCTTCGTCAGATTGGGAGGCTGCTGATTGGCTGGGTTGAGTGCTACAGGTTGGATCAAGGTCGAACCATGGAGTTTGAGGCGCGCGCGAGCATGTGTCAACAATTTCTTGTTCAATGGATTACCAAGGCATAATTGCAGAGTTGGCCGTGGAATCAAAAAGGTTCCGAGGATTTGCTAAGCGGAAGTTTGGGGCTAATATTGGATGGGTGATGTGAATTTGAATGCGAATGCGAACTTTGCCAGGGCACCCATCTAGCGATTTTGTCAGGGATTTGGATCAACCTTTGGCGGTGATGGTCACTGGTGCAGTCCATGGTATACTATACCCTCTAATACTGCTCCAAGAAATGCCATTCCAGGCTGAGATTTCTCTCCCTTTCTTCTTCTTCCATTTTCAAGCCGTCTCCAATGCATTTCTGAGAGACAGCGCCATGACACCCACGTCTGTCACCGCGGGCGGTAAGTGGGGCTTCTGAAAGCCACCCAAAGCCAAGATTCACAAGGCCGGCGTCAAGGACGCTGATTGGGCGCGCTGGCTCCTTTGAGCGTGGACGAACAGGCCCATGATGGCGGGCGGGATGGATCTACGACGTCGTTGCAGGGGGCGACATGGATCCGAGTCAAATTCGGCCCCGAGTCGCCGCGCGGGTATCTGTCGTTCTCGCTGAAGGACGTAACTGGGGGGGCCTCTGCCTAATAACTGTACGCATACCGTCGAATAGTCTCAGAGCGCTCCCAGGCCGCTGGGTCGCTAGCTCTCTCCGCCCTGCAGAGTTAGCCAGGGGAGCGGGCTCGCTCGCGCGCGCTGCTGGTCAATTCATTTGGTATTCCTCCGACAAACCCAATAGAAAAAAGGTGTTTGCTTTCAAAGCGGGTTACCAATTCACCCGACCCGAAAAAGTTTCACTGGGCTTGGGACGGGGTTGAGCAAGAATCCGCTTTGGTGGATGCATGTATATAGCACCTCTGCCTCCTCCTAGTGGCGGTTTGAGATCTGCTCCATCTACACATTCCAGGTTCAACAGCAAACACCTTTCAAACCACCTCGAAAAAGACATCTCTGCATCGATTCGATTGTCGCTTGGAACATCACTAACAACCAACGGGCCCGACATTGCCACCTTTCGAGGCTCCATCTCACCCGACTTACACCCACCGTCCACGCACCCACCCAACTCACATTCATCATGGCTGCTTCAGACGTCAAGACCATCCTCGTCCTCGGCACTGGTCCCGCCGCCATCCCCGTGGTCCGCCAGACCATGATCAACGTCGTCCTCAAGCGCGACAACCTCAAGATCATCGTCGTCACCCCCAATGCCAACTTCCACTGGCCCATCGCCATGCCGCGAGTCGTCGTCCCCGGCCAGCTCGTCGATGACAAGGTCATGATCCCCCTCGCTCCCACCTTCGCCGACTACCCTCCCAGCAAGTTCGAGTTCGTCCAGGGCAAGGCTTCGTCTCTCGACCCCGCCTCGAACACCGTCGCCATCGAGCTCAACGCCGGCGGCTTGCGCGAGATCAACTACGATACCCTCGTCATCGCCACCGGTGCTCGTGCCCAAGACGGCATGCCCTGGAAGGGTCTCACCACTGCTGAGGAGACCAAGCAGAAGCTCCACAGCCTGCAGGACCAGATCAAGAACGCCAAGACCATCGTCATCGCCGGTGGCGGCATGACTGGTGCTGAGACCGCTGGTGAGCTCGGATTCGAGTACTCCCAACACGGCAAGAAGGAGGTTATTCTCGTCCACACCGAGGACCTGCCCCTCGCTGCTCCCGCCACCAACAGCGTTCGCAAGGCTACCAAGTCGGAGCTCGAGCGCCTCAAGGTGAAGCTCATCCCCAACACGACTGTTTCGAGCGTCACCGTCAAGGGCAACGACACCATTCTCGAGCTGAAAGCCGCCGACGGCTCTACTCGTTCTATCACGGCCCAGGCCTACCTCCCCGCCACCGGCGTCATCCCCAACACCGAGTTCGCACCTAAGAGCATGCTCGACTCTAGGAACTATATCAAGCAGACGAACTACCTCCAGGCCGAGGGCTACAAGAACATCTTCGTCATCGGCGACGCTGGTAGCCTCGAGACCTCCACCGCTGCGCATGCTGAGGCGCAGTCCCGACACTTGATCAAGGCTCTGGCGCTGTACATCGACGGCTCTGCCGTGCCCCAGTACGAAGCCTCCGAGAAGCCCATCTTTGCTGTCACGCTGGGTCGCAGCCGTGGAACTGGCCAGATGGGCAACTTTAAGCTGTTCAGCTTCCTCGTCTGGTTCATGAAGGGACGGTATCTGGGCACCGATTACGCGCACCTCTGGGCTGCAGGCAAGCGCACCATGACCACGACCTTTGAGAAGTAACCAACATCACTCAGGGTGCGGGTTTCTCATCTTTCTTATGCGTCGTAGCGTTGCGGGCTTGGTTGTTCATCTTGTGGATTGATTCAATGGCATGGGTAGATATCTGATACCAGGAACTGACACTTTTCCCCTTCGGGTTTGTTTTTCGTCTTACCATAGATTGTACGTTAATTAATCAAAATTATTCGAATTCATTTACTAGTCAGACTGTGAGAAACACTGGCTGTATACGCTTTATGGTGAGGATGAAGAAAATAGTGTTTGGTCGGAAGTGATGTCATTGAACGCTTGTCGGCCATCTCGCACCAAAAAATAACGGCAAGTCGCACGTACCTAAAAGGAAACAATGCTCCCAGTGAAGATCATCTTGGGATTTTCCGACGAGAATTGTTTTATGCTGTCTTGAACAAGATTGGCGGAAACTAAGGTTGATGGAGGTGTAACCCTATCAGGTTAATGGAGCAAGAGATGCAATGAAATAGGAATCGGGAGAATGGTGATCATGAAGGTAGAAGGATGATTACCTGAAGACTGAGCTCCTGTCCTCGTGAAGAGCTCGTCTACGCCGCCGAACTTCACCATTGCTTCAATGGCGATGAAAACACTTGGCAGAAATTTACAGCCTGAGTTCGAATTGGCAGCGAACACGCCTGTGAAATTCTCACCAAGAAAGCCAGTATAGGCACCCTAGACAGTGGTTGGCGAATAATAAAATATGGTTGTCAGATGTTTAAATAATTTTAACACAGGAGAAAACGCTGGATAGCAATGCAGTTAATCAACCCCATGCTATCTTTTCTAGGCATTTGTTGACTACAGCTCTGACTTGAATGAAAGGTGATGTTAATTGATGGTCGGTTTGTGGCGCTGTTTTAAGCGACCTTCAGTGGAAATGCTTCCATCCCCGCCCCAACCACGTGCAACGGGTTGATTTAATTCCGTTGCTCATGGGACAACAAGGATGTTTGCACATTACCATCACAAACGCGAAAACGATAGATAATTGTTGACACAAATTTCAGACTCGCGTTTTGCTTTACCTCCGTTCGGATTATTCGATATTTTCTCGAACCTGATATTGCCATAGTGCCATCATCATGTCGCTCTGGGGCTTCCTCCGTGGCCAGTTCATGACGCTCCCCGTCCCTGACGAGGACTGTTCTGGCAGGACCATTATCGTCACTGGGGCCAATGTCGGTACGGGCACCGGCGCTTTCAATCCGTATTGGCTTCTCTATGGCCAGCCAAGGCGAGCCGAAGAGAAGTCGTAGCGGTGTGCTAACTTTGTGTCGGCAGGTCTTGGCTGTGAGGCAGCACGGCATTTTGTGCGGCTCGGCGCGTCAAAGGTGATCCTCGCATGCCGCCGAATTGATAGTGGCGAGAAGGCGCGACAAGATATTGAAGCATCAACCCAACGACAAGGCGTTGTGCAAGTCTGGCACCTGGATCTCTCGTCGTCAGACAGCGTCCGCGAGTTTGCAGCTCGTGTTGATAAGCTTGACCGTGTTGATGTGCTGCTAAACAATGCTAGCTTGCTCTCCTTCCAGAAGGAGATGGTCGAAGGACATGAGCTTCACTTGCTCGTGAATGTCATCTATACATGTTTGCTTTCCATCCTGGTATTGCCAAGTTTGCGCCGCACCGCAGCGAAGTTTAACGTCACGCCGCGTCTCACCGTTGTGGCTTCCGATGGTGCATTTCTGGCTCGTACCTCCTGGCTTCCCTGAATCGCGAAGAGTAGTTCTAACCATGGTAGAACATCAGGCCCAGTTTCCCGAGGCTAAAGCAGACCACATCTTCCAAGAACTAGACGCTGATCCGAGCGTGATGAACCGGTACTGCGTAACTAAGCTCCTTCAGCTCATGGCCATGAAGCGCCTAGGCGAGGCCGTCGACGCATCGGGAAAGGGTCACATCATTGTCAACGGAGTGACGCCTGGTCTCTGTCGGACCGAGCTGTATCGGAGTTGGCAGTTTCCGCTTAACCTAGCCGTGAAGGCGTTCAACATGCTCATGGCGCGGACGGCAGAAATGGGCTCGCGGACGCTCGTGGCGGCAGCGGTGGCGGGCGAGGAGACGCATGCGAATTGGATGGCTGATTGTCGCTTGTATGTTTGGCCGAATAGCATGAAGGGGGATGAGGGAGAGAAGTTGACTAGCAAGGTTTGGGAGGAGTTGATGGAGATTCTTGAAGGTGTTGAGCCTGGTGTGAAGGATATCATCTAGGGTTTCTAGGCTGTGTCCATTTTAGTTGGGTGACCCCATCAAGGTCATGCTTCATGTCTATTTACGCGTGTACAAAATTGTAGGGGTATTATCTTGATTGAAGCAATTCGTCTGGCGGTTCAATGTAGTTGATTGTGTCGGATATATTCCAACGGCTGCCGACTTGGCGTCGAAAATGCCTTGTCTTCGCACCCTGAAGCAAATTCAAGGCAATGACGCTCAATTTGTACAGCAAACCCAAGTCAACAAACTAACACATTTTCCCAATTTTCTCGAACCTTTATTAAGAGCTATGTGCAAGTTTGACAGTATATTTTAGCTACCTCTTTGTCCACTCCCCACTTCCCCCCGCCGTGCGGAATTCAGCCGCTCCGCTTTCCAGGCGGCCCACCACTATTAGTCCACTATTAGTCCACCACCCTGAAAGGTGCGAGATGCGTCTCTCCATCTACAAGGCTGGGACCCAAGCTCGAGCGACCCGGCCGAACCAAGCTTCCACAGCGCGCATTCTTGCCTCCGAGAGCCGTGATTCAGCGCGATTAGGCATTTGTCTTTCCTGGTATTCACATTGACGCCGACGAATCCTTTGGCCACGGCCAGTAGCACGGCTCTGCACTGCCATTCCCTTGCCCGTGCTCCTGCGAACCGACCGACGACGCGAACCAAGACGACGACACACGATCGAGCTGTCGCTCTCGCTCTCCACGACCGTCTCCTACGACTCTAGATCTCCATCATCTCCATCTACTGCTCCGTACCGAATAATCGCCTCTTGAGCCATGGACGGACAAGCCGTGGCCGGCGGCGCATTGCGGGCGGCTCTCAGCTACTGGTCCGAGTTTGTCGAACGTTGCATCGCCCAGCGCCTCGAGACGGATCGCTTCGAGGCCTTTGTCAAACTCGTCCATCCCAAGCATCCGCTGCCGCCCTCTGCCATCGCCGACTTCTTCCTCCGGCCGCAGCCCTCCAACCACGACAGCCTCGACCCGCGCATTCCCCCCTACCTCCAGGTTCTCACCCAGCTGGGCTACGTCGACACGCCCTCTATCCTGAAGGCGCTATTCAAGTACTCGTCCTCTCATGCGCAGGCAAAGTCGCAGCCACAGGGTCAACCGCAGGCCGACGATTCTGAAGAAAACAAAGACAAGGAGAAGGCCGCTAGGACGTCCATTATCCGATGGGAGAGCTCATACTGGGCCGAGGAGGTCATTTTCTACAGCCTCACCAAGTCCGTTGTCCAAGGCAAGGCCATCCCGGACTCAAGGACAGCCTTGGAGGTAGTCAAGGTCATTTCTAAGTGGATGGCCCTATTTACATCAGCGTCAACAGCGTTTGCGGCGGATGTCATGGAGCATCTGGCGACTTCCAAGGCCCGAGGTGATATGGAGTCTGCGCGCGCTGCCCTGGTAGCTCTGCTTCTGCGTCTCTGCGAAAACGAAATTCTTGTGAAAGCTGTTAGCAAGCCATTTGCTAAAGGTAATATTAGTCTAGTCCGCTTCATACCGATGGTAGATGCTGATTGCGTCTTGTGCCTTAGACATTCGAAAAGAGCTCTCGGCAAGCCTAGCCAGCTTTGTGCCAACCTTGCAGCTTGTCCCCGAACTCACCGAGAAGCTGGAACTCTTCCGAACGGAAACCCTCGCCAACCTCGATCCCGGTGACAAGAAGAGCCAGGTCACCAACACCGCTATGGATGACCTCCTTGAGTCCACAGTTGGCCTCGAAAACTTCGCCGTGGCTGAGATCCCCATCACCAACACTCGAGCAGGACTGTACATCTACCTCAATGCTTCTGTAAGTACAAGTCACCTGTCCCACTTCTCTAAACCCACTAACACCTCTGTAGCTTTCAGCACGGCCTTTGATAGACGATAATGCGCTTTTCTCATACATGAACAACAGATATCAGGTATGTGCGTTTCAGATTTGGCTTCATTCGTCTCTAACCATACATGCAGGGAGACGTCCAATCTAGTGCCATTGACCTAATCTTGGCTTCTTTTGACGTCCTGGCCAACGCCGTATTCCGCAACGAGGGACAAAAGGACGCCCATCTCCTTCGATCATACCTGATTAACAAAGTTCCCCTGCTTCTGTATCAGCTTTGCCCTCCTGAATTCTCTGGTACATCGGCCGAGTCTTTCATCACCCAGGCCCTTAGCCACGTGGATACTAGCATATTCCCCACAGCCTCGCTGATGTTTGACGAGTCTCGGAACAATAACCCATACACCGAGAGTGTTAGAGAGGAATTCTGTGCTGCATGCGTCCTCCACGGGCTGGTGCAACGGGAGCATGTAGAGAGGATCCTCGGAGAGATTTCCATGTCTTACGAGCCATCCCTAGAAAAATACTCCAAGGACAAGCTGGTACAAAACTGCCTCTCCGACACTGAGAAGATCCAGGGATTGGTTCGTGAGCTCGACAAGATGGACGGCAATGTCGGTGCAGTTTGCCAGGCACTCATTGAGGTACGTTCACGTTCGTTTCGAGTTTTGGATGTCAATACTAAAACGACCAGGTTTTGCGCCAATTGTGCAACAGCAAAGAGACTATGTCTCTCAAGATTCTTTGCGGGCAATTGGCTCAGAAGCCCTTGTCCCTGGATGTGATATTGTTATTTGAGAAGCTGCCGACGATTCTGGAACCACTGTGCACGCTGTTGGACAACTGGTCAGACGAGGAGGATCAAGGCGAGTACCAGCCGGTGTACGAAGAGTTCGGGTCTATTCTCCTCCTGGTTCTGGCTTTCGCATACCGCTATAACCTGACGGCGGCAGATATGGGAATCCAGTCTCAAGATTCATGCGTGGCCAAGATTCTGGCCCGAGGCCACATCAGCCGGCAAAACGATGAACTGACGGAGCAAGAGAATGTTCACATGAATGGATGGATCCACGGTCTCTTTGACACGGAAGGCGGTGGCCTTAGCGACGAGTTGATGTCGTCTTGCCCGCCACAGGACTTTTACCTCCTAGTGGCGCCTCTGTTCCAAAACATGGTGGTGGCATATACGCACGGATATCTCAACGACGAGAGCCTTAAGGGAGGCATCGAATGTGAGTCTTTTGTTGATTCCAGTGGACGCCATAAGCTAATGCGTAGCAGACTTGGTGGATACCTTCTTGTTGCCATCCCTGGTGCCGGCCATCCGGTTCTTGGGAGACTACCTCTGGGTTGACCAAAAGGAGCAAAAGTCGATCATCAAGATCCTACAACTGATTCTTCTGCCTAGCTCTATCTCAGGCGAAGCAAGCACGATGCTCTCATCAGTCAAGAACCTCGTCGCAAAGCCGTTGGAGCACGCGCTTCGCATGTACCAACGCCGGGATCCCAGGAATGAGGATATTGAGCCGCTCCTCAGAGTGCTGAAAGACAGCATACCACTGTCACGGCGTACAGGAGGTGCAGACCACAACGAGCTCGAGTCTTGGACCACGACCCCCAGCAGCGGGCTTACTAGTGCGATCAAGCACACGGTTCAGGGGCTTACCCAGTGGAGTATGCACCCGGAGATGAACATGCCAACCTCGTACACTCATCGACAGGTGCTGGTTGGGCTCCAATTCCTAGGTCCCAAGAGGCTCCTTCGTGCGCTGTTGGAGGAAGTGAGACAGCAGTCTGAGGCCGGAAGTGCCAGTTTGGTGTACGACGTGACCACAGCCATCATTTGTGCACCGGATGTAGTGAAGGATAGCCATGGCAACATCGGTATGCTTGACGCGAATGGCAATATGCCTCCGCCGATGCAGCGTCGGCGAACCCTTCGAGAGCTCCTCAAGGCTGCTGCTGAAGACTGCAAGAAGATCCAGAAGAAGGACCCGATGTTGGCTGAGATCGTTGTGCGCCTTCACCGACGAGTCGAGGCGCAGATGGTGATGCCACAGGCGCAAGCAATGCTCCAGGCTGCAGACATGTCGCTCACCCTGAACGACGAAACGACGGCCCTTGGAGATGCAATGGCTGCTGCGGCCGGTGTCCAGGCCGATGGCATGTCGACGGACACCATGGGCTTGGACATGAGTATGGCTGGCGTAGGATCAGACTTGGGTCTTGGCGGATCGGTCGTCAGCGGAGGCGGCCTGGATACGTCGGGAGACGCAGACCTGTTTGGTGGCCTCGATACGGCCGACATGGTCGACTTTGAGTGGGAAGGTATGGACCTAACATAGTATGGGTTTGCCTAGACACTTTGGGCGTGGAGTCTTTGGCGGTGATGGATTGTTATTATTACTCACGGCGCATGATGGGTGGCATGGAAAGAATGACGGCGATGTTGTCGTGATTTATTTGGTTTATTTGGGTTACTGGTGGGATCATTCAACAAGAAGGCAGCACGATGGCCTTGCCTTTGCGTGTATAGAGCACGAACAGAGATGGATACAGTCTTGCAAACAAGACGACCTTCGACAGCATTCAATCTCACCCTTCCCTCACATCTCTTTCGACATTTCGGTTGACATTGTGTCTTCATCATCATCATCCTCACTTGCGCTAATCCGGACAACACAGTTCTCTCTTCTACTTGGCCTCGACCCAGCTACCGATGGTGAACTGCGAATTGCACATGTTGGTCAACTCCCAGTCCTCGGCGCCCATCTCGCCCTTCATGCCCTCGTCGCCACGGCCACCACACAGACCAGCCACAAACATGGTGGCCATGAAGTGGTCATCGGTGGCGTGGGCATCGCGATAACGAGGGTGCTTCATCAAGCTCGTGGCCTTGCGGCGCAGCAGAGGACCGCCGCAGGGCTTCTTGCCCCGGATCACCTTGCCGTAGACGGCGCGGTCGGCCGGCACGTCGTCCTCATACGCACAGCACACCAGGTCGATGACCTCCTGGCGGAAGTCGAGGGCCCAAGCCTCGGGCGGCGTGGGCTGGGCGAGGCTGTCGCGGTAGCGGATCATGGGGCCCCAGACGTTGCGGTAGAGGTTGTGGACGGAGCCGCCGGAGCCGATGAAGAGGGTGCGGCGGGACCGGCCCCGCAGCGGCCGGAGGGCGGCGCCGACGGCGACGTGGAAGTGCGGGTCGTACGTGTGATTCATGCTGAGGAGCGTCGTGGGCGGGCAGCCGTTGGGGAACATGCGGATGAGGATGAGGTACGTGTCGTGGATCCAGTCGAAGGTTGGCGCGGGCTGCGAGTCGATCCCCGCGGCCGCGAGATGCGCCTGGATAGTCGGGACGTAGTCGACGTCGGGGTTGAGCTTGTAGTCGATGTACTTGGACGGGTGGACGTAGGCGACGGGGGATTTGCCAGGGTTGGGGTTGGCAGAGATGAGGATGGTGTTGGGTGTGGATGTAGCCCAGTGTGCGCCCTGGTTATGGGTTAGCTGGGTTGGCCCATATGGGAGTGAAGAGTGAGGGCATCGCGAGCATCATGAGGCGACAAGAACTTACCATGACGACAACGTGCTCGACCCCGTTCGCGAGCGCCTCTTCGCCGCACTTCTTCCAGTAGTTGCCCGAGTCGTGCTCCTCGCCCAGCATCATGGTGCTGCCATGGGCATACAGGTGGACGGGATTCATGGGCTCTTCTTTGCTGCCGACAGCCATTGTGGAGGATGATGGGATGAGGAATTTGGGGTATCAAAGGCTGTGTGGGTGAGGGGAATCCAGAATTGAAGGACAAAAGGGTAAAAGACGAATGGGTATCAGGCTCTTTACTTGACCGAAACTCTCAAACGAGAAGAGTGATGATGACGACGACAGCAACGGCGTCGACTTCGTCCTTTACTAGCACAGGGAGATGTGATCAAATTGCGAGCTGCCGCGGACGTGGTCTTCAATAATCACAGGTATAATTACGGAACCGCCATTGCCATCTCCCCCATTAACAGGCCCCCTGCTTCCATCCGCCCCTCGGCTGCCGCTTGTGGGGGAAATCTCTCCCGCTTTTGGTCACTCGGGATTTCCTGGTATAATCCGGGGAACTCTCGGGTTGGGTGGGGCCGGCTCGGCACACGAGCCCCGGCCCTCCACTTTCCGACCCCCGCAAATTTGGACAAGGAGCTACTGTGTTAGTGCGCGGCTGGGCGCTGGGTGGTATGGGCATAGCTTCGCTGTGAGTGGGCGGCGGAGCAATGGCACCAGGCTTGATCGTAGTCGGCAGCCGAGATTTGGAGATGTGGCATGTTGGACAGGTTTGACATGTTTGGAGATGTTGGAGAAGGTGGTGTGGCGTGTCTAGGCTTGAGTTGAGCGTGTATTGCGCATGAGATGATACCGAACTAGGTGCAGCGTGGGGTTTATAGGCGAACAGGGAACTAGATTTCGTGGTTCCTATGTAGAATACAACACTAAGAAACACTGGAATGGGCTGTTTACTCTCCAGAACAAGACAACTTTCAGCATCTGGCCACGATGGATGGATATCGGTAAATACACTCAGGAGCACAACCGCTCCTCTTCAAGCCCGCATTCTCAACGCATACTCTAGTCCCCGTCTCCCTATGAAATACGTCCCGTAGCCTACCAGCGGTAGCACCACCGAGAGCGTGATGCCGAAGCCCGTAAAGAAACTCGCTTCAAAGAAGCCCAAGTAATCGTTGCGTGGTTGGCCGGTGGGCGAGAGCGGCTTGGTCGCCAGCGCGCGCACCGACTGCGTCGTCACTCCCGCTACATCGCCGTCTAGTAGCTTCTCGACGTGCGTAAAGGCATCGGGCTGCCGCTCGACGAACTGCGGCCGCGGGACGGAGAACATGGCCGCGCTGTAGCGGTGGTGAAGATCTGGCTCGTGAGATGTCGGCGCGGCCGGGCCGACGAGCAGGTGCCGCGGGATCTGGTTGATGCACGAGACGTGGGCGGGCGTTTGCTGTGAGAGATACTTTGCGGCGTCGTTGGCGGCGAAGATGTAGGCGGCGAGCAGAGGCTGGTTGGCCGCCTGGGTGTGGTTGTAGGCGGCGTCGAGGAGGCTGGTGCAGGTGATGATGGGGAGGAAGCGGCCGTTGACCTTGATGTTGGCGACGGTGGCATCTCTGGAGAGCGGTTAGCACGTATATCCGGCTTTGCGATACTCGGGTCAATCTCACCTGTCCTTGATATCAACCAGCTTAAAGTCGCTCGACCCAAAGCTCGTGGCCACTCTCTTCTCCTCGGCCTCCCGAATCGCCCGCCTCGAGGCCTCGGTGCGGTTCCCGTCAACCCGCTTGACCGACGTCTCGCGCGCAAACGACAGCGTCGCATAGCGCGAGCAGGCCTCGAAGAAGTCCTTCTTGACGTACTCGTTGACCAGGACGAGATCGGGTGCGTACGGCGACATGCCGCCGAAGCTGAAGCGCGCGGCCGTGATGGCCTTGGCTGCGGCGTCGAGGTCGGCGGTGCGGTCGACGATGGCGATGGCGCGGTGCTGGTTCGCGGACCGCAGCTGCGTCGTCAGGCTGTCGGAGCTGGAGACGCTCGTCTGGTCGACGAGGATGGCCGAGGAGAGGATCTTGGGATCGGAGATTGTGTTTGTGATGCAGAAGACGTTTTGGTCCAGCGCCTTGGGGAGGATCTGGCGGAGCGTAGCGTCGAGGTTCAGGAGGCTCTCTTGCAGCTGCGGAACGAGTTAGCATCTGAATTGCAGTAATTCTTGTCGTATGCAAAACAAACCTCGAGAGCAACACAGCATGCCGCCGACAAAGCCGCTGCCAGCGGGCTGACAATGGAGAAGAATCGCGTATGGCTGGTCGGCCGCAACACCACGAGCCCGTAGCCGACGCGGCGGCCAGCATTGTCCTTGCCGCGGGCCACCGAGTACTCGTCCTCGAGAGACTTCTGGAAGTCGAGTCCGTCGTAGAAGTGGCGGACGGCCTCCATGGCGAGGAAGAACTCAGCGTCGACCTCGGCGGCCGAGGCGCCCGTGTCTTTGGCCATGGCGGCGCAGATGTCGGCGGCGTTGGTGCGCAGGGCCAGGTGCAGCGCGTGCATCAGGTTCTGGCGGAAGCGCAGTGTTTCTGCGCGGCCGTCGACAACGGCGTCTTGGAGACGCTCGATTGCGGCGTCCATTGCGGTTGTGGTTGTGGTTGTGGTTCTGGTGGTGTTGGTGGTGTTGGTGGTGTTGGTGGTGATGATGACAGGACGAAAGACGAAAGAAAGACGCTGCGCAATGGGAGAAGACGGGAAAAGCAGCTCATCAACACTTGCTGCGATGCCCTCGAATGATAACCGGCTTCGTCAACCACAAAGCCTCCAATTTCCAGGCGCGCAATTGGAGTCTGCCCATTTGTCCTCGGTCGGTCGCCGGTCGGTGAGGCATCCGGAGGAGGGCCGCCGGGCCGGAAAGTGGGGGACGAGCGAGCGGAGGTTCGCGGATGTTTCTCAGGGCGCGGGGAGATGGAAGCTGTACACACTCACACTCACACTCACACTCGCATCTCGGCATATTCGGAGAGCGCCGAGCGAAATCCCTGACCCAGTCGCCTGTTCCACCTGCACGCAACACGCGTGCTCGCTGTATACGTCTGTGGAACCCCTGGCGCCCGAGAGTGAGATCCGTCCCGGAGCGGCTTTGTCCTGCAATATCATCAGCCCATCCGGAACCGACTGACTAGACGACAGACAGAGAGAGCACTCTTCATCCCTGAGATTGCAATTCTCTCGATTCCCGTTCAATCCCCCAACTCCATCTCATTTCCCCCCGTTCACCATCCACCTCCAGCCCAATATGTCTGCCACAGCCACCGAGACGCGAGAGCTTCTGCACGACTACGACATCCATCTCACGGCTGGAAACCAAGAGATCAACAGCGTCACCAGCACCGACAGATTCCGCAGCTCCGGCGATGCACCGCGCGTCCAGGTCGAGAACCCGCCCAACTGGAGAAACGACTACCGCCAGACGCCTCCCTACCGACCGGCCAACCGCGGGCTCGACCTCTCGCAGCGACCGTGGGGGACCAACCTGATAGAGCAGGGCTTCATCTTCCACATGTTTGAAGGAGTTGTGATTCAAGCCGTAAGTTGTATCCATTGCAGCGTCTTTTGAAATCGAATTTGCAGCTGACGTGCCTGTTTTACCAGACTGCGAACTGGCTGTGGAGGAAGACCATTGGACGGTACAATGAATCTCTTTGGCGGGCGCAGGTTGGAGGAGAGTTTTGAGTAGTGTTATTGGGTTGTAGATGATGGATTTGGATAGCCTCTAGGCAGTGGTGTTGACGTCGTTTTTGTTGTTTGAGTCGACAGTTACATTGAAGATTGAGTAAAGGTTGACGTTTTGTATTCAATTATCCGAGCCGTGTTATGCCATAACAGACGTTCCCGTACTATCGAAGATAAGCCTCAAACTGCGCGAAAGATGAACACCATAAGTACCAGGCCCTCAACGCCTTATTACTGCCCCCAAATCTATTCCTACAGCACCATTTACATTTCCACTCCGTTCCTAGACAAAATGATAGAAATATCCACTAAAGCACTTGCAACACACCCGTGGCCAATGATGAAATCCGTCCCCTTTGTCCATTCCTCCTACTCCCAGCTCCTTAATCCATCCCCGCCCCCACCTTTCCGATCAACACCGGCCGAGGGCCCCGTTCCGTGGTCCCGCGTGAGAGGGAGGGAGAGGAGCTGCACCTAACAGAGCATATTGTACTAATAACTACTGTACTCTCTTTTAATTCCTTTCCTTTACCTCATAATCTCTAGACCGGCCAAGTCTTTTCTCTATCGATCGGATCCCTAGACAGAAGAGAGGAAGCTGCCCATCATGGCCGAAGTCAAAACCCCACCCATCCGCGATCTCCTCGAGGTATTCGAAGACGAGGAAAACAACCTCACCTTCATGAAGAACGTCTCCATCCCCCTCAAGGCCTCCTCGCTGCCCATCCGCGCAAACGTCTACCTCCCCAAGTCCGCAGACAAGAACGCCCGCTGGCCCGTCCTCGTCACCTACGGGCCCTATGGCAAGGATATCCCCTACGCGACCTTCTACGCCGGCTCCTTCGACGAGGTCCCGGAGGACCACCGCTCCAAGTACTCGGCCTGGGAGACGCCTGATCCCGTATACTGGACCCGTGAGGGCTATGCCATCGTGCGTGCGGATGAGCGCGGTCTCGGTCAGAGCCCCGGCCTGCTCGATACCATGAGCCGCGGCACCAGCGAGTGCTTCTTCGACGTTGTCGAGTGGGCCGCCGAGCAGCCCTGGTCCTCGGGCAAGGTCGGCTTGCTGGGCATCTCATACTACGCCGGCTCGCAGTGGCGCGTGGCCGCTCGCAAGCCCAAGGGCCTGGCCGCCATCATCCCCTGGGAGGGCATGTCTGACTACTACCGCGACCGCTGCCGCCACGGTGGCATCTTGTCTAACAACTTCATCGGCTTCTGGTGGAACCGCCAAGTGCTCGTTAATCAGTATGGCAAGGGAGGCCGCTCCAAGCTGCAATTCCCTCCAGACGGCCCCGGCGCTCGTGGCCAGGAGGACACTATCGAGGGCGACCTGCCCGAGGAGGTACTTATACGAAACCGCAAGGACCAGACGCTGGACAACGTCAACAACAAGTTCCGCGATGAAGATTACTACTCGAGCAAGGAGTACAACCTCGAGGACATCGAGGTGCCCATGCTGAGTGTCGCCAACTGGGGTGGCATCTTGTTGCACCTCCGAGGAAACGTCGAGGGCTACACCCACGCCAGCTCCAAGTTCAAGTATCTCCGATTCATCACCGGCCGACATGACCTGCCGTTCTACTACCCCCAAGAAGTCGAGGTCCAGAAGAGCTTCTTCAACGCATTTCTCAAGGACCAGGACGACTACGGCTGGAGCGTCCCCGGTAAGGTCGCCCCCGTCACCTTGACGCTGAGGAAGGGCAATGTCGGCTTCAACGATGCCGAAGCGGAGAAGGCGTACCAGAAGCGAGAAGAAGAGGCCTGGCCCATCCCTCGCACTCAATATACCAAGTGGTACCTGACGCCCGACCAGGTCTTCACGCCCAGCCAACCTACTACCGTGTCCAAGGCTGTTTCTTATCCGGCCCTGGGTAACCTGAAGGACCCTAAGTTGGTGCAATTCACCAGCGCTCCCTTCGAGGAGGAGACCGAAGTGACTGGGCATGTCACGGCCCACCTCAACGTTTCAGTGACGCCCGATAACTCTGGCGAGACCGACATTGACTTGTTTGTGACTCTCCGCCACATCGACCCTGCTGGAAAGGAGGTCCTATACACAGGAACAGCTGGTGACCCCATTCCCTTGTGCAAGGGATGGCTGCGGGTGAGCAACCGCAAGGTCTACGAAGACCACCCCAAGCATCGCTCATACCGCCCCCACCGAGAGTACCTTGCCGCCGATGTGCAACCCGTCAAGGCGGGAGAGGTCTACGCCGTCGATGTCGAGATCTGGCCGACTAACGTCGTTGTTGAGAAGGGTGGAAAGCTGGTGTTTGAGGTGAGCAGTGGAGACACCCAGGGAAGCGGCATCTTCCAACACAACTCGGACGTCGACAGGTAAGTTTCCCCTCTGTGATCCAAGATTCCAGTTGCTGACGTTCAATAGACCGGCCTCCAAGTTCGCCGGAATCAACAGCATCCACTTTGGTGAGGGTCAGGATAACTATGTGACGCTTCCCATAATCCCGCCCAAATAGATAGAACCCATAGAATCCGCAAAAGATAGAACCACCACCAAGCTAAGGGCGAGACTGTAACCATCTGGGAACTTGGGTGGGGTAGCTTGTGCTTGAATAAATGAAGATATAACTGGCCATGATGCTTGTTCCCCACCGTAGAACTTGAACCGCGTCAAGTTGAACGCATATGAAGCCCTTGGACGAATTCGACCGGCTCCGCATTCTAGGTCCTCGTCCTCGGCTCATTACGGGTCGCCCACTCCGAGCCGGAATTCTGGGGAAACGAGGCCGGCGGGGGTGGGGGAATGGAACCTAACTGCCGTTCTGTGCTGGTCTTCTATGAGACATCTGCTCTCATCAGAGACAATCGGACAAGCCCTTCGTAGGATTCCATTGAGAGCATAGTCATCTTTCCTCTACATCCTTTTCAAAATGAGTTACGCAGAGCACTTTTCTCTGAAAAATATCCCATACGGGATCGCCAGCACCGCGGACCGTCCAGCTGCTGTAGCCACTCGGCTTCACGATCTTGTATTCTTTCTCTCTGACTTGAACCTGGACAGCCCTGGTAGCGTCAAGAGCACCTTTTCTCATGTATGTACGAGCCAAGGACCACAGTCACAGAGGCTAACAATGTAGATCACGCTCAATGCACTCGCATCGATCGACAAAAGCGAACTTGCGAAGCTCCGAAGAAATATCCAAGCAGTTCTAGGAGATGATAAGAATGTGTCCAAGTTCGGAATCCCGGTCGGAGAGGCCAAGATGCATCTGCCGATTGAAGTCAAAGGATTCACCGACTTTTCTTGCTCGACAGAGCACCTGCTGAATGCTGGTGAGGCCGTTCTGGGAGTTCGGAGCTTCCCACCCGCGTCTTTACATCTCCCGATCGGATACACTGGACGCTCGTCCTCAATTGTGGTGTCTGGGACGCCCATCATCCGTCCGTACGGTCAATATCGTGACGGAGAAGAAATCGGGTTTGGCCCATCTCGGGCACTCGATTATGAACTGGAAATGGGGGCCATCATTGGCAAGCCCTCGACCTTTGGCGATCGGGTGTCGATCAACGATGCAGATGAGCACATCTTTGGAGTGGTGATTGTGAATGATTGGAGCGGTAAGACTAAGGGTCAATCTGGTACAATGTGACGCAATGGCTGAATGATAAACTAGCACGAGACATTCAAGGCTTCGAGATGCAGCCACTTGGCCCCATCAATGGTAAGAGCTTTGGAACATCGATTTCGCCATGGGTCGTGACACTTGAGGCCCTGCAGCCCTTTGCGACGGCGCCGCCGGCCAGGCAGATGCCCGTCAAGGCGTACCTGCAAGACAACAAAACCAAGTCGAGTTACAGCATCAAGCTGAACTCCGAGGTGCTGTCGGAAGGGTCCGCAACCAAGGTGTGCCAGGCGCAGCTGCAGTGGATGTACTGGACATTCCGAGACCTGGTGGCTCAGCAGACCATCAACGGGTGCAACATCAACGCGGGAGATCTTCTGGCAACGGGCACAGTGTCTGGAGTTGGGGACGATGAGCACGGCTGCTTGCTCGAGATGACCAAGGGCGGCAAAGTCGAGTGGGAGCTGTCGACAGGGAAGAAGAGGCGCTATCTCGAGGATGGCGATGGAGTGCGATTGACAGCGTATGCTGGGGATGGCGTTGGCTTTGGTGACTGCACAGGGTTCATCTCGGCAGCGAAGCCTTTTTGAGTTGAGAAGAGGGAATGGATTTCAGGATTGGGAGCAACTCTGCCAGCTCGTTGTTGCTGGAACGATGAATGACGGAGGGTAGCTTACAGTAGCTTAGTTGAGGGACGATGGGGTTTATTGAATGGAGGCCAAGAAAGTACGTACCTCTGGCCCGTTCCAAGCTCCCACGTTAGCTCCTTCCAATTCCCCATAATGGCCAGTGCTGGGATCCATGACCAGACCCAGCAGTGGAATCGCGCCATTTGCCCAAGCTCCACCTCGACTCCTCGACCTCCAGGGGGGCCTTGACCCACTGTAAGCCCCCCTAAAGCAGGTGTGCGCATGCGCAAGTCCACTGAAGATGCCCCCACAACAGCACCTCATCAGACGCTTCGGGTCGCCTACCACATCCCCTACAACCGCTGGAACCTTCTGTTGGCGCCCATTTGGTACCCATCCTGGATCTCCTGTCGCGGAGAAAGCCCCTGTTCCGTCGCGCATCGGCTGAGGCCAGATTGTCACACCCACAATACATCCACTCCAACTTTTCCCCATCCCCATCTCGTCGCCGACTTCAGGCCCGTTTCTACTCTTTTCTTCCTCCTCTCTTGTTCTTCCCCCCGTTCACCCCCCCTTGCCGTCTTCTTTCTTGTCGCCGCCTCTCGTCTCTGTCGCCATGTTCTTCAAGGCTTCCCTCGTCGCCCTCCTGGCCGCCCACGTCTTCGGCGCTGTCGCCCAGGTATGTTCCTCCTCGCGCCAACCATCACGAATTGCATGGCCACAACGCCTCAATTAGCTCTCTGACTCTCCCGACTCGGCGCCCATTGTCGCGTGCATCCCCTCACTAACACTTCATCTCTCTAGGACGACGCTCCCGGAACCTCCCCCGTCACTCCCCCCGCGCTCCTCGCCGATGTCTCCGCCACCTTTCCCGAGGCCGACATCTTCGGCGTGAAGCTCGTCAACGGTCGCCCCATCAAGGCCGTCGTCGAGATCACCAACCACGACAGCAAGCCCATCGACGTCGCTTTCGTCGCTGGTATCCTCGCCACCACCAAGCAGCTCCCCGAGGACGCCCCTGCTTACGAGAAGATTGTCCGCAACCTCACCTCGGTCCCCTACGACCTCAAGATTGAGGCTGGCGAGAAGAAGGAACTTCCCTACTCCTTCGCCATCGACATGAACCCCCAGGATGTCCTTGTTCAGCTCGTCGCTGTCATCACCGACTCCAAGGGTGCCGTCCACCAGGTCCAGGCCTCCAACTCCACTGCCTCCATCGTTGAGGCTCCCACCAGCTTCCTCGACCCCCAGATGTACGTCCACTCTTCCGCTCTCCCTCAACCTCTCAACTAACTGTGCGACTCAGCATTTTCCTCTACCTCTTCCTCTCTGCTGCCTTTGCCGGTACTCTCTACTTTGTCTACAAGACCTGGATCGAGGCCCTCTTCCCCCAGGCCAAGCGTCCCCGCACCACCAAGAAGGCCAAGAAGATCGTCGAGGCCGAGCCCACCTCCGGATCCGAGTCCACTGGCCTTGCCACTGGCAGCGGCAAGGACTACGACGAGAGCTGGATCCCCGAGGGCCACATCAACCGCCCCTCCGCCAAGCGCGTCAAGTCCAGCGCCTCCAAGACCAAGAAGTTCGAGTAAGCAAGCAACCTGGACCATCACCACGTCCTGGAGCTGCGACACGGATTACCCAATTGTCTTGACTCTCTCGCCCCCCGATGATGAGCATTGGGATCGAGTTGAGCAGGCCGGGAAGGGCGGTCAGTTTTGGTATCTTGCCATTGCTCTTTTTCTTTTTTTTTTGGGTAGTCTGGGCAAAAAAAACATTGAGGGTGTGCAATTGACTTTTTGCGCCGTGGATGGACGCGTGATGAAAGCCGCCAAAACTGTTGTACATTATTACCTGTGCCAAAAGCAACCAACAATAACACCAAAATTCCCAGCCATGATGATGAATCGTTGTCTGTGACTTGATTATAATGTAATCACATGTTCTTACGGTCCTAAATCCTGTCCCACTGTAGCTGCCTCAAATATCACGAGTCCTGCATTAAGACCCGATGCGCAGTGTAGCGCTAAAGCACTTTGGCAAATGTGTGAAGTGTCTTTGGTCCGATGTTTCTAAGGTAAGATGACTGCACAAACAGCAAAAATAACAAAATACTCTAGTAGATCCGTTAAGCGTCTCATCAAAATCATTAAGTAGGCCAAGTTCATATCAAAGCAATTCACGTTGACTTCCCACCCCTCCGCTCCTCTGCGGCCTCAGCAGCCAGATACCCCATGACGGCCTGCTCCTGCAGACGGGTGTCCCGTTCTGGGGCATTTTCTCGCCGCGCGATGTGCCCAAACAAGCATTCCCATAGGTCACCCCTGTCGACCATCTCGCCCGCCGTCTTGTCTTTGCTCATCAGGCGTGACAATGCCGCTTGCTCTAACTCGAGCGTGTTGGCAGCCTCGATATTAGCGTCCAGCAGCTCTGGTGTCGACTCCAAGGACTTGCCCTTGGTGCTACGACCCATGTGCTCCATGCGACGTTGAACGGAGAGGTTGTAGATGGACTCCTCGATGGTGCCTGATACGATGTATAACCAGACCGTCGTCTCATGCTGTTGCCCAATTCGGTCGACACGGGCAATGGCCTGGAGCTCTAGCGCCGTGTTCAGGAGGGGCTCGCATAGGAAGACATGGCTTGCGTTGACGAGATTAAGACCGCTTGAGTGAGCCCTGGCGTGAAGCAGGAAGCACTCAACTGAAGGGTCCTCTTTGAACCGGGTGATGCCGGATGGGTCGTCGATCGATGCGTGGCCTATCCGAAATCGTGAGAATGCGTTGCGCAGAATGTTGAGAAATCCCTTGTATCTACTTCCATGTTAGCATTTCTACTGTTCCAAGTAGTAAGATTCGGTACTTACTGCGAAAATACAATGGATTTTGCACCGGGGTCCGATTCTCGAAGCCAGATGAGGTGCTTCACCAGGGTGTCAACTTTGGTAGTAAACGAAGGACCATCCAAAGTAATGTTCTGGATTTCCGCAAGTTTCTCGGAGTTGAATTCTGAGTAGATCATCGTCTTCTTGGCCAATGAGTTCCGTTTTTGCGGACTGTTTTCTGTCGAATTACTTCCCTCATCACCTGAAGTCTCGTTGTGCACTTTCAGCTGCTGAGGATTGATGGTGATGTCGTGCAAATTGGACGTCTTGAGTTTCTTTTTGCAGACCGGGCAGTTGTGATGTGCATTAAACCACAACATCATACACTCTTTGCAGAATTGGTGACCACACACCGTCAAGACCCCAGTCGTGAAAGTCGTCTGGCAGATGACACACATCCTAGGCTCATTGGACTTGGATCCTGCTTGCTTAAGATGAAGCACTACGAGTCAAGTTAGCAAATGCGTAAAATTTCAAGAGTGTTTGACTTACAATACCGATGCTTGGCCTCAGCCGAAGACAGCTTCTTGCGCAAACTCTCCTCAGTTTCCTGAAGTTTCTGGATGGTGGCTTCTGTTCGGGGTCCTTCGTACGGCTCCACGCTATCCGACACAGCTTGGAGCTGGCGGTAATATTCCAAACGAGCGTTCATAGCCGTCCTGAAGCTCTCAACTTCCGCCTCTAGTGCAACAGCTGCCTTGCTCTGCTTGCTGAGAAGCGCCTGGGCCGCTTTGAGTTGCTTATCTACAATTTCACCTTCGATTACCCCTCGATTTGAGTCTCGTGCGAGTCTCGATATCAGGCCCCGAAATTCGCTGATGGCGGCTCGCATGGATGGAGACCTAGGTTTGAGCTGCGCTCGCAGTTCCATCAATTCAATCAGCTTCGCAGGTGCCGGGCCGTCTTCGTTGCGTGCCAACCTCAAAGAAGTTGCCGTCTCGTGCTTGATTAGCTCATTTGTTTGTCCGGACATGGCATCTTGGCGATCTGCAATAACAGCGCGGAGTGCTTGCACGTAGACCATCAACTCATCTTGAATCTTGGCTGACTCGCCAAGTTCCTCACCGGTTGTCTCGACCTCGTCCTCTTCGTCAACAAGAGGTTTCAAGAGAATCTGAATAACATGCTCTCTCCAGTCATCGATGAGGCTGGCCTGGTCGTTCAGTTCCCCATACAAGGCATCCAAATCGTCCACAATACGGCCGCTTTCAATTCCTCTTTCAAGCCCAGCCATCAGTTCCGGGATTTCGATGAATGTCTGTTCAGATACCTTTTGTGAAATTTTATCCATTAGCCGTGTTGCTTTGCGGTGGCTCTCATGCAAAATCTCTCTTCGAATGACTTTTGCATCCTCGTAGCCACCATCCTCCAGCTTTTTGAGACGGTGAAAATCTTCAGAATCTGGTTCTGTCATATCTGGTCGATCTCGGATTTGGAAATAGGCATTGGCGCAAAAGAAGATAGCCTTGTGCTGCATCTCAAGCGCTCCACGGAGTCTACGTCGACTCTCACCCAGCCGGCCCTTGTTGTCACCTTCGCCCGGCTCGTCCTCGGAATCTTCGGGGTCAGCAGAGTCGTTTGGTTTCGACTTCTCAGCCATGTCACTTCCTCCTTGCTCTTCAATTAGACTTTTGAGCTCCGCTCGAGCATCAGAGACGAGCCTGGCAGTCTCGTCGCTGACCACTTTCCAGATTTCCAGTGCCTCTTTCACCCTGGGGCTATTCTCATACATCTGGCCCCGTGTTAATTTGCTTGAAAGATATGCTCTCTCGTCTGCTCGGATTGTATTCTCGCTCTGCTCAAGCATAGCATCGAGAACCTCATCTACCGTCCTCATTGGTCGTGCCTTGCCGTTGCCGAGGGTCTTGCGGTTGTATCCAGCAACTTCAGGATGCAATGCAGTCTGTCTCAGTCTATTCAGCCACGTTCTCATATCCTCTTCGTGCTCTTCTGGTTTCCAGTCTTCAACCATAGGCGCGCCATCAATAGAGAGCTCACAAGCTTCCGCCATATCGCGATACAGCGATTGATAGTGTTGCTCCTCAACAGCGGTGAATGGCATGCTTATAACAAAGCGCTTCTGAGGTGGTAATAGCAACTCGTCTCGAACTATCGACTTCGTATGGCGAAGTGAGATGCTGTTGAAGAGCTGCTGAAAGATTGGCTTGTGATCTCGGATGAGTGCCTGCCAAATCGGTAAAGACGAGCAGTATGGCTCATATTGGAGGAACAGAAGCAATCCAGAGAGATCCTTCACGTCGTCCTTGACTGGCGTACCGGTGATTCCCCAAGCATTTATGCGGGGAATCACTCGAGCGACTATGGCAGCCTGACTGATGCCATTCTCAATCATCTGTGCCTCATCAAGGCAGACCCTCCACCACGAAATTTGCACGAGCGGGGATTTGGTCCGTGGATACACTCTCTCATATCGTCGAGATCGTTCCGGGGGAGTTGTTGCGAAATGTAGCTCGTCGGTGAGGATGCTGTAAGTCGTGACGATTATATCGTAACCGGTAAGCTCGTTGATTTCTTTTTCTTCTTCGCCCCCAGTGAGCTTCTTGCATCCTTGGTAGAACTTGACGCTAAGCCCAGGTGTGTGGCGAGCGATTTCCGATATCCACTGGGCTCGGAGTGATTCAGGGGTGACGATCAGGGTCGCACCAGTTGGGACAAGGTTTGCCTGGATCTCGGCTTTCGTCAACACCAGAGGACTAGGCCTGGGATGGAGAAGGATCAGACCGAGAATTTCTAATGTCTTCCCCAAGCCCATCTCCTCGGCTAAAATGCCGCCCCGAACAGCCATTTCTGCCCGTCGAAAAGGGGTAACGTCGCGAGTCACAGTCTGGAAAATATCACTCAAGTAGAACTCTCCGCCAGCAGCATCTTTCACTTTTCGAAACAAATCCACCTGGGAGTTCGCTTCTTCGACCGCGTAAGTGTCCACGCCTTTTCTAGTCTCTGACCATTGAACGCCTTCCCTCCGCAGGAGCCACTGTAATGTTCGTTTCTGGTATGGGAACAGTGTTGCCTCAAGCTCGGGAATCTCGATTGAACTAGGTATTTTATCATCTTTGGGAGGGACGAATGTGGCATTGTAAAAATCCATGGGAGACCAGGCCAGCTGGCGTTGCTGTTGCGCGTTGGTTGAGCCGGGAGCGGGGAACACCGAATCGATCAAACGTTTGCTCACGAGTCGTTCTCGATTTGTCCTTAGCTGGTCAAAAGGTGATGACGTCTCGTTCCAATGAACCTCGAAGAATAGCTTGATCTCGGCGAACCTCTTACGCCTCTCAATAATCGCACTTGCATGTGCCCACAGTGCTCCAGGCAAGGCCTGGTTTTTACTTGAACCACCCGCGTCAAGAAAGTCTTTGATGTTCGCAGTCACATCTTCAGGCCTAAGTGAGATGGTTGCTGAGAATGAATCCACGGGGGAGCCTGGTTGAGAGCGGATAACGAGGCGGTTATCGCGTACACAAAATCCGAGGTATTGTCCAACATCATTGCGAGAAACGGTGTACTTGGTGGGCGCAACATCGATGCATCGGCGTGCAAGAGTCACCGAACCCGTGGCGACATGAATGGAGGGGGTTTCAGAGGGTTTAACTGTCTTGCGCCGCTTTATAGGCCTCTCAACGGAGGACGAGACGTCATCGGAGATCTCGGTCACATCTGCTGATGGTAAGGAGCAAAAGTAGTTGATGAAAGATGATGGAAACATATCTGTGGAGGTTCAAATCAGGTTGCATGTCACAAAGGATGATGAGGGCCTAACCAACCATCAAGACCAATATCGAGGTCTATAGCCTTAGCCGTGGGCCTGCGGCGAGCAGTCGCCTTTGTTCGTGCCATTCCGCTTTCGTTTTTTGCGGCTTTTGATGGGGGGGATAAATTCGGTGGTTTGTTGCCGTGGAATACTGCCACAGCATTTTTCTGCACAGAGCCAACGTGAATAAGATGTAGGAGGGAAGTGAAAGCAGGAGGAGGGCAGTCTTCTTGAAGTGGGATGTCAGCCTGGTTGGCCCCACCAAGGCGGGGCCAATCGTGGAGCTCCGATAGTGCGCCACAACCACAATCGAGAGTGCAAGCCACATGGCAGCCTCGCTTACATAACATAGCCCCACTGTCAAATTTCGAGATCGAGGTTTCCAAGACTCGTGGGACCACGCGAAACTTGACGACGAACCTCTAGGAGGACGCCCTACTTGCTCCAATCGACCCATTGAACGATGTAAGTGTGTGCTAGATAAACTTCATTTACCCGTCATCTTCCTTTGAGAGATGAAATCTAACCATGCGCCTAGTCACCATGAAGGGCGAACGGCTCCGGGCGTCCCTCGAGATGCTCCTGCGGACCAGCAACACCTTTTCGCGAGCTGGGCAGATCCGATTCCTGCACAAGACGAGACCGTTACCCCCGATCCCCAAGCCTGTTCCCTTCGTACCCGATGTGCCGACCTTCTTGACGTTGATCGGCCGCGGCCTCAACAAGTATGCCAGCAAGTTCCCCTCATGGGACGCACTCTTCTCCCTCACCTCGCCTCAACTCAAAGAGCTCGGCATCGAACCCGCTCGCACCCGTCGATACCTTCTGCAATGGATGCAACGATACCGCAAGGGCGCACTGGGACCCGGTGGAGACTTCCGATACGTCGAGAATGGAGAGGCCATCTTGAAGATTGCCACCCCCCCCGCCTCGATGCTCCACGACGGCAAGTACGCTGTCAACGTCCCCCACACCGATTCTGTCGATGTTGCGGCCACCTCTGTCTTGACCAGGCCGGTGGGCTACCGGGTGCAAGGTCTCAAGACGATTGTGGGACCCTACGCCACCCCACTACCCGGTCTGTCTGGAGCGGTTGTCAAGGTCACGGAGGGTATGTGGGAGCACCGCCAGGGTCGCAAGATTGACGGTGGTGAGCGAAGAAGGGCTGAGGTTCAGTTCAAGAAGCGATCCGCTGAGCGGAGAGCCGAGCGGGAGGCCGAGATGTTGTCAAACATGTAAAAGTGCATTGGAAGGCGAAGGGAACGTCCCGTGTACATTAAGACTGTAGTTATATCAGGACCTGTCTTGGTCTCATGGACTCGATTTGAACAAGGCCAATTTCACGAAGGGCTATATGCACCCTTCTTCGTTGGTTGATGCGCCTAGTCATGACATACCTTATTAAAGCAATGTGTAGAAAACCACGTGGAGTTGCGCATGATGACCATCTTATTTCCCACTATACATCCCGTTAATACCGAGGAGGTTAAAGCAGGCGTGATTAAATTGGAAACACTGATGCACGTATCTACGCAGTGAGACAAGCCTACCGATCAAGAGTTCATGCATGCATCATGCTCTCTTAAAAAATAGGATGTCCTCTTGAAAATCGACACTAGAAACTGTAGCATTTCCAAAATCATTTTGTATTGCCAATCTTTTTGGACGAGTTGATGAAGCAGGCTGCAGCGGATTGTCCTCCAAAACTCCAGCGATGGGTTAGTGGAGTTGAGCAGAGGCGCACCAAAATAGTCATTCGACAACACCAGGCTGGGGAACAAACGACGTGAAACTCCACACCCCATGGAGATCTGGGTGATAAAAAGAAGGCAACTCAAGGCCAACCCAAGACCCGTCCTCTGAATCCGAACCTGAGAAGCTTAATTCAACGTCGCAAGCAAGGGCTTCAAGGCAGATTCCGCGGAGAAACCCGCCATTGCCTGTTTGTCAGCGATGACCAAGCCCAGGGTGAGAAGTACGTATACACGCGTGCGTACGCATTTGGTGTGGCTCTGTCTCTCGTATCCGCGCGGCTATGGTAAGGCGAGACCATGGGCCTGGGTCATGCATCGACGTTTCGTTTCGTTTCGTAGGGCTGAGAGCGAAGCCTGAGAAGAAGAAAAAAAAGTAGAGATTGATAGACGATGGTGAAGGGCATCAAATCGCATCGCATTACATAGGTAGAGAAGGGACATAAGATTTCGTATGCAAGGCGCTGGCAGACACCTACACCAGCTTGCACTTGATCATGTACATTGTGTAGTTAGTTAACCAAGCCTGCTGAATCCGCGCTCTTGTAGTGTTGACAAGTCCCCAGAAGTTGACATGATTGAGGTGGTTGGTTATAAACAAATGTGTCTGAATATAAATTTGTCTGCGTTAATCAGAGGTGATATGGGAGAAATGCAGGAACAATCGCAGTGCAGCAAACATGTGAGATAGAGGGTCAAGCCATATAAACGAGGGCCGCTTAGTACCTACCTAGGTAGGTACCTACCACTTACCGCAGCACTGGGGGGGTGACTGTGGACTCACCAGGTATTTTATCCGTTTCAACGAGCAGAGGCCCATTAATTCAATAGGCGACGATACATAGATGATCATCCCTATCTACGGATAGTAAACAAACGTCGGAAATTCCATCAGACGATACGAGCAGAGATAGACTGTAAAGCTCCTGTATGCTGTTACCAGCCACCAACAATGGCCCATCCATCCACTCTCATACAGTTGATGATCCGTCCAACTTAGGCGCCACCATTGTACCCATCCCGCACGAGTCAGGCCAACCTCTGGATCTCCACATTGGAGGCCGTTGAGGGACAGAGGAGCAAAACGCAAGTGCGGGAATGAGGTGGTTTGATGCTGCCGTCACTGTCACATTGTGCATCCGGCAACTTGTGCCCCCAGCGCCACAAAATGTTGGCGTCGAGCCATGGTTACAGATGCGAGTTCCACGGGATGTGGGTGCCGTACCCGAAGCGGAGCGGAGGAGAAAGCTCACTTGTGCAACTTATCCCAGAGTAGATGCATCTTTCAATTGGCCAGAGCTGTGCAAAAGCGCAGACATGCCGTTCCTTGCAATGCGCCCTGAGGTTCGAGGCTAGTGCTCATCCTTCAAGCCATCAATGATGCCGTCAATTACCCCCATGTCCGCTTCCTTGCTTGAGGCCCTCCACCCGTAAGCGACCTGGGTCTTGCATGCTTCCCACGGGTCCACGTTGAATATCCCGGTTTTGGTAGCCGGACAAGCTGCAGGCTCCGCAACCGCCCGGCGCCGGGTGGAGAGACCCGGCCATGGCCATCGAGCATCAAACTCCATCTCAACCCACCGAGGGCACCCACACGATCACACATCCATACAAACCCCTGCTTTTCCCACTCTGACCTGCCTACAAGTTGATCCTCAGATAGGATCCCCTTCTTTCCAACCCGTCATCCTTGACCGAAGGAGCATGCTGTGCGAATACCCCGGACCCTGCATGTGGCCTCCCCCTTAGCCCCATAGCCCCCCATGTAATAAATTTTGAATCGTAGCCGCGGTTATGCTGCGATACATCGCCACTCAAAAGCCGTCACCTTTGGCTTTGTTCGACATTATTCAAGCCATGCAATTTCCTTGGCATTGCCGAACTGTCAGGGGTGCGACTATTTCCATCCACAGTCGAATTTGACATCTCCGCGGACGGAACATGACCCTGGGAAAAGAAAGTCGAACCGGGTCTGGTACCCGTTTCCTGCAACCTCGTTAAACCTCGACCTGTAACATTCGACAGCTTAGGGCAAGCTCGACACCTAGTACGACTCCTGCCTTTCTAGGTTCCCCATATCCGAAGTAGTTTATTCCAGACAAGGAAAGACGATGCGAATTCCGTCCAGACTCATCGCGGAAAGGCGACTGTCTCCCTCATCTCCCCGTGGACGTCACGGACATAATCATTCCAGTCGGTGACGGGGGTTGCATACATCAGGAGGGAAATGACACCTGTAAGCACTCAAATCTACACCCTCACCTCGCCTCTGTCGCTCGGATCCGGTGTGACTACTACGTAGCACGTGCCAGATGGTTGTCAGAAATAGAAACTGCCATCTCAGCCGTACGTCCATTATATATTGTTTGTCGGGCGTTTTGGAGGGTGGCAGACACTCAAGGGGGGTCTTGTTGCGGCTGCAGCACCGTTTGGCATGTTGCCATGATCACAACGTCGTTACACGATGTAGTATTCACGCGCATTCACACACGATGCCGCCGGCGTCACGTCGTGGGTCTGCTGCTGTTGTTCCGTCAGCCGTTTGGCGCGGCATCCAGTCAATTATACATACCCCGCATGGCCGGTAGGCAGACAGGCGTACAGTTCCGTTTTTGACCTAGAGAGCACGATGCGGCTGTCAGAAAAATGCCTTGCCTCCCCACCGTTCCGTCTGTGCTGGCCTCACTAAGGGTTGCGTGAACCCTGTCTAGCAAGGACGAGCTGGCAGCACGTCCCATCCCTCCACTCTTCTGCTCCTCACCTTCATCCTCCCCATTCCCCTCACCTCATCAATGAAATACACTCCCCCAGGTCGAAGGGCGTAGGTAGATACAATAGGGCACGGGAGCAGTGGTAGGAATGCGGCCAGACAACTTACCTGCCTTAGCTCGTGAGTATTTTTAGGAAACATAGCGACGGCGCCATGCAGGTAAAAGAGGCGTCAGGGATCGTCCGACTGGAGGGTACAAAGTTTCCAGCCTTGGCACCTTTGCTTGAAGATCTCCGAAGCCAAAAGCCAAAAAAGAAACGATAGGGTAAGACAACAAGACTGTAGAGTGGTGTTATGGACGGGGCACTACCGCAAATGGAATTGACGGTGTGAAATGAGTTAGAGAATGAGTGGTAGAGAGAGGTGACATGCCATCCATCACGCAGTGGGCTATATTTGGTATCAACTCCCAGTCCCAGTTCCGTCGATTTGATGGGAAAGCCAGCCCGCTGGGCCGTTGGTGGGGGACATGGAGGGGGAGCGTGAGATGGTGGTGGTGATCATCTCGATCACACGATCATTCAACAGTCCAGATAAAAACGCATCCAGAGCAGGAGAGGCCGTTCCCCGACAAGCTCGGGAGGTCCAATTGATGCGCAAATTTACAGCCGAACGGTATTTCTTGGAAGCGATGCCATATTAATGATCAACAAGGCAGCTGCCGTGGTATTAGTTAATATCCAGCATCTAAATTTTCCACCCTCCACATTACCGTTAACCATTCAGCGCCAATCATCCGTCCTTGCCGGATCTACCTTGCCTGACCTACCATGTATCGCTTACCGAGCCAGGCAGGCGGGTGGTCTCTCGAGGCGCATACCCTGCCACACATAGCGTGCGCCCTTTGCTGGACTAGCTGGCGGGTGCAAAGTCGGAGAACGGAGGGTGAGTATGCGTGTGGGTGTGTTACCTGGGCGGGCGGATAGCTGTGTGGGTGGTGTTGCGATTTGCGTAGTCGCGGCCTAAAGAATACTGGAGAAATTGTTAACCTTATTTTTTTTTTATAAAAATCCTTGTAAGGCGAGGCTTTGTCGGTTACGCCATTGCCACTTTCCCGTTTCCACCAGGCCAGGCGAGGAAAGAGACCCCAGACCCATAGAGAGGTTGCTATTGCCCCTCTTTGGCTGTGCACTCGTTGACATTCTCGACCCATATGCGATTCCTAATAATCTGGTTATGGGGATGGGGAGTTAGCAAAGACACAGCACACAATCTCGGTTCTTATTTTAGGAGAAACATCTTGCATGCCATTGTTAAAAGCCACCCCCCTCCTGAACCTCGTTGCCTGTTGTTGGGCTGATGGTAGGTGGACGCAGCGTGTTCCTAATATGACTTCGCCTCAGGCTTCCATCTCGATTTCGCCCGTTTCGGCATGTCCTATCGGTCAAGAGCGGGTGACGGGATGGGCATGAACGAGATGGTTACATTGAGGCGAGATCCTCGAGAACCCTGCCACGTAGCAGCGGTGCAGGTAGCAGTCATGGTCGCGGTGGTATCCGTGGGAACAGCCACATTTTGGCTGTTCCATGTCTACAATACCCAATTGACAAGCGGTTGAATCAGTGGACAAGTCATTGCTATCGCTGCCTTGCTGTCAGACTCATTACCCAAGCTGTATACCGACATTTATCAAGTCCAGTCGTCGTGTGCCCAAGGGAAGACACGAAACAAAAGGACCACCAAATGAGGCAAGCCACAGCCAAAGAGAGACATTGGGCTGAGACTAAAGACCTAATAAAGGGCACATTCCGCACTGTTCCAGAATCTTTCCCTCCGCGACACTGCCTAGCTTTGCGAAACGTGCTGAAATTAGCTTAGGTGCTCAACTTTGTGGTCGACCGAGTCTGTACTTGGATGGGGTGGTTGGTGGAGAAACAGCTTGATGAAGCTGTGAGTCCAAGCTACCCAATGCTCTGCAGCTCCCCCCCCACTGTGCAGCCACATATGTCTAACCGTGTTCGTTCGCCGGTGCTATGAATGATTCCAAAATAAAAACGCACATGTCAGGGATCAGAGACGACCGGCACGCATTGGACCAGCTCGTCGCTCGGCCGCCGACTCAGAGAGCCCAGAACCATTGATAGTGCATCACAATGCAGAGTTGTCCCCTCCAGTGCAAAGGTCACACACACATAACATTCCCAGAATAGGCACCTACATTGTACAACATACTTGCAGCAAGGCACAGTGCAACACACTTCAGCCCCAGTGGCCTGGCCCGGCCGTGATCTCACGCACAGCAAACCACAGTTTCACGCCAACCGAGTGGCCGGATTCCCCTCCCAAAGCCCAGGTTTACCCACCCTCTTCCCCTCAAGCCGGCACGCGGGATCCGGGCCTCAGCGTGCATGGGGGAGCAACGAGACCAGGGTTTAAATCTCGTCCGAGGCACAGGCATGGGGACGACGGCACGGGCACAGGGGGTTAGCCGGTTAACGAGGAGGGTCCCTTCAAGTCAGCGACACCACTACATCCGAGTGGCGCCAAGGATTCTTATGAGAGGATACGGAGTGTGGCCCTGCGAAAAATAGCTGTAAAGCTGTGCGAGCTCTGGACAAAGAGCAAATAAAGATTGGAAATCAAGCATTCGAATCAAGCACTAGAATCAAGCACCCCCCTTGCTTGAGAGATGAAGGAAAGGGTGGTGTCACAATTGTCCTGCCTGGGTGTGAGAATAGAAGAGTAAGTCTCCTTGAATAAGAAAAACCCCCAATTAAAAAAAGCCGCCTACCGCCCACCAACGAAAAAACGCCGCCTTGTCGTTGGCGCCGCTCTGGCGCGGTTTCGCTCGTCGTATATCTCGGGTTCGGTGGAGAGAACCCGTTGCGCTGTCGACACGGTGGCTAACACTAGGCGCGAACTCGACTCTGCCTTCGCCTCCGCCTCTGCCTCCTGCGGCCTGGGTCGATTCCTATCGGTCAACAGCAGTGGCTTTCTGCGGCTTGAGTTAATGTCCGCATGTGGTACGTATGCTGCGGACAGGCCAAAGGTCCCCCTCTCACGATCCGGGCGCCGCCACGCTCGGAAATCTCTATGTTGGGCTTGCAGCGACGCGTGCAAAGGATACGTCCGGCGCTCACGCATGTCTCGTCTCACACCTACAAACGTCCAGCTCACCTTAGCTCAAGGTACCCTTCCGTCCCTCGTCGTCGTCGTCGTCGTCCGCGTTGACGCACGCGACGATGAACCGTCAACTAATCAAAGGGCGCACACCCTCCCCCATTGGGCCTGAAAGTGATGCCTGTGACGTTGACTCTTGACGTGGGCACACACGCACTGCCTGCTGTCTAAGGCATTCGTTCGGGCAAGGCGATGCCAAGGTTCCCCGATATGACTCTTTTGTTCTGTATGACTCTACTCGATCGGCCGACGGACGACTGGCAAACGGGCAACGGGTGACGGGTGACTGGTGACTGGTGACTCTCATCCGCGTCTCCGTCCGCGTCTCCCGCCCACTTTAATACACCCGGGATAAGACGGTACTGCTGTCTTGCTTCAGCCGCTTTTCCCCCGCGATGTAACTGTACGTCGCACTCAGACGCACCCTCACATGGCCAGGCTCAGAGCTGCCAGGCAAGGCTGCTGAAAACCGTCCACATCCCAGCTCCAGCACGTTGACAGGCTGGACACACTGTGATACCATCCGCCTCCCGATGAGCTAGCAACCTATTTAGCAACCTAGCGGACAGCGGACAGCGGACGCCGGATGCCATTACAGGGCTTGGGCTCAGGCATTGGGCCCGGCGGATGGCTCATACTTGCTTTGCTTGCACCCCCACTCGCTCAACTCAACTTCCTCCCAGAATCCAATTCCCACCCCCCCCCCTATGTGTCCCAATTCTCTCAGAGCTCCCACCCCCGTCTATCGTTTGAATCCCAAATTCTCCATTCCCCATTACGGGGCGAATCCCCAACTCACTAAAAGACGATGTCTGTAAGGCCTGTCGTGGCTCCATCAAGCGTGGCCTACCTACCATGTCACTTGAACCGCCCCGGACCCAGACAACCACGCCAAACCGTCTCACAGACCCACGCCCCCTTCTTCACTCCTTGGTCTTGGTCTTGCCCATTTACCCCTTCTGGCCTGTGCCCAGGGCTGAAATCAAGAGGGTCCCCTTCCACCAGGCAAATACTTTACACAGACAGGGGACTACCAGAGACGAGGATCAAGGGAGAGAGGGGGGCGTAGAAGAAACATAGCGCCACCTCCCCCGTTAAACCTCCACTCCATTCATCACCTTGGACTGATCTCTTCTCGCACTCGCACTCATTTGTCTTTCTTGACTTCAGCCTTTTCTAGCCTCAGGCAGGGCTCGCTGCGTCACCCATTGTAATCTCCAGTCAACCTCGAATCTGCCCTACCGGGCGTATTGCCAGGACCCCCGTTTAGGAACCGAACCCTCCCCGGTCCCGGCCGACTGACACGGACTTTGCAGATCCACGCATGGCTGTCCATCTCTGGATTCCGCATGGCACGGGGCGGGCCTCTCTGGTACGTACTTAGCCTTTCATGTATATGCACTGCTCCGCCATACCCATATCAACCCCGTGGACGTCTTCGTCTTCGCTGGCGAATACAGTCGTAACGCCTACCCTCCCATTACCTTTCCAGGAGTTCAAGCATCAGCAACCGCTTTTGGACACACCTCGGTCTCTTTCCTCTCACCTCCACTGGTCATCCGCATCTTCAGCCTCGATCCAGGTTCACTTCTACCAACCATTCACACCAAACCAGAAAACAACCATTGTAGTGCAAGCTGCATATAAGACTCGAAATCCCCCCACTGGCATCTTGAACCTCCCCTCCCCCCCTTCCGCTGCACCACACCATCACCAACAAGCATTACTTGGGGGCCCTATGCACTGTCTTTCGCCAGTAGATGTCCTCCTCCAAGCCATCTCCTACCGATAGAACTCCCCCAGTGATACGCATACAAAGCGCGTCTCCTGATCTTTTAGACCAGCAGCCTCCCAACCTCCGGAGACAACAAACAACACCGGCCGGACTTACACCACGCCGTACCAGATCACTCCCCACTGGAACTCGCTCTAGCCATCAGCGCCACAAGAGAAAGCGATCTGCTTCTTCAGAACTCCCAGAATCACCTGGATTGAACCCCACAATGCCTTCCGAAAGTTCAAGACACAGCTCCAGCAGCCCCGGCAAGCAAAGTTCCTCGTCCTCCAAGAAGCCCAAGTCCAGTCCGAGGGATCTGGATTGGTCAGATATCACGGACCCTGAGGAGCGACGAAGGATACAGAACCGGATTGCCCAGCGCAAGTTTCGTGGGTTTCCCCTTCTCCTTTCCCCCTCCAACACTTCCCGTGTAGGTAGCTAACACTAAGAGTAGGAGAAAAGGCCCGAGAGACCAAGGAACGGGCAGAGCGAGATTCTCGGAACCAACAATATGCTGGGAACAGCTATCGAATCCCCACTCCCAACGACTTCAGCTCCGAGGAACCAGGTCTGCCTTGGGGAAGCGTCAACTTTGGGCATTTCGTAACGCGAGGCCAGGAGGCCGTGAGTCGACGGAGCAGTGGTCGAGATACCCACACCGGTGATGAAGCATTTGTCTCGGTGCCGTACGGGGCGCCTTACGGCACTCAATGGGCGCAGACGGCGAGCTACGGCGGAAGCAGCGGTGGTGACGAAATTTATTACGAGGACAACTATTCGTACGACCCGACTGTCGGACAACGCCGGTGATGGTGATGGAAGGCCGCAGCAACCCGCCGAGTGAGTCAAACAGCGCCCTCTTCCAACGGGGGTAATCAGACATGCAATGCACTGTACTAACCCACCAGCAGCTATTCTGAGCGGAATGCGGTAGCTAGCTAAGATGTACGCGGCAATGTTTTCTTACGATTACGATCTGTATTCCAAGTCTTGATCACTTCGTTATACCCCGCTCGTTACGACGTTTGGACATTTGTCTTTTTAACGACAGGACTCAATGGGTTCCTCTTTTCCCTCTTCTACTTCTTTTCTTGTGGCCAGACATTCGTGGTGGCACACAGCACTAGGGGTTTTTTTCTTCTTTTTTTTTTCTCGTCTTTGCTGGTAGAGGAAACACTTTGAACGGGGACTTCTCCTCTTTGACCATAGACAACATTTCTGCTCGGTATTTCTGATTCTTGGAGAGGGCGTTTGGGGGATATGATGGGATTGGTGAATTGCTACAGCACGCGCAACACAAACTCGCGCGCGCACACAAAGAATCACAAGATATGAATAAACATCGTATTCTAAGACTGGGCGATTGCGATGCTTTGCCAAGTCGTCGATCATTGAGTGAAGCCTGGTGGAGGGGCGTGTCTCGGGAAGTGGACCCTTCGTAGGCATCGGATACTGCTTACTCAAGTCTCGGTTACCCCCTGCCGGGTGATTTTCAACAAGGGACCCCAGAAGGTGTGAATATTTTGAGAAGCGATAACTTATGTTCTCGCACCCACAGACCGTTTCCAGGCGTGACGGCCTGGCAACTTCATGGACGTTCCACTATGTAGAGGCTGGGTTTGTCATAACACGACGGCCATGACGGATGGGCCGAGGTAGGGTACGTACCATCTCCTTGACGTATTCTCTCGTATGTCAACCCGACGTGCATTCCAGATACGTCACTTGGGACCCCGAACGGCACGGAGTTGCTGTCCGTCTCCACGGGCCGGCAGAGAGACCCAGGGCGAAGACATGGGTTAATTAAGGTGCCGGTGAAGCCAAACGAGGGCTCCCAAGCTTAAGCCTAGGCCGAAAAGAGTAACAGCCGAGCTCCAGTGTTAGCGACAGAGGTTACAGAACAGTACTAGTTGGAGATGCCAGGCTTCGAGGCGACATGATGCTGTGACGCGTAGCGCTGTAACGCACAGCATAACGGGACGACAGTGAGGGAATAACGCTGTGGTTGCCCCGTGCCCTCCGTGCGAGTGCCCCGTCTTGCCCGGATCCCCGGCCGCAAGGCAGAATCGATAGGAACCCACCCGCCCTACTGGGTCGGGGCGCTCTTGCCTGCGGCAGAGTGGGCTAGTCCGTGCATGTTAGTGCGCTCACTGTATCATTTCTCCCACTTCACCATGTAACACTCGCCAGCGTGACACGGAGATGAAGTGTGTAAGAGAAAAAGCCACTGTCCGAGAGCATGATGAACAATCGACGGCGTGAATTGAAACTCCACTGCGGCGGCCGACACAGAAGAAGGGGCTAAGGACGGAAGACAATTCCATCGCCACTAGACATGAGATACGCGGATACGTGGGATACATGGCACGCCCATTCGGTATGAATAGACGCATCAAAATGCAACAACGCAGAATGGATGGTCACATGGCTGGAACTACCTTTTGACTGCCTGCTCCTGAGCAATTAGACGCCTGCATTGAGCATGATCCAGATCCCTTAGGATTAGGTACCTACCTACCTAACGGCACCCAAGGTAATGCATCTACCGGCAGTTGCGAATCGCACCATGTGTTGTGCAACTGCCAACAGGTGTCTCGTCAGTATTGAGAGACCAACCGCGACGCAACATAAATGCCTTAGCTGAACGCGGAGAAGCCCCACAACTGCCTAAATAGGCAACGTCCCTTCCCTCGCACCTTCTGGCAAAAGCCCGACTCCACCTCCCACCCCTGCTGCCGCTGCCGCTCCTTCTTCACACATGGTGCGACCCGCAGCTCTGACACTCCTCCTCACCGCCCGGCAGAAAAAGATGCAATTGTGATTCTCGTCCTCTCTAGCATGAAGCACATCAATCACCATTGTGCCATGCTTCACAATTGAAACATCACACCCCCCCACAACAGCCCACCCCCTCAGCTCCTTTTGAGTCAGGCTTTCTCCGTCATATCTTGTCTCCATCTTCAAGGTTGTGTGTCTTGATTCGCCCACCATGACACCGACTACGCCCCCCGGCGATGCGAAGAACCCTGACCAGCTAAAGATACAGAGAGGTGAGGCGGTCCCTGGCCACCAATGCTTGCTTGCCTGCCTGCTTTGCTTGTTTTTCCATGCAAGCAAACGGTCTAACTTTGGAATTTTGTAGATGCACCACCGAAAAAGAAGCTCAGCAAGAAACAGCTTCAGATGGAGAAGCGCAAGAAGAAGCGCAATGCCAAGGCAGAGGCCAAACGCGATCGCAAGGCCAGGGCAAAGTCTGCCGAAAAGCTGGCCGACGATCTGAAGGCCGACCTAAAGACCAAGAAGTCGAAGCTGGCCAAACAGCCCAGCAAGCAGGAAAAGCGAAAGGAACACTTCCTCGAGCGCTCCCAGAAGCTTCAGGAGAAAGCCAAGATACTGCTGGCCGATGCGAAGAAGGCTGCTGACAAGTATCAGCGACTAGTTGATGCCGAGGTTGGTTAAACCCGTGGCTTTGGATGTCATGGTTTGGGTGTGCTGAATGATGTCACTAGAAGAAGAAGGGTGCCAAGGCTAGCTCTGACTCCGACTCCGACTCCGACTCCGATGCCTCCTCCAATGCTGCTGCCTCTGATAGCGAATCAGATGGCGAATCCGAGAGCGAAGCCGCCGTCGCCGAGACGAAGCCTACCATGGAGGAAGTCCCTGCCGACGTCCCTGCTGACGAGATCCTTCTGAAGCAACGCCGCCTCAGCAACGCCGCGTCTGAACATAGCGACGCATCCCACGCCGAGTCCCAACCCAAGATCGATCTGAAGAAGTCCAAGAAGTCCAAGAAGACTCCTACTCCAGATACCGATGAGGAGTCTGCGCCCAAGACCAAGGCCAAGAAGTCGAAGAAGGCAAAGGTAGACGAGCAAGAGGAGAAGGAAACTTCAAAGACTGAAGCCGAAGCCGAAACCGACACGTCCGACAAGAAGGCAAAGAAGGCTGAGAAGAAGCGGAAGCGTGCCGGCGATGCTGTCGAGGCTTCCGCGATCGAGGAACCTTCCGCGAAAAAGGAAAAGAAGAATAAGAGCAAGAAGGTGGAAGAAGCAGTCTCTGGAGCAGCCGAGGCCGAAAAATGGCAGGTTGATGACCTTGATGGAGGATCGGCTCGACAGGCAAAGTTCCTCCGCCTCTTGGGTGGCAAGAAGGCCGGAGCTGGCACTGCGCCGGCGACCTCGCAAGCCGCCAAGGGCAAGTCGGATCCGACCAAGGCCGAAGCAGAGATCCAGCGACAATTCGAGATTGGTATGAAAATGAAGAACGAGGGAGGCGGTAAGCGTCGCGGCCTAGGCGCCTAGAGTTCCTTGGTGAGGTATTCTGGAGAAGGAGCTTTGCTTGAGATCAACATTCACACAGTTAGTGGCACGGCGTCAGGTAGACCAAAAGCAAAAGAAACCCCTCGATTTGATTTTTTTGATTTAGCTTTTTTCCCATCTCGAAAGAGCCCGATTATGTTCATTCCGTTTTGCGCCGGTGTTTCACAAAGTCCATGATATCTAGAAAAACTCCAGTCAACGCTGAAGCAAGGTATCGCCCGCTCTCTCCTGTTGCTGGTGTTTTAGTAACAGAGCATCTCCCACGTTCTCAATGAGCAACAACTCAGGCCGCCTCCCTTCGTTCAAGACTCCGACACCCCCATAAGAATAGGAAGTGTATGTGTGTTTGGTTGTAGTACAAGTGCGTAGTGTTTAGCTGAAGAATTTGGCGATGACCTCGAAGACCAGTCCGCCGAAGATGATGAATCCGAGGAGAACTAGACGTGGCAGATGTTAGATTGATGCGCAAGACAGGGATAGCCACCATGGCGTAGTTATAGCACAGGGAAGGGAATGGGGAGCGACGTACCGAGCCAGAAGATGGAGATGGGCGACTTGGGCGTCTCCTTGACGCGCTTCTTTACTTGCTCCTCGGACTTGCCCATGCGGGACTCATTATCCTTGGCGAACTTTGCGTTGCGGCGTCGCTGCTCGGGTGTTTGCGCCTGTGAAGCACGCGACAGCGGTTAGTTTCAAGCTGGTGGGTGTAGCTCCTGTCGGGAGGGAGGGATGCGCAGGGAAGCTAACTCACCATGTTGTCTGTAGTTGGAAATGCCGGAAAGATGGGCAAGAGTAGCAGTGGTGGTGATGGTAGATGGGAAATGACGCGGGCCGGCCTGAATGGATCGCGATTGACTGACGTTCGTGTGGTGGTTGAATGAGTGTGGTTTAAATACGTAGCCAAGCTGCGAACCGGATGATGATCAAGGGGACAGATTTCAGCCGTGTGGAATTTCCGGACATGTGTTTAGATGGCCCCTGCCTGTGCAAGGGGAAAGGCCACCACTCACATGCTGCGCTGGCCTCTTTGCCCCGGCCGCCACGTTGCCGGCCCCACAAGGAGGGGTCCGGCACCGCCACGCAGATCGCAGCCTTGCCGAAGGATTGTGGCTGGTGACGTGAGATGGATAACGGCTTATCGTTGGTGCTGAGCTTTGCTGGTGTGCCGCTTGCGCCTGTTCAGACGAAGCTCGGAATAGCACGACCGCGGGAGACGAGAGACCCATTGCGCAACGACACGACGATGACAGCCCTTACGAAACTTCGGCCCACGGCGACCCTGCGCGCGATGGCGACGTACAACACAGTCTCGGGGAGAGTCTACTCAACCAAGAAGCCGGCCAACCCAACCGTACGCAGCATCCGCGACCCTCCAGCTCCGACGAGAACCCCCTCCGAATCCTAACAATTCCGTCTTATGCAGGCTCAATTCTACCGGCAATTCACCCGGCCCATTGCCAAGACGCTGCTCCTCGCTGTATTTACGTACCAGTTCGCGTACTGGGCGTGGGCAAAGGCCGAGGCCGATGAGATTCGCGCCGACAGAGATGGTATGCTTTGGTCCCCCTCCCTTTGCAAGTCGGTATCGCGGATGGAAAATAGTTGGCGATGAAGGAAAACAACTAACGCCATTTGCGTTTTCAGCAACGATAGCCGGTCTGGAGGCGACGGTAAATGAGTACCAGGCGAGGACGAAAGGTACTGAGGAGAAGAGCACCGCGGGTAAGAGCTCATGACGGGGACAACCGAACAGGAGAAAGCAAAAATATCTACAAGAGGAGGGCATGCGATGACCTTTGAGCCCGGGAAAGCGCAATAAGGCATTGGTGGTCAGGGGCGGGACGCTCTATGACATTCGCAACCAACCAGGTTCGCGAGATGGTTTATCCGTGTACAACAAAATCAATGATCGCACATTTCATACATTACACGAGATGCCATGATCCCGAGTCTCTCTATCGACCCGTCCCCGAGTATTTTTCTAACCAGGTAGTAAGGGTGATAAAGATAGCGCGTGAACGAATCCATAACCAGACAACCACAAAGTCCATTATACATAAACTCCAGCCTTAGCTACCCATGCATTTCTCAAAGAAAGCAAGTCCTGTCCTCTTTAGGTGGTCGTCCGCGACCGAGTCTACCAACGCCGCTGTGATAACGTATGTGAAACGCCAACATTCCAATTAAAAGACACAAACTATTCAGAACATGGTGCTCATAAGCCCAGCCACATCATTAGGGGTACCACACTGAGGAGCGCTGCGCCAGGCAAAACAGCTGTCGCAGCGCCAGTCTTGGTGCGGGCCTCGCCGGGATAGTTGCAACTGGGTGACGAACTACTCGCCTCGCGCTGACCATAGCTGACATCGAAGCTGGTGAATCCAGGCTGCGGACAGGTAAAGCCAATAGAGGCAGGACACGACTGAACGACCTCGTAGCAGATGTCCTCGCAGGGCAGCAGCTCCTTATAGGGGCCGGGCTGGATGTTCTTGTCGATGAATGAGTTGCGCGAGGCGTTGAAGGCGGGCGTCTTGCCGAGCCCATTACGCTGCGCCGCGGGGAGCTTGGTGCCGTTGGGAAAGGCCTGGCCAACGTTGCGGACAATGCTGTAGCTGCTGTCGCTCATGAAATCCTCGCACCGCGGGATACTGACAGTGCACAGCCAGGCCTTGTAGGCGCGCCTGCAGTCGTCACAGTCCCGGGCAAGAGAATAGAGCGAATCAGGCGGTGCTTCGCAGGAGATCTGCATCAGCACCTTTTCAAAATTGGCGTACATTGTCTTGGCGTAGTCGTCGTAAACTTTGGCGAGTTCCGTGTTGTTGTACCTTTTGTCATTGCCGGGGACGGCGTACTGGGTCTCATTGCAGAATTCAAGATTCGTCACCATTTTGCAGTTTGTTCCTAAGTTCACGTTAGAGTAATCCCGATAACAAGCCTTGGAAAGGTAACATACCAGTCGACGTTTCAAAGTCGGTGGCTCGGAAGACCGTGCCTCCACCTCCTATGCTGGTCTCTGCTCGCTTGGTGGTCGAAGAATTCGAGGTGCCATTCCCCCTCTTGACAAGAATACCAGAGTAGGAAGCGCCCGAATCGAGTCCCACAACGTAAAACTGCTGCTTAGGCAAGTTTCCCGGTCCGCGAGTCGTCATTCCCGTTGTAATTCTATCGCTGTGTATACTTTCTTGTTCGTTGTCGACAATTGACGAGAGCTGGGCGCTTTGCATCAAGCCACAGACTGAGTGTCGAAGCCCATCAAGGGAAGTCGAGTTGTTGTTTTGAAAGTAAATGTCGTATGGAAGTTCAGCCTTCATGATACTCTCGGTCTCATTGGTGAACTGAGTGAGATTCCGCGTTACAAGCAAGGCGGAAGTTGAGTCGCTGTCCATCCACAGAAGCTGGGAGCTGTTCTGGCCATCATAGTTGTGATAGTATTCGTCCAAGGAGGCCGCAATCTCGAAATTGTAGTAGCTCGTGTAATTACCAGTAATGTTGGGGGCTGAGACGCCAATGTATACGTCTCCCGTAACGTTGAAACTGTACATAGCGGCGCCTTCTTCGAACGGGACCATTTTCATCTTGGACTGGTCCTTGGAGGGTCCTGGGCACTCAACCTTGGTTGAAATGTAAAGGTTGAGCTGTTCCGCCTGCTCCGTCTTCCCACTCTTCGTCTCCTGGCCTGGTTGCATGCAGGTATTGACAGAGATATAAACAGTCTTCGACTCTGCCCGGCGTGAAAGTCGATTGCCTTCGTCTTCATCTTCCTCCGTTGACTGTTCCTCCTCCTCTGTCGATTGGTCGTCTTCCGCACCCCGGGCAGCGATCGCATCGCGACTAAAAATTGTACTTTTCTTAAATATGTAACATTGGGTCTGGCCAGGATACAGATTCAATTTCTCAGCGCCATTGTTGGTGAGAGGGTTCACATCAGCCGTGGCTCGGCCAATAATGCTGCGGTCAAAGGCACCGAAATCGGGTTCGTACGATATGTCTAATCCATCGGACAGGGCGAGGGGCGCTTCGGGAGAATATTCGCCGTTTTGTTCCACACGGACAGCATGGTTGACGGGCAACTCGGTGGCAGATGCGAAGCTCGGGGAGAATAGCAGTAGGTATAGGGCGAATATCACCAGCGAAGCACCTAACGACGCTGCAAGTCGTGACTGAAGAGGGCTGAGTTGCATGACGACAGCATGCCCTCCAGGGGCAATCGCCTTCGGTCCGATGCGGTGTCGGTTTATCGGGGGAGAGGAAGGCAACTCGCGAGGCCTTTGTTCGACACTGGACTTGTCATCGATCGCGCGTCGGCATTGTCAGCTCGTAAGGGCCGGCTCGTGGGGAGGAGAGAGGGGATGTTTGAGGATCAAGGAGGCCGCGCGACAAGTACACAGCATTGCTGACGGACGTATCCCAAACGGCCAATGTGCCAAGCCGTGCCGCGCAAGTGAGGCGCAGTAACGGGGTCGCACCGCCACAGTTCGCATCAGGCCTTAAGATGGGCCTCGGCGGGCTGGGCCTAGATTGCAAGGTACCTTGGGTAGGAGGAGCTAAAAAGACCCGTGGCAACTACGTATTTACTACGTAGTACGGAGTAGGGCTAGGAAAGATCGGCTGGCGGCTTGGGCGCCAGTCAGCAATGGACCATTACGTCGTTGCCCACAATCTCCTGCATGAGCCGAGAGGGGAGAGATAGCCAGGCAGCGGGCCATCCATCTATGACGTGGATTAGCCCCGAAGCTCACAATCGTCTACAAAAATTCAAAGGAAGCTGGATTTAGAAGTTCAGGGCAAAAGACACTGTTCCCGTAAAGCATTTGTGCGAGCATGTGGAGCCAGCCAGAGCAGGCGACATATCGTGAAACGTGTTATCAAGCTTCCAGCAGCCGCCATCTAACGAAAATCCCAGCGCAACAAAGAGCAGCATCATTACAATCGAAGTCATACTATATGATCGTGCCAAAAAGCACGTCACCGCTTCCATACCTTGTCCTCCATCTGTTCATTTCTTGCGAAACCCTCTTATCCGAGGTTCCGCACACTGCCCATCAGATACCGAGATAAAAACGTCGTTTCCCGTATTCATCGTGACCGAAACCAGCTTGGCCCTGGGGTGCGCACAGTGAGTAGGCGCGTGCGCTAGAGTTGGCGGCCAAGCAATAGACTGTTGTCCGTTTACTCGGTCTTGTCGAGGCCGTCAGCCTTGGCACGGAGGCCAGAGGCAGTCGACCCAGAGGACGCGAAGTATCGGCCGAGGGTAGGGGCCAGGAAAGATCGGAAAACGAGCTCGGCACCACTGATGCTTGGTCAGTCATCGTCCGGGTGGACGGTGGTTGCGCGCATGGGGAGACGGGGTTATGACGTACCGGAAGGCGGGGAGAGAGAGCCACAGAAGGAAGAGAAACTTGAAGACGAAGTAGAAGGGGAACCAGTAGACGACCTGGACGAAGCTCTCAACAACGGTGAAGAGAGAGAAAACGACCCAATACTGCAGCGTGGTTAGCAATCCAGCTCGCAACCAGCAAGCTCTCGGGGGGTAGACGAACAGTCAACCACTGGGTGTCATCCTCCTTGTTGGCGCTGAAGAGAGCGCCAAGCGAGTAGTAGGCGGGAATGCCGAAGCCGGCCAAGTTGGTCAGGAGCTGACCACCGAGGTTGAAGATGATGAGGAAGAAGTAGAGGGCGCCGATGCCAATGACGGCGTAGGCCTTGGGGACACCCGCAGTCTTCTCGAGGTTGTTCAAGGCGGGGTACTTGGACAGCTATCACGATGGCGTCGCCGTCAGCATCAATGAGCGAAGCCGCCTCGGCAGAGACCGGTGCGCCCGTAGTAGGCGCAAGCAGGGGTAAAAACACACCTCACGGTCGAGCTGGCCAAGGTACTGCTGGGCCTTGTCTTGGGCGGAAGACATTTCTGCGATGAGATCGGAAAACGGAGATGAAGTCTGGGGGTTTAATTGCTGGAGATTGTGTCGGTACAGCTAAGTCAAAGTGAGAGACAGGGAGTGTGCGGTAGCAGTGTACGCAGTTGGTTGAAAAGGGAAAAGGCAAGGTAGGAGGAAGCTTTTATCGCGGCGCTAGCAGCTAGCAGGAGAAGCGGAATCTTGGAGGCGGGAAGAAAATTGACGCGGCGTCAGTGGCTTGTGACGTCTCAGGAAGTGTGCGGGAGGTGCAGGAGGTGCAGACGGTGCAGCTGACGATTGCTTTTAAGGAGAAGCGGAAAACGAGGACGCAAAAGGGCAAACCTGGCAACAGAACAGATGGCCTCCGGCTTGGGCTCGACTTAATCAGCTCTGAGACAGGGTCATGCGAGTTTGTGCAGCCAGTGCATCACCAACGTAGCACGCACGCACAAACGCAATGACGCACGCTTGCTGCTCCCTAAGACGGCCAGCTGGGAAGGGCTTGGGTAGCCGATCCTACCGGAGGTACTTGGTGGGGTGGGCGCTGACCACGTCCTGGACAAGTATTTCTGTCCAGCCAGCTACCGACGAAATTACATCATTACTGCTAGGCCGTACTTATAGGTAGCTCCAGCAGATGTGCCCTCTACAGAACACCCTCAGCGCCGAGGCAGATCGCTAGGGGTGGCGGCGCAAAATGCGGCTGCTATTTCGGTCATGGTCTGCCATCCTTACACATCCAGATTGTTTCGTGCCGACTACCAGGAGGCTGCAGCGGCTGCGACAGCCGGAAAGTAGCAGTTCGCATGGCCTGGGTGAATGGGGCGGCGTGCCCACTGTCGACGGGCGCATGCGCTGGTTGAGAACGTGGACATGATCGCGTGTCTCCTCAAGTGTAGGTCAGGCGCATGCATAAGGTAGGTAGAGATGAGGTTGCCCCAGATCAGAAGGCAAAGCGGCCCAGCTCTCTTCGCCCGCGGACATCGAAGACAATGGGTTTTGCGGGAATGTGAATGTGTCGTTGCGACTGAGTAATAAGAGCAATGAGAGACGATCCCGGGCAATTCCATGTCCATCGTGCACGCGCCATCGCTCCCATGCCAGGGTCCTAGGTCAACATCACAGGCGTCGTCGCGGCGGACGAGCCACCACCAGCCACCAGAAACTCAAGAACCACAAGGTACGTACCGCGACTCACCAAGGTCCCCGAAAGGCCAAGCAGAATAAAACCCACCAGCCACAGGCCAGATCCAGCCAGTCACTGCGCCGCACCCTGGCCTGCGAGGAATTTCGAATTTCGGCTAATTTGGCCAGACACGCGCTTACCTAACATCTGCACCCGCCCCGCCCGCCGCTGCTGACCGTCCAGCTCCCGCCCCAGATGCTTTTCTCCTCTCGTTGGCCTCGCAACAGGAAAACAAGCACAACAACAGCCTCAATCAACGACACCTCAAGCTCAAGCGCCGCGCCTCCAGACAGCAAAGTGCAGCGCATTTTCACGGCATATCGCAGACCGAGTCCCTCTTTTTTCGTTTCGACGTCGTTTTTTCTCGTCGCCGTCGTTGTCGCCGTTTTTTGTCCGTCGGTTTCATTGTTGTTGTTTCGGCGCATCTGGGCCCAGCCAATGTTTGTTGTTCGGTAGCCCACAAATTCCTCGAGTCTAATCAACACAGCGTCTCTCACAACATGGAGCAGAGTACGTCCTTTTCCTCCCTCAAACTCCAAACACAACCACAACACCACCTCCCACCTCCACATATCCTCTTCGCACGCCCAATGCGAGGCCACGCGTGCTGACAATTGCTTCCCAGTGGATAACCCAGCTGCCCGTGTCGCCATCAAGTCGAGAAAGCGTCCGCTCTCTCGTGCCTCCACCACGTCCATTCACAGCGCCAACACCCAGCACAACCTCGACCAGTCTGGCTTTGCCGACGCCTCCGACATGTACTCCGGGCAATGGCTCCCTAATGACCATGGCCATCCCAAGGACATGGCCACGGCTCCCCAAATGTCCCCCGAGGACATGATCCTGCAGGCCGCAACCCATATGCAGGCCACCGGTCAGGACTTTCCCATGGACGCATCCATGGGTGCCGCCATGGGCCACGCCATGCAATTCCAGCAGAAGCATCCCATGTCCCGGCATCCTCTCCCTGCCGAGCAGTACCCCAACAACGCGAGTTTCACCGAAGGGGAGAGTCAGATGATGGAGCGTGACGAGAACGAGGAGGTCGACTCCATGGTTGGCATCGTCGGCCCCCCCAAACCCACTTCATCACGGTCCAGCGCCAACAATGAGCTGGAGATGCGGCAACTATTTGGCGCCAACAGGCATCGCAACTTGCAGGATGTCGCGGGCGAGCTACATGGCAATGAACGGGGGCCTAACTCTGAGCGAACCCGCCAAGTGTTTGCTATGCTTTGGTATGCTAACGCACTTGAGAGGTTGGGAGGCCACGTGCTAACGTCTACAGGATCAACTCCGTCTGCACAAAGGGCAAGGGTTCCGTCCCTCGCGGTCGCGTCTACGCCAACTATGCTTCACGGTGTGCAACTGAGAGGATCACCGTCCTCAACCCTGCCAGCTTTGGCAAGTTGGTCCGTGTCCTGTTCCCGGGTTTGAAGACTCGACGTCTCGGTGTTCGAGGCGAGTCCAAGTATCACTACGTGAACTTTACTTTGGTCGACGATCAACCCGATATCCGAGAACCCTCATCCCAGCCCCCCCGACCGCTGCCGGAGACCAGCAGCTTCTCTCAGAGCTTCAAGTAAGTTGACTTGACCAGATGCAAGTGAGCTTCATCCTAACCGGCTCTCAGTACTGTACCAGCACAATCAAGTGGAAACTTGGCCCGTGATGCCCTACCTTCACCTCACATCGGCACCGATGCCAAAAGCGCTCCCACCTCCAACCGACTAGGAAGTCGGTCACACAGCTTATACAATCAGCCTGACTTGGCTAGCATCGACCACCTACACACTACCTCCACCAAGACGATACTCGAGCTCCACTTCTCCTCAGAAAACGAGGATTCATTTGAACAGTCGGATCCCCTCGCTCTCCCTGCCATCGAATCTTACCTACCGCAAGGAACCGACCCTGATGCCGCCAAATCATTATCAGCTCTATACCGATCACATTGCACATCACTGGTTGAGTGCATCCGATATTGTAGGGAGAAGACCTTCTTTCATCTGTACACATCATTTCAGGGAACTTTGACTATGCCTGTGCAAAAGCTGTTTGGGAACCCTGCACTGGCGCCATGGATCGAGGAATGCGACTTTGTTCTGTACCAGCGCATGATGAGGATTGTGTCGGGATTGACACTACAAGTCGTCCCCAAACCCGTGTTGGATACCCTGAGGAACATTTCGGAGAGGCTAGTACCACACATTCGAGACTCGTTCCAGGGACAGCCTCAGCATGTTATTCGAGCCAAGGAGTCACCAGCCACCATCTTCGCCGGCCTCTTGGATCGAGCGTTAAGAGTCAACTTGACGGCCCACGCCGCTGCCAACATGTTGTCAAACCCAGCAAACCGTGACCAAATGTATGTGGATTGGATCACCATGATTAGAGCGCGAAAGATTGCGGAGTGTGTCCCAACTCGGGGTATGGACGACGTGGTGAATCTGCTGCTCACGGAGATGCGCGACCTCCTCAACCCAGTCAAAGTACCATGGGAAGTGGAATGTCTCACTATTTACGGCGATGTTGCATCACGCAGCGGACGACAGCTGGACGGAGAGAACGGCGTCGAGGCATCTGGACAGAACGTGTTAGACCGATGGGTCAGCTTCTTCCGAGGCCTACCTGCCAAGTTCCCCTACGCGTCACATGCGGACATTGTGTGGTGCGTGGAGAGGGTCGGAACGGCGGTGATGAGAGACCTCACGCTGGCCCAGGGTAAGAGCTTCGGGTCATGGTGGGTGACGAAGACGTGGGTGGACGAGATGGTGTGCTTCCTGGCGGAGCAAGGAGGTTTCATGAAGCAGAAGCTGAGCCAGACCACGAGCGGGACTGCGAGCACACAACCGCAAACTACAGTCAAGGAAACAAGTCGGCAAACATCGCGATACAGCAGCGGCAGCGACGACCTCAACCTCAGCAACATGCCGCAAGGACAGGCCGGACGAGCTCCGTTTCCCCCCGCCAACCGAACAACGAATCAGAACTCAATGGGGATGAGCGGAGGAGACGTGCACGACGACAGCGGGATTGGCATCCGCACGCCCGAAGAAGACTTCACGATGGACAAGTTTGGGTTCACGGGAAGTGAAAACCAGGACCAGGGTCTGCTCACTGGCGCAGATCTCTCAGGCGGAGCAGGCTTGTGAGAAGCACCACACCACAAGCAAACACATTACAACGATGGTGGGCCTGGCGTTCTGGGGCGGGATATCTATCTATACGGGTGGTTTAATACACGGCATTCCCACAGGGTTAATCAAATCATGATGGGACGAAGGGACGAAGATATGATGGCTGTCCAAGGGATCTGGTCTGGTTCTAGTTCTTGTCCAAGGGCAAGCAAGGGCGAGGGCGAAGGCGAAAGCGAAAACAAAAGTGGATGCCTGCGAAATAGAAGGAAGGGGTTATGTTTATTCGATGTATGTATTTTTGGTGTGACAAGCGACGGTTGTCCGTCTTACTACCTTTTATTTGGGAGGGTCTTTTGGAGACAGGATGGCGAAGGGTTGGGCTTAGAGTGTCAGGGGAGACGGTGAATCGGATTGAGTGAACATGTAAACCTATCCAAGGATTTGATTCAACTTGCATGGTCGGAGAAGTGTATTGTGACCCGAGCGTTGTTGAAGGGGCCGAAGGGGCCGAAGGGGCCGAAGATGCCCGACAGCAGGAGGGGACCATGTGATGTAACAAGTAAAGTGAGGAAGAAATACAGGAGGAGTCAGGGATGCAGTCTCCGGACGTATGGGAGTCAAGCTAAATGGGCTGTATGTAGTTGAGATGCCCGATGTGTGGTGTGGAGATGGTTCGGGAGGGGGAGACAGCGAGCCCATGCAGATCCGGGTTCCCCCACAAGCACAAGACCAAAACAATACTACCAACGCAGGAACGACTGACGTGATGCGGAAACAGTAGGGTCCCCGCCGTCAGCCACGTGCAGCCAGAGCCAATGGATCTGAGACTTGTGGTGGGAAGAGTGATCGCGAATGAAGAGGCATATGTACGGAGGTGGTGTAAGTCGCGTTGTTAGTGGGAGAGCGGACGTGCGATAAAAGTGGGGGCGGGCAAGGACAACGCAGGCGGGAAAAAAACGAGCAGCCGAAGACGGAACAAGCGGACGACTGCATTCGAGTCATACAGCGACGACTTGTCAGGTACAGGCGACTTTACTGGGGCGTCCGGGGGATAATCGGTGGCTTCTAGGGGGAGATGTGACTGGATTTGGTCGGATCGATTCAGACAAGGGGATGCAAATAAATTGATAGTCATCAGCAGCTGCTTTTTTCTCTCTTCTTTTCTGTTCCTCTGCTCTCTCTCTGTTCTAGTCTCCATCACATGGGAAAAAGCATACAGCTGGCGGCATCACGAGCATCAAACATCACGGCACCGCACGCAAGCAGACGACAACACCACGGTCCCGTCCGGCCCAATCATTACTCGCCGTCGTCTTCTCTCTCTGCGTCTCGCTCTTCTTGGGGTGCAGCCGCTTTCTCGGTCCCCTTCCGACCGAAACCTTAGCTTCCCGTTCGCGGACGAGTTCAGGTCCAGCCGTCGACTCGACATCCCTGTCCCTCTTTTTTTTTCCTCCTCCTCCTCTCTCTTCTTATTTTTATTTTAGTCCCCGTTAAGAGGACCAGAGCGACTAGGGAAAATTTAGGCCAGTGGCGAGGCAAATAAATTCCCAGCTACCTGGTTGACCACATTGAATTACCCTCTCTTTCATCCTCTCTTATCGGGCACCTTTCGCCTCTTGGTTTCTTCTCCCCATTTCTTTTAGCCTCCCTGTAGCCTCTAGCCTCCACACTACTGCTGGGCGGTTCGCTTTTGGGCTCTGTTTTTTGTTACTCATCCACACAAACTCCACCACCAACGACACTCGAGCCAAATAACATTACTCACCCTCTCGACGTCGTCGTCGAATCGTCTCAACCCGCCGCAACAGCTCTGTCGCTCGCTGGCCCCCGGAGAACGGTTTGGTAGAAGGAGAGCTCTTTGCAATTGCTGCAGCCATGGGCAGTCTCATGTACAACAACACGTCCGACTTCGGCTGGGTCGTCCAGAAGTTTGGCGGCACCAGCGTGGGCAAGTTCCCAGACAAGGTTTGCCGTCCCTCCCCAGCTTCAGCTTCAGCTTCACCAAGCCAGAAATCAAAGCAACATGTGGAAAAAATAAGACATTCTTGCTGACCTTTGCGTGTCTCTTTTTGCTTCCTTAACAGATTGCTCGTGATATTGTCAGGTATGATATCACACCCCGGTCTTAGAGACAATGAAGAGAAAAAGAAAGGAAAAAATACGTCAATGGCATCGGTTTGAATCTGACCCGCGTTTTTCGCTTCGCAACAGGGCCAGTCTGTCTCAGAACCGAGTCATCGTCGTCTGCTCCGCCCGCAGTACGGGCAAGAAGGCTGAAGGAACCACGAGTCGGTAAGTTTGGGCATCAATTGCTTCCTCTGCTCTCGCATTGCCCGATATTTCCCTCAGCCCGTTCGCGCCGTCTCACTCTGCATCAATGTGGGCTTGTCCCGCATCATCGTCATCATGGCTAATCGTCCCTCCAAAGGTTACTCGGCGTGTATGGCAAGCTCCGTGGAGTCGGCGCCGCCGTGTGCGCCGATGACGAGCAGACCGAGTTGGTCGAACAGGCCCGCGGTCTGATGAACGACATCTGCAACGATCACGTCTCGGCTGCCCAGACCTTCATCCAGGATCCCGTCTTGCGCGATGCCCTCATCCAGACCGTCAAGGACGAGTGCCAGGAGCTCGTCGAGTACATCGTTGCCGCTAAGCGCTTTAACCTCGAGATTAATTCACGCGCCAAGGATCGCGTCATCAGCTTCGGCGAGAAGCTGAGCTGCCGCTTCATGGCTGCCCTGCTGCAGGATGTGGTGAGTGTCATCCCCATCTCTCTTGCGTCAATTGTCAGCCTGTTCATTTGCTCCCTCTTCGTATCTCAATTCTCTCTTGTTTCCCTCCCCCTACCTAGTTGGTTGTTCTGCGCCTCACAAAGACGCCATCTCGTGGGGTTGTCATCTAGTCATATTGTCATCCTTCTCCAAACGCCATACCGTGGGGGGTCATCTTGTACCGCCGTTGTACTGCGGGGGAGATGATCAGCTTCCATCTCATTGCATCTCACCCAAATCTCATCTCACCCAATACACATACACCTAAAAGGCTATCCAGAAGGCTAATTTCTTACTTCTCGTATCACAGGGTGTCGATGCTGAGTATGTCGACCTGTGTGACGCGTTCCACTACGATGCATCCGACCAGCTCGATATCAACTTCTACCACACCGCGGCGGAGGCTTTCGCCCGAAAGATCATCGCATGTGAGGGTCGCATCCCCGTCATGACCGGTTTCTTTGGCAATGTTCCCGGCAGCCTCATCGACGGTGACATTGGTCGCGGTTACACCGATCTCTGCGCCGCGCTGTGTGCCGTTGGCATGAAGGCCGAGGAGTTGCAGGTCTGGAAGGAGGTCGACGGCATCTTCTCCGCCGACCCGTCCAAGGTTCCTACGGCCCGCCTGCTGTCGTCCATCACGCCCTCTGAGGCCGCTGAGCTGACCTTCTACGGTTCCGAGGTCATCCACCACCTCACCATGGACCAGGTCATCCGCGCCCACCCCCCGATCCCAATCCGCATCAAGAACGTCAAGAACCCTCGTGGCAGCGGCACGATCGTCATCCCCGATCCAGTCATGACCGCCGGTCACCAGCTCCACCGCTCGTCCCCGAGCCTCAATGGCGAAGTCCGCAAGAAGCCCAAGCGTCCCACGGCTGTCACCATCAAGGATCACATCAGCGTCATCAACGTCCACTCTAACAAGCGATCAATCTCCCATGGCTTCTTCGCCCGCGTCTTCTCCATCCTCGACAAGCACTCCATCTCAGTCGATCTCATCTCCACCAGCGAGGTTCATGTATCCATGGCCATTCACTCCGGCAGCACTGAAATCGACGCATTTAACTGCGCTACCAAGGAGCTGGCTGAGTGCGGCGAGGTCTCCATCTTGTCAAACATGGCCATCTTGAGTCTGGTTGGTGCTGAGATGAAGAATATGGTAGGCATTGCTGGACGCATGTTCTCCACGCTTGGGGAGCACAATGTCAACCTCGAGATGATTTCACAAGGTAGGCCCTTGATTCTTCCGTTCATTTGCCTGAGGTATGCTGATCAAAATTTCTAGGTGCTAGCGAGATCAACATTTCTTGTGTGATAAACGCCCGGGATTCCACGAGGGCCATGAATATCCTACACACGCATCTCTTTACTTTCCTCGACTAGGAACCGCCTCTCGAAGACGAAGAAAAATGACAAGACACAACAACAGTTTCCTTTCCGATTGCTGTCTGGGTATGCGCATTCGACGAGGTAGATGAGCATTTGCATGTCAGGGAGGTTTGGGGCTATAACCTACAAGGTCCCCTGAGTTGTTTTGGGTGGCCAGTCATCCGTCACTCCATGTTCTGGTATGGACATGGGGACTGGAGCATTTTTTTGGGAGTTTGGTGTTGGATGCACGTAAAACATCTAGAGTTTGTTTTCTTCGGTCTCTGTTTTTGCATAGAATGGTGTCAACTTTTGGGTCAGCATAAAGAGGACAGTAGCATTGAATGAAATTGAAACATTCAGAGCAATCTCATCCAGCAAAGCTTGATCGGCGCAACTATCGTGTTAACTAAGGTATTGAAAATAATGAGCTTCCGCATCCGGTTCGCGGGGTGGAGGTACACCACTGTAGGGTAGCTCGTATGGTAGCTGAGCTTGATGCGGGGCATGATATTTACCGCCCAACTTCCCTACAAGCTAACATGACAGCGACGCAACCATACGTAGGCAGTAACATTAACACAGCAGGCATCCTATTACCAGCTTCAATCATACCACGTACATCCACAGTCCACCACCGACAATTCCGGCTGTCAGGGCCAGCACAGGCACGACAGACACGACAGACACCATCCCGACGACCGGCATTCCGCTCCCCACTTACCGGCTTCGTTCAATGCCACTGTTGAAACGCAGAGACAGACCGACGGCGACATGTTGATGGGTTAGACGGTCTGCGCCAGAACGAGACACAACCAGACCCCCACGGGGTCAATCAAGCCAGCTACGGCAAATCAACGCCCTCGACGAGTTTGCTCGACCTCTGAACGAACTGCTCTGACGTCGATACGACCTCCGTCGCCACCATGTACAGGAACAAGAGTCTTGCGGGCGACCGCGGCAGCATCCTCAAGACGCTGCGGGCTACCGAGATGCTCGACTCCAGGTCGAGTCTCCCAGCAGGTGCGTTTTTGGAGGCTTGAACTGCGCGCTGGGCCATGGAACAGAGATGCCTCACGTCATGGCGAGACCCAACTGACTGGGCATACTAGAAATCCTCGTTAGCATCCTTGACTACCTCCCCGTCGCCGACCAGCTGCGCTGCGCCCGCGCCTCCCACCGCCTGCGAGAAATGGTCTACGACGATACGCGATGGGTCTCCCGGTTAAAGAGCATGGGCTGCTGGGACGAGCTCGAGGCGCGGCGCCGATTCGAGGACGCTGTGCGAAGGAGGCGTGAAGCGGCCGAACGCGCCAAGAAAGCTGCCAGCCAGGCTAAAGGACCCGAGGCGACGGCACAAACCCCCACGACAACCACACTATTCGATGCGTCGGTCGAGGAGGCGAAACGGAACCAACCCATTGCGGAGGTCCGCGATGGCTTCGAGACGATGGCATTGGGAGCCCCCGCCAACCCCTCCGAGGACCCAGCCGCATATCTCGACGTCTTCAAAAAGGTGCGGAGCATCCGCGGCGGCGCGAGACAAGAGTACGGCAAAGTCTACGGTGCCCTGGCGCCGTTCTACACCGACCTGATACGGGCAAAGAGCCACGCCGACCCTATCCTGTTCCAGGCGTTCCGTGACCCGGAGAAGCAGGCACAGATGCTCGCCAACCTGCAACGGTTCGCGAAGAGCGACTGGGCGCCTGGATGCTACGAGCGAGAGGAGAAGCTGGCGGGCATGATGTCCATCTTCGAGAGCGCCGTGCTGCGCGAGTTTGAGCAGGGATATGAGTTCTGGGACGTGGATGGGAGAATGCGTCGGTATGCCCACGTCTTGCACACGCTGAGCGGTGCGACTGGCGGCCCTGGCCTGGACCTCTTCATCCAGAAGCATCCGATATTCAACGACAAGGATCTAATGGTCAATGCCATGGACTGCCTCAATCAAGCGCCTGTCGACGAAATCACCCTCGAGCCTTCGCAGCGATTCTTCGAGATGCTGCTGACCAAGGTCAACGAGCAGGCCGACGTCATGGAACGCATCTTCCCTGACCCCGCGAATGTCTTTTGGGCCTTTGTCGACAAAGTGAGGGAGGATGTCATCATGGAGTATGCGACCCCGCTGTTTGACGAGGCACACGCGCGTAGCATGGCGCCGTACCTCAAGGCCGTCTCGGGAATCTTTGAGCAGACTATGCTCTTCCTTCGGTCGCTCAAGCCGCCCAAGGGGTCCACGCGCGATGTCGCGGACATTGCAAAGGAGCTGGCGCTGAGAATCTTTGAACCCCATCTCGACCTGTACCTCCAGGCCGAGCTCGACTTCTTTACAGACCATGCCGAGACAGAGGTGTCAAGCTGGGAGAAGAAGTTGACCGAGCAGGACTCGTCCCTAGAATCGTTCTACATGTCCAACATCAACCGATCGGCGGACAAGAAGGACTTCCTGAGCTCGTTCAAGAAGGTCGTCATGATGCCCGTCACGGTGCTTCCTACTGGCCTTCTCGGCTCGCCCTTTGCGACCAAGCCAGCTACGCCTGCCCCAGAAGCGAATGGCCGCTCTTCTCTGGTTCTTCAACCCTCACGGCCAGAAACGCCTAGTCTTGACGGCGTTGAAGGCCGGAGAACAACACCCTTGCCTGAAAAGGCGCCGACTGACGAACTGGCAGCCAAGGCGGCCATCATGGCGTCCAAGCTGGAGGGCATCAAATCCTTATTCAGCATCGAGATTGCCCTGAACCTCGTCCACGCTGCCAAGACAAGTCTTGGGCGGGCCGCTGTATTCATTCAGCTCGGAGGACAGGCTGGCGGCGAGGCTCGAGAACAGTGCGCCACCATGTTCGTCGTGCTCCTCCGGATACTTGGGCAGAAGCACGTCAAGTCCGGCTTCAACATGGCTGTGGACCACCTTTCGCACTACAACCCGCGTGAAGTTAGCGACCACAACAAAGCTGGCGTGGCGCCGCTCGTCACCTTTATCGAGCTCGTCAACGTTGGCGACCTGATCTCACAGATGATCGACGTCTTCTACGAGCAGCAACTGACGACGCCCAAAATCGCCGACCGCAACGACTTCCTCGACCCGGCCGGCCTCGCCAAGAAGAAGTTTGAGCAGATGCTCGACGAGAGCGTTGCCGCCGGCCTCAACAAGGGCATCGACGTCCTGATGGATGAGGTTGAGTACCTCCAGGCCACCACCCAGCTCCCTATCGACTATAACCCGGTGGCGCTGGACTCCGCCTCGGCCGCCGGTGCGGAGCCGGACATCGGCCCCACTGCCACGGCCCAGCGCATCGTCGACCTCGTTTCGTCGCACACGACGATGCTCGTCGGCACGACAGACAAGTCGATGCTGGACGTCTTCAACGGCGAGGTCGGCCTCCGCCTCTTTACCGCCATCTGCAAGCACCTCAAGCGCCAGCGCGTCAGTACCGACGGCGCCATCAAGCTCATCGCTGACATGAACCTGTACTTTGGGTACGTCCGCACCCTCAAGAACCAGGATCTGCTCGCCTACTTTGGCGCGCTGCGCGAGCTCAGCCAGATCTACCTCATCGACCCCAGCCACGCAAAGGACATGGCCACGGTCATCGCTGACGGAGACCGCTTCGGGGGTGTATTTCGCGCTGAGGAGGTCTACGAGTACGCGCAGCGCAGGGCCGATTGGTACCAGGTCCGGGCTCGTGTTGAGAGGGCCATGTATGGGATGGAGTGCTCCCTCATGTGAGGATGCTCTGCTGTTGAGGCGGGATGTGCTCTGCACCATCACCAGGGACTTGGCGCTGTTAACGAAGAAAAAGAATCATGAAATGTTGAAGCTAGCGTCACGGTTGGAATTCAAAGTGAAAAGAGAAGGATACATTAACAATAGAAACTCATGACACATGGTTCAATCATGGAACCCGAAATATCTAAATATGATAAGAATCTAACCCAAGAGGTCTCCAAGACCCCTTTTTATAACCCCTCCTCGCTGCCGAAACGCCGTGAATGCTTGCTTCTTTTGACCAACCGTTTGACGATTGCCATGTCATGGGTATCTGTCTTTTTGTACGTCCTTAATGCTTGTGTTTTCCGAGTTTATGCGCCAAAGTCGAGCTTGCGAGCAACCTTGGAGCCGCGGTCGTCGTCGAGGACGCCTGGGCGGCGCTTGAGGTCGGCACCCATCTTATCTTCAGCACTGGCGCCACCCTTCTTGGGCAGGTCCTGCTTGCGGGTGGGCTTGGGTTCGGAGTGCCACCAGCGGTGCTCGAGCATCTGGCGGGCGGTGATGCGCTTGCGCGGGTCGAGGATGAGCGTCTTCATGAGCAGGTCAACGCCGTCAGAGCCCACGGTGCCGAAGCGCATCTCGTACCAGTCCTTGCCGCGGACGGGGTGCTGCGCGGGGACAGCGTAGCCGGAGAGCTTGGTGACGCCGGGCCAGTTGTCCTCGGTGGGTGTGCCGATGGCCTCGCAGATGAGCTTGACCTGGTCTATGTCGGTGTTTCCAGGGAGGTAGGGGGCGCGCATGACCAGCTCGGCGAAGACGGTACCGACGGACCAGACATCGACGGCACCGCTGTAGTGCTTCGCGTCGAAGAGTAGTTCCAGGGGGCGGTACCAGCGGGTGATGACGTGCGAGGTCATGTTGGTGACGGGGTCGGCGAAGGTGCGGGCGAGACCGAAATCGGCAAGCTTGACCTCGCCATCGGCGGCGATCAGCAAATTGTTGGGCTTGATATCGCGGTGGAGGACAAAGTTCTCGTGGCAGAACCAGACGGCGCGGGTGAGCATGCCCATCCAGGTCTTGATGTCAGCCGCACCGTAGCGGACGTTGTCGGTGTCGCGGATGAGCATTTCGAGGTCGCCGAGGGGCAGGTACTCGAGGACGAGGTTGAGATTCTGATCTTTGGAGGAGAAGACGGAGAGGAGGGAGATGATGTTGGGGTGCTGGAGTTCCTGGAGGTGCTTCAACTCGCGGACGGCGTCGGGGGCCATGCCCTGGTCGTTCTCCTTCTGGACCTTGATCTTCTTGATGGCGACCTGCGTCGACGGCTTGGAGCGTAGGTGGCCGAGGAAGACGATGGCGTAGGTACCCTCACCAAGCTTCTTGCCTGTAATTCATCAGTTCGCCGGTCGATTTGAAATATCCCGCTTCGGAGGAGCTTCCTCACCCTTGACGTATTTCCGCTTCTCCTCGTCGTTCATCTGCTCGGCGAGGTCGAGCGTCACGGGGATTGTTGTGGGCACGGGGACGAGCGGCGCGGCGAGGGGCTTCGGGGTGCCATTGGAAGAAGACGTATGGCCGGAGGTGAAGTTCTTGAGGGGCGACGAGATGGCGCGCGCGAGCTGCTGCGTCTGCTGAACGGACTCGACCGTGTGGGTGACGACGGGGGAGACGGCCATGGTGGGAGCGATGGGTGGGTTTGTGGCTTCAAGGGTTGACGGGGCCCTCGAAGAAGCCGCTCGGATTCGAGGCGTGTTCTAGGTGATTGCGTTGCTGGAAGATTGGGCGTGGGAGCGACGAGATGAGAGTCGCAGGCGGTTTGTAGATGTTGGGGTTGGCTTCAGCGTCGAACGAAGCTGTCCGGCCTTGGCTTATCGTTATCGGTGGCGGGCGGAATTTCCCACCGGAGCATCGGCGCTCAAGATGCCGATCATACGGGACTCACCTTTACTACAACTTCAACGTCAGTGTCATCATTGCATCTACATTCGCTTCTCTTTCGGATGAGACAAAATTGTAATGACAGTGACTGATATGCTTCATTTCTCGGCCCGAATCCCCGCGGACGCGTAAGATAAACCCAAACCGTCTTGCACAAGCCGTACCAATCGCACGTCCAAGTCAGTCTTGCAAATACCTCGATGCTGCAGGCACTCAGAGTCAACAATCTCGATTCCATGGTTCAGCCAAAGCAACAACCCCATTTTTTCAGTCTGGATGCGGTCAACTGTGCGGTATATTCTTCATCCCAACTCTCTGCCCTCTCTGTGTGTCAGTAACGTTACACGATGCATCATCTGTCGTTGATTAGAGCTCGCGTGTGCGTCCTGGCGACTGAATCTTATACACGCACTCCGCAATGTGCCTTGGTCGCAATGGTAGAATTGGTCAATCGCAGACGTTCTTAAGTCGACACGAACGCGGGTGATGAGCGCAGTAGATCCGAGGTGGCTTGAAACCATCGTCTGTCGCATAAGCTCAGGGTTGGCGGCTGCATTATGTTGTTCTGCCCGATATCCGGTTCGCGAGCAGTTCGTGATGGCGTCGTCTTTGACTTGCCAGCTCGGCACGACGAGAAATGAATACTTAAAGGGTGCTCTTTGTCGGGTCTGAGAAACATCATCACCCAGCTCATCGCCATTCTCTCGTTTACTACCAGGCAGTCCATTATTGGTCCTATTTCCATTCACCATGAGACTATCCGTTGCCTTCGCCGCGCTTTGCGCCATCCCTGCCCTGGCCCTCTCGACTGTTGAACAACGCGGCGAGGAGAAGCGTGGCGGAGAGTTGTACTCTGAGGGTCATCACCACCCCCACGACCCCCTTCACCAGCATTATCGCCCTCACTGGCCTCACCACGAGCACCCGCATCACTACCACCATCACAAAGAGTGCGAGCACAAGCACCCTAAGCACCCTCATCATCACAAGCTTCCTCACTACCACTGCAAGGAGCACAAGCACTGCAAGCACCATAGGGAGCACAAGCACTGCAAGGACCACAAGCATTGCAAGCACCATAGGGAGCACAAGCATGTCGAGGACAAGGTTTTGACCGAGCACATTGTCTGCGGCAAGCTCAACTGTCTTGCCGACAGGGCTGAGGAGATCACCTACTTTATCAAGGGCCTCGAGTGTGGCTACGATGACAACTGCTGGAAGGTAAGCAACCTATGAGAGAGCAAATGACGTAGCAAATACTAATAATCCGGTGCAGAAGGTCAAGGACGCTCTTTACGAGCTTGAGTTTGATCTGGACATCTTTGACAGAACCATTGACAAGTCGGACCTCAACAAGTGCTTCACCTGCACTGAGGAGTCCAAGATTGCCTGCTGCTACAAGACCGTAAGTGGAATCAACAAACGAGGCGATGTGTGACGGGATCGAATTGCTGACATGTCTGGGGAACAGTACGCTGATGCTTTGATCCGCCTGCTCCGTCTCATCAAGGAGAAGAGCGAGTACCTCGAGGGCGAGATTGACAAGTTTGTCCTCACCGCCGTCAACAGCTTGCGCGCAGCCGACAGCGTGAGTGCCCCTCTATGTTTTCTTCTTCTGTCAATGATTCCATGTTACTAACAACAAGACAGGCCTTCATTTACGAGCTTGGCCGCCGCCTGCACTGCGAGGAGTCTCTCAAGTCGGTGATGCACAAGCAGGGTGCCGTCGAGGGAACCACCAAGGGCAGCATCCAGGAGGCTTTCAGCAAGTTCATCTTCACGCCTCTGATTACTGGGGAGCACTTTAAGAACAAGGAGCACCACCACGAGTAAGCGTTAGGAAACGCACGAACCAGTTGGTGATGGACGGTGGTACGGCTGGAGTGGGTGGTCTGGGATAGATGTTTACACATCCTGTTTACACCTCCTGTTTTACACCTCCCGTGTCGATCTGGCTGGATCCATCCCCAGGGCTGATATTGCAGAGCAAGATTACTTAAAAAGACAGTGATGCTCCTTTCTTCCTAGTACGGAGTAATAAGAACACGAGGATTTGTCGTCAACCTGTCAGAAGATGCCATGCAAGATGGCCAGTTCCAAGGCGGCGTCTCAGATTGAATGATTAAAATGTGGCCCCACACATCCACCTCAGCGCTTCCGTCCAAGCCGAGCGGTTGGCTTCTATCTGGACGACATGGATTCTACGATTTTACTAATTAAGCAGGCTTGTTCGCTCCACCCGAATTTCCCAGTTTCTTCCTCTTCACCTTGGTCACGGTGATGATGTCATCCCGCTGTATTGCGCCTCACGCTCACGCACCCGTTCGTCTTGGCTTCTAAAGCGTCTCTTCAGGCACGAGTTCGATGAATGAACTTGTTTCTCCTGGTGCTATAGCTTGCGCCACGATCCGATCGCGTCAGCACTTCATCGGGAAGCCGGGAATTAAGGAATAGCGGGCACGCCACACCACGCCACAGAGATCTCTTCCCTCCGCCGTGCCTGAACAATTCGATTATTCACCACGTTCAGTCGCTCAGTCGCTCAGTCGCTCAGTCGCTCACTCGCTCACTAAGCCGGTCGATAACTTACTCAACACACGAATCGCACATTATTGGCGCCGCGAGTTAGTGCCATTACCGGAGCCGTCTATATACTCACCAGCCCCGGAGTTACAGCGGCCACCGCAGCAACTGTGACGTACCCCGGAGGGTCCGGCCGGTGTCGCGTGCCCCGGACCCCGATATGTCCGAAAACCCCCGCGGCTTCATCTGGTGATATCGTCATCGAGGACCACGACGACAGCGGCGGAGTCCATCTCCACTCTGAATTATTAAGACGGGGCTCGTTTATGCTGGGATCGCCAGTTTTTCGTTTTTTGTTTTTATATTGCTGTTGACTCCCGCTACGGTTGCATCTTCCCGAACTGCCGAACATATCGTCAGTTGCCTGATTGGGCACATCAAAAGCTTCAAAGCTGCCTCTCACTCGCTACTCTACACACAATCTACAAACCTCCCTTCACAATGGCTTTCCGCCCGGTAGTATCATACTGGGTGAGTCCCCTCAATCCTCCAACCCGCCCTCATCACTAACACGCCTCCCCTCCCAGGTCCTCCCCATAATCTCCGGCCTCGTCTGGCTGGGCATGCTCCTCGGCATGCTCCTCTCGTGGATCATCGACGAGCACGGCCGCCGCTACTCCACCATGGCCAAGACGGCCGACATCGCCTACATCAGCAACATCGGCGCCGACCGCCTGCGCCCTCTCTTCATCGCCGGCTGCGTCCTCACATCCGTCTTCCTCGACCTGTCGTTTGTCGCCGAGCGTTGGCTGCGACACCGCGGCCGCCTCATTCCCAACTCCTCCATCGGCGAAAAGATCCTCGCCGGGTTGACCATTGCGTTTGCCCTCGTTGGCACCGTTGGCCTGATTTGCCTATCCATCTTTCAGACTGGCAAGCATAAGCGCTTGCACTACACATTCCTGTTTCTCTTTATTGCAGGCTACATGCTGTCTGCCATCTTTTTCTGCTGGGAGTACCAGCGTCTCGGAATCAGTATGTATTTTTCTTGCCCGGTCATTGGAATCTCATGTCTTCTTCTTGTCCTCTCATTGGAATCCCACTAACAAACCTCCCTCTCTCAGAACATCGCGAACACAAAATGCTTCGCATCTCATTTTGGGTCAAGCTCATGTTCGTCCTCGTCGAACTCGCCCTCTGCATCGTCTTCGTTGTCTGCAGCCGGACACATAACCAGAACCCCGCCGCCGTCTTCGAATGGATCATCTCCTTCATCTTTTCTTTCTACGTCTTCTCCTTCGTCATCGACCTATACCCGGCCGTCCGCACCAAGAGTCCCGACGCCAGGTACCCCAAGCCCAGTCCCAGGGACACGGAGCGTGAGGACAGCATCAGTAACGAGTCTCGCAGTAATTTTACTCGACCCATGCAGATGGTTTAATGTTTCTTTTCTGTGCGAAATAGCATTGCTACAACGGTTGGGCATTTGTGGTTCGGATAAATGGATGAAATGATGCTCATGATATGCGAGGCGTTAGGGAGAAAAGTCTTATGGGCATTTTTGTTAGATTGGGGCGTCATACCGACTATTTTACATACTCTGGTCAAGATAAACACACGTATATATATATATGCAAGACTTCCACATTCACCTCCATCATTCACTTGAAGAAACAATCCGTCAGGATGAACATCCATCCATTGCAGGAGAAGCCAAAACATTTCAATACCCAACGCTCCAATAATCCAAACTTCTCCAACCGAGACCCAGTGCGCCATAGCTTCGGTTCCCACGGAACTTGTCCGTCGCGGTAGAAACGCCTGCCAGACATACTCCTAACCACATAAACCAGAACACCAGCTCAACCAACCCCTCCCTGAGTTTGCTTCAAGAGAATAAGAGGGCCACATCAATCTCATAACGCGTATTGCAACAACCTGTCTCATTTACCAATCCTCACACAGCATCGCGCTCAGTGATCCATCATCTCTCGGAATCGGGAATCCCTGGAAGGGCTGTGGCTATCGCGAACAACATGACCCCCAATCGGCCGAGGAGGAGTTATGACATCGTCCGGAACGTTCCCCTCGGAGCTAATAGGGCTAACTCCTCGAGAGTCTTGCACCGGGTCAGTCTCGTTCATGTCAGGTCCATTGGTCCTACCCGCAAGGGCAACATCTCGCATACTCGTCGGTCGGTTGTCCAGACTTGTTGTGCTGCGATTTGGGTCTGAATCCCGGAGAGCAGCACCTCCAAGGAAGCCACGTTTCTTGTCGCTCGGTCTTTCACTCTCACTAACCGACTTGCCCCGCGAAAACCGCTGCTTGATCCATCCTTTGACCTTGGATGTTGGTGATATTGGAGATTCGTTAGATTTTCGTCTCTCATTGTCCGTGTTTGTCGTGTCAGTTTCCATGGTTGCCGGTCGAGGCCTTTCTGTTGAAGGAGCGTCCTGATGCTCACTGTCCTTGGTAACTTCGTTGTCATTCGTATCACCTTCGCCCACGCCAGCGGAACCCGCCTTTGACGATCTTTTCTCTTCATTGGCCTGACGCTTCTCTTCTGCCCTTGCAGCCTTTGCTTCGGCCTTTTTGGCCCTTTCTTCCTGTTTGTCTTGTTCTATGCGTATTTGTTAGTGGGCGCATTTAGAGACTCGTAAGGTGCCTTATTTCTTCTTACCCTTAAGTTTCTTGTTGATTTCTTTAATCTCACGATCCCGAGCCTTTTGTTTCTCCATCTCGGCCTTTTTTGCTTCTTCATCCATCTTCAGGGCAGCCAGTCGCTCATGCTCAGCTGCGGCCTTTTCGTTGATGTCGTCCAACACAGGTTGCACCCTCTTGGACGCGATGGCATCAACCTCTTCTGGAGCCATAAATTTGCCGCCGCCAATGTCAACCTTCCCCTTGTTCTCAGTACGTGACTGGTGGTTTGCGTATGCAACCTGGTGGGCTTTGAGATCCCACTCAGTCAACATGGTTGGGTTCACTTGGCCGGTTTCCTCGAAGACCTTTCTGTCCATGCCTTGGAGCTGGGCCTTGACATTGCGTTGGGCTGCAGCCATCAGTGCATCACGGTCCTTCTTGCGCTTCTGTTGGTCAACCTGAGACAATTTATTGGAAAATAATGACATCTGTTGTCGGATCTTCTCAGTCTGCTCACGGTCGTCAAGATCCCCGTCGCTAGAGGCCCTGCGCCGCAGCTTTGAGGTCAGCGAGAAACGGCGTCGAACTGATGGTGAGCTACCGTAGTAGTCATTGAATTCACGGCTTTTCTGGTGTTCATTTTCAATCTTGGCCAACCGCTCCTGGGCTTGCTTGTATGCGGCTTCCTGGAGGTTGACGTATGGTTTTGGTTGCGTGGTGCCTGAGTCTTGACCCTGGCTCGCCTTGGTCTGGTCCATCATCTTTTGCTGTTGGGTGAACATTTGCCGCGCCATTGCGACGGCGGTTGCATGCAACTTCTCGTTGTTCTCACGTTCATCCACCTCCGGTTTGACAGGCGGCTGCGACGTAAACATATTGCGAGTCATGGTGGTGACGGACACTGCGCCGCCGTTGTCTGCTGACGGCTTAGACCTAAGCGATGCCTGGTGGGCCATGGTAGCGCCGCTCAGAGCACTGGAGGCGGCCATCGACTCCAGGGAATAAGGAGGAGCGGGCGTCGAGATGGCTCGAGGTCTTGTGCCAGACATGGCTTCTTTGGCAGCGGCGAGCGATCTCTGGCCTTGCAACGACTTGGTGGAGGTCGAGGGGTGCACCTGTCTGGTCGAGCTGGAGCGGTTCGTATTAAAGGCTTGGGTGGCTGCAGAGCTCCCCCAGCCGCCATGGGGGCTTCGTTGGGCTGGCGCCTTGTTCATCGTGTTGGCTGAGCCGAGGGCCAGAAGCGCGGCCTTGTGGCCGGCCGAGTTGGATGTCGGTTCCCAGGCCGGCGCCATCTTGTAGTCCTTGGCCAAAACGGCGGCTGCGGATGCCGACGAGACTTTGTCGGGCTTCCAGCACTTAATGGTTTTCTGGTTCGCCCATCCAAGAGAGGCAGCAGCACTGGCAGCGGCGCCGTCAGGTCGAAGTCCTGTCGAAGGATAGCTAGGGAGATCGCGGGGATCTGCGTATTTGAGGCGCCCAGAACTGGGTCCTATTCGCATGTGAGCAGTTACAGGGCCAGGGCCAAGCGGCCGGGTGTGGGTTGTGTTAGTGACTTGAAGTACACAAGCCGATGTACATACCTGGGCCAGTCGCTGGCGTTGTTTGGATCATGGTTGGCTGTGGGGATGCGTGCGGGGAGGTGAGACGTATCCGGCGTCTTGGACTTCGTATACGAGCTGCAAGTCGGCAATCGGGGGACAGTTATTGGAAAACTGTCGGGCAATGGCCAGGCCGGCCGTGATGCGGCGAGCGAGTGGAGAGCGGTAGGGAGTCTCGGGGTGACGGCGGCGGGGTCTCGGAGGGGTGATTCTTTTGTATAGGTCGATAGGGATACGAAGTATGTAGGCAGATTGTGGCGCGGCGTCTTATCAATGTATCAACGTATCAATGAGGCGAATGCGTCGTGTGTCAATCAGATCTCAGGGCATTCGTGTTTGACGTGGATGCTGTGCCAGGATCCTGCTGTAGTGTGTCGTTGCAGGAAGCGACCAGGTCAGGGTGGCGGAGCGTAGGTGGGTTGATATCGATGACGATGTCCAGTAGGGCTGTTTGCTTAATGTATAACACGGAGAGAGTAGAGGATTCGAGTAATGGATTGATTGGGAAGCCGCACGTGTAAGAGTGCGCAGGCGAGTGAGTGTGCGGCTCAGCAAAGCGCGGAACAGGGTCGGGAAGCCGATGATAAGGACGAGAGTAGGGGACTTTATTAATGATGCTGTGAGACGACGATGAGCCACCTTAAGCTGATGATGGTAGATGGCGCCTTCTTCCCCAAGACGGACGTCCTCCCCTACGTCAGGACGGCGCCGGCTCCTTCCCTTGCAGCTTCCAGCTTGCCAGGCGCAGCACCGTAGAAGCTACCCCAGAATGGTGTTCGGTCCTGACGTCATGAGACCCTCGATGATGATGATCCCAGGCCACACCCGCTAGTGCCTAGGTACCTAACCAAGGGAATCCCGGACACCGTGTGAACGCCCAGTGCGCTTGGTGCCCCCAGTGCGCTCCCAGTGCAGCTGAAATGGCGTCCGTGGCGCGACGGCCATGGCGCTGTGAGCGGTGGAGACGGTGCGCCCAGCTGCAGCAACTGTTGGGTGACATTTAATCGCTTTCGAGACTCTTCTGACTCTCGACATGCGTACGCCATCAACAAAGCAGGCAGGCCGTTCAAGCGCATGCTAAATATAGGGTCGTCTCAGCTGGCTTGGGGTTGACACCGCAGCCCGGCGTCTCTCTTCCTGCGCTCCTCCAGTGCTCCTCGAGTGCTCCATAACACGACTAACACATCGACCCGGCCCGCCGCCATCTCCAATTCGCACTGTACCGTCGCCCGCAGCCTGCCGCGAACGTCGTCGTCATTCTGAGGGTGAGCCCACTGATCTCGGGTCCATGGCTGTTAGTCGGCGCCGGAGGGGAGATCCCAAGCCACCAAGCAGCACCGACGTCTGTTGGCGCGCCGGCCGACTCGATCCGGCCGGCCTAGGAATGCACCCTTGACGTATATCCTATCATTAAGATCGCCGTCGATTTATTTTCCTTGCCCGCTGGAAGGGGCGATTTCTGGTGGGCCCAGTGACGGCGCTGAAACCCAACTGTTCACACTTTCTATCGGTGGTTCGTTACGATATGCCCACCGTAGTCTGCTCCCGAGATTCCGGCTTTAGGATACAGCCGACCCGGATCAACAGTCTCCACCCGTCTTTCCGGGAAGGAACTCAGAGGCCTCCATTGCTGGGCATCACCTTGGTCAACTTGGATGGACCCGGGCTTTACTATAGGGTAATTAAGACCTACGGCAGGGATGTAAAATTCCGAAACTCCGGATATCTGATCTGCTAGTTCAACCTTGTAGATAATCTTGGCATCAGCATCATTCCTGTGTTTCTGAAATTGCAGTTCCACCAAGGCGCCTGTTTAACACCATGGGTTCCTCGATCGATATGGAGAATGTGCCCAACTTTCGAGATGTTGGCAAGACAGTAAATGAATTTCTGGGTGTGAGGTGAGCACAACCCCGCTTCTCAAAGCTCTTCCAAGCGGTCTGATGACAGCTGACGTTGGGCAGGCGAGTTCGAGAGGGTGTATTTTATCGTTCTGCGAGACCAGGTACGCGATGTCACGAACCTCCAACCCATAATCGCATAGAAAACTCACCGGATATCCCTCAGACGATGCAACTCTCGCCGACAGAGACCATATGAAAGACGAGCTTCGCATCAAGACAGTCATAGACTTGCGGACAAAGTATGTCGTGCCATATTCTTTCCTCATGGTGAATTTCACCACATACTAAACCGCAGACAGGACGGAGCACATCAACCAGGCCAAGAAGCGCGAGGAACAGGCCAACACCCCATCACTCGTCAAACTGAATGCGGCATTGGCCGAGACCGTATACATCCCCGGGATAGACTACCAAGAGATCAAAATCACTGGCCGCCCCCTTGAGCGGTTTTGGCTGAGCCAGCTCGGTTGGTGGGACTTTTTGTGAGTATCAACTACCCTCCAGATGAGACCAACGATTTAACACTTCACGAGGCGGTTATTGTTCCTGTTTCTCTGCGGTTACCGCATGGAGGCCGTCAGAATCATTGGTACAAAGGTCATGTTACCACGAGGTCTCGTTGGGTTAGGCCGCGATACACTGGACAATTCCCCTCTTGAGATTCGAGAGACATTGTCCCTCTACACCAACATGGCGGCATTGCCGTCGGTAGTCCACTGCACGCAAGGAAAGGATCGAACAGGTAAGCACCGATGATTGAAAACTCTGCATATGGCCTTAGGTTAACACATCAATGCCAGGTCTTGTGTGCGCACTGGTACTGATGATACTGGGTGTTCCTGTCCCTGCCATTGAGTACGACTATGGCCTCACAGACGAGGCGCTCCTCGAAGGGCGAGATGAGAGAATCGCCGAGGTTCGCCAAATTGGACTCACGGAGGAGTGGGTCAGCACCGCCCCTGGCATGATTGTGGGAATCGAGCAGCACCTGAAGACCAGGTACGGAGGCTTGGACAGCTATCTTGACAGCATCGGGTTTGGAGCCGGGGACAGGGCCATGGTTCGCGAGACCCTTTTATACTGAGAGTACATAAGCACAGGCACGGAGAGAACAGCAAGTGACTTTGAAATGCTTCATGTCTATTTCTTTCTAAAGCGCCCCTGGAGCCAGCATCTATACATCTTGATCTTTTCCGCTCGGTTGACGAGCATTCGTCGATCAACCCCGAGGTTCTCGATCTCGAACAGCGGTGGAACATCTGCCATCGCTTGCTCTGCCTCTGCCGCCTCGCCCTCTGCAGGCTCGGTAGATGTGGTCGTTTTGCCCGACCAGATATCAGCGAGTTGACCCTCGTCAAAGAAATAGACTCGGGTTCCGTCGCCTCGGATGTAGAAATTTTCGTCAAGGTACCGGCCCTTGCGAAACCTAACCTGGGCTAGGTCACCTCTTCCATAGTCTCGGAAGCAGACCAGGCCGCCAGGCTTGAGGACCTTGTGGACGTTCTGCACAGCTTGTGCCCATTGGTCCGGGGAAAGAGCAGAGAAAATGAAAATCATAATGGCCACGTCTACGGATCCCTCCTCCAGGCCGGGAGGCAAGCTATCACTGGAGACATCCCATACGTCGGCCTGGATTGAATTGGTGTCGTACTCTTCATGGTTGCGAATGACGTCTACGGCAGTTTTGGAGTAGTCGCAGGCGTGGATCTTTAGGTGAGGGTTATTATTATTGGCCAGGATGGGGAATGCCGTGTTACCGGCACCTGCGCCGATTTCCAGGAGGACCTTGGGGCCGGCGTCCTCCTTGGCCACCTCGGCAAGGATGGGAAATTCCTGCTGGAGCCACTTCCGATTCTTGAAGAAGTTGGACTGGTTGTTCTTGTAGAAAAGATTCCACCATTTGGCTGGGTCCGCACTGAACTTTCCTAGACGTTTGGTTAGCACGTCTATTGAAACAATCAAGTTGTAACAAGTAAGGTGTGTAGAGGTGTTTGAGTCAGATGGGAGCGAAAGAATTGAAGGTATGCGTTGTCTTCAGTAGATTCAGATGAACTATGCATTAGGTATGGATATCATCATGAAACACCAGGCAAAAGCCAAGCTTGTGTGATTAAAAAAAGGTGCGACTTACTCTTCTCAAAGTCCGAGACGGGGAACTGCCGCTGCTTGGCGTACTGCTGCTCAGCATACTCCTTGTACGTGTCATCCGTCTCGACATGGTCCCAAGCGTTGAACTCGAAGACATCGTCTCCCGCGCTGAGGTACCGGCTGCCAAACTGGAAGGGATCGCTCCGCTTCAAGTTCTTGGCCTTGTCGTGTGACAGGTGAGGTGGCACCTCTGTAGTAGCCTGGGTCTCCGTGTTCTTGATGTCCAACGCGGCCATGTTCTCGACAGGAACAGCCACAACGACCGGGCTCGCGAGGGCGTCGCCACTCGGCGTAGATGACGCCATCATGAACTCTGGAAGCCTCAGAGCGTGCACTTGCAGACGCAAGTGGTATGCCTTGGGCAGCGCAGAAGAAATCGCACTGGAAATGTGAGGATGTAAAGAAGCTCGAAGCTCAAGAAAATTTCGGTGCAGAAATGAGTTTTGTCTTGGACCCTCAAGGCTGTGGGGCACTACACTTAATTTGATTGGCTGTTGCTACCGGGTCCGGATTAATCATTGCGCCGGCCGCGAGAGGTGCAGCTGCTGGGGCCAATCACGGAGAGCTTAGGGGAGCATGGACGTCCAACCTCCAGTCTCCCGTGTCCATTCGAACAGAGACACTCTGAGGTCTGACGGTTGACGGGTTCCTCTGACGACGCCCTCTCCGAAAGAATCACCCCCGTCACGATTTACGAGACGCTGTTCCCCCTTGAGATCCCTCCTAATCCGGCACCTACCAGCTATGGCACCGTCACTTTTGCAGCCGCAAGGCCACCTATCACCAGCCGAGACCCTCAAGCTCGCGCAACAAGCTCCCGACATCTTGCGACGAAACCCGAAGGCCATCTCGGCGTCGCCCCTCCTCTCGCTTTTCTCGGCTCCCGAGACTGCCGACCTGTGGACTATCTACGAGAACCTCCTACTATCATGTCTCCGAACGGGCGACGACGATTCGGCGCATCAATGCCTGGAGAGGCTCGTGTTGCGATTTGGCAGCAATAACGAACGCTTGATGGCGCTCAAGGGTCTGGTCAAAGAGGCAGAAGCTAGCAATCACAATGAGCTACTCGCAGTGCTCAAAGAGTACGAGGACATCTTGGAGGAGAACCAGACAAACATTGTAAGTCAAGTTTGCGACGGTCATGGGACACTTGACTGACAAACAATAGCCTATCGCAAAGCGACGAGTTGCCCTTTTCCGATCGATGGGCAAGACGCCCGAGGCGATTGCATCCTTGATATGGTTGCTCGAATTCAGCCCGACGGATGCTGAGGCTTGGTCTGAGCTGGCAGATCTATATCTGTCCCAGGGGTTATACTCCCAGGCTATCCACGCATTGGAAGAGGTGCTTGTGGTGACACCGAATGCTTGGAACGTACGTGGCTCTGGTTTTATTCTCGAGAAGTCCCCACCTGACAATGTTTAGATGCACGCCCGCCTAGGAGAGGTGTCATTAATGGCGGCCAACGTTTCCACCGACGGATTTCCACAGAAATACCTGGCAGAGTCCCTGAAACGGTTCTGCAGAAGCATTGAGCTCTGCGAGGATTACTTAAGAGGCTACTATGGCCTAAAGAAGGTAAGTTGGGAGGAGGCGCTCGTGGAAGAACTGATCAGCGTGGCTGACATGGTACTAGGTTACCGACAAGCTCTTGAGTGAGCCCGCGAAGCTCAAGAAGCAGACAGAGGGTGAGGGTTTCTCTCTGCCGCAGCAGGAGACAATTGAGAAGCTCAACCAGGCGGCGACCAAGAAGCTGTCAGAGATAGTGAGACGAAATGTGGCACAAGAGCCAATGTGGCAGGGGTACAATGCAGATGAGATTTCTGCGGCCAAGGCGTTGCTCGACAGCTCATCGTCAAACGTAGTCCGGTGAGGACATGTTTGCAGAAGGGTCGCGTAACCCCGCGCCTTGGTTGGGATGATGGGCTTCTTTGCGGTCTGCGTAGGACAATGGGGGTCTGGAAGCCGGTAATGGCCGCCTCCGTGACCAAAGCGCCCCTGACTAGCAGACGTCCTCTGAACCTGGCACATTATAGCAGAAAGACAGTGGATGGGTGGGAGATAGGATACAGCGGTATCTACGGCTCCAAGGCCCGTAATGTGGCGTCTTTGGGTGACAGGGAAGTTGGGCGCCTAGCACGTGGCGCCACTCAAGGGCGGGTGGCGGGGAGGCCTTGGCTGGTGGATACGGGGAAAGTCGGCCAGGGAACGGAAGGGAAACGGCTCTACGACAGGAGAGACGAGAAGAGCCGGGTGGTTGTCAATGGGTGTTGGGGGCGACGGAGGGCGACAAGCAAAGGGCGACGGATGACGCGGTCTTGGGCCGAAATAATCAGTGCCCAGCAGATGCTGATGGGATATTTCGTTGTTTCAATAGCTACCAACATCGGGCACGTTGGGCTACCATTACTTACACGATTATAAGTGCAGGCGTAGCGCATGCTTGGGTTTCAATGCGGACAGAAAAGTAGACGGACAAGGAAACAGGGCGTCGGTGCCAACCAAGAACAGCGTGTAAGGGGGGAGGGACCGCTCCGTTTCGGTCCCACCGTTGCCCAATGTTGAGAGCTGGGACGCATCTGATGCATCTATCCCATGATCAATTGACGGTTGGGTACCCAGAAGAGAGCCTTGTGAGTGTGTGGGTGTGAGTGTGAGTGGAGGCATTTTCGTAGGGGGAGCCACTGTCCACTGTGGGAATAGCCGACCACTTGGCATCAGACTCGATGATCCCATGATCCACGACCAGGAGTTCTTGGATCTTGGTTCTTCAGGACATTCTGGGTCTGGGCTCCTGTTCCGGGTTCTGGGTTCGGAGGATTGCTGCGATGTCGAAGGCTGGCTGCCGGGATAGCCTGGTCTTTTGGAGCGGGCCTCAAACGTGCTTCGCCATGTACGACTGACTGCTGATGGAGGAGACCTTGGATGAGAAGCTTAGAGGTCGAAACGACAAGAAAACATGGCCACTAGCTAGCCACAAGCCGCAGCTAGATGGAGTCAGAGGCTCGGCGGGAACCCATTGTCCACACTACTGTACATCATCATTCGTCAAGGCTGGTGGGCAGAATCGCGGGTGGAGAGGAGAGAAAAGAGAGCGAGGCACAACCCCGTAATAAGTCAATGTTGATAGCATAAGGCAACCAGAAGGCAGCCACGACTCGTGCAGGCGCTTCGTGTAAGTACCTACCTGTGGGCACAGTCAGCAACCAAGCATTGCAAACCTGGCTACCTTATCGTCCTCATGGGGCATGGAGCAGCAAAGACTCGGTTCCTCGCTCGCTCAGACTCCACCGGCTCGCAGCCGTTGTCGACGATGAGTTGGCCAGCGCAGGCCCTGTCGCGACGATGGGTCCCCAGGGGCGACGGGGAAACCGTTGGCCACTGTGCCAAACCGGGTGTGGAAGATTAGGCGTCAAGACGCGGCCTGGAAGCTTGAGGCGCATCCTTCGCATCGTGACCTGCCAACCAGCGCCGGGATGGTGGCAGCGATGCAGCGGGTTTTGCAGGCGGGATGGTGCGAGAAGAGGGCCCTGTTGGCAGACGGGCCAAAACATCGAGGGCGGGCGTGATATAAGTGATGTGGTTTGCCTAGTGCGCCATCTATGAAAGCGTAGAAAAAATTGGTTGCCTCTTTTTTACTTTTTTCGTCGAAGCCTTTGTTCAGACGTGATGGTGGTGAGGATTCGACGGGTCGATCGATTCAAGGCCATCTTCGGACGATGGTACTGCATCTGCGACAAAATACGATCCATCGCGCAACCGACAACCGAACAAGATACCCTGTCTCTACGTCCGTCACACTTTGTCGAAATCTACCCGCTCCTCGGGCCGCCCCGTCTCTCAACCATCTATTTGCGTACCGTATACTGGGCTCCGGTTGGATAGCCTTTGGTGCCAAAACCTGGCTGAGACGAGACGCAGCCAACACGGCCGGGCGCAGCATCTCACCCCTAGAATGGAAACCACACGAAACAACACGGCCATTTGTCTGAGAACCGAGAGAAATAACGTATGGAATTAAGAAAATAAAAATGGACCAGCAAACCGGTTTGCACGGAAGGAGGAGGAGGATGCCGACGTGTCAAATGCTTGCCCGTGGATGCCACTGTACGCACGGATCCTGGCAATCCGATATTCAACCCACTTGAAACGAACACGACGGAGCAACGCCGCCTTCATTGGCCACCGGCCCAGCCCGTCTGGGTCAATCGAAGGAAAACAGCACCTCGCCGGGATACTAACCATGAGAAAAATGTCCAAAAGAGCCGCTGCTGCCTGGCCACGCAAGTACGTCGTTCCCCTGTTGTTTTCCGGTGCCAGCGGGTTGAGTTGAATGCCTGCCTGGAAACCGTGGGTTTTTTTTGTGCCAGTTCCTTCGCTATAGTGCCGACCCCATCATGTTTAGACCCTTTGCTGCCTACCCGCGTTCCTGTTAGCCCATTCACGCTCTTGTGCCCTCTGAACCCATTGCTCTCTATTTTCCCTCGTTTCCACATCTCATTGGGGTCTGTGTTATAAAAAGCTGCAATCCCTGTGTCCTATGTGAAAGCGGCCTGAAACATCGGCCTTGCCCAGCACCAGCAACTGGAGGGGTAATTCGAGGTCAGGTTGGCCCAGGTAAGCCGGCGGCCGTCCGAGTGAGTCAGTCGCTGTCAACAATCAATCAAAGCCAGCTCTAGCGAGTGCGTGGCAACAGACAACCGCAGCACAGCAGCACTGCAAGCACAGCAGCACGCACGCCAACGCCGCAAGACTGACTGGACTGTACCTGGCACCGCCGCGCTTTGTTTAGGGTTCCCTTTTCTTACTTTTTTTTTTCGCCCTCTCTCCCATCATTCTTCCTTCTTCCCTCTTCCCTTTCCACTTCTCTTCTACTCCTCCTCATAACCCGCCGTTGGCATCCCCCGATTTGGATCGCCCTATAATACAGACGACGCAGAAAGAGTCATTCTCCTTGTCGTCCGCCATCCTCATCTGGTTCTTGTGTTGTTCAATAAGCAAAAGCTCGTGTCCATCGACTCTCGTGAGCTACATTCCTGGACCTGGGCAGCACACCAACAAACCCGGCCCCCACTCAACCACACCGCACACCACCCTGTATCGCCGCTAGGAATCTAAGCTGCCGTTCCGTTACGGTAGGTACCACTGCCGACAACAACATCAACAAACCCATTGTCAACAAGTCTTGCGGCCGCCCACAAGCAGATTCTGTACAAGGGTCCAATTACGAACTTGGTAGTAAGTAATTTACCTTTTTCTGTGTTTCCCCACTCCTTCTATTTTCTCGGAATGTCGTCTTCCCTCTTCGTGGATGGTGGTGGTGGTGTTGTTGCTGCTATTTGTTGCTGCTATGGCGGTGGAGGTCCGGCAAGTGAGCGGCCCATGTGATCATCACCGCCCGCATCAAACAAGCAAGTCAAGCGGACAAAAGCAAAGCGCCGACAGCTCTCTCTGCATGAATGACGATGCTGCAAATGCGATCGCCACCCCGACTGCTGCTGCTGCTCGTCACGCCTATGGCCCCATTCCTGTCTATCCATCAATCATCGCCCATGCTTGCAAAGCCTGTTTCCAGCTGGGAGCCTTCGTCTTGGTTGTGCCCCATTTCTAGGCTCTTCCATCAGGCTGCTGGCCGCCCCCACCGGTCTTGGGCATCGGCAGCGATCCTGGCGCCCTAAGCCTTGGGGCTACCCCGGCTGCCGAAGACGGTGCAAACAAAGAAAAAGCTTGGATCAGGATGGACTGGGGCCAGATAGGAATACGCAGCCAAGGGCGCCCAAAGGACCAGCAGTGGGCCAGTCGATTTGGGCCCAGCAGCTGCGCCAGCGCCAGCCAAAAAGGCGCCAGCAGACAGGGCCGGCCTATCGACAGGGCGACGAACCAGGATGTCGCGGGTCTGGGCGGCTGAGAACGGTCGGTGCCCAGCAGCAGCAGCAGTCTCTGACCAGCAGTCTCTGACTGTCAGTCATTCAGCGGTCCAGCCAGCAGTCAGCAGCGAGCCATCCCGCCAGTCGCCTGTCGTCCATCGTCCGTCAGCCGGATGGACAAGGGTGATTGGATGGACATGGGCTAGAAACGACCTGGGATAGGTTAGAGTTGGCCCCTGGCAGCCCATGGGAATCCACCATCCATGGAGAGCCCCTGTTGCCGAATTGGCGGGGACGCTCGCATTGGCACCTGGTTTGCGCCTTGGGTTGCGGTACGCCGCTCTTTGAGACCGCTGTGATGCTGGGATGCTGGGATGCTGCCACGCTGCTGCCATGCTGAAGGACGCCGCCTCTCGATGTCGCCGGCCCGGGGGTTGTAACTGTTGTCCGACACGACAACCAATCTTGTCAAAACCTCGCCCCTCCTGCCCAGCTGCTGACAGAACGTTGTGTTCCTAATAGTCGTCTGCCCATCGTCTCGTTGGCTCAGTCGTCGGATTGCCCGCCTGCCCACCTGCCCGCCCATCGATCGATTCGTTTGTGCGCCGCGCACCACGCACTACGGACATTAGGTACATTGATTGCATTTACACATATGAGCCGTGTGCTCGTCAACCTTCAGTCAGTAGCTCACCCGCCGGCCCAGGTTTTTGACTCTCGGCCGCTCCCTCGACGGCCCCGCTGGCTCGCACCGCGCATTCCTCACCGTGGTCCATCCTCGCCGCCCTCGTCGCCGCCTCAACCCGAATACCGCCAGCTCTGCATTCGCGCTGAGCTGCGCTGTTTCAGCTGCGGGTATCGTTGGCCCTCGCTGCCCGGCCAGTGACCCATAAGTACGATCTGGAACCCCTCTCACCGCCGATCGTGCTCACGATTTTCTGCCGCTATCCCCTCCCTCCCCTCCCTCCATCCATCCCTCCCTCCACCCTCCATTACATCCCTCCAAAACCAACCCTCCATCCCTCCAACCCTCGCAACCGCCGCCCGAGAACCCACCCGCCCACACTCATTGCGCCTGACCTTTGACGCAAGCCTTACCCTCCTCGACCAAGCAGCTTCGCAGGCCTGTCCTTGATTTGCCGACACCGCATCGCATTCCGTCGCCCAGCTAAGCCAGCCAGCTAGCTCGGCACCCACGGTCGACGGTAGACGCTTCGCCTCCTCCCCGTCTCACTGCCTTTTTCTCTGTCACGCCCCTCCTCTCCCGTGGCGCATTTGCACAATCGACCCCTCACGCCCGTCGCGCAAATCCAATTCCTCCCTGCCACGACCCTCGTACCGGCGCTGTATTCCTGCTCTCTGCGCTCCTGCTCCCGCAACAGCTCTTCTGCCATCCCCCAGAGCCCACCTTGTGCGCTTCTGGGCGTCGCGGGCCTTGCCCTTAACTCTATCACCCGAGTCTTTGTTGTCTCCCCCCCCCCCAGATAACAGCCCCTTTGCTCCGGCTTTCTCTCGTAGATCGTCGCGGGTAGAGGGCAATCCATCAATCAGCCTCTGCTATGCCGTGAGTCCTCCGAATCCTCCTCCCCGCTCCCACCTCCACCACTTCTCCCTCCCCCATCATTCCCGCCCCCAAAACACCACTCCCATTGTTTTCGCATATCGCTTACCGCCATCTTCGCTAGACTCATCAAGCGCGGAGCATCATCGTCGCGAGGCACAACCATTACCATAGATCACGGTGAAGGTTCCTCGTCTCACTCGCCCTACAACAGTGAGGAGGATTCTTCCCGGGAGACCAGCAACGACTATTCTACCACGGACGAGGACGAGGACTTGTACGACGAGTACGACGACGACGACCATTCGGATACTGCCTCCACCAGTAACTCCGGCTATCCTGCCCAAAACCACCACTACCCTCCCCGGCGACTTCCATTGCCTCATCCACAACATCCGCAACTTCCACAACATCCACATCATCCGCAAGAACCGCCGGGTTACCACCGACCGGTGCAGGTGCACCCGCACGCTGGGAGACAACCGCGCCCTGTTGCAAACCCGCGCCCTGCCGCAAACTCTCGCCCTACCGCAAACGTGGAGGCTCCCGACGAATACGGCCAGGCCGCCTATGGCGGTCGTGGCTTTGCGCAACACCCGGGTCAACCGGGCCCGGGTAATCAATTCTTCGGCGGCCGTGGCTATCATCAGAACCATGTCGGCCCCTACATGCCAGGCGGCTATCCGCAGAACGGCTCGATGGTCCCCTACGGGAATTATCCCAATCCGAACAACCCCTTTGGCGCAGCCGGCATGCCCCAGGGCCAGCTCACTCAGCACGGCGGCCAGCACGGGGCCAACTTCTTCGGCGGCGAGGGAAGGGGCATGTATGATATGATGCCGTATCAGGGCTACTACGGCGGCGCACCCGGCCCCGGATACAATCTTCCCAACCACATGCAGCAGTATCACTTGACACCACCTCCACCCCCCCCGACTGAGGCCCCTACCAAACCTGCCACTCCAGCCCCTCCGAAGGAAGATCCTGACAAGATTCGCCTTGAAGCCGAAATCGCTGCGTTCAAGGCTGCAGAGGCGAAGATTGCGGCTGCTGAGAAACAGAAGGAGATTGAGGCGCAGATCCGGAAGGATGCTGAGGAGGCCTTCCAGCAAAGAATGGAAGCCATGAGGATCGCCCAGGAGCATGCCCAAAAGCAGATTGAGAAGGCCAAAATCGAGGCCGAGAATGCTGCCCGAGAGCGAATCGCGGCCGAACGCAAGGCCGAGGAGGAACGTGTGCGGAAGCACGCCGAGGCCATGAGAGACGCTGAAGAGAAGGCAAGGGCCAAATTTGAGGCTGAGCTCAAGGCTGCCGAACTCGCCCGAAAACGGGAGGCTGAAGCACGGGCTCTGGCTGAAGCGGAAGCAAAGGCGAAGTTCGAGGCTGAGATGAGAGCTGCCGAGGAGGCGAGAAAGAGAGAGGCTGAAGCTCGCGTTAGGGCCGAAGCGGAAGCAAAAGCGAAGTTCGAGGCCGAGATGAGGGCCGCTGAAGCGAGAGGAAAGAAGGAGGCCGAGGAACGAGCCAGGGCTGAGGTCGAAGCCCGAAGAAGATTCGAGGCAGAGCTCAAGGCTGCTGAGGAGATGAGGAAGAAGGAGGAAGAAGCCAAAGCTCGAGCTGAGGAAATGGCCCGGATCCGCCTCGAGACGGCGCTCAAGGCGGAGGCTGCGGCCAAGGCGGAAGCAGCCCGGAAGGCCCAGGAGGAGGCCGAACGCCTTTACCGAGCCGAGCAAGCGGCCAAGGCCGCGGCCGCCGCGGCCGCTGCGGAAGAGGCGGCGCGCGTCAAGAAGATGGAGGAAGACGCCAAGGCCAAGGCAGAGGCGGATGCCGCCGCAAAGGTTGAGGCCGACAAGGTTGCTGCCGCAGCAGCAGCGGAAGCGGCGGCCAAGGCCAAGGCGGAAGCCGAAGCTCTTAAGAAGAAAATTGAAGAGGATACCAAGGCCAGCATCGAGGCCGCCGCGAAGAAGGCGGAGCAACTCCCGATTAGGTTCAAGGATGCGGTTGGGCGGAAGTTCAGCTTCCCATTCCACCTATGTGGAACCTGGCAGGTATGTTTAACCTAATATTTCTCTTGGCAGGGTCAAACGGCTAACGACATGATTGCTCTACAGGGCATGGAGGACCTCATCAAGCAGGCATTTTTGCAGGTGGACGTTCTTGGTCCCCACGTCCAGGAAGGTCACTACGACCTCATCGGACCCGACGGTGAGATCATCCTCCCCTCGGTTTGGGAGAAGGTGGTGCAGCCGGATTGGGCCATCACCATGACCATGTGGCCAATGGACAAGTCGCCGCAAATTGGGCCCAAGCATGGAATGCCGGGTCGACATGGCCACATGCCCATGCCCCCGCCCGGACGGATGCCCCCGGGCATGGCACCGCCGGCGGGCATGATGCCGCCTGGCCGTCGGCCGGGTGGGCCTCCCGGCGGCATTCCCCCCGTTCCAGGATGGCATGGCGGGGGCCGACCAATGCCTCCCAATATTATCAACGTAAACCCACCCGCCAAACCGAATGGCAAGCCGTCGTCGAAGAAGAAGCAAGACTCGTCTTGGATTGGATTTTTGGCTGGGAAGCCGCCGAAGAAGAAGTGAGTCTTGACCACCTACAAATCACACCAGTGGTGCAGCTGTGCTAACAAAGGTATTTTAGGCCGGGCAAGAAGTAAAAAGGCTTGGGGTCTCGGTGACATGAAACGATAATGTGGGATTTGACGTTGGCACAACTCAGTTTCTTTTCTTTTCCAGATACCTGGGCGATTACCTTTGCCCTTTTCTTTTCTTTTATTTCTTCTTGGGACCCTTTCTGGGAGTCTCTGTGTTTCTTGTGGAATTGGAGGCAATGGAATTTCTCTTATCATTTACGCTAGCGTCACACATCAGAGGAGTCGCGAACTATCCTAAATGCATTTGGATCGGAGTATGATGACACGGCTCAATGATGCTGGGGGAAACGGCGTACGATCCAAAGTGCTCGAGGGCTCTCAAGTCTTGAGATTGGCGCAAAGACGACGTTTCGGGTTGGATGATGATGGATGATGGATGGACCAGCAAGTTGGATTAGACGCGGCGGTCCTAGACAACCTGTTATGTAGAATGAATGGAGTATTGCAGGTGTTTTGTGTTTGCCTTGCTGTGTTTTGTGCAGCGGCGTGTGAAATGGCAGCGTTTCGCCGGGAGTCGTGAATGTACAAGATGTAGTTCGTAAGTGGTCGTTTGAAGAAGAGTCCTTTCATAGCTTTCGCCGTGACCCAAGCTTTTGGCGGGCTTGCTTCTCGAAGGCCTCAATCATCAACCCGGCGACCTTGTCGGACACAGCTGCGCTGACCGCGGCATATAGAGGGTTGGTGAACTGGAAGTCAATGGCGAGGTGGACTTCAGTCGATGGCGAGGGCAGACTGGCGAGCTCCTTGACCGACCACCGCGTCACCAAGCTCCGGAAGACGGCCGAAGCATCGGGGCCCCCACCGCCGGGTTGGGTCGAGCCGCTGACGGCCTCGACGGAGACGCCGGGTACGCAGCGGAGGCGGCTGGTGAATACCTCATCGAAGCCACCCCAGCCAACGTGTAGGTCTGCTAGGGTCGGCCAGCGTCGACCGGCGGCGTCGGGGTCGGACCACTGGGTGACGCGGGACCGGGAGCAGTAGGGCACGAACTGGACGTAGGAGTCGATGTCGGAGATGAGGTCGTAGAGCGGTGCCGGGGCGTAGGGTAGCCTGCGGGTTGCGGTGAGGCTCTGGGTCGTCGGGGAGGAGCCGGGGAGAGTGAAGAAGGATCGGGAGAAATTTGAGGTGCGAGAGGCGGAACTCGCGATGCGCGATGCGGCGAGGGAGACGCGCGGCGGGGGGAGGAGGCGGAGGGCCATTGGGGGTTGTGGAGGAGTGGGAGGGAAGCGGTTAGATGAGGTGAGTATCAAGTGCTATGTCCATGGCATTGGAGGGTTGTGGAGTGTGCTCCGCGGGGAAGCTTGGAGAGGAGGAGAGAATGAAGGCGTTGGTGTTGAGCCTCAGTCGTGGTGAAAGTATGGACCCATCCTCACCCCACTCATGCGGAGCGTAACCTGCGAAACATGTGCCTGGAATAAAGCGCTGTAGCGTATCGTGCTCACCGATCAGTTTAGGGGCTGCAACCCCTGTACGCCCGTTAATCGTAGGACTTACAGCACCGACCAGGCTGCTACAGTGCTCCGATGCTCGGGCCGTCTTGGCTGCCGAGTCCAGGGCGGTTCCGTCATTGCCCAAGGTCGCACATCTCTCCAACCACCATCAGCATCTCCATCGTGACGGCAAACTGCCGCCTCTCCAGCCAACGCCCGACATACAGCATGCGCCGGTCGACCTCACCGCGACGGAACCTCGAAAGACGCTGACGACGCCCCCTTTTTCCTCGTCTCCTCGCCTCCTCCGCGGCCGATACTAGACCGCGATAACTCGTAGCGGTCCGCCCCACGTGGGGCATCCGCCGCCATCATGTAGGGAGCTTCGACATAATACCCGCCCCGGCTATGGCGCGGCGCTGACGGTGCGCAGGTTCGAAAAGTCGCTGTACGACCTCATTCGGGGGCTCCGGAACCACAAGGGCAATGAGAAGGAATATATCCAGAAAAGCCTGAAGGAGTGCCGCGCAGAGGTTCGGGGTCAAGACATGGGTTCGTCAGCCATCTCCGTCTCGAGTCGCGTTCGAAGCTATGTCTCTCGTCTGGAAGGCTGCTTCTCGGGCATGGGAGGCTTCGGTGTGTCTCTTGTTTGTACTGGGCCGCTAATGCGCTATACTGCTAGATCTCAAGGCGACGGCGCTGCTCAAGCTCATCTACCTCGAGATGGTCGGCCACGACATGTCTTGGGCGTCTTTCCATGTGCTCGAGGTCATGTCGTCGCCCAAGTACCACCAGAAGCGAGTGGGATATCTGGGTGCAGTCCAGAGCTTTCGGCCCGACACCGAAGTCCTGATGCTGGCTACCAACCTGCTCAAGAAGGTCCGCGGATGAACTCTCAACACTTTCCACACTTATCTAATGCTCGCGTGTCCAGGACCTCGGGTCGACCACACCGACTGTCATCTCCCTACCTGTCGCAACCCTTCCCCACGTTATTACGCCGTCCCTGGCGCTCTCGACCCTGGCAGACTTGCTGCCGCGACTGAGCCACAGCCATTCGAATATCCGAAAGAAGACGCTTGTGACCCTGTACAGACTGGCTCTTGTGTACCCCGAGGCGTTGCGCGCAGCATGGCCCAAGATCAAGGAGCGTCTTATGGACCCTGACGAAGACCCGAGTGTCACGGCTGCCATTGTAAATGTGGTCTGCGAGCTGGGCTGGCGCAGGCCTCATGATTTCCTCCCCCTTGCTCCCAGGCTGTTTGAGCTTTTGGTGGATGGTGGTAATAACTGGATGGCCATCAAACTGATCAAGCTGGTTAGTATCGGCTTTCGCGGTGTTTGCTACACAGAGACTGACGGTTTTCTAGTTTGCAACCCTGACACCCCTGGAGCCTCGTCTTGTGAGGAAGCTGTTGCCGCCACTCACGAATATCATCCGGACTACTCCTGCTATGTCGTTGTTGTACGAGTGTATCAACGGTATCATTCAGGGCGGAATTTTGGGGAATGCCGATGATGTGACAGGAACCGATGAGATTGCGACGTTGTGTGTCAACAAGCTGCGAGGCATGATTATGATTGACGGCGATCCCAATCGTAAGTCGGCGATTCTGCCCAGCATATGAGCAACAAGCTAACATCCTCAGTGAAATATGTTGCACTACTGGCATTCAACAAGATTGTTATCACCCACCCCTATCTGGTGTCACAACAAGAGGATGTCATCTTGGAGTGCATTGACAGCCCCGATATCACTATCCGAATACAGGCACTGGATCTTGTTCAGGGTATGGTTACTGGGGACAACTTGATGTCCATTGTGAGCCGCCTCATGAAACAGCTTAAGACTTCTATGCCAGTCCGAGACAGGCAACAAACAGGCACTCCCATGGACCCTAGCGATTCGGACACCGACAGCTCATTCGCCGAGTCTGGAGTCAAGTCGCCTGGTCAGACACCTCCTCTCCCGGATGATTACCGAATCGATGTCATCGCAAGGATCTTGGCAATGTGCGCAAAGGATAACTATTCTAGCGTGTTGGACTTTGATTGGTACATTGATGTTTTGACACAGCTCGTACGCATGGCCCCTATTTCTCGCAAGATTGACGCCGATGCAGGCATTTCATCAAAGTCGCGTGCCGATGTGTCTGAGAAGATTGGAGATGAGCTACGCAGCATTGCTGTGAAGGTGCGAGCTATGAGACCGGCAGCTGTCAGGGCTTCAGAGGACATTTTGAACCAACTTAATGCGGATACTCCCCCCGGATATTCCATCACCTCAGGGGCTCTCAAGTCGGTCGCGTGGATCATGGGCGAATACGCACCGCAACTTCCCATACCGGATGACAACCTGAATAGCCTATTGCAGCTCATACCCCGGGCGACGAACTCTGAGGTGATCACGACTACCCTCCAGGCTGTCACCAAGATCTTTGCAACCATAGTTGGAGATGAGATGGAACAATGGACGGCCGAGAGAAAGTCTAGGGTGTCACTACTCATGGCCCGTATCATCCACGTCTTTGAGCCCTTGCAATTGAACCCCAGTCTTGAGGTTCAAGAGCGAGCTGTCGAGTTCACAGAGTTGCTGAAACTCACCTCTGAGGCGGCCTCTGGTCAACCCGCTACGACCGATGATGTCGAACAGGACCCTCCGTTGCTTCTCACCCAGGCGATACCGTCCCTTTTCAACGGTTGGGAACTTAACTCGGTGGCCAAGGGGGCCCAGCACAATGTCCCAGTGCCCGACGGACTTGACTTGGACGAACCAATCCACGCAAATCTCGCTAGATTATTGTCGGAGGCGGACTCAGTCGCACTGGCAGCAGACGATTCTGACGAGTTTGAGGTGTACTACCATCAACGGCCACCACCAACAAGCATCGACTCCTCTGCGCCGGCCATTAGCAGACTGACGGAGCCTGCAGAAGATTATGTCGGCTCGTACCAGCAAGCGACCGAGGACAGTTATCTAGATGCGGACATTGTTGCGCGAAGAAAGGCAGAGCGTCAGGAACGAAACAAGGACGATCCGTTCTACATCCCCAGCCGTACCGCCACTCCCCAAACATCGACCCCTATCCACAACATTCTCCATACCAGCAACGGCCCCGACCTTGACATTGACTCTATACCGATAATGCAGTTGGACCTTGACAAGGTCGGAAGCGCCGCGGCACCGCAGCAGCCGCAGCAGCCGAAGCAACATCAGCGACCACAACAGCGACCTCGACAGAAGGTCGTTATCGCCGCGGACGAGACTCTAGAGGGCAGCGACAGCGGGTCTGGCAGGCGCACCTACGACTCGGAGAACAACTCGGACAGCTTCACCAAGACCAAGGCGCGCAAGCTCAAGCAGTCGCTGCTCAAGGTGGACTCGAGCAGCATCCGCACCTTCAACCTCGAAGACCAGCCAGCTGGCGGCTTCGACCATGAGCGTCAGCAGCAGGAGGAGGCCGAGATGCAGAAAGCCATGAAGGAGGTCGAGCGCCTCCGCCTCGAGATGCAGCGCGCCAACGAGCGCATCCATGTTGCGCAGGGCGTCGATGTCGAGGGCACCGTCGTCAAGAAGAAGAAGACCAAGAAGGTCAAGAAGCCCCTTGACGCTGACGAAGGTGCCGAGGTCAAGCCAAAGAAGACGAAGAAGAAGAAGGCCCGCATAGTGACGCTTGATGAGCCTGGCGATGATAGCAGTGCCAGGGGCGTAGATCCGCCGGTGGGAGGTGCATCGGCCGAGGTGGTGATTGCCAAGAAGAAGAAGAAAAGGCCCGTCGCCCAGATTCAGGAGGCGGACTAGCAGTATATTTAAGGGGCAACTATCAGCTGGCTATATACAGTCAAGGATAGCGTACCTAGTTAGGTAGTATTTATGGCAAGCCGATACCTTGATGCCAGTGCAGGAGAAGGGAATAAATGCAACACATCAATTCTATCCACCGTCCCCCGACATATTATTTGACTATTGGTATTCGCATACACTCAAAATACTACTCGCATACTGAAGTATATAGACCAATTTCACCAAGAAGTCTTAATAATATATCTAATAGTAACTTAAACTTAAGAAAATTAAATAAATTTTATTTTTAGTATTTATTCTTTAAGTTCTTCTATTTAAATTTTATCTTTTAGGTTATTTTGGAGGAGAAACTGGAAAATCTTCACAATAAGATATCTTGAGGCAGGTATACAGTTTAGGCATATTATCTTATACTAATCTTAGGTGTAAAAGGTCGTACTTGTATGTAATTAGCATTTTGAATGTATACGAATAGCAATACTCTATTATTTTGACTGTTCAGAATCGTTCATATTCGTCATTGTTATATGTAGTTTGATTTTCCATTCACTAGCCTATCAACACCTTCACCTAGTCCCTCCCAAGCCTCATATCCGTCCTCATATCCGCCCTCCATCCAACCCCTCTATTTCTCCACCGTATCGTCCAAGTCGCGAGAAAGGGGCAGGCTCATGAGAAGAGACATAACAACCAAGGAATCTCCAAACAAAAAAAAGAAGAAGAAACAACCGGCTCAAACCAACACGGAATCGCGCCATCTCGTGATACAGCATAAGTACAAAAAACCAACAAAAAAAGTACACCAGTGGTTCTTTTTGGCTTCATGCTCCATTAATACGTGCACATGATAGATAGATTGCCCGGGAAAGGAGAAGGGGCTTTCTCTCCCAAAGCTCTTCCCTCATATGCCTTTCCATTCCTTTCCGTCCCTTTGTTTCTTCTCATGACGTATGCCGTAGCGCATCAAAGGCTCAATTCGACGTGGAAACGCCTCTTGGGCCTATCTCATCACTGCCAAAGCATTATTGCATGGGCCTGTCCTCGAGTGTCACGCCGCGTTCTGAGGGTGGCGTGACAGGGACTCGCTTGCCGCCGACAAATCGTGCGGTAGTACGTCCGAGACTCTCGCGTTTCTCGGTAACGGTCTCTGAATCGGGTGACTTGACCACATCGGCGCCATTCACAGGCTCTGCACCCTCGGGGCCGGGCACCTCGAGACTGTTTCGCTTGTTCAGGCTACCAAGGCTACCAAGACTGCTGCGTTGTCGGTCGGCGGCTGAGGTCGGGCTGGTCTGGATGGGGAATCGCGTCTCAGGTCCGCCAGTGCTGCGTTCTCGTCGGTGGCCGCGGGGGCTCGGCGCAGGGCTCCTGTCCCGGCCGCGGTTTGCACTGGCCTTCTCGAGCAGAGCCCTATTCCGCTCCTCCATGAGGGCCTTGCGGTTGCTTTCGTCGGTGCTGATGGCGCGGGGACGGTTGGCGCTGACAGAGGAGGAGTGGTTGAGCGAGGACATGCGCTTGAGTGCGCTGAAGATGGCGTCCTTATGGGCGAAGAGGTCGCGCACCAGTCGGTGCGAATGCTTCTCCTCCATAGTGAGAGATGTCTCTGCTCGTGGCCGCAAGACACATGGCGCAAGGAAGGCTGCAAGGGATGAGACGTAGCTATCATCAGCTGAGGTAAGGTCGATGAGGCGGGTGAAGTGATTCATGCAGGCATCAAGGGTGGCAATGTTGGTGAGCCGAAGCTGAGACAGTGTCTGTTGCAGAACAGCGATGCGCGAGGCATCGGATGAATCGGCGGCGGTGGTTGAGTAGATTGTGCGGATGATTTCGTATACATGAGAAGAGACGAGTGAGTCTATAGATGGAAATTGTTAGTGGTTACGAGCTCCAAGCTTGCATGTCGGGAAAGGAATGCCTACCAGGTAGTTCCAGGAGGTAGATCTTGAGAAGACTGGCGACCGTGGGTATATCAAATTCCTCAAATACTTCTGGGGAAATGAGCTTGCCATCGTTGACCTTGGCGCGCAAGCGATGAGTCTGGGTGAGTGGCACATCGACCAGCCAGACATTTCTTCTGGCCTCGTCACCTTCAAGGTCGGGGTAGTGGTGGTCGAGATAGGTCAGGATGGTGGTGACGATGACCGGGACTCGCTTCTTGTCAGCCCTGGCACGTGCCTCCAGGTCGATACCGAAGGTATGCTCGTCAACCTTGTTGTAGTAGTTCTCGTAGACCACAACCTTGGGAATGAAGCTTCCTGTGCGGTAGTTCTCAAGCAGGTAGCGCAGGTCGCTCTGGGGTTGGATGGTCTCCTGGAACAGCATCATCTGGTCGACGGTGGACTGCAAGCTGGGGATGACATTGCCAATGGTGCCCGAGAAGTCTAGGATGACCGTCTTTACGGCCTTGAGGCGGTCGAGCTCGCAACGCTCGAGGAAAGTGAGATGGAGGAAGATGGCCTCCTCAAGCTCACAGCGTAGGTCGTCGAGCTTCCGGACACCGGTCTTGTACTTGTCATCAGACTCGCGAGCCTCGCGCTGCATGCGCTGGCTGGGAGTCTCGTTGGGGTGGGAGTTGTTGAGGACGCTCCAGCCGGAAAGGTATTCGCTCACAGTGCCAACAACAGGAGAGTCACCACCCTCGGAGCCCGAGGCGGGCATGGAGAAGGTGCGGTTGACGGCCTTCTTCTCAGGGACGCCAGCGAGTTGGAAGGCCTTAGGCCGCCACTGGTAGAACATCTTGGAGCTGTTGGCGAAAGTGTTGCCGACGTTGCCGATAAGGCGGAGGAAACCGTTGGAGATGAGATCCTGGCCGATGCGCTCGGCATAGCTGACGCTGGAGGTGCCCATGCTTCGCTGGAGGTACTCGACGATATCGGAACCGGCTGAGGTGTTGAGGTAGGTGCCGAGGATAGGGACCTTGGTGTCTCCCAGCTTGATAGTGGAGAGCATGTGAGAGAGGATCTTCTTCATCTGATCAGGTTGGTAGACATCGTCGCCAATCTCAAACAGCTCCTCCTCTTCCTTATTCTCTTCCTCTTCTTGAGGCTGAACTTTGATCTCCGGAATGTTAGGCCCGTTCGGCTTAGGGCTGACCTCCGGATCTTGGAAGGCGAGCTTGTTCTCCTCCTCAATATCCTCGACTAGGCGGCATTTGTTGAAGTAGACGGCGCGTAGCTTCTTGACGGCCTCAGCTTGGCGATCGTGCGTCTTGATGCGAATTTGGAGCTCATCCTGAGAATCCTGGATGCGGGCCTCGTGAGCATCGCACCAGCGAGAGAACGGGTTGACGACGAGATCGCGGATACTCTGGGCGATTCGGTGATGGTTGCGGGAGGCATCTTGCATCTCGTTGCGCATGCCGTCGAAGGCCTAGATGGCACCTTTCCGTTAGCTCAGCTGGAGGAGGGCGCAGCGGTGCGGGCACGGGATAGAGCGCCGAAAAGACGGAGCCCGGAGGGACACCGCAGACAGGCAGGCAGAGAATGGCGAGCCATGCTTACCTTGCGGACAGTCGCGCCGTCATCGCGAGAGAAACCACCCTGAACTTTGTCGGCGGCGGGGGTGATTTCGCTGAGGCGTAAGCTGTAGGCCTCCTCAGCCTCAGCGCGCAACCGGGCAATAGTGAGGACTTGACGGTTCTCTAGAACACCCTGTTGAAGCTTGCTAAACAGGACGCCGAGTCCCGCAGCATAGTCGGTCGACCAGAAGGAATCAGCGAACCCTGGCATGATGGCCTGCCTTCTCTCTCTCCAGCCCCGTCAATGGGTGGTTGAAATCGCTGTCGTCGTTGCGGTGGTCAGCACCGGAGGACGCTGGGCGCACTAGTGGCTGAGAGTTGGGTTTGGGAGCGGCGCTCGTGGTCGTGATCGTCGGCTATGTTCGTCGTCGTTGTCGTCGTCACTGTCGTGGATCGTGGGTCGTAGGATGTTGATGGGGAAGCGCAGCTCGGGAGGCAATGTCACCAGTCTTTGGCGTTGCTGCTGCGTGTCTCTCTGCCGTAGGGAGTAAGTTTGGGGTGATGGCTATTGCAGATGCAGGGGCAAACACTGTGCGCTGTCAGGGATTAGGCGCTCCGCTGGCTGACTGGCTTGGACGGACAAGGCTGAACGGACGGGTCGAGGGCGGCGTGGCACTGGATTGGATTGGACTGGGTTGGGCTGAACGGGGGTGAGTGGATCGTGGACCCGTGGAGGGCGGGCAGTAGACTAACTGACTACGGAGTGCTTCGTACTCCGTATGTTCGGCGTAGACCGTAGAGGAGGAGCCTGAGGAGGGACGTAGGGGTGAGATTGGCTGGTGGATGACGATGTTTTGCGGAGCCAATACGAAGGGGAAGGGGACCTAGCAAGCAACAGCCGGGCCTTTCGTTCGTTGGTGTTCGGGGTTCGTCTCGTCTTGGTGTTGCTGCTGGTGCTGATGGCACGGTGGTTGGGGGCCAAAGAAGGATCCAGACTTTGAGGGAGGGGATGAGGGGAGGAGGCAGAGTCAGTACAAGAGTCTGTGGCGTCCGTCGTGCCTTGTTTTGTTGGTGGTTAAAGCCTTTAGGAGGCGATGTCGATCCACGAATAGTGAGAGGAGGTGATTAGTTAATTCGGTGTGCGAAGTGTGTGGGTGTCAAAAGGGAAACAATTCAGGCCCATGCACGGATGACAAGGGGGATGGGGATGGGATGAAATGGAGGGAAGGAAGGAAGGCGGCAAGATGCAAGATGGGGAAGAGCGCCTATGCTGCAGTATTTTCGGAAGGAAGGTACTTTGTACAGCCCACCTCTACACTGAATGCAATCAATACTCAGGATTGCATGTGTTACTGAACTGTTTCCGACTGAGGTCGCCCGCAGAGTGACTGTGGGAGAGTCACGTATTCGTGCCTTGTTCCAAATCCGGAGGCCTGCCGCGGCCGGTTGGTGCTGGGGCTGAAGTAAGACCTTGGCCGTCATCATTGATTGAATAAGAGAACGAAAGCGAAGGCGCGCCTTCAGTAGCTCAGCAGCTCAGCCACTGGACTGGCCGGGTATCGCTTCAGCGCTACCCAACCTGTCCGCGTACGCCATGCATACTGGAGAGCCCATAATTGTGCTGTAGCACACAGTCGTCTGCTTATCATTCATTACCCGACCTGAGGTACTCCCCTTTCTCAATCAATCAACGAGCCTCACCGCGTCCGGGCTTTAAAAGCTGTCAGCGGGCTTCATCACACCGGGCGACACCCACCCGCTAATTATGTACGTGCGACGCGGGTGCCGAGCAACTTGGAGTCGTTCAAGTTGTTCCGTCCAGGGGCAGAAGCCTGCAAAAAGAAAGAAGCGGTCTCATACATTGACAGGGCCACGCTCTGTTTCAGAGCGACAAGGGACACGTCCAATAGCTGGGGGAAACTGGCCACCCGCCAAATCAATTCCATTGTCAAGGCTAAAAAAAGAGGACGGAGACATGGTGACAATGTACAAAGCTCCACTCCTAGCGCATTTACAGGGAATGCGCCACGTACCCAGTGCCCGATAACCCCTTGGCGATGGCTGTGAATGCCGGCCGTTTGGAGCGACTCCGTTTTTATATCTGCCGTTTTAAACTGTGGACGTCAGAACTCAACCGTCTCCGTCCCACTGAACCCGAAGGCCCTGATTCGCAGAGACCTTAGACCTTAGTTTTTGACCTTGAACATTAGACCTGCAACTTTATATCTTCCATTTTCCATTGTATCTGCGTGTACAGATAACCGTCGATGGATGGCTCATATAAAGTTAACAAATTTTCCATAGCGGTAAATGCATTGTTCTCAGCGGTTACTATCTCAACACTCAAAATCCATAAAGAAAGTCTCTTCGTCATTCCCATCATACAGATGAGAAGCAGCTCCCCCTGATGAACATTACAGAGTGTGACACCCTTCTCAACGGACGTCGTAGCTATCATTTCCGGCGCTTTAGGGTTGCTGGTTGCCATGGAGCGCGTTTGGTTCGGGTACCAGGCCGCGAGCTTCCCCAGGCAGTAAACAATCCTCCGTCAACACTACCAAGCATACCAACGGAAAGTTTGGATAATATCGTAGTGCTTCCAGCTTATCTTAAGATGGATCATGCCTGTAATATGGACACGTCGACGGCTCCAGGTTGCTGACCAGCGTCTTGGTCATCATTGGCCATGGGGCGCTCCTCGGGGTTTTCTGCTGGTTTGTTGCGATCCCCGTCCCCTCCTTCAGCCCTGAACTCACCACCACCCATACCCTCACCATCATCCATAGGAGTCTTGGGCTTGGGCTTTTCGCCAATCTCAACAATGGACTGGGCCACGTCTGAAGCCCCCTGCCCTCCATTGCGTTTGAGATAGAACACCGCCGACCGCCCTTGGTTGTCCTTCATGTTCACATCCACGGCGATATTCCCAGTCGCCTTGCTCGAGAACCGCGAATACAGCTCCTCAAATGACCTCATAACCGTGGCCCTAACCCTGTAACTGTTACTCGCCAGTAAAATGAGCACCACCACCGTATAATTGTGGCCGCGTTCTGCGGCATGGACAAGGGCCGTCTTCCCCCCAACGTCTTCTATATTGGGGTCCACGCCACCTTGGCCTACCATAGCAGCCACGACATCGACATGACCCTCCGCTGCGGCATAGGATAGAGGAGTACGGAGATCCTTGTCCGTGCTATTGACAGCCGCAAACCGCTTCTTGCTAAGGAGGACCTGGACGCTCTCGATGTGTCCGCCTTCACAGGCATACGACAGTGGCGTCCGACCATCTCCATCGCGCGCGCTGATCGGGAAACCCTCCTCGACCAATAGCTTGACAACATCGTGGTGGCCTTCTCGCGCCGCGATGTGGAGAGGCGACTGTAACGATAGCCCTGCGGCGTCTGGGTCCGGCGTCCTCAGTTGAACGGCAGCGCCGTCCAGGCGGAGAAGTCTTCGTGCCACATCGACATTGCCTCTGCAGGCCGCCAGATTAAGTAGCGTCTGGCCGTCACTGTTTGCCCGAGTGGCGCTTGCACCCTTCTCCCTTAATAGTGTGACGATGGTATCACTGCCGCTCTCGCACCCGCAAAACAACGGCGAGCGTCCAAACTTGTCAAGCTGGTTTGGGTCCGCGCCCTCGAGGAGCAAAAACCGCACCGTACCCGTATGGCAACCGTACGCGGCGTGATGGAGCGGCGACATGCCGTTGTCGTCTTGAATGCGGAGGTCTGTTCCCCTCTGGCGGAGGAGGCGGACGATCTCGGTGAATCTGCGCTTCGAGGCTTCGATGACGGCTCGGCCGAGCTCAAATTCTTCGCGTTTGGCGTTGTGCTTCTCGTCGATCTTCTCGGTCAGGTATTTCACCAACACCACGTAGCCACAGGATGCCGCGATGGCGATTGCGTTGTTCATTTGCTCCGGTGACCACTTGGCCGTTTCGAACACGAGGGTGCCAAAGAGGACGCTCCGTTCGCAGGCGTAATCCAGCGTGGTTCGACCCGAGTTGTCTGCTGCTAGGGGCAGGTATTTCCTCTCCCCCAGGCCTTTCTTCAAGTCTGATGAATCATCACTGTCGTCGTTAGATTCGCCGCCGTCGTCTTCCCCGTGCTCAGGGGGGCCATCGCGGTCAAAGGTCATCTGGATGAGGCCAATGAGTGTATCCTCGGACCAGTCCACAAGGAAATGGTGCAGTGGCGTCTTTCCGTCTTTGTCTGCCACCTTTATCTCGTCTCTGCTAAAGGTAAAGAGTTTCTCGAGATTTATGCCTGGCACACTGTCCCGGAAGGCGTTGATATTGTGGTCGTAGTCCAAACCCCATTTCCATGGCAACCCCCTGACAGCTTCATGGCGGAATGGTTTTGCTTGGTCTTGGTCATGGTTTTCTGAGACTTTAACCTCTGGTTCAGAGTGGGATGCCGAAGGTATATCTCCAAACATGAGGATAGAAACGTCCTCGCCCTCGAGTAGGTCGAATAAAACGTGGCGCTGGCAGAGCCCAGGGGAGCGGAAGCAAACGTGAAAGGGGCTCCGGTTCCAGCTGTCTCTTGCAACGGCCCAGTCCTCCTGCGTGGGCCACTTGCTAAACGCAATCGTGAGACCAAAATACGCTCCGAAATGGCGATTCCCAAAACCGGTGGGATAGTTGTCGTACGGTTGAGGAGACACGGATGTAGGCTGAGAACCGACGTGCAGAAGCTGGCTGAGGGTTTCAAGGAGCGAGGTGTTTTCCAGTATCTCATTCATCGACTCATCCTCCCCAGCGTCGTTTAAGTGTATTCCCCAATTCTGGGACACATAACTTGCAAATGGCAGTCTCTGCTTCATGTCGTCGTATTGACTTTGTGAAGTGAACGGGCCGCGAGAGAGGATGTCGCTCTGGAGAAGCGCCAAACAGCTGATGGCCCCGGACTCTCTTGCCTTCCTCGCGAAATTGCCTATGAATTGGTAGAGGTAAAATGGCAAGGCTGACGGCATTGCGAAGACTCTGTTCTTATTGACATCAATGTGAACGAACCCCATGCAGACAGCTGTGATCAAGCTTGGTGGAGGCAGTCTGTTGGGGTCGTCAATCCTAGCTCCTGGCTTAGCAGCGACAGCTTGTTGTAATTCTCGCAGTGTCAGCGGCCGACGAGCTACAGACAACCAGTAGAAAACTTTTTGCGCAAGCCGATATCGCTGAGGTGGCTGATCGCTTAATTGAGACAGGATCAGATCGACGACTTCCGATAGTTGAAGTGGCGGTTTCTCAAGCTGGTCGGTTACGTCGGCGAGCGAGGTCAAACGATTAAGCTGTGCGACTTGGGCGATCGCAGACAGAAAGCTAGTTTCAAAACTGTGTTAGAATATAATCATACTGGAGAATGATCCGGAAAAATGACACTGTGTGAGGAGAGGGAGCGGTGACATACTTCCCCCCGGACTTCTCAACTATCTTGTCCAGGAGCGCTGAGCGAGCTTCCTTTCCTATCATGTCAAACAGACAGATGCGCTGTTGACACTGTACAAACTCCTCAAGGTATTGTCGGATATCTGAGCTGTTGTGGTTCTCGATTTGACTCGCCGTCTGCTTGCGGCCAGCGCCTAGTGCAATACACTGGTCGACAATTCGCGAGCGGGCTGTCAAAACGAGCCTCGTTTCTTGGACGGCTGACATTCGGAGAAGTATCGCCATCAACGCAACCAGATCTTCGCACTCTTCCAAGCCATCAAGGCAAATGTAGACTCTCTTGAACCGAGACAGGACACTTAGAAAATCCGAAACCAAATTCGCAAGCCAGATACCGTCGTTGGGTTGGCGGTCGCCAGTTCTGCTGGCGACATCTGATCCGTCAGTCTCCATTTCCGCCAAAAACTTGGGTAATGGAATGTCCTTCTGATCTAAAGTCTGGCGTAACAGGCTGGAGACTGCTTGGTAAGGCCTGCACCCACCACTGCGATCAAAGTAGTAGTAGACGACTATGTTCTCCTGTCCTGGTTCGTTGAGAACCTCGGAGCTCAGTCTACTCACGACGGCGTTCCTGTGTGGCCATAGGTTAGGACTTAGTCGCTTGACGTTCCAGAGGACTGTGTCTCACATCAACATCGTCTTGCCAGCACCAACGCCCCCCTGCAACCATAGGCAGTTTTCCCCTGCCTCAACGCCCTTGGGGGACTCAGCAGTTACCTTGCACCAGCTCTCGAACCCAGGAAGCGCGAATAACCACTCGCCAGAGCCCTTTACCCTTGATTTAGACAGAAGATCGTGAATTAGCCCAACTGGCTGCGACCACAGCAAGTTGAGGAGTTTGTTCCTCATCTTGGCTTCTGGCGAAGGCTCCTGGTTAGCAACGACGTGCGACACTTCCGTCGATGGTATTACCAGTCCACCGGATGGGTTAGCCAGTCCCACGGACCTTGGTCGGATGACGGGACGACTCGATGCCTTGAGTACAGCGTTGGCCCGTTCCGCAACCGAAGACCTTGAGGAAGCTGTGCGTTGTGTGGAAAGATGCTGACTGTGGAAGAGCCTTCCGTCCACCCGAAGCATCCGCTCCATCTCCTCGAAACGAGTGGGGTCTAGGCTTCGTTGATGCGATGATGAGACTGAAGATTCTCCGACCTGTGAGAGAGCGCTCGATCTTGTTCCGCGTCGCGGGTCCGGGACCGAGGATGGGACATCGGAGAGAAGTCGCATTGGCCTCACCATTGGATTATCTGTATCGAGATGCCGCACCCTTAGAGCTCCTCTCTCAATCAATCGACGCCGGCGTCGAATCAAGTCCTCGACCTCGTCGATTTCGGACTGGAATTCATGGTAGTCGAAGTCATCGTCTTCGAGGTTCATTCTGTGCCGCCTCTCGCGCACCTGGTCCCTCAGCAGCGCGTCCTGGGCGCGGGCCAATTCACTCCTCGCTCGACCCAGGTCCAAATCCAGGCTGCTGTTAGTACGAGTGATTCCCCCCTGTCGATGGCGATCCTCAGGATCTGAAAACTGTGCAGAACTCATGATATCAGAGAATGCGATGGCCCAGGGAGAGATTTGACTGTTGATAACAAACAGCATGGAATGGCGATTGTTCCTCGATGGTCACAGTCAGACTCTGCTCTTTGGTGTGTCAAGCAAGAGCACCCATGCCCGACTCGTCTGACGCATATGCAATGGTGTGCAACGGTGAGTAAGCCATCGGATTGGAGTGAAGCGGACGCCACTCGGTCTGAGATCAGAGCGCTTGTACGGAGTAGAGGTACATAGAAACATGGCTTGCACCCCTCGCTGCCTCTTCCAATCCAATCCCTGTCGTGTTGATTGAGGGGGGAAGGTAGGCTGCCTTGTTAAGATGTTACATAAATCTCGGTAGGATTGGGGATGCGCGAGGCTCTGCCAACTCTTCCTCAACATCTCTTGCATCTTGGGTTTCGACCATATCCAGCAAGCTGAGGCCCGCGAAATATCCATAAACATTTCTTAAACACCTACGAACAGCTATCCAACGCCCCTACGCACTCGCAAAAACAACTTCAATAGACGTTTCCAACGTCATCGGCATCATGACTTTAGAATTGCGCATCCCGATTGTGGCTACCGCCCGAAGCGATGGCGAAGGGAAGACCAAGAACAAAGCCCCTACCCAGGTCCATAGGGAGGACATCATAAATCACGATGATGCCTTTTTCTACACCAACATTGTCATGTCGGCTTGCGTCCGTAAGTTCGTTCTTTTTTCTTCTGTTTTCTCCCAGTCCGCTCTTCTCTCGTCTCTCGTCTCTCGAGACGTCAAGGCCGAATATGCTGACCCGCACCCGCACTTAGATGGTGTCTGGGACGAAAAGAACAACGACAAGACCCCCGCGACTTTTCTCCTCTTCACGTGTGAGATACAGAGCATGCGCGAGTTCAGGGCGAGGAAGATCAGGTTGGAAATCGACTTTCGAAACGTCGAAAATCAAGGTGGAAAGCTCCCGTTCGCAAACCCAACTATCGTGTCGCGGGGCCCCGATATCATTAACCGCTCCCACAAGATTCCTGTTCTTCGCAAGAGGGAATATGGACTTAAAGGCACCCTGGAAGGCAGCGCTGTAGTGAAGCCAGGCATCGCACTGCACCAGGTCAGCAGCCAGGAGTACGAGAGGCAGTATTTCGCTGAGGCCAAATCGGGGATACGACATGCCTCCCCTACTGACCATCGGTATGTGAAGGTGTGGTGGATCTACACGGAGAACAGCAAGGGTGCCGAGGGCGTTGTCCCAGGCTTTCATATCGCGGTACTTCTGAAAAGAGAAAACGACTCCCCATTCCAAGGCCAAGTCGCAATTACCGAGTTTGACGCAGGGTGGCGATATCCGGGGGCTGTGATGTGGCACAACCTCTGGAGCAAGCGTGACTTGGACGCCGAGGAGGACAAGATGATTCACCCCATCAACTTCGACCCTACGCTGCCAAACCCGATCATACCAAAGTGGCTGACCGGGGTCGACCGTAAACAGCTCGTCGACCTCCAAACCGAAACTGGAATTGACAAGAAGTACGCCCGCGTCTGGGGAGTGGACGTGTGATGGAAACAGGCTGTGGTCAAGCAAGGGTGGCTAGGCGACGGATTAGTTGTCAACCTGCATGTTCATCTCGGCCAGCAGGGTGTATTGTGTTGCCCTAAATACTCTCATATAAGTGGCTAACAAGTACACAACTCATTTCTTCTCTGTGTTGACACATCTTATGTGGAGGGACCCCCCCCCATGAAGACATCTCAGAATGGCTAGGATTTCCACTGTGCACCCTTTCCTTCAGCCTTCGGCCATCTCCTACCTCGGCGACGTGCTGATAGATGGTCACACTGCAAACAATACGTGATTTGAGCTAGTTCTGATAGGCTGTCCAACTGTTGCAAAGGAGATAAGGGCGGGCATGCGGTCCCACAAGGAACGTTCGTCTTTTTGTAACACCAACCCCAACATTTCGGCTCGAGGCTCCGCGAGTCTAAACCGCTGAAGTACCTGTACATGGTCGAAAAGGATTCGAAGGCGACTAGGACTGTCTATTTGTCCGCTAAGGTTCAACCATGGGTGGCCGAGCGTGGGCTGCTAAAGGGCGTTCTTGCTGGAGGGATGCTCGAGTTGGCCTTCTTCCGTCTTTCGTATTTCGTCTTCCGTCTTCCGGCTTCCGTCTTCTGTCCTTCGATTGCTTCCGACTACAGCCCGCGTCGTATCTTCCGCCTGGCTAAATTCCCAGCGCCCAGAGACAACAATCTTGGATCACCAAGTTTCGTCGGTATCTTTGAATCAAAGCCAAAACTCATCATGGCACCTTCCCCGATGGATGGTACGTATACTTCAGGTTCTCAATGCAGTGGAGACGTCCCTGATATCCGTCTACAGAAATACTGGCAGGCTTTCTGAACAAGCCATGGAGGCCGAAAAGAGCACAGAGGCAGAACGAGAAGCCAGCCCCATACACAGACACAGATACACTGCTTGGATTCATCGAAAATGGGAAGCAGACAGAGTTCAGGACAACACCAAAGTTTATCAACAACGAGGACCGGCTCAAGCTGGCCGAGGCCATTGTCATGCGATATCAACCTGAAGAAACGGATGACGGCCCAAGTGACAAAGAAGATGACCAAGACGAACAAGACGAACAAGACGAACAAGACGAACAAGACGAACAAGACGAACAAGACGAACAAGACGAACAAGACGAACAAGACGAACAAGAAACGGTGCTTCCAACGCCACCGTGCAGTCCCTCCCACCAGACACAACAGCAATGGTTGGATCTATTGCTAGAGGCTTTATCACCAGACCCTAAGGCGCCAAGAAACCTCGCCGAGGAACTGATTAAGAAAATGGGGAAGGATGAGATGAGTCCAGGTCCCCTCGAGAAGCAAAGCTACGCCCAGCAAGTTAACCACTTTCGCATACTCACGCACGTCATTGAGAACACTTACGGACTCTGCCGCGACAAAGATGACATGAAGCAGACACTATTTCACATCGCCGCCATCAACGGAGCTCAAAGAGCCATCATGATCTGCCTATCCGTTATAGATGGCTGCTGTGGCAGACGCTACGCACACGATCCAGGTTGCGCGACGGTTAAAAGCCTGTTGACGAGCGTGGATAAGGAGGGTTATTCTCCCCTTACATACTCCATCACCAAGAGCAAAATACCAGCCGTCAGCGGCATGCTTGACTTGCTTGGCAACACCAGCCCAGAAGAGATACGAAAACTTCTGAGAAAGGCCATTGCGAGCAACAGCGGTAATAATGTCGAAATCATGCGCGAGTTACTCACTGTCAGGCCCGCTGGAAAAGAGAAAGAGTACCGGACAGATGTCCTCCAACAAGACATCCTGCAACTGGCTGCCAAGTGCTTCAATTTCGAGGTCTTCGAATTTCTCCTTGGTATCGGAAGTACATTTCTGGGTAGTCTAGACTGCAGTTTGATTCACTACGTGGTGTACATCGGTCAGGTTGAAGCGGCAAAGTATTTGCTAAAGGAGTTCCCTGATCTTGCCACCAGCCTCCACGTTCACCCGGATCACACATCTGGACCAGGCTCAAATACAACCATGGGCGAGCACAAGACTCCGATTCTTGCGCTAGGTCCAGCCTTAAGCGCAGAAGCAGACGAAGAGAAGTTTCCAGTTCTGGCGCTGTATAATGGCGAAGACACAGAACTCAGAGATCTCATATTTGAGACCCTGATGGAGCGATTGCCCATTTCTGAGCTTAGAGAACACCTGAGAGGGGATACTTGTAAGCAATCTTGCCAGCTGTCCATGTAGCAATGCCGTACAACGATTAACTGACTGCGGAATAGGGACGGGCAAAGAGATCTCGCTCAATGTCACCATCCTAGCCTTTGATCCGCATTCTCTCACGGAATTTCTCCGTTCCGTCCGCAGTGACATCGAAAGGCTCGAGGAGTGTGTCAGGAGACAGCTTGCGCGTGACGTGGACAATGCAGACGAGGAGCCGGTTCAAACTGTCCGACTGGCAGATATCCTAGTCGATAACCTCCCACATATCGATTGTGATGGCATTGAATTTGAACGAATCCTCAAATATGTCAACATTCCGTCCTTTCCTAGGCAATTGGGAGAGAGGAGAACCGATACAATCTCCATTTTTCAGTGGCTCAAGGCCTACAAGCGCGTGAAGCGTGTCTTCGAGGTCACCGTGGACGATTGTAGACATTGTCCCACCACTGAAGAAGATATCGAGATGGCACTCCAAGACCTCGATGTGCAACATTTGGACTGGAGAAGAACGGACCTCTCGATCACGTCCATCGCAAACGTTGCAAAAGAACTCAAGACCCTGCATCTTTACTCAAGTGGAAGCCTCGCGGCGATTGACCACTGGCTTGGGCCTAAGGGCATAAGCATTCTGAATGTGAGTCTTACAACATAACAGTTCTACTGTGGCTTCTGGTGACTGACTTGGCCTTCACAGCTCGACCGGTTGTACATCCACGTCATGCAGGTAAGTAGCCATGTGGTCATGGACGGCTTAGCTTTTTATACTGATATCTTTGATGATTAGGACGGTTTTGTCAGTGAGGGTCGAGCAATCCTTTGCAAGAAGCTTTGCGACGAGGCGGAGCTGAAAGTCAAGACAAAACCAGTGGTGACCATCGAAACAGATTGGATCCCAGAGCCGGCTGGCCACAGCCATCATGGATCTGCCGGGTCTGCAAGGAAACAGAGCCCAATCGAGGTCACAGGACTCGTATATTTCATCCAACACTATAGCGGAGCTCGGATTCAGCAACTGAATCTCGCACTCAACTGCCACAAGCTGCATTCCCCGTTGCCGAAGTCGATTTCTAACACCAGGACAAAAGTTGCCATTCTGGACAGTGGCGTGAACGGGACTCGGTTCCCTCTTCAAAGCCACGAGCGCCACGGCCGCAGTTTTGTATGGAGAGACAACGGAAAGGGGCACCAATCTGAAGCATCTTGGTGGCTCGCTGTTGATCCACACGGTTCTCATATGGCCAATATCATCTCTCAACTAGACCCATTTTGCGTGTTCTATTTCTTCCAAATCGCAGATGACATGAACTACATCGAGCTGCCTACGGTAGTCAAGGTACGGTAGACCTGAGCTTTCATCCAGTCCCACTATGCACCTGAAGGGAACCCCCCCCCTTACTTATCTTGTTCAATCGGCAAACCTTGCTGACTGTGTTTCTCATACTAACAACAGGCTCTTGAGTGGGCAATCAAGCTCGAGGTGGATATTATCAATTGCAGCTTCGCCCTGGGAACCTCCTCACCCCAATTAGAAGAGGTTCTTCGCAAGGCCAAGAAGAAAGATATCATCATCATGTGCAGCACAGCCGACGAGGGAGAAAACACAGACGAGGTCTGGCCAGCAGCCTATTATCGGCGGGAGCAAGACAAGGCCGAAAAGTTTGAGAATATCTTCCCCATCGTGGGCTGCGACGAGCACGGGAAGTTTTCCAAATACGCGAACGAAGGTGCCGGTCGGTACATGTTCCGAGGGGAGGACGTCGACACCTCCAGTACCGACCCATCCGTACCAATCGAGACAGCCAATGTTCAGGGAAGCTCCGTCGCCACAGCGATGGCAACGGGGGTCGCTTCTCTCATCCTGGCGTGCTACCGAATGGTCCAGGACACGCAATCGAGCCCATCGGGTTTGGTGGACGCTTGCTTCTTCAGGATGTCTGAACAACTCAGAAAGGGCAACGCGCAGGACCGGACCAGATTGCTGGCCAAGGCGAGCAATTTCTTCCCGGTTGGCGAGGATGATATACGCGATGCCGGCGACTTTTTGGACTGCATGGCATTACGTTTTAACGATGTTTCTTAAGTAGGACAATCTAAGAGAAGAGGGTTCCTCCTGAGCGCCACAATAGAGACCAGTATTATGACGCGTAGTGTGATGGTTGATTCCCGATATTGGCGTCGAGTACGTAGCATCTGGCACCTGTCAATAATGCCACAGTATCTGTCATGCTTGTTCCGTCAGTTTATCCGGATAAGGAGTTGCCCCCGCGTATGTATATAATTCTACTTGGAGTCGCACTGCCAGCACTGAAACTCAAGTATCTAGATCACCCGAGGCAGGAAACCTTCATCAGATATCAGAGTTATAACCGCATGTTCGCCCACACACGGCAGGTGGCGAGGGATTTGGGAGTGGAACGCGTCTTTCAAACTCATGGAGTCAACATCATTATTAGTCCAGCCGATGGCTTTATTTCAACTATGGCCTCGGCCGGCGGTAAGTATGCACCGTCCTAGGAATGGTGCGCAATTAAGGTAGATTAACTACCTAACCATCATGCATTTCGGGCTACCCGGGGCCGCGATGCCGCTTTCGTACCTCGACTTCAACGGCCCCCCCTTTGGGCTTGCCGCCCTGGTTGGAAGGTATCAAGAGGCTCTTCTCGTCACCCGACCTAGTATACTCCCCGGTCACGTTGAACTGCTGGTATATGGTGTCAGCTTCGCGGCTTAGGGTATTGGCCTTTTCGGCGTCCTCGGCCATGGCATACACCTAGGCAAGTTTCTAGACCACACAGGCGGACTGCCCGGCGTCGCTCTTCTCCTGCTTGTCTTGCTGGGGTTCCAGGCCCCGCCTCGATGATCGACCCACGCAAGGCGCCTCGGTTGATTGAAGCCCGAGAAGTGTTCTACCGAACTGTACGGAGCTCAGAGGGACAAATTGAAGGAGGGACTTTATGCTCAATCGCCTTCTGTAGATGATCCTTTGTCACAGTCTCCCCTATATTCTACGTGCATCTTAAGGGCATTTCGCTTCGAGCATTGGTCTTAGAGTGATGAGGGAGGGTTCAGTTGGTACAGTTCGGGTCAATTCAAGTTGAATACAAGAAATATAGCCTCTCTCCTCTTTACCTTCCTCGCTAAAACACCCAAGACAGTTGGGTATAAGTTATTTATCTGTCCCCTTACATGCAGTTCATTTTTATCATCCCACTGTTCTCAGGGCACCTTTACAAACAGGAACCACTAAAAGAGCTTACTGAGCAGTTCGTCCTTCAACCCTCTCAGAGTCGCTGTGCTCGGTTTTGTGTGGTCGTGCTCGCCGTTGACCAGATTGCTCCTCTTGCTTCCCGGAAACAGCTTCGTGAAGAGGTTGCCTGGGAGTTGGAGCACTAGGTCTGTATTATAAGCCAACAGAATGCGCGTGGTTTGGAACACTTCGTCCCTTGAGAGTTACAGGTGCAGTTCAAGCCAGATTGTTTCTATAACTATTAGCTAGGTAGAGGGAGCTTAAAGCTAATTGGGAATCTAATACCTTAGCTACTTAATTAAATATAAAATTAATAAATTATACTAAAAATTACAGAGAGTATTAAATATTATCGATATTTTAATTAATATAACTTAGCTGTAAATTATTATTTAAAATTATTTAATTTATTAAAATTCTTTTTAAAATCATTATAAATAGATTTTTAAAATTAATATATATTTATTAAGCAATTTATTATTTATAAATTTTTAATATAATTTTAATTTTTAATTAATTAGCTAAAATATCAGGTTTTTAATTAACTGTAAGTTCTCTTTATACAGCTAATAGATAAAATAAGATACCAACTTATAGAATATCCCTATATCTGGAATAAGTCTGTGCTTGCTCACTCCAGTCAGAGTTAGAGTTAGAGTCACAAAATCTCCCAATTAGAGGGTGCGCACAAAGACCCGTCATGTCGGGGCATCCCATAAGTCGGTGACTTGTCTTATTAGTGCGTGGTCACCTGAACCCAGCAGGCAGGGGGGGTCGCTATAACAACAGAGGATTCGAGCTAGTGTGACTAGGAGACTGGGGAGCTGGTTATTATCAGCCCCATCTCAGGTAGCCACAATCATGCACTGTTTCCGTAACAAGACACGGGATGCACTCGCAAGGGCCAGTCCACGTCCACTCACAGTCTTAGTCTCACCTCTGTCTAAGGAATGGGCTGATATTTATTGGTCTTGGACTGGGAGAGTAGGATCAACCCCCCAGGCCATGAGCAGGCAATCACCTACGTACGCGGCGGCTTGCCCTTGCATACCTCTACCCATGTATGTAAAAAGAAAGCACACGCCAATCGACAAGTTATTATGCAGTGCGCCGGCACTTCACATCCGGATGGTCCTTGACTTTCCATCCGATTCAACTGAGTTAGGCCTGCTTGCAGCAGGTGCCAAGTCCTCCCCCCTTCTGTTGGAACTGCATAGCCCGCGTTCAATTCGACTTCGACGCTTCCCGAGGCCACAGGCACGATACCAGGCAACCACGATACCATGCGGCCCACCACTGCGCTCATGATCGCTCGTAAAGGGAGTTTTTCAGTGTTGACAAACGGAGGATCCAAACTTGTCTGGAAGGCCTATGCTATTGCGCTACAAGCCCACATGACAACACAAGATGACCTCGACAACTCTTCCAAAGCCATCTTTGTAGCTTCCCCGGGTCTGTTTGACATACCTGCCGGCGAGTTTGCCCCTCAAGAGATCACCAACAATCACATTTTTCTCCGAACCGACGTTTTACAGGACACTCGGTCCCCATTTTACACGTCTGATGGCGATAGTTACTTCGATTCCCGCCGCAAGTACGTATTTTCCCTATAACCGAGGGTTTTCATACAGCTGATGCCACTTCAGGTACCTGCAGAGTATCCACGAAGATGTATGTGTTTCTTTGCGACTCCCTTCCTGGCTAGGTGCTCACAAGCGACTTACTTATCATGGGAGTAGGCCGCGACTCTTTCGGATGTCAGTGGCTCCATCTCGAAGCTCCGGTCCGAGGTCCAGCAGGCACAGGACAGAAGTGCAGAAGCGTATTTGAGGGATCTTGATCTATACCACAAAAGTGCAGCTGTGGCGGGTTCGGGACTGACCAACTTCGAGGCCTGGGGCGAAAAGTTCGGCGTCTACTATGCATGGGCAAAGAGCGAACAGACGCGGCTCGAATATGACCACACACTCGCCGCCACTAAAACATCCAGCAGTGTTGGCCTGGCATTGGCAGCATTCGATCTGGCACAGGACACCTCGGCATTGAGACTCGGGTAAACGCATTTCCCCCTCACAGTTTCTATCGATACTGATGATTTATTGGCGCACGCACAGGAGTAATATGCCATGTTCGAATATGGACATACCATCTTCAGTGGGATATAGGCGGGCTCCCCTCGTGATCACTCCCGATCAGACCTTTTATAGGCCCTTGTACTCGATCAGCGGTGTCGACCGGAGGGTTGACTCCTGGGTTGACGCCAAAGATGGGGGCAGCGAAGAGGTTCGCTTAGATCTCGACGTTGCAGGTGCCGCGACGGCTTCTTGGGCCAGCCTCGGGTTCCCCAACCTGGATAACGATCCTCTCTATGAGACCAATCCGGTCAACGCCGCAACTTCCGATGTGAAACTCTCGCTCGAGGCTGGAGGTTTGCAGGCATTCGACATTGATCGGGGGTTTTGGTAAGGCTTCGTCAACCCCTTTGGTGGAATGACTAACATTATTGGTGTATCAAAGGGATGTCAGTGCTGCCGCCCGATCTCAGCTGGGATCGATTGCTGGTACTGAGCCGCGTTCCAGCAGACAGATGAAGATCACGAGAATCTTGTTGGGATACAGAGTAAGGATTAAAATGGCAGCCGCGGATGACAAGCACCAGCTTCCCGACGCTTTGCTCGGCGTTGGCGGAGGAGAAAAGGACCTCTTGGGAATGCCCGCTAGCAAATGCACCTTGGACCATGATGGACAAATTGTAGTCGCCAGCGCCCCCAGTGGATTCCCTACTGTGCTCGCCGTGCTGGGGAGGGAAATTTAAAGGCTATGATACGAAAGATTGCGACGAACTATCATTATATGTACTCATCTAAAAATTGGCTCTCTTAATTGGAACAGGAATACTGGTATATTTGTCGCACCGATAGTAGTGACCATCACGGAGGGAAGCGGTCACGTTGATGCTTGCATCCATCAAGTAGACGAAAGGAAGTTACATCTAAAACCGTCTTACTAACATTGCCTATATCGCAATCCCGCTACAGCAAAAGGGAATGATCACACCGCTTATCAGTAGCGTTGTTGTAGTCCATATCTCCGTCTGACAGTCTAATATCGACGAAATGACCAACTACAACTATATAGACGGGCACGATGCAATGTGTGGTTTCACAGTGCTCAAGTAGTCCTAACAAGAAATCGCGCTACATATCTAGACAAACGTACAAATACGCTGCCTTACCATGGTAGGGGGGATCTCAATTTTTTCATCGACAGCAACAAGCCAGGTCCTGATGCTCATATTCTTGCTCCATATTGGGGCCTACCGGGGCTCCACAATTGACTATGTTCGAAGTGTATTGCTAAGTCACAGTAGAAATGAGGCTGCAGGGGCGCGAGTGAATGAATGACTTGAGTTAAGCTATGTAGACTTTTTAACTTTCGGACCGCAACAGGTTGAGCTGAAGCTTGGGTTCCGAAAAAATGGTGGAAGCATTGAATTGTATTCCCAGTATTCCAGGACCAAAGAAGGTCTCTAAACGCTGACAATCTCGCCCATGACGGCCAGCACGTTGGCGGAGGCGCGAGAGTTCTCGGCGTTGATGGTGAGGACGCCGGAGCTGGAGTCCCAAGTGTTGCCGTGGGACTCGTTCTCCTCGGAGGAGGAGCCGGAGGCACCAATGCGGAATCCGAAGATGCTGATGCCGCCGCCACCTTGGACCGTCTTCTTGTAGTCCTTGTCGAAGGCCGTCTTGGCGCTGCCGCTGAAGCTGATCTCCATGCTGACACCCTGGGCGATCAGCATCTGCGTGGCGCGCACCTTCGTGAACATGGCCGGGGCCTTGGCCCCCAGCTTGGCCATGAGACCGTTGACATCGACGTTCCTACGCATCAGGGTTAGACGAAGGCTTGTGGAGAAGGAGAGGAGGAGAGGAGGAAGGCTTGGGCGCACTCACCAGGTACCGGGCGCGAAGGGGACGGTCTTGTAGTGCTGGACCTTGAGCTTGACACTCACGTCCTTGGCGTTGGAGCTCATGTCGAAGTTGGAGTGCTCGACTCGCCCGCCTCCACTGGCGTAGAAGTCGAACACGGGGAATCGGCTGAAGGACGCACTTCCCTGTGCCTCAGTGAAACCAATATCTTTGTAAGAAGATTGCTGGCCAATGGATAGGTTGACCTCAAACTCGGACGCCTTCTGGTTCGAGTTGGCGACCCAGCCATCGAGGAGAGATGCGTAGCCGTCGATGGAGTATTGGGGGACATATTGAGTGTCGAGGGGGTCAGGAATGATAGGCTTTCCAGCGGCATCGTAGGTCACCGATTGAATGCTAGCCTTCATGTTGAATCTGCGAGTGTTTTGATTTTGTCAGCTCTGAGTTCTGAGATATTAAATCAGCACCGACACATACCCTTTCAGTTCGGTCAGTGTGTTCGTTCCGTTGGCAGTCCGCTTCATGGCGTCGGCCAGCAGAGCAGAGCCAGAGCCGCCAATGGCGTTGGTTCGCATCTGAACTTCGTTGGTAGCGGCCTCCCTGTAAATTATCAAAGTCAGTGCCCTGGGTCTTGTCCGTGCCAGAATCCATTGTTGCCGACACCACATGGATTGGGCTCATTCACGAATTGGTCCGGTTGGGGGAACAAGATATGGCTTCACGTACCAGTTCTGCACAGCAACCAGGTAGGCGTTGGCGTTCAGAGGGGCCCACTGAGCGAACGACTTGGGCTTGTCCGGGTTGTCATCGTCCTTGAAGTCCTCCATGGCCTCCTTCTTGGCCACATCCCTCTCCTTCCTGTAGATCTCAACTCTCTCCTTAGCCTTGTTGAGCCTGTCCCATGCGTCGGGAGATGTATCGCCACCAGCGCCCTGAAGGAGATGATATCAGCAGTTGTGTCTCACGACTCACTTGTCTTCACACTTGGGCAAATACTAACCGGCGACAGGGTCTGCAATGTCATCTCGAGGGCATCAGAGTAGCGAGCGACCTTGCTGGCGACCCAGTTGGGGTTGGTGGGATCCAGCAAGAAGTCGGCATACTGGTAAATTCCCCAGTTAGTGCACGCCGCCGGAATGTCCCTACCACCGGAGATGCCAGCAGTGTTGGCAGCCGCGATGTAGACCCTGGTGTTGTCGCCCACCGGGCTGCTGTTCATGATGTTCTTGACAGCGGAGGCATAGGCCTTCCAAAACAGCTGGTTTTCGTCAGACATGGTGCTGGTTTTGCTTGGATTTCTTCGAGAGAAGGAATCAGGAGTGAGGATTTTGAGTATGGATGTGATGTGCAGGTTCTGAAGTGCTTGGTGAAGCTGATGGATCGAGGACAAGTCTTACGGGGTCCATTGCCCCTATATATACACAATCAGGGCTTCGGCAATAGACAATTCTTCCGGACTAACGATACCTCTTTGCCCGCAGGTGTTCTGACGAGCTTCGTCTGGCGGTGAAGCTCCCTTACTTTCGGGCTTTCCGCTGTGTTGATACTAACTGCATGCTGCATGCTGCATGCCGCGCGGTATCATGGGACCAAAAGCACAGCCGAGAATGATCATTGACAACGTGACGAATAATGGAGCAATGACAGCAGGAAAGGGTTAGAATTGTCCTCTCATGGCTGGCTGAGTATCCACAGCAGGAAGCTTCACTTTGTATCCTTAGCTAGCCATTTTAAATTCTCTCTCCACATTATGCAGGGATAGTAGAGAGGTGCTCATTAAAAAATTAAGAGATAACGTTTAAACCCTACGGTCTCATCACCCGAGTTTTAGCAACAAGGGACATTCATCAAATGTACCAGTATTGGTTTTTTTTTCAAGTTGTCAAACTTATATACATGATCAACTTACAGAGGATACAAGGATAGGAACTGTTCTTGTGTACCTACGTGGTGATGAGTAGCACTCGACCAACAATCATACTTGGTGGGATGTGCCTTGGAACTCAGCCAGCCACGCGGACTCCATAGAGATTGTTGTCAGTGCTAGTGCCAGTCAGTAGTTTCCGGCATACATCCAGCTTCCCTGTTGCCTCCCACCCCCACCTGTTAGACTATCTGATCTCACATTTGAGCTTCAGGAGACTTCTGGGGCCTCACCGCCCCATGTCTCTCCCTTGAAGTTTAGTTTTGCCAACGAAATGCCAAGATCGGCGCTGACAAAGTCGCTAAACACCGTCATCACGCGTTGACGATGCTATTGCCAAGGTGATCTAGATTTAGCCAACGTCTCGCATACCCACATAATCCTAACTGACTTGCTTCCTACATAACCCTGCATACAAATTTGCGGTGATAGTCCGAGTCTGCAAGTTGTGACTGGTCGATGTTGCCGCTTTAGACAACGCGCTAGACAATGCCTATCAATACGGACGCGGATATTACGTCGTTATGTTGTGACCTAATCCACATACAGAACCAATCAACACCTCAAGCCTAGTTCCCTCTTAGAAGATGGCCACATATTGTACCTCTCCTTGCTTCTGTGAAATCATTTGATCATCTCTCGTGAGGTACCCAGGGGTACCTTCGACCCCACCTCCATCTTATCTGTGGCTTGCCTTTCACCTGGAACAGCTTTAGAACACTCTTCACCGCTACTCCTTCACTGTGACTCTCATTTCTTACCCCTCGATCTCGATTGAAACTGGAGGCGTTCATTTTCGCTGTAGCAGAGTTTGCTGGGTGCTGGTTGAGCTTGGGCGAGCTGCTTTCGGCTTTACGTGACCTTTTCCTGTACTATTTGCATAAATTGTCTACATATCTATCGACAACTCTTTAGAAGTTGTGCCTTTGCATTAAGCAATAGTTTCGCCTTTGCGCCTAGTTTCATGCCGACAAAGAGATTACTACGCGTGTTCCATGGCAGCATGTATCCGTATTATTGAAGGATCGTCCCACTTTCGTGGCTAGCTGAGCGGATAGATACGGTTTGACCCACAGCGGCTCGGCTCAGCGTACATACAATATTGGGCTGCCCATGCCAGGGTTTGAATGAGACACGAGGATGTAAATGGACTTCCCCGCACCGCTAAGTGCTCGGTGAGTTCCATCCCCATCTTTAATCTCCACTTCATATTCCTACATACACTCCACAAAGCCCAATTGGTTGGCTGCAGTTGCTTTTCACTGGGGCCACTAGTAAGCTTGCGAGTTAACTGACGGACGAGTGCTTCAAACATTTCTGAGACATATTGGTTCGTGCATATCTAACTAGACTCTGAGATTTCCCTTTCTGTGCATTCAGCAAGCCACCAGCAACGCCCCCCCCCCCCGAAACAATTGGCCATCGGTGAAAGTTAGAGAAATTTGTTGAGGCGCATTCCTTGGACGAGAGCTGCTGATCTCTTGGGTTCCTCGTCCTTCCTTGAGGGGGCGGGGGGGGAGTTGGGCGCCGACGCAAGGGAGGATTTTAGTTACAATTACAACCATACTAGAATGCGGTCAGACGCTAGTGCATGCGAAACGCCCAAAGCTCAGCACTGCAACTATTGAGGCCATCCATGCAGTAGCATTGAAGTATCTCCTGCATTCAGCTCGCTACCCACTTGTAACTCCATGAGCTGCATAGCCAAGCATGGAGGGTGACCCGATACCGGAGTTCCTCGCCGGGTTGGAATACGTAGAATAGAACATTCTCTGCTCTGATTAAAGTAGCTTTAAGCTAGTCTATCTTTAGATAATAGATATTATAATTATTAAAGCTAAAATAAAATAAAAATTAATTTAATGATTGTTTTATAATTTATATTTTTTTTAAAAACCCCCATTTTAATTTATATTATAATATAATTAATTATTTTATTAAAAAAATATTTTAAATTAATTATTTAAAAATGTTTTTTTTTCTTTTTTTATTAAATTATTCTCTTTTAATTAATATCTTTCTTTATATTTAAGTCTATTTAATATATCAAACCCCGAGAATATTTCACTCCACCCTTATAGGAAAAATAAGAAATCGAGACTCAGTGCCGGGCACAAGACCTTCTCTAGCGGTCACGCTACCATCGTCACTGACTTTTCCATCGGTCAGTACGGTGCCTTTAGCCGACTAACGGAAAACAACCGTCATCCTCCCCCTGGAAGATGCCGTCGGCAGCGATGAGTGTTGTAGCTCTGCATGTGAGCCGCTGGAGACACACGCTCCCTAGCGAGGCTGCGCGATACCCAGACACAAAATTCGTTCGAGAGTTTTTATACGATGACGTACTTGAGACCTTTGAGAAGACTCGCCATACCGTACAGGCGTGATGCCTGCTATACTTCATCTTTACCATCCAACCAGGACTGGCTACGTTGATGCTGTTGTATATTATTCTCTTCTTACATAACATACCTGTGGATGGCGGTTTTGGGATTACCTCGATCCTTGCTAGTGTCGATGGTGATAGCTTGAGGATTTTATCGGAAGCAGGGCTTTCTAAGGAGTTAAAGAGGCGCGTACAGTTGAATATGAAGGTCAGTGAAAGTGACTCTTTAGAGACTCGAATACAGTCTACCCTAACCGACAATCAAACTGGAAGGCAAGGTAAAATCAAGAGAGGGAAGAAATATAACTAGACTTTAGAGTGTAGAATTCTCAGGTACAAAGACGAATCATCTAGTTGAGTATTACCACGCCGTTTTGGTTGTGATGTTCAGTGCAAGTGTGACCTGCCAATTTCGCATCGTAGACGCAAACTTCAAATCAAGTCGTCCAACCGCTGCGACTGCAACAGCGAGAATAACGTATCACGGGTAAATTAATACGATGTCCAACTCCCAAACCCAAAAGCAAATTTGATTTTTGTTTATGCCCACCAGAAATTGCCCTTATAATGCAAATAGATGTCTCATCTTTGGGCAACCATGGGTATGACTCCCCTCCTCGTAGAGTAGCCTCGGGTCTTACACAGGACGTAATCAACGTAATTGCTATAACCGTCTATTCACTGGTCAAATCAACAACTTCACTCTCTGTGGGAGGCAATTTTCGCTTCTTCCCATTCATTGGACGCGTAGACGAGTTCAGCGACTGGCCAGTATTCGCTCGTGGCTGACGAGGCTGCCTTGTCACCGCCACCCGCAGTGCCTTGGTTTGTTCCATGTTGACAATGCTGGAATAGTCCGAGCCTAGGAGCTTCCTGAGGTGTTCCTGGTCAAATTGCTGGAACTGCTCAGCGGCCATATTGCGCCGCCAGGCCCAGTCCTGACGTTTCTGTTTATGATGACGGAATGTCTTGGTCACCACCAGAGAGTGGGGTGAGCCGGACCGCAAAGTCTTACGAGTACAGTCGACATTGCTAGCACCCAAATTCTGCGCAAGGTGTTCGCGCCGGTGTTGATTTACCGCGAAAGATTGTACCTTGAGCGCGGGGTTGGTAAGGAATTCGTTTAGACGCGCACAGTCAACGCAAGAACAGCGTACGCCGGTGCGAGCCAAGTTTCTGTCACTTTTAGGCTCGCGCCGTACAAAGGTATCGAGGTAAGCTTTGAGCAAGGTGGAAAATAGCTGTTGATAGCATGCCGTGTCTAGAGGTATGTTCTTGGAGACGAGAATGGGGATGAGATGGTGTAGGAAGGGCAGCCACATGTTTTCAAGTTCCAGGTCTGGGAGCCGAGGGGCGTCTGCAACCAGCCTGGAAATGAGCAAATTAACAAGGCCATCTGATTCTGTACCAATTGAAATGACGGCAGAAAGGAAGTTGGTCAGCTCTTCATAGCTGATTGTGGCTTGGAGTTCTAGTGCCTGGATCTCAGCCTCGTCGTATACCCCTGTGAGATCCGGAGAGGCGATGAATGAGTTGGCCATGGTCCGATAAAGATGCATAGAGCTTTCCACAGGCAAGACACCACTGGTGCTTTGTCGATGCAACCGGTCTAGGAATGCAAGCAAGGCTGCAGCCGGGGGACGTCCTCGATTGAGTATAGGTGCAACCCTGCAGTATAATTAGCCCTATATGCACCACAGCAATGAAGGGAGTCGGTGTAACATACGTTTGTGAGAGGAAAATGGATGGGTCGTCAAAATAGAGCGCAACGTCAACCAGAGCCACACCATCTCTTCCGCCCAAGACTCTGGATCTACAAGTATCCAGGCAAGAGCGGAGTGTTCTGCGAGCAAACTCGAGGAGGTAATCGGGTGTGGAAACACCGACAGGAGCTGAGGGGCCTTTGGAGATGGGCGCCAAGTTCACAACGGCCATGAACTGGCCTGTGAAATAGGGGTACCCCGAAATGGCTGAACTTATTCTATTATTGTCAGCTCCGACATGATGCTCCGATTCCATCGACTGTAACGTACCCCTTTTGAATAGCATTGAATCGTTCTTTGGCATCGCCATCGCCATCACTCAACCATTGCCTAACCCAACTAAAGTAGGCTGGCGGCAGACAGCCTCCGTGATGCTTAGCAGCCTCATCAAGGAATGCATACCGCGCATGCTGGACTGCAACCATAAAAATAGTTTGCCAGGCTTCGTCTGGCACCGCTCCATTGCCCCACAATTGTCGACAGAGATTCTCGAGCGAGGTGAGCGAAGACTCGTGAACCTGTGGCTGTAAACATGCTTGGGCCAAATAGTTCATCTCGGAGTGGTCGCTGTGTGGAAAAGAGCAAAATGTTTTGTTGCACTTAAAGAAGCAGGCAGTGGAGTCACGAGGGACAACAGCAACGGCCTAATCATTGAGAAAATCAGTAGTGACCGGGGTTGAAAATGCGGAAGATGTTGTATCCTACCGTCACGCGATACCAATGTGTCGCCGTTGGCCCCTAAAAATGGAATCGATTAGTATGGCACTTTCTCCCGAAGGATCCAAGCGCTAGACTCGTCTCAAGATCAATGGTAACATACCGAGTTGCCCATATAACCTTCGTATTCCTCCTCCCCCTCGAGGTCCACGAAACAATCTGGTTCAAGCAAATGATCTTCATCAAAATGCAGATTTTTCGTCACCATCCGGCCCTCCAAGTCGACGAGTGTCTTCACTTTGTACGATGTTTCAAAAACCTCATCAATATCATGAAATTCAAGGTCATCGTGCATGTCCTCGTCGTAACCGTAACCGTCGTCCTCATCCTCGTCGTCCTCGTCGCAGTCCCTAGACCTGGACCTGGAGTAGGGGTTAAACTCACAGGACCCCACTTCTTCCTTCTCCAGCAGTCCGAAGAAGATGTCCACAGGAAGCTCGTTGCATGCCTCTTTCAATGCCTGGACGCGGGCCAAATCGCGCCCCTTCAATGCTTTGAGCGAAGTGTTTGCTTCCGTGTAGTCGTGGTCGAGCACATGGTAGAAATATTTCTGTTTCCGCGATTGGCCCTCGGCAAGCCAGTGTTTGAGAGTTTGGTTAAGTGATGTGGGCTCAGACCGCCGCAGCGCTGCCGATGGACGCGGCTGGGCCGGATCGATGGCGAGGTTGTAAGTCAAAACCCACCGGTAGCCTGAAGTCACAGGAAGGACCTCATGCTCGACATCACTGTACCAACAGGCCCACGACTGCGCCACTGCGGATGTCTTGAAGACCTGCTTTTCGCCACAGTGCTTGACCACCAGTTCTCCACCTTGGTGAGCTGACGGCAAGCTAATGACGAGAGTGCCGAACATGCCGGGGATTTTCTCGGTGCTGTGCTGAGTTCAGCCAGTGGTTTAGGGCTATTGCATTCGTTTCAAAAGCTTACTCGGTGTGCGGCTTGAACATGGCGCCCTCTTCATAGACGAGCAGCTTGACGCGACACAGAAGCATATATCCCTAAGGAAACTTGGCCAGCCCGGGTGACGAAAGGTGAACTGCTCTGCATCCAACTCCCAGGTGTTTCGGACTGCGGTATCGACGATGGTATCACTCCCCTTACCGTAGGGCGACTGGCGAGCCTTCTCAATTAGTTGCCGTGCCTTAGACTCGCTGAGCGGCATTGGGATGTCACCGATACCGCGAACGAACAGGCCGACCGGCGGCGGTTGAAGTAGTGCACCGAATGAAGCGAATGACCCATTTGGTTGGATGCTCGTGAGCGCGCTGAGGAGGTCTTCCTTGAGGCCAACTTTGTATGGCTTTGTGCCAAGGCTACTTGCATGGTTCTGGGAGTCGGATGGCCTAGAACTCCCGACACTACGGCCAGTAGTTTGACGCACGCTTTCGGATTCGAATACCATGATTTTCAGCTGGTTGATGGAAAAGGAACATGCTGTCGCGGACGCGGCGTCGACGCGTATCGTTTAATGATGCCCCTATCATGATGAGTTGCGGCACGTGACATGGGTTTGTGTTCAATTACACGGTCAGGCCAAAAACGTAGTGCACCGCTACCTATGATTGGTGGCTTTTTATACATCGAAGTTCATGTACCGCAATCTGAAATTGGGTTATGCAGTCCCGCAAAGGACGTTCGTCTTTTTGTAACAACAAAAGAATCGCTTTTGGTGATGAACTCATGGAACCCCGCATCTCCACCAAAGACCAGCAGAGAGAGTCTGAAACTGCAACAGCGCCAACTCTTTCAAGAGGTTAGGGTGCCCTAGTACACACATACCCAGAGGGGGGACTAGAAGCTCAACAGTAAAAAAAAACACCAACAATAGTATCAACAATAACGCGCCAACTCTTTAATTGTAACCTGCCCGGCCAAATTGCAAAACAGCAGCTAGATCAATAAGGTGGTGGCGTTTAACCTTAAAATGCGCTGTAGTTGAGTTCTCTTCCATGCCTTTCTTTCCTGGTTCCTGAAGCAACCTTGAAGTTGTGCCTGGCTGTACTTATATACAAACGTGAAGAATCAGTTATATTTAGTGAACATTATTTGAGATTAGCATGAAGTCGGGACTGAGATTTGGATGTTGGCAGTCACACTCATTGCACCTTGCACTTTTGCTCTTAGCCTATTGATTTCGAGGCCTTGTTACTAAGCGGTCACAAAAGGTGGCCGTCTCATAACTCATCTCGTTCTCTCGGTCGGATTGAGACCCAACTACTCCACTCAACGTGTATTCCGGCCCTCTTCGACCAAACAAAGTACACGTAAGAGGCTAGCTAAGCAACCGGACAGATCGGGCTGAAGAATCTGTCCGCATGCTAACAAAAAATGGGCCCCGCGCCAAGGCAATGAACTTTGTTGGATGTGCTGAGTGGTTGGCCTGCTCCCCGCCGTGGCACAAGCTGTTACTAAAACCCCATGCAACTACGCGCCTGTACGAAACAGGGGTCCATCTCGGGGCAACAAGGGTTAAGAAGGGAGCCCCTTGATACAAATATTGGAACTTGATGGGATCCCGTATTTCTAAGAGCCATGGTCGATGTACTAGGAGCCTCATGAATTTTGCTCCTAACCAAAGGTTTCCGTTCGAACCAATTGTTACCGGTGTTCGTAAAACCCCCCGCTATCTTAAGGGTGTTGACGTTTAGGATCTTAAACATTACGAACTAATGAGGTTGCACTGGTCATAACCTAGAAATAGACACGAAAGGACACGAGATACAGAACCAAATGGCGTTACTATAATCGTAGCGAATTAACTAGTCTAGCATCCAGTACTCAGAAGTGCATGTTGATTGCTACGTTTTTGTACATTTTGACAGACACTGGCAAGCGACGCTTACCCTGTTGCTCAGTGTTTGTAATCCGCCTGGGGTTGGGAGCTCCGCTAAAGCGGCGGAGTTTGGGGTACGTACCGCTCCGCCTAAATCTGATACAGGATGACTACAGCACCTACAGCACCTAAACCTCCAGCGCTATCTCCGCCACGCCCCTCTCTATGCATCCCTGTGTCACGTTGCGTGGAACTGATACGTGGGCAATTGCATTCTAAATATTAGAGCTCTCTTTTCCAAGGAGCAAGATACACTCGCGTATCCTTTTGGAGAGTACCTACTCGCAAAAGCCTCCCACTCATTGCAACCGGCCGCCGCCTTATCATCATCATGGGTCGTCGAGCGGAACCCGTGCTTCCATTCACTAAGCCCAAGTCCAAGCCCGGTCAAGCCGGACGTCAGGCCAGCCCGTCGCCTCCCTCGTCGCCCAAGTTGACGCCCCGGAAGGTTATCCTCGTCATATTTCTATCGTTGTTGGGTCTCAGCCTGTTGCACCGACCCGTCACTCACTGCTACAATGGATTCCCAAAGTATGGCCATGGCCAGGGCCTCTTGACACCCGAGGAGCGCGCGCGTAACATTCTCGCGACCACCCCTTTGATAGGTAAGCATCGATGTTGGCGCATATCTGAAAACCTGATAGATGCCTATTCAGAAGAACGTTGCGACTAATTTTTATGGCCAGATGGTCATGTTGACTTCCCCGTGCTTCTGCGCGCCTTCTTTGGTAACCACATCTATCATGAGAACTTCACCAAGCCCTTTGAGCAAGGCGACCTTCCCGGTCACGTTGACCTCCAGCGCCTCCGCCTCGGCCAGAGCGGCGGCGCATTCTGGAGCCTCTTCGCTCCCTGCCCCGAGAATGGCACTGACTTCTCCGATGAGAACTACGCCACTAGTAAGTTCAGCATTCTCTTGCTCATGCAAGATCACCATCTTGAGTCATGCATGTGCTGACCATGTCAAACCAGGCGTTCAATTCACCCTTAATCAAATCGACGTCATGACGAGGGTGCAGGAGGCCTACCCAGATGACTTCTCTCAGAAAGTCAACAGTGCTACCGCTGTGGAGGCTTTCAAGCAGGGCAAGTTCATCTCCCCTCTCGGTATCGAGGGCCTGCACCAGATTGGCAATTCCGTCACCAACCTCCGCAAGTTCCATGAACTCGGCGCCCGCTACGCTACCCTCACGCATAACTGCCACAACAAGTTTGCTGATGCTGCGATCCTGGAGAACCCTACGCGCAAGGCCGAGCCGCTCTGGGGCGGCGTCAGCCCTCTTGGCCGTCGTGTAATCCACGAGATGAACCGCATCGGCATGATTGTTGACCTCTCCCATGTTAGGTTTGTTCATTCATCCTCGCACTAAATAACCATCCACTAATCTTTGACTCTGCAACCAGTGAGGACACAATGCTCGACGTCTTGGGCAACAAAAGCGACTGGGCCGGATCTAAGGCACCCATTATCTTCTCCCACAGCTCGGCTTATAGCGTCTGTCCTCATCCCCGTAACGTCAAGGACCACGTCCTCCAGCTTGTGAAGGAGCGCAACTCCATTGTCATGGTCAACATCGCTCCCGATTTCATCTCTTGTGTTGATGCCGGCAACGAAAACGGCCTCCCTGACTTTGTCCCCGCCAACTCGACGCTGGCTCATGCCGCCCGGCACATCCTCTACATCGGCAACCTCATCGGCTACGACCATGTTGGAATCGGCACCGACTTCGACGGAATCCCGAGCGTGCCCGTGGGACTGGAGGATGTTTCCAAGTACCCAGACCTGATCGCCGAGCTACTAAGACAGGGCGTGAGCAACGAGGACGCCGCCAAGGTCGCAGGCGGGAACGTCCTCCGGGTTTGGAAGGATGTGGATGCGGTGGCGGCTCAATTGCAGGCGGATCGAGAGCTGCCCATGGAGGACGACCTGGCGCCGCTCTGGTTTCAGGAAAGGCAGGATTAGAGTGAATCTGTCAGATGATTGTTGCGTTTGACAGGCTGCGATGTAGAGTTCATTTGTCTCATCGTACATTGTATACATATATCTTGTACAACAGGAAGCATTGCCTTCACTTCCTCCGCTGGCTTTTCCCGTGATGACCACCGCTTCACATATGCCTCTAGATTTGTTGCAACCGCGGTATTTCCGTTTTCTATTCCCAAGCCGAAGTCCAGGTTTAACCTCGTCGCTCGACCCTGTTGAGCTTGTTCGCTGTTGCCGTCTGCGTCCTCGTCCGCTGTCCGCGCACCGGCAGACCCATGGCGTGTCGTCGACCACGGTACGTGCCCATGTCCTTCAATCTGCGAATATTCTCCTGGACGAGTCGGCGGGCGTCGGTCTCGAGCGTCATCTGCGATAGTTCTGCCGTGAGGGAGGTGACGGTCCTGGGGGCGAGGGAGCCGACTTTGGCGAGCTTGTGGATGGAGTGCTTGGCCATAATGCGTGCGGAAGTGGTCGACCCGAGAGCGTAGAAGGACTCGAGGGCTTTCTAGAGGCGAAGAAGAACCATTGTAAGAACGCTGTTGCGGGCGGAAAGGGTCGTGGGATAATGGGATCGTCGATTGGAGGCTAGCTTACCTTGACCAACTTTTGTTCTCCGAAGTTGACACCGAGAATGAACACCTGCAGAAAATTCAGTCAGAGTCGAATTTTCAGGAGGAGAGCCATTGGCGCAGATGTACCATTTTGCCAGATTTCTCGTGGGTATCACAGTCGCATGCTTCGGATCTCGAATTCGACGTTGCGGCTCAAAGATGGATGAAGTGCAAAAGATGGGCTGTCCCGGGAAAACCGGGGGTAAACTGTGCCGTCTCAGCGACCAGGGTGGTATGGAGATGGCGGTTAGGGGAGTGGCAGCATAGCTTCAGCGGATGTAGCGGGGTCAGCTCTCTGAAACTAGCCTGAAGCTCTTCCCCCTCCAGGCGCATACCTACCTTGGTGCCCCTTGCTTCCATCCTAGGCCTGTGCAGCGCCAATTGCGCAAGTGTCTCCCGCCCGCCATTTCGTATAAGTGTCCCCAACCCACCACGGCCGCCGCCTCACCCTCCTTTGCTCTCTTCTCCTCCACATCATCACTGTTGCCGCATCTCCCCCGATCCGCAGCAGGAGAAACCGCAATCATGTTCAACCTTCGCCGACTCTTCGTTTCGGTCGCCCTCCTCTTCGGAGTCGGCCTGGTCTTCTTCACCCAGACCGCCGAGGCCACCAAGGGCCCCAAGATCACCCACAAGGTCTTCTTCGATATCGAGCAGGATGGCCAGTCCCTTGGCCGCATCGTCTTCGGCCTCTACGGCAAGACCGTCCCCAAGACTGCTGAGAACTTCCGTGCCCTTGCTACTGGCGAGAAGGGCTTCGGCTACGAGGGGTCTACCTTCCACCGTGTCATCAAGGAGTTCATGATCCAGGGTGGTGACTTCACCAAGGGCGATGGCACTGGCGGCAAGTCGAGTATGTTTTGACCCCGTCGCCGTGGCAATTACCTTTGAAAGAGTTTGACTGACGATACTCCTCCGTCTGACAGTCTACGGCGAGAAGTTCGCCGACGAGAACTTCAAGCTCCGCCACTCCAAGAAGGGCCTCCTCTCCATGGCCAACGCTGGCAAGGACACCAACGGCTCTCAGTTCTTCATCACCACCATCATCACCTCGTGAGCACCCCCCATCGTCCGGTATACATGGTACATTGGAGCTTGAAACTGACTGGTCGGATTAGGTGGCTCGACGGCAAGCACGTCGTCTTCGGCGAGGTCATTGAGGGCTACGAGGTCGTCGAGAAGGTCGAGCTGACCAAGACCCTCCCCGGCGACAAGCCCGAGAAGCCCATCAAGATTGCCAAGAGCGGCGAGCTCGAGGTCCCCCCTGAAGGTATTCACGTCGAGCTCTAAACAGCCCAGCATCGCGCCTCAATGCTTCCTCGTCTTGCCTGGCCCAAGCTGATTCGTGTGTCGCCACCCTCCAGGCCTTTACGGCGGAGCTGTATGGGCCGTTGATGAGGAAGGCTGGTCCTGGTTCCAGAAGGGATCGCTCTTCGTCATTTTCGCCGGCATTATCTTCCTTGGTTTCCGCACCAGCAAGAACTTCCATGCTGGCCGATTTTAAGAGACTCGAGGATAGAAGGATCATTTGGAGGAGACAATATAAGAACCCACGTACTCGTGGGCTGCGACACCGCGTTTGCCTTTCGTACCCAGTCCCGCCCAATCCCACCTGTGCATGGTGCCACATGTTTGTGACGTATGCCGGGCTCTCGTGTTCATGCCATGTCTGGTTTTCCCCACGTTGCCGCGTGTTCTTGGTGGCTCTGTCCCGGCCTCGACCTAGATTCCACACCCCTGTCACGTGGAGCCAACGACCTCTCGCGGCCAGCGCCTGTACTCCCCCGCCGAAAAAAAAGCTGTAAGTTCGTAGCGGCACTCACTTGACACAACTCGGCGTAACTTTGCAACCAGAACTCTCACCGTAATCGCTTGTCGCCATGAAGATCCTCAGCGTCAACTTCCTCAGCTGCGCCGTCAAGGCCTGCAAGAGCTCCTCCGACTCGTTCCCGCTCCACGCCAAGGACGCCGAGCTCGTCCAGGATGAGATTGAGTTGAACCCCAACATGATCATCAACGTCTTGCCCCGCCTCGACTGGGCTGCCCTGCGCACAACGTCTTCTGAGGTGAGTAATGAGTAAAGGCGTCACTGGGCATGATGCTTCCTTCTACCCCGTATCTTCCCCCATTGCCCTTCCTGTGACGGTTGAGTTGAGTGTGAGAGCGTCTCTAACTCGATGTGTGTGTTTTTGCACTGATAGCTCGGCTTCCCGCAACTGCCTGAGCAGGCCCCCACGGAGGAAGAGTTGAAGGCCGACGAGACGATGCTCAAGGACCTGCACCATTTGCTGCTGGAGACTCAGATCTCTGAGGGCAAGCTGGTGTGTGGCCACTGCGGACACGAGTACGCCATCAAAGAGGGCATCGCCAACTTCCTGCTACCGAGCCACTTGGTATGAGAGGATTACGAACGTACGCGACAGTTATGGTCACGCGTGGCAAAAAAAGAAAGGCAAGAGAGACAAGAATATAGACTGAGGAGATGAAGGGATTGAAGGCGGGAATGTCCACACAACGCGTCACAAGAGGATGCCGCATCAAGGGAGACGGCATAGGTGGGGATGGTATCACTTCGGAGTCTGGCGTTGTTAAACTCTTTATTACAGCTTCGATTCATGCATGCTTGGATAGAATAACCCGTTGATCCGATCCAAGGCCGAGTGAGGCTTCGTGATTGGGAATCCGTCCTTATTCTGCTTCTACCCTGCCGCTGCCGCAAACATGCTGAACAGATCTTACCTCCGATCAAGTCACACCAAAGAAACCCATAAACTCCGTATCTGATGTACAATACCGTCCCCATAGGAGGGGACGTCCATGACAACACATTCCACAGCCTGTAGCTACTGCATTGAGCAATTACTGCTTCTTCTGGGCAGCGGGGCTCATGTCCTTGTCAAAGGCACCGTAAGACACCTCGAGGCTAGCGAGGGCCCTGAGGCCAACGAGCAGGATCGAGAACAGGACAATCGCGGTGATGATGGCCATGAAGATGCCTAGAATAGGTGTCAGCACGATAATTTCTCTAGCGCAAGGGTACAATGCTTACCAGGAGTGAAGAACTGATATTTCTCGAACAGAGGGCGGGTATCGCGTTTAGATTCGTTGCCTGAGCTGCTGACATCTCGCTTGAGCTCCATGCGTAGGCGGTCATCGAACTCGGGGTCGTAGGTCTGCTCGCCGGGGGTGCCGACAAACAGGATGGTGTAGGAGTCGCTGGACGTGAGCTTATCGAGGCTCTTGGAGAGGATTGCGTCTGCATCTTTGTCAATCTGCGTCCTCTGAACGATGCTTGAAGCGCGGCTACTCACCACTGTCAGCCAGGGAGCCAGCCCGGTCTGAGGTCAGAGGCGGCAGAGTGAGCTCCTCGACGGTGATGTCCTGATACTTCTCACCGCACGCCATCTTGACTAAATCGGCCAGGCCAGCGTTGGTTAAGGGGCCCACAACCTCAGGCACGATAAACTTGGTCTGGATGCTCAAGTCGTTGCTGGCAACCTGGCAGAGATGTGGCATCGCGCAGTCGCTGGACGCGGAGCCACTGAGCTCAACGGAATTGATACCCGGCTGAGAGACGAACAGGTATCGCTTGCTCGGGCATGCTGCGAGGATTGATTTCGCACCCGCCATCGCGCCGGGGCTCGTTTGGAAATGGTTGGAGGCGTGAGTAACGGGAGTCCTAGATGCACGTCAATCAGAAGGAGCTCCTTCAAAGGAAGGCCGCGGAGAGCCACGGGAGGGCGCGTCGTACGAAGAGGTGGAAAGCAGAATCAGAGGAGAGGAATCCGAAAAGGCTGCCGAAGGCCCGGCGAGCGCCAGAGCGCCGGCAAGAATCTGGAGACGCATAGCTGATGAGGAGCGATTGATTGTCTGCTTCGTGTCTGCCTGTCTGTTCCAGCTTGTGACGGGAGGCTTGTAGGTATGGGAGCTGATACAGCAACGCAGCCTTACGTAACACCTCCATTAGATGCATTACACCGTTTCATGCACACCTCGGTGAACTTTTCCCATTGGCGTCCCTGCGGAAACTTTGCGACGGTAGAATCCCAGCCGTCCGTCTTCCTACGGATCAAAACGAACAAAGCATTTTTATTCTTCCCCACGACCAACTTTGACGTCGACGTACTAGGCCTACTGGCTACCCGACGCCATCATGTTCGCCAAACCCCGGCCCAAGAAAAGCATTCTGCCGCCACACAACAAGAAGCGAAAAGTTACCCATGCAGTTGAAGAGATCAATTTCGACAACGAGGCGCGCTCGGATTTCCTCACCGGCTTCCACAAACGCAAGCAGCAGCGAATTAAGAACGCACAAGAGGAGGCTGCCAAAAGAGCTCGTTTGGAAAAAATCGAATTGAGGAAGCAGGTAAATTCTCCCCATGCAATGCAAGCCTTCCCAACGCGACCAAGATGCTAAGACAGGTGACGCCAGGCCCGAGAAGACCGCCGTCGCGAAGTAGAGGACCACGTCAATACGGTGAACAGGCTGCTGCGGGAGTCGGAAGTTGCAGGAGGTGTCGACAAGGATTCGGACGAGTCCGCTGACGAGTGGGACGGCTTTCCCGACCAACCGAATCTCGACATCGTGGACCACGAGGAAGAGTACATTGACGAGGATCGCTACACAACGGTCACGGTTGAATCTGTGTCAGTGTCACGAGACGGCCTGTATAAGCCCCAGGTCGACGAGAAGGTCGAGAAGGACGAGAACGAAACCGACAAGAAAGACACAGGGGCCGACAAGGAGGATTCAAGGCCGGAGCGACCCAAGAAGAAGAAGAAGAAATTCCGCTACGAATCTAAAATCGAGAGGCAGTTGACGGAAAGGAAGCGCAAAATAAAGAGCAGGTCATGAAGACGGAACTAGCTATAACTAGACCTGCGAAGAACACATGATGGTCGCAAGCGAGCAGTACAAATGCGGACAGGATTTACAAAAGATACCCTTGAGAAAGCCAGCTTCAATCAGCTAGTAGAAAAGTAACATGCGGCTGCTGCTCCATTCGCTCAACTGGCACCATTCTGAAACCAAGCCCTTGCAACCGAAGGCAACAACTAGACGTGCCGGCCTAGTTCGCCCACGGCTGCCTGGGAACCCGCCAGGAGCCAGCAGGCATCCGATGCGTGTATGGCGCGGCAGTCCTCTCAAATGTTGCCAATCTCGTTCTGGAGGTCCTCCAGCTCCTTCTGCAGGGTGGCGTACTTCTTGGCCATCTCCTCGTACTTGGCCTCCCACTGGTCGCGGTCGGACTCGAGGGCCTGGACCTTTCGCTCGAAGTGGCCGGCCTTGACATCGGTCGTTCGGAGCCTATGGGGTTTGTTGATTAGCACATGGTCTAAAAAAAGAAGCGAAAAGAGGAGTACGCCGGCCGGGTAACGAAATGGCGGTGATTAGGGGATGCGACCCGGATAAGGCGCTGACGTACTTCTCGTTGGCCTCACGGAGAGTCTTGTCGGCCTCCTCGGCCTCCTCCTCGAGGAGCTGCAGCCGGCGCTGGAGGGTCTCGTTCTGGGTGCCGTGCTCCTGGCCCTCATCGGCGGCCTTCTTGAAATCCTTGGAGGCGGTCTCGAGCTTCTCAACCTCACCCTCAAGAAGGTTATTCTTGTGCTGCAGCGAGGTGATCTCTTGCTCCTTGGTCAAGTTCTCTTGCTCTAGCACCTTGACCTTGGCCTGGAGTTCCTCAACCTTTCCAGATGCCTCGTCGGCCTCCAGACGGAGCTGGTTCATTTTCTGTGCCATCCCCAACCAGATTAGCCACGAGAGCAACTAAACGCCGTACCCCTCCAAAGGGCCAGCGACATGGTGGGGTAGCCGAGGAGCTGGGGTAACTCACCTCCTTGATGCGGTCCATTTTGGTGAGTGGTGATGGATGAAGTTGTGAGCGTGGATTAGGCTGGAGCTGATCTGGGGATGGGTTGGAAAGGCGCGTTGTCGAGATGCAGATGCAGATGAAGTGGTTAGGAATTAGGGAAAGGGGAGGAGAAGCGATGCCCCTCCACAACTTGCCCCAACTGACCCCGGTGGCCGTGATACAGCCTCTGTGGCTTGTGGCGTCCCGCCCCGTGAGCTTGACCAGCTGCGAGGGTGGCTGTTGCCCTGCCAACTCACGCACGGACCATCAAAACATCCCAGTCGCAATCCCGGCTGGTCGGAGCCAGGCGAACTTGCGCCCCTATTGTTGGGCTCAACATATCGATCCGTATCCATCATTGATTTTTGGAACTTGAGCCTTGAGACGAATACGACAGATCCATCATTGACATCATGTTGGCGGCGCACCGCGATCAGGAGAACCTGGTGCATAGCCACCAGGTGCCCTCGAAGCAACAGCTCAAGACCCCAGGTGCACGATATCCCAAGACACCCTCGCGGTTTGGGCAGAACGACGAAAATGCCCCCAATGCATTTGCCGGAAAGACAGGGCTCGGAGGAACCAAACAGTTTGGCGGAAATGACAAGACTACGATGAAAGCGAATGGCACGCGTCAGGCCCTGGTTACTCCAAGTATGTGCAATTGCCAAGTCGAATACCGGCCGTGAATACTGATACAGCGACAGATACCCGAAACCGAGCTCCTCTGGGCAACAAGACCACGAATGCCAAAGCTAGGCCTGGGCAGGCGGGAGGTGTCAAGGACATTGTTAAGGAACTCGAGAAGACACAGCTCAAGCCCATGACCCACAAGCCCAAGCAGATATCCGTCGACATGGCACCCATCGAGTTCAAAGTTAGAAACGAGCCGATGTCGACTGAGGAGGAGGAGCCCGAATATGCCCCCCCGAAGCCAAAGGACCTCCCTTACGAGTCTGACGTCTTCCCTCAAGATCTCTTGACCCTCGAGGGCCTGAAGAGCGAGAACCTGCTCAAGGGATACTACCAGCATTTCTACAACCCAGTGGATGACGACGGTGTTTCGCGTCAGGACAGGGAGTTTGAGAAGACAATGAAGAAAGTCATGGCCAAGGCCGAGGAACGAAACCAGCGGGACATGGCTGCCCTGGACTGGAACATTGCAGACGTCCCTGAGACTGCTCAACGCCAGCTTAAGAAGAATGATTTGCACAAGCGATCGGTCTCGACTTCGGATCGGAAAACTAAGAAACCTACACCACAGCAGCCAAACTCGATTTCCTCCAGAAGAGCAGCATCCGCTCTGTCAATGGCTTCAGACAGTTCTAAGAGCACAGGCGTCCCTATCACTATCCGCTCCACCAAGGCAAGGAAGCCATTGAGCTCCATTCTTCAAGGCAAGCGGCCTGTGGCTGTCCCTAAGTCCTCCCTTACAGATAGTGCTGCCGGTGAAGCGGCCTCAAGGACCACCATCGGATACAACCGGGGCAGGTCGGCGTCATCGATGCTTTACACTCAGCCCCGAGTACCCAGCGAGTCGAACCGAACCGTCCGCACAATCAAGCCCGTGGCCTCAGTGGACTGCCTCTCCGATATGACCATCACCCCTGCTCGTCTGCGCAAGGCTGCCACGAAGCAGCAGGAGAGCCAGCCGCGCCCTCAGTTCATGTCCATCTTTGACGAGGAAGAAGGCGAGGATGAGGATCTCCCTCCTGTCAGTGCCCCACTTCAGTTATCGGACGATGAGGAGGAGTTCGAGCTGAAGTTTGACATTTGAAGACCAATCATGGATAGTGTATTTCTAGAGGGACCCGGCGTTAGGGAAAGAAGCAAATGATTCGATCGTGGTTCCGATGGGGCATGGCCGATTGGGGGAGTTTTAATGAGGATTCTTGGTAACGATGCCTCGGACATCCATAATGACCTGGAGAGGCTTTTGCTTTTATTTTACTTTTGACATCTGGACCGGACGAGTTGCGCAAATTGCACGACGCTCACTTATACATCTTGTGACTTTAGCAATACAGTTATCGACATTGATTCACTTTGAATGGTGTAAACGTAGGCTGGTGAAGGTTAATCACCAGCCAGGTCGGTGCGCACTTGTATTGACACTGCTCAACCTTGTATCACGATTGCATTTAACAACAGCAACAACAACAACAACGACACTACTTCTTCTCTACGATTAAAGTGGCCAGTTCACTGATGTCGACAATTTTCTATATTTCGGTTGTCTCTGTCAGTAGTCATCTCTTGTCATGGTCTTAGGCTGGTTGCCAAGATTACTGCCCATACACAAAGTCCAAATATCCCGTCTATTTAAGATGTCAGTCCATTTCTTTGCTTCCATCCATCTTAGCGGTTAAGAATTGGCGGGGCTGTTCGTGAACCGGGATGGCGCAGCTTGTTTGACGTTTCCTACCAGACAAAACTTTCCTTACTACAATGGCGGAATCATGGTAGGTTGCTCACTGATTTAAGGATGGTTCAAATTCCACCGCCTAACTTATTCACTGGCGAAAAATAACATGACAAACCTGAGATCAATCTGGCTGAGAATCGGATGGAGCAGGGTATGGGCGATGATCTGGTAATCGAAGGCGACTACCACGTGCATGTCTACATGCTTGCATGAAGGCTTCGAGCATGTCAAAATCTGGTTAGGTTGGGTGGTTCCTTGCATGGGCTTGGAATTCTAGAAAGAACGTATCCGCGCTGACATTGGCCAGAGAAGGATTGTTGTGGAACGTAGACAAAGATAACTTGCTTTGTTTTCAGGTCCTTCCATGCAGTCATCTTGCAAACAACGGAGGGGGGAGAAAGGCAAACAAAGGTCGTGATGCATGGGGCAAACGACCCTGGTACACATTAATCTTGGCCAAATTTAATTGGTTCAGGCGATTGCGGATTCCTTGTTCACCAGGACCGCCGTTGATGAAGGAACGTCGGATGAATGAGGAAGGACGTCAAGTGGGTGGAATGGGTGGATAAACATAGCGCCGAACTGATGGTAACAACGAACAAACGCGGCCCAGGCGCAAGTTTAATTACTTTGTCGCGTGGTAGCGAGGCGCGGTGTAGCCCCGCCAAAAATACCAGTGGAGCGTGTACCGCTCTGGACAGCGAATGGACAGCGCACACGCTTGTGTCAGATCAGCCACATCGAGTGGCTACAGTGGCTACAGTGGCTACAAGTGGCTGGGCCGGCCCCCCGTTTGCCAATGGCTGCCACCCAGCAGGTGCCATCATCCCTGAACCCAAAACCCGAAGAAAGACGGCGCCTGGACAAATCTTCAACTTTCCGACCTCTCCAGCCCTTTTGCCCTTTTGCCCTCTCTCTCACCCAATCTCTCGCTCGCTCTGTGGCCTGGAGATCGCCTTCGGCTTCCGCATCTTCCTCTCCTGCGCGCGCGCTGGCCTCTCTCTTTCTGCTGCCCTCCAGGCCCCGTCATCTCGCGATCCCCCCTGCCGCAGAGCCTGTGGATGACGCACCGCCGCCTTTCGCTGCCAACCTGGCCCGGTCGCGTGAAGTTTGCTCCCGCGCGTTAAATCTGCCTCCTTTTCACCCACCATCAGCGTCAGCGCCCGCGCCCACCACGAGCGCCGCCCCAAGCAAACTGCACCGTCTCTGCCGCACGCAGCCACGCGAAAGATATCATGGTTGGAGCACGGTGGAAGAGATAGGAAGAGCGCATCGCCACGATGACTCGCCCGCCCGGCGCGAGCTTCGCGCAGTTCTTCCCAACCGCCCCCAAGGTTAAGGCTCAGGCTCAGAGCCGTGCAGATCGCGACCGAGACCGCGACCGCCCCAAGCCAGCTTCCCTCAACGGGGGATCCGACTCTCTCCCAGACACCGCCGCCGCGTCGGATCTCGACGTGAATGGTTTTGCCCAGTCCGTCCCTGGCCACTGCGGTCCTCTGGCGGATGCCCCTCCCGCTCATATCGACGACAACGACTCTCCCCTCGCAGACATCCCCAGCACTGTCGATTCCGCCAGCTCCTACGGCAGCGCGGCCTCGTCCATCTTCAGTTCTTCTGCCCGACACGCTGCCACCGCGGCATCATCTCGCCTCCCCACCTCGAGCCTCACCCCCCTCGCTTCCAAAGACTCGCCCTCCCGCACACCCACTTCAGCACCCACCAAGCCAGACATGTCTGCCTCCCTATCCGCCGATCGGGCCGCGAGACAACCAGCTCACAATTCCTCTGCCATTGGTCGCAATGGCGCGACATCTGACAGGCTCCCCGCCATCGAGCGCGTCCCGGCTCGAGATCCCATGCCCTCCGTCAAGGGTCTCAAGTGCACATATGATCCGCCTCTCGATCGAGTACACAATAAGAGCGTTAGCAAGAACGCCAAACCGACATATAAAGAGTTTGGCTTAGTACGTATAACTATATCATCCTCCTTTCGGGGGGGCGTCATCTGTGGTGCAAGATCTCATGGCTAATGAAATGGATAGGATGATGACGCCCCCCCTACGGATCCTCGCCTGACCAAGGGAGGAGGTCGCCTCGGCTACATAAACACCGATTACTACCTACCCAAGGCACGGTTGCGACCAGCACCCGAGAATATCAAACCCTACCCCTACGACCCCAAGACTTCGATTGGCCCAGGTCCTCCGACCCAGATTGTAGTGACAAGGTACAACCCGCTAGCTCCATTCAACAAGGTGACAGCCATTTTTGCCAGCTTTGGCGAGATTGCCGAGAGTAGCAACAAGATGCACCCTGAGACTGGAAGTTACCTCGGATTTGCCACCATCCGCTATCGCGATTCGAAGCGCCCTGACCGACCGCGTGTGTCAGCCATTGACGCCGCTCGTCGAGCTGTGCGATCCCGAGGCCTCAAGGTCGATGCGGATATTGTCAGGGTAGAATATGACCCAGAGGGTCGCAAGAGCCGGCGAATGCTGGAGGAGCATCTTAGGAGGGGGAAGGACAAGCAAGAGAAGGAGAAACTTGCTCAGCTTGCTTCTCAGTCAAAGGTTCCTCCTACGGGTCCAAAATCCGGCCCAGCGCCCGGGTTCGTTCGACCTCCACCCACCGCCCCCAAGGGTCCAGCAGCACACCGACAACCTGCGGGCGCCGTGTCGGGGCCTCAACAGCAACCGATACTCCCCGTACAACCGAGAGGGAATTCTTCCATCGACGGCCCCTCTATCGCACCGCTACTCACTGACGAGCCCTATATTTTCATCACGAGTGACAGCGTCCCTGTCTTGCCGAGTATCATCCCTCATATGAAAAAGCGATTGAAAAATTATGGGCTCGAAGAGATACGCCTCGACAAGACTGGATTCTACATTGTGTTTCGCAACTCGGTCAATGGCAAGTCAGAAGCGGAGCGATGCTTCAGGGCGGTCAACCACACTGAATTCTTCAACTATGACATGGCGATGCAGTTGTGTATGCCCCGAGAAAATCACGAGTCCGAAACGCCTCGCCCGCCTCGCAAGGCCAGTCCAAGCCCCGAGCATAGACCCAGGGCTGATATTCGGGGACGTGATGAGAGAGAAAAGCGCCGCCGCGAGGAAGAAGGGGACCTCGAAGAGGAGAAGAAACAGAGGGCCAAGAACTTCGATCCAGTAACGGAAGCAAAGCAGGTTATTCGTCGAGCAATGACCGAGCATCTTATTCGACACATTCGCACCAAGGTAGCCGCACCCGCCCTTGCCGCGTTCCTGGATCCCGCGAACCATGTCGCCAAGAGGCGGAGGTTCAACATCGAACACCCCGACGATATCGAAGAGATTCCTAGCATTGAGGATGGCGATGATAGTTCGAGGGTCGGTACTCCCAACTCACGGGCTGACCCCATTGAGCGGAGGACGGGCCGTCTGGAACCCAAGGCATTGCCCAGAATTCGCAAGACCAAGGTCAAGGGTCAGGCTCAGCGTAGCGCGTTTATCGATCCCTTTTCACGTCAGCGCCTTCCTGCCCGAAATGCGTTCCGTTCGCTCCACCACCGTCTTAGAGGCCTCGACAGCGACGTGGAGTCGGATGATGACACTGACGCACGCGCGTTATTAGCTCATGAGACCGAAGAGCCGGAATCCCGACCTCGAAGCCGAATGAGCACCGATGACGACATTTCCAAGGACGACTTTGCCTCCTGGGGTCCCGGTGAGGATGACTCCATGACCGAGGCTAGTTTTGCGATTACCGATGCCCCTTTGGCATCCAAGAAGCGCAAGCTGGAGGCTTCGTTCGAGACTATCTTCAAGCGACAAAAGAAGTCTGATGAAGAGCTGTTTGGGGTCAGGATCGGCCAGCTCACCTCAGATTTCACTCCCCGCGAGGATTCAGTGGACATTCTTCCTGATACTGAGGTCGGTGATGACCTCGAGAGTAGAATATCCCGCTCCGAGACCCCCATGTCTGTAGGCGGCAAGGGATCAAAGAAGAAGGGTACCAAGTCCAAGAAGAAGACCAAGAAGCAGATATTCGAAGAACGCGAGGCCCTGAAGCGTCAAGCGGAGGCAGATTCGCAGCGCGAAGAAGATGAAGTGGAAAAGGAAGCTATAGAAACGCCGAAGGCTGAGGAGAAGGAGCTGCCAGTTGAAGAACTTGCCGTGGAAAAGCCCGTGGAGAAGCCTCTAGAGAACCCCGTGGAGAAACTCAATGAGAGGCTTTTCTCGACAGAGCCCCTGATTCCGGCCATGGTATTACCCGACGACATGCCGCCGGATTTGTCAATGTTTCAGGGGTTGGCACTTGGCTCTAGTGATGGACCTGACGTGGCAAAGCTTACCAGGCGATTCCAGCTCGGTGATATCGGAAACCCAGAGCTCTGGCTATGGAAGCGCAACCGCATCAGGGAGCTCAACTCTGCGGATGGCCTCGTCGACACCGCCGTATCTATCGGAGGCTACTACGTACCTAACCCTACTGGGTGCGCTCGTACCGAAGGAGTCAAGAAGATCCTCAACTCGGAGAAGTCCAAGTACTTACCTCATCACATCAAGGTACAGAAAGCGAGGGAGGAGCACAAAGCCCGCTTTAAGACTTCGGGCAAGGACCCTGTCGCCACTGCTGCGGAGGCAGCCAAGATTGCCGCAGAGAAGCTTATCGCCAAGGGCAACTCGAGAGCGAACCGTGCCACAAACCGTCGATACGTGGCCGATTTGAACGACCAGAAGAAGACACTAGGCCAAGACTCGGATGTGTTCAAGTTCAACCAGCTCAAGAAACGCAAGAAGCCTGTCAAGTTCGCTCGTTCGGCCATTCATAACTGGGGCTTGTATGCCATGGAGAACATCGCCAAGGACGACATGATTATCGAGTACGTCGGTGAGGAGGTCCGCCAGCAGATTGCCGAGATCCGCGAGAAACACTACCTAAAGAGCGGAATCGGCAGCAGCTACCTGTTCCGTATCGACGACAACACTGTTGTCGACGCTACCAAGAAGGGCGGAATCGCACGCTTCATCAACCACAGCTGCATGCCAAACTGCACTGCCAAGATCATCAAGGTCGAGGGCAGCAAGCGCATCGTCATCTATGCGCTGCGCGACATTGCCATGAGTAGGTTCCCCTTGACCATTCCCCATATTCCCACCATCTATTTTTTGCTAACAAGGCGTGCCTATAGACGAAGAGTTGACCTACGACTACAAGTTCGAGCGCGAGATTGGCAGCTTGGATCGCATCCCTTGTCTTTGCGGCACAGCTGCTTGCAAGGGATTCCTAAACTGAGGCGAAATTTCTCCAGGTTTTTGGCGGCAAGGGAAAGTAAAAGTGAACTGCCCTGGGTCATTCATCAAGGCGTTGGGGAGGCAAAGTGTGGTGGTGTTAACGAGTCCATTTTGGTCGACCACGGGAGAGGTGGGAAGGAATCTTGCAAGTGCTTTAGCCCAATTTACCACTCAAGGGCTCTCTGTTTTACTAGGTATCAAGCTGGCATCCGACGCACGGGTGCTTCGACGGGGCGTTCAACCGGCCAATGTTTCTTCTTTCTATTTGTTCCTTTAATGCAATCCATGGCGGCCTCAGTCGCCTCTCTGTACATACATACCAGCTCACCCCAGATAGATTGGAGTGTGTGGTGACTCCTCCCTCAAGACAAGGAATGGAGTTTAACATTACAAAACGTCTGACAGGTGGTGCGCGCCAAGATACCACCGCAGTATTCATTGATCCGCAATGCTAGCGTCGTGTGACGAGGCATAAACAATATATGTGCCAATGCTGATCCCCCTCATTTCTTCTTCCTTGTCTTCTCTTCATCTTCGTCGTCGCCCTTCGTCATCATTGTCATCGTCGTTCGGTCTGGTTAATCACGTTCACTCTTCACCCTCACACGACCCTCGCTAACGTCATGAGGAGCCCGAGGGCCCAACATCCAATCTTGCATGGCTAACCACTCGCTCCAGTTCGACTCTGCGCCTCGGATCTCCTCCTCAGTGACGTGTTGAAGGGGTCGCAGGAACGGAACGGTTTGACCGTCGGCCATGTCGTAATGTGACTTGACTCCCAGCCAGCTGTCGCTCTTTGCTGCGAACAGGAAGTTCCTGCGCTCGGTCTCGTGCACAGCGCCGATACCTTGAAGCCAGTCATCTCCGAAGAACCCATGAAGGACGGCAGGGGAGTCGAAGCCAGTAACGACGAGACGGCGAATATAGGGAACCAGGCTAACTTGAGGGCCAGGGACAGCTCCCGTCGCTCGAGCGGAGGTGGCTGGCGGAGGAGCGGAGCGAGTAGGCGTAGGAGAAGGCGGAGAGGGTTTTTGAAATGGCAATAGGATGTTCACAAGAGCGCCTACGGCTTGAACCGGGCCACTGAACTGAGCGTGATCGAGGAAATAGCGTTGGCAGGACTGAAACTTGGGATACCAGTCGAAGATATCGAACTGGGATTCTTGGAACGGCTGAACAAATCTGTCAGTCCCGTGATGACTTACCAACAGTGAAGATTGAGCGACAGAAAAAGATAACCAAGGTAGAAGACACAGAGAGGGGGGAAGCTGGCTTACGTGTTGGAATTGTATCGACATGGTGGCTAGAATGAATCGTTCCTAGGCCTCTTCTTGGCTATGGTTCATACTCCGGGGTATGGTTGGGGCCTTGGGCTCGGGTGAAGATTGGCTGGCGTCAAGAACGGTGTTGAGCTTTGTTGGTCAGGCTAGGGCTCTGGACGTTTGCCAGATAACAACAGTCCAGGAGGCTCAGGCACTGGCTCAGGCCCTGGTTTAGATGCGGGCGGCGGGATGCTAGAAGACAGATGCTGTGCACAACAAGTGCGATAATGGTCTCAATTGAGACGGCACACGCCGGGCAGCGACCGCGGTGAAGGCGATGGCTACAGCAATGTAGATGGGGTACAGCAGGGCGGTTCGATGGGTCGCAGTCGTGGCGATTGGCCGACGGCGACACCGGCTAGGTGAGTGAGTTGAAGATGGAGCCGGTATAAGTCGCGAAGTTGACAAGACGGAACAAACGTCGAAATGGCGAATGGGCAGCAATTCAAGAGTTCGATAGAGCCAAAGAAGGCAGACGAGGAGGTATTGACTCTAGGAGGTGCCGGCTTTTAGACTTCAGAAGCACGGAAACGTGTGAGCATCGACAGAAGGGAGGAGGAGGAGGAAGAAAAGAAGGCCGGAAGCCCCAGGAGAATCGAATTGGTCAGGATGGAAGGGAGTAGTGGAAGAAGTAGTGGGAATGAGGCAAAGTTGAGAGATCAAGGTCGAGGTGAGATGTAGGATTGCGAAAATGGTTATGTAAGATGCTCGATGTTTGATGCAATGCAGGTAGGTGCGCTTGAGGCTGTCTGTCTTTTCCACAGCAGGTGCAAACGACGTGCAGGTAAGGGTGCCGCGTTGGTTCTCTTCAACGATGTGGCGGGTTCATGGGGGTGTTATAAGGCTCGGCAGGTACGTATGCGGACGAGTTGTGGGCGAGCATGAGGGAGAGAAGGAGCCTCTTTCCTAGTCAACTAGAATGTTTCTCGCTTCCCTCTTCTCGTCTCTTCTCTCCTCCTTCTCTCCTGCCGTCCTTCGGTCGGTCCGCAGCAGCTCAGACAACGATCTGGCTTTTCCGACACGCAATTCAACGACAGGTCTACCCATCTCTCCATCCCGACTTGCACTCATTCATCTCTCTCCAACGCTCAATTTCAAGCTCTCGTCAAACCAGCAGCTCGATAACGACCAGGCGATTCACCCTTGATGGGGCCGCACAACCCGCAGCACCACTGGCAGCAGCTCAGCTTGTATCGCCACACGACGACGGCAAAGTCACTAATACCCGATGCCTCGCTCCTTGCTCCCTTGTTCCCTTGTCGCCATCACCCACGGCTCACCTAGGTCCCAGCCAACCCCAGCCCAAGCCGGCAGCCTTCTTTTCTCCATGGCTATGGGACAGTCGGCGCTAGGCATGATTCACTCAACGCGAGTGCGAGGGTGCGAGGGTGCGAGGGTGCGAGGGCGTGCGTAACTGCGTGTCATCACCGCCTTACCATACCATGTACCAGTAGGTCCACCCCTGATGAGGGACGCCGCCCTCCCGAGAGTGTGTGTGGACGGGTGGCTGACCTGTGTTGGACCGGAGGGCGTCGACAGAGTTTCTTTCCCCTGCTCTGATCTAGCTCTACATGCATTACCGTGGGGTTGGAGCCTCGTTTGTGACCACAGTATCGATTCGGCAGCGGCGGCTTTGATTGTTCAACGAGACGAACCGAGTCTAAAACATTCGGCCCATGGTCCAACAGTCCCCAGCCAAGACCAACAAAGGAGGGGCGACGGGTGGCGAACATGAGCTTTTGAGCTGTGCAGGCATGGGCTAGTGCCAGGGTTGAACACACTAGGAGGCCCCAATGGCTGCTGGTTGGCCAACTGCCCGATCGAAATCCCATTCGAGATAGGCGAGCTCTCCAAAAACTCCATGCCATATCAGCCAATCTGGGAAACAGTATCAACACACTGCCGTCCAGCTTGCAAGGTGAATAAAGATGGAATTCTTTACCTCGGCACATGTCCTGTCAGATGCCGCCCATGTAGGTGTCAGTTGACGAAATCAATCAGCCCCGGGACAAGGCGTTCCTTGGCGAGCGGCTAACAACAGAACATATTATCCCCAACTGAGAACGAGGCGCTGACACCAAGGTGGAGGTTCAGCTCGGGACGCCCCCCACCTTCTCCCCGCCATGCTCATCTGCCGCTGCGCCGTAGAATGTACTTTCTGGCGCACGATGGATGCAGAGACGCAAATTTGATGGGAGAAATTCAGGGTGACCCCAAAAGAAAAACCAAGAAACGGGATGGAAAAAAGAAAGGCGCCAATAAAGTTCGCAATCGAGTATCAACGGGGCGTGCAGTCAAGTTCATCGCCAAGCATCTGCCTTCCACCCCTAGGCAGCACAAGTTGTCCACGACAGGACAGCTTGTGAAGGAAGCTTCGAGCAAGCGAACCAACGAACTCTTAGCCATAGCAGACTATCCAAGCGAGCATCCATGCCCTTTTTTCAGCATGTCCAGGGATAAGGGCAATGAAGTGCATGAAGGTGAGTACCCATCCAACACTTCACAGAGGTACGGTGCCCCGGATGGAGCGTATCTACGGGGTGGCGTTTAACCCGAGCCCCCTCCCGTCGCGGTGCCTGAACCTGATCTGCAGCCTCAGATTTTCTTTCACCCACGATGCCAGCGTCTGTGAGCCACATGGGAGTGGCTGTCCTTCACCATGTCCCGACCTGACCAATATCTAGTCAAAACTTTGGACAGCACACGGTTTGCCATATCCATATGGCACGCAAAGGCGGAAAGAAGGGTCGTCTGCGAAATGCCTGTCCTCAACTGAAATCAAGCCGCATCGGGCCTTTCGCCACTCGCTGACCCACCAAAATCGCGGGTGCTCACTTTAATGACCTCGAATCTTACACACGGGACAAGCCCACCTGTTACGACACCGGCTCTGGTCCCGGCGCATTCTTTGGAACCGGAAACCCGGTAGTCGAACTGACGCATCAGCCACCAATGGGAAAATACAATGGGAGCCTTCGCTTCAGCTTGTGGACCAGTCTGTGTGGTTCGACTGTCTGGCGTCGTGACGATTTTAGTGGCTCTTTCTAGATCTTCTCCCAGGCGCGCTCGCTGATTGGCCACACATCAAAGAAGCTGGTACGTCTGTCGGCTGAGAAGAGAGATGGGATCTTCCATTAGCTCTACAGGTGTGGCGGCTGGTTACCAACCCTTCGGGCTCCATCACCCCAGCCAGCGACCCTGCCTTTCCGATCACAAACTGCATCCGCTCAGCTGCCTCTCGCTCCCAGTGGATCTTTGTCCCAAGCACCACAACTAGGGTCTTATTCCCATGCCCTCGGTACCGGGAGGCAACCTGTTGGTCTCATCCTTGGGGAACACCGGATAGAAACGCAATTTATTGTCGCGCAATCAACGCAGGGCAATCCCATTTTGTGTCACGTTTGGACTCGGCGAGTGCTGCCAATTGTTGCAGCCTTCAACAGAAAGGACCTTGATCCGGCTTTCGCCCGGGCCAGACACAATACGACATTATATCCGCCCAGCAGTAGGCCCACGATTTGCGCAGCCGGATTGCAAATCAGGCGCGTACCACCGTTGGCCGTTCCGTTGATGGACCAGCTGGTGCATCTGGCTAATGCATCATACCGGGGCTCAGAGGACACTGATGATTCGGTTGGTATAGAATGTTTAACGCAGGAGGCACATAGTCTTGGTTGACCGTCCAACGTGCCGCCCACAATTGAGAAAACTCTATCCGCAGGTTGGGGCTCTTCGTTCATGTCAGTCAAGGAAATTGGACGGCAAAAAACCCCCACCCAATGTCCCTCTTCACAACTCAGCTCCAGTGGATCAATATGCGGATCTGGTGTGGCGACGGGGCTTATGACCTGTCAATCTACACGGCCAAAGGGGCCTCACGTTGGGGTGCTTTGACATGACTCCCTGCATAGAGTCACGGAATAACGACGTCATCTGAAGGAAGTGTGGCGAAGGGGCGATCTGGAATTGGCTGAGGGTGTTGCGCCATTCTGCCTCTCCAAGCCGAATTTGATCTATCATATTACGGGCCAGACTCGACCCGTAAGACATGGAATCCATCCCCTCTCTGCTCGGATATTATCCAAATTGCGCCCCGGAAGCCTAGCGCCAAATCCTTTAAGCGACATGGTCGTTTTGCGAGTCCGCAAGGCGTTCCTCCTTGCATGGCGCATCGGGGCAGGCAGATCCGGTGCTTGCGTAGGACGGACATCGGGGTTTCAGCTTCAGAGGTAACCGCGATCTTACCAAACGTCCTATATCCCGATCATCTGATACTTGATAGTCGGTATGCCGGGGGCTGGAATGGGCGTATGCAGGAGACAAGAACCTAGGCCCAAGTCGAAGACTGGAGAAGTAGAGGGCCCCTTCGGGTGACAGTCCAAGCCTGGGACGCCACGAAACACACCTTGACATGCTCAACGTTTGAAGACTCATACCTGGATCAGCAGCCACAGCAGCCACAGCAGCCATGTTTCCGATAAGCTCTGATTTCCTCCGCAGGGTACGAGATCCAGCGAAGTTTCGGGAGCAGTTGACAGGGTCCTGCAAACGCCATGATCGCGGTTCCTCTTCGTGACGTGCTGGATCGGACGAATGCTGGATCTCCAGTGTTACCCCAGACCAGCATGCTGGGTGTGGCGCAGAATGTACCTAACCTCTTGTTACAGTGCGGCATATCCTGACGTCCCTGTCATGTTAGCTTGCAAGGCTGAGCTAGATCCAACGGACGGGCGCTCTGGCGGGCGGCTGTCAACGTTAGCACAATGCTCAGCTGAAGGGGGTCAGATGGTCCTACTTGGTATCGCGATGCGCATTCTTCACACCAGGGGGCATCTTTGACTTTTGGCGGGATATATTCCGCTGTCTCAGCTCTGCGTTGTGTTCCGTGAATGTCGTACGATGACAGCCTTGTACTACTACATAAGTGACATACACCCTTGCTCATTCACTCATTCATCACATTCCGAGTCATTCATTGCAGTGTTGGCGTCGTTGGCGGCGGGCGTCTCCCGTCAACATCATTACGAGATCCCGAAAGAGGACGGCGGTAGCATATGGCATGGCTACTGGGCCAGCAGACGGGGATCGGCAACAGACTCGCGATCCTTACGAAGACATCGGGAGAGAGGGATCGCTACGTTTGGAGTCCGAAGAATCACGGAGCACGTATCGTTCCTATGTGCTTTCCAATAGGCACACGCACTATCGAAGCAGAAGGCAAGGAGGCATGCCGGAGATCCGCTTGATAATTGATACGTTCTAGGAGCCCGACTCAGCCTACATATCAGCTCTCTCCACTCTTCTAAAGCCACTATTTAGACCAAGGCGCCGGGCGGTTGAGTATTTTTTTCTTCTTGTTGCGCGCGCTTTGGTATGTCTTGCGACACGAGGTGTGACTGGGCCTCGATCTAAGACGTTGCTTCTAGAACACCCTATTGACAATGGGTCTTAGTATTAACCTTTGGTGCGTGTAGGTCAGTCTGGATGACGGTTTGAGAAATGTTTTTGTTGGGCCAAGTGGAGTTTCTTGCAATGTCGAGGACTAGGGGGGTGGATAGGGTTGCATGTGCATTGACCTAGGATGCCAGAGCCTTTCCTATCAGTTCCTTTGCTCGGTCACTCAGCTCCATTCCGAGAGCCAGCTGTCGACCCTTGTCGTTCATCTTCCCCCAAGTCTTGCGGAGGATGCCAACCATCTTGTCCTCGTCAATGCCGGCCTTGTTCTCAAAGTCGTCGAACTGATCATCGAGAAAGACCAGGCAGGCAACGTCCTCGAGGGCCTGGGTCTCCTCGTCGGAGGTCAGGTTCTCCTTGCGAATCAGGGCGGCCACACGGGCCCGGTCAGTCTCAGGGATGACGGGCTGGATGGAGGGCGAGGCAAGCAGCTCAGCGACCTGCTCGGCGGCCTGGGCCTTGAGCTTAGAGCGCCACATCAGATATCCCGGGCGTGTCATGGGGTAGCTGCTGCGAGGGATCTCCCATCTGTAGCAATAGCATGGTGAGTTCGGATCCAATGTTTGTTCAGTCAACCGCGGCGCATCAGGAGGGAGCGCACCTTCGGAAATGCTGCGCGCGGCAGGCCAACTGGAGCACCGGGGTGGCAGACGGGCTGCGCAAGGCGAGCCACTTGGTCATCTTGCGAGCATAGTGAAGTTCGTACGGAAGCGTGGTGCCATCAGGGCCGGGGATGGTCTTTGGGTCCTGGGCGTGGGCGTCGTCGATAAGGTCGAGGCCGCGAGCATATTCGACGGGAAGCGGAGGTAATGTATCGGCCATTCTTTGCGATTGGCGTCGGTGAATTCGCTTTGTGTGTTGGCCCTTGTCGTCTTGTCGAGTTCCTTCAACCAGCACTTACTTGCAGGCCGGGAAACTAGGAAACAGTAGCGTGGAGATGGGGTGACGAGGGTAGTAGCTCTCGAGTCGAGAAGTTGCGGTTATGAGATGAGTCAGCGAAATCGGCCATCGTCTCATTGGGCCTGTGAACTAACTCTATTGTCGACTGGAGTCTCGCAGCTCCAACGCTACAACTTGAACAACTTTGGAGAGGAACGAGACTTTCTCCTCAAAGTACCATGTGCGTGCGTGCTGAAGAGAACACGTCGTCATGCCCTGAGGACGACGAACAACAGGAGAATGATGACATGGAATCAAGGCCACATATAATGCATACATGCATGTCACTCCAGTTACGACCAGGCCGTCTCTAAGATGGGTTATCCCGTCGGGCAATATCAATCGCCGAAATGCGGAACTCACTGGCAGGTCGAACTCGGCACAATGAATGAGAAGAATAGCCTCCAGGCGGGTCATTCAGATTTCATTGTTCTTCTAGTTGGCACTTGGCAGCCATTCGTCATTCACTCATTCACTCATTCGCCCATGTATTCGTCCATTCATAGCGCAACTTCGTCAGCTGTAAACACTCCCCTTACAGCTGGGGGCTTTGATTCACACATTTCCGCTCGGACTCAATACATGTTTCCCTCTGCCATCAAGTATTTGTCTCTTATCCTCTACTTCTCAATCCTTTCCATTGAGCAAACATTCTTCCAAGCGCTTGCGGCCCCCGTGAGCTTGTGTATGACTCCCTTTTCACAGCAAAAGGCAGCAAACACCTGTTAGAGGAGTAATTCCACTCGCCCACCCGCCTCTCATCCGCCTCAGAATTCGCATTCAACTTTTCCCTTTGTCAACTCTCCGAGATCCCCCCTGAACATATACGCGTTCCGAGTGTCGCTGTAGAATCGTCTCACCAGCCAGAGGTTTCCATCAAGCGCGCCTTTCCATCTTATTGAATCCAGAGTGCGCCCAAGTTCATTTTCCTCCGTCGCACCGTCTCTAATGCATTTCCAGGCCAGTCCGCCCTATCACGGGTGAAACCCACCGCGCCGTCGCCTGAAAGCCCGCGAATATCGCTAGCGAATGCGTGGACCGGTCACTTCCCAATCATGCCGCACCGCGCAGCAGAGACCAACCGAGACGACTCCGGAGATGTGTGGCCAAGTTCTTCTGAAGCTGAGGAATCTGAACAGCGCCAGAGTTCGGCAGACGAGTCGAAAGAGGCTGGGTCCGGATCCGAAGATAAATCCGACCATGAAGACTCTTCCCAGTCGGCAAGCAACCACAACTCCACTAGTGACTCGGATGCCTCATCCTTCGGCACTTGTAAGAAGCGCAGCGGGCATGAGAAGTGTCTAAAAGACAGGTGTCTGAAGGCCGAAGACTCTGGAGACGGCCCGCAAAGCTCCAGCGAGCCCGACAGTACCCAACCTTCAGGCGACAGCCGGAAGACCGAATCCTCTACCGATAATCAGAGCGAGGCGGCGACTAGTGAGGTCAAGAAGGGTAAAAAGAAGGCCAAGAAGGGTAAGCCAGCATCGTCAACTGAGACTGCATCTACCACCGAGGTAACGAGCAATGACATGAGCGCCAATGACAACGCCTCGACGGATCCCAACATAACAGCCGAAGGCTCGTCCAAGGATTCCACTTCAAATTGCAACACGGTCAGCTCTAAGCAAAGCACCACTCCCAATGACTCGGGATGGAGCATCTCGGAAGACTACATCCTTAAAGGCATGAAGGAAAGTGACCAACCAGCCACCTGGGCCGACATCGGCAGCGCCCTCAACAGGAGTAAAAGTGAAGTTAGGGCCCGTTGGAAGCTCATCAAGGATCAGGTTCGGCCTCAGCAACCCTCCGCAGATGACACTACCGAGCCCGAACCGACAGGTGACAGTGATCAGGCCGGTGGTGAAGCCAGTCCCGTCGAAGAAGATGATGGTGATGACGGCAGGGACAAAGGCAAGGCCGCAACCTCTTCCGTCACGTCTCACGGGGACTCGAATGGTAGCAACGTCAACGGGGAGGGAAATGGGAAGGGGAAGGGGAAGCAGGCCTCCAATACCAACAAGTGGCACAAGGGCACCCGAAACGACAAGGTGGCCTCTGAGAACAAACAAGCCAAAGCCGAGGCTACAAAAATTCAGCAGGAAACATCCAAGATCCTCTCGGGAGAAGAGGCGTCATCCGAGTCCTCCGCCTCGTCATCTTCTTCATCACAGTCTTCCTCCATCTCCCAACTCGACTACGGCAACTCTGAGAAGAATGACGAGATGCGCTATCTCCAAGACCACATATACGCAGACCTATATCCCGCGGCCATCCACCCTGAGCCAGACGCCTATCTCAGCAAGCGGGACTGTGAGCTCCTAGCCGCAATCGACAGCAAACAGAAGTGCTCGCGGTGGCTCGAGATGCAGGCCAACTTCTTCAACGTCACTGGCCGTATGGTGCCTCTCGACGCTATCCGGGCAAGATGTGAGCGCGCCGAGGAGAGGGAGATATCAAATGCTCGCCAGACCGGACGGGACCTGGCTGATCGCCTAGAGAAGGTCGAGCAATGGGTCACTAAGGTGTCACAGGAGGACGTTGACGATCGAGAAAACTAGTGAGGACAAACGGGGCTCATCAGTTGGCCACCACTTAACCAGCGGATAGATTTGTTCGTCCTCAAACACTCCTCTGATGGGAGACATGAAGCGTGGTATGGTATCAAGGGGCGTTTTCGAGGCAGGAATGTAATGGAAGCGTTTGATGGTTGTTGTGACTCATGAGAATTGAGAAACCCGCAACTCAAGTCCAGAAGAGGCCCGAGAAGAATCCCTGCATCAATTAGCAAACGCAGCGTCTCGTTCGATCGCTCAATGATGATACACGTTCATAAACAAATGTTGACATCCCGATGCAAATATCCAGGTCATGGTCGGCGGCATTCTATTCGTACATCTATCACACAATGCAATATCCCCTCGACTTTCCCCTTGTCTATTCCCAAAAGCAGACCAGCGACTTGGCCAAGCGCCCTCCCAGCATACCATGCTACCCCCATACCGTAAAGACAAGATTTGCGCATCTGTCCAGAAAAGGATCCAAAATAGAACTGGGTATCAAACAACATATTCGAAATGAAGAGTTTGAGCACATGACCCGTGCCCACGCCTCTTGGATCCTAACGAATCCAGGAGTGCAAGAATTACTTTCCACGTAGCGCTCTAAAGTTCCCATCAACGTGCGCCTTGCTCCCCATTGATGCAATTACATCGGCAATGTTGCATACCGAGCTGAGCCTAATTATCCGGTAAGCATACGTTCGGTGGTGTCTAAGAAACCCCCCCGCACGGTGCGGAACGGCCCGCCAACGTGAATCAACGCCATCCAAGGCCAACTAGAGACTCGGCACGTCAACAGCGTGCGACTTTAGATCCTATTCAACGTAGACAGAATTGCCGAGGAAGAAGTGAAGACCTTCTGGGACAAGTCGTGGCGTCTGGTTCGATACCAACATGGGCTGGGATGAGTGATGAGCAGAATTTGATGGCCAGCGATAACGACCACGAAACCTGAACGGTACAAGGCCGCACATGATTGACAGACTAGTAGTCCTGACGAGTTCATATCGGGTTCTCCATCCCAGGAGGCAGGATTGCCGCTGGCGGCGTAGCTACCAGCGGCGTCGGTCTGGGAACCGGAGTAGCATTTGAGCCCTGGTCTTTGCTGCGTAGTGTGTTGCTGGAGCCAAGGCCGCGTCTCATCATCTTGCCGAGAACTGTGACTAATTCGCAAGCATCCTGGAACATGTCGTCGTCCATGCCTTCGGTGGCATCGTATACTTCGGAAATCGTGTCTTTTGCGAGTTTGCGGCTGGCATCGGCATCGTGGGCACATTCGTACAGGAAGGCGGCGTATTCGCACTTGACGGAGAGTCGGAGGGAATGTGAGCCCCATAGGAGGGTATCGGCAAGCTCGATGGCTTCGTGGAAGTGCTGTCTGGCCTGTGGGAGGTAGTCCTTGATGGGAAGGAGGAATGATGGCGACAGCGGCGTGTTGTGTGACTCGAAGCCAGGCGGGGGGAGGACAGGACCGCCCTCGAGAGGATGAGTTGGTTGGACGGACGAGGGCCTGGACTCGAGGTCCAAGTCGATGGCTCGGCCCTTTCCCTTGTCCATTCGCGGGGTCAAGACGGCCGTGACGTCGGGAGTCCATCGGCCCATGTTGGAGACGGTGGGCGTGTTATGGAAGAGGGCGAAGATGTGAGAGAACGAGGCACGTAGCTTGTAAGCGAGGACCTTGAGCTCGACATAGTTACCGACCATGGGCAGGACGTATTGCTCGAGCATCACCAGGCCCTCGCGAGAGAGCCAGATGATGTGCAAGACGCGACGCACAGCGTTTGGAGTGGGCTCATAATCGGGACGGCGCTGCTTCTTAGCAGCAACAAGCTGCTCGGCCAGGTTGAGGGACAGGCCGAGGATCTTGAAGAGCATGGACGACAACAGAGGGTTGTCATTCTCGACAGCCTTGGCCAGCTTGCCGAGAAACTTCTGGTCGACCTCGGAAGACGCCATGCGGCCCAGTGTAGACTACCTGTAGCGGGATGAAAGCTGAGATGAGTTAGTCGACGAAGAGGGTCCGCGACTAGGGTTCTGGCACAAGACTCGGGGTGGTGGCCGGGGGCTAGACGGGGAGCGGACAGCCTCGCATATGAATGAAAGCACGGGCGGCAGGCCTCGTGGGCGAGAGGAGAGCAAGTGACGAAATGGAAGCAGGGAAAGGAAGGAAAAACGGACGCGACAAGAAGAGGTTGGTGGACTAACGGGCAACGCAGCTCCACAGCTGCAGCGGAACGCGCAGCGGAGCGAAGCGCAATGCAGCTCAGTGCAGCAGCTCGCACAATGCAGCCCAACGCCGCAAGGCGGCCGAGGGAGAAGGTGCGTGAGGCGAGAGGCGAGAGGCAAAGTTGATGAGGATGCGCGACAGCTGGCGGGCTGTGATTGGGTCCGAGAGGTGTGGTGATGGTTGGCCAGAGGTAGAGGTGGAGGACGAGATTAGGGAGCGGAGCGTCAGCGACTGAACGAGCGAGTGGCAGGCGATGGCGAAGCAGCGCAGCAGCGAGGGGGACGATTCCAAGGCCAATTGGCCTGTTCCAAGATCAGCGGCGTTTGACGCAGCTCGAGACGTCAAGAGCAAAGTAGACAAGACGCGCAGTGGTGAGAGCGAAGGTAGAGCAAGTGGCGGATAGTGACGAGCGAAGGTCCGACGACGAACAACAAGACGCAGTGAGCGAACGCGGCGCGAGAACGGAGGCGCAAGCCAGGACAGAGCTGAGCGAGTGGTGTCTGTATGTACGAGCACGCAGGAATATCAAACGAGAGACTAGCAAGAGCGAGATACAGAGGCAGGCGGAGCCGGTGGCATGGCGAAGGCGGTGGGACGAGATCGCGGGATCTGGGGGAATGATCTTATACGCCCGGCGCGCGCGGAGTGGAAGTTGAGCGAGAGGTCTGGCGCTGGTGGAGAGGTCAGAGGTCGGTCGGTAGGTTGGAACGCGAGAGACTCAGAGACCCAGCGACCCAGCGACCCAGCGACCCGCGGTGCGGTGCGGGTGCCAACGAATGGACAGGGCAGGCGGTGAGCGAAGCGGAGCCCTTCCGAGAGGCTTGGGAAGACTTGTCAGTGGACTGGTCTGGTGGGTGGTCGCTGGGCTCGAGGCTAGACAGGGCCAGCCAAGACGCCAGACAGGGCCTAAGGGGCGCCAGGGTGGGATCGGGTTGGTGTGGGATCGGGCTTTCTCAGAGTGGTCGTGGTGGCCTTTGCTTTTGGGCCTTGGGCTATTGCGTCGCCAAAGTTGGTGGTGGTTGGGGGCTGGTTCTGTCTGCCCATCCAAAGTTAGGTTAGCAAAGACTTGGTCGCGCGGTGGATCGGCGCGGGCACTACGTCGGTAGCTTGGGCCGGGGGGTGGTGCGAGAAGGGTGAAGGGTGAAGGGTGAAGGTAGTGACAGTTCAATAGTGAGTTGGAGCATGAATGGTCAAGGACAGAATGGGGGCAGAATGGCGATTCAGAGAGACGGGATGTGACTGTCTCTGATGTGGTGCAACGGGAAGAGACGCACCGCCAGAAGAACAACTGAGAGAACTGGCGTTGTGGCTGACTGACGAGACAAAAGCAGATTCCGCCGGACCGTTTGTTTACGTTCCTTGCTGCAAATCCGTTGTTGTTTTCAGTAAAATGGTAAGAGCAAGCAAGAAATCCAAAGGCCAATGATAAGGCCACCCAGAAAGACGGCCTGAACAGCGCACAACCCGGCCACGGCGTCGACCTCGACCGCGGGCACGACGCGGGCGCCGGGGTAACGTACCGAAAGCGGTGCGGCACAGGTACTTCGTACGGTAGGTACAGGTAATTACTCCGTACAACACGAACGAGCCGAGACGAGGCTGTAGGCGGGAACGATGAGGCTTTGCTCGATTTACGGTAATGAGGGTGGGAAAAAAAGAAAATCGAATGACAGGGGGGGTATCATCCTGGAGGCGAAAAATTCAAGCAAGAAGAAAAGAAAAAAGAAAAAGAAAAAAAGAAAAAAGAAAAAGAAAAGAAGAAAAAAGGGCGCCGCGCGCTCCTTCCCCAGAGGGTCCGCGACTTGACAGGGCGGGTTCCTGACGATCCCGCGATGACACCCAACTGCGGAAAGAAGGATCGTGAGATGATTGATGGGCGGATCTGCCTGTGTGCTGGTCCGTCCACCTTTTGGAGGATCAGTCCTTGTTGCTGTCATTTACCAGGTAGGCAGGTAGGTATCCTGGAGTTGCCGAGGCTGAACTCTTTTGTGCAGGGCATCAACTATCTCGACTTACACAAAAGGTGACCTACAGAGAACAAGAACACAGAGGGTCACCTCGTAACTCGTCAACACGGGATCTCGTCCGTCTCTCATTCCTAAATTATCCCTCCATCCTCCTCCTGCTTGTCATCATCCTTTATCCGATCCCCTGTAACCCTGTCAATCTGTGTAAAACCCTTGTACATGGGCACAAAACTACAGCGCCGCTGAGCGCATGTGTTATGTACGGCGCTGTATGTCAGCGGTGCGTGCGCATTTACAGGGATGTCGACCAAGCAACACCCCGCCCAATGCCGGGCTAACGTAGGTACGGATCACAAGGAGAGACATTGGCACAGAGGCCTGTCTTGTCTTGTCTTGCCCGAGACCGAGACCCAGTCTAGAACCCAGACCGAGACCAACAAGACTTGTTAATAAGCCAAGACCAATATTCAGGGACCGGGGGTGTTGGCATCAGCCGTCTGGCCTTGCGGTTGCGAAGCCAAAAGAAAAAGCCAAAAGAAAGCGCCGGAAGCCAACCCCGATAGCACAGTCATTGACCAGCTAAACCAACTACATTATTTGAGACTATTATAGTTCTGCTACTCTGGTCCAGTAATTATGGAATGTGGGAAATGCATGAATTGCATGAACTGATGCTCATGGCCATTGGCTTTTAACCCACAACATCCGGCTCAGCTCCAATACCACTTATTTGCTGAACTGCCACAAGCTCCGCCAAACCCACCCATCCCTCCCTCCCTCCTTCCCTCCCTCCCACGATGCATATTCTCCTGTATCATGCTCTCTTTGCTGACCACATGTCCCTGCTGACTACTTGATTCTCGCCCAGCTTGCCCAAAAAGACCCGCCGCCGCCGCTCCCCCCAAAAATTCAATTGGGAGCGGACCCACCAACTATCATCTGTCCCATCCTTACCCTGCACCTCCCAGCCTCCTCAATTCCTCAGCTCGGCCATATGTCCATCTCATCCACTCAACGGCCCTCCACCTGTCGTCACGGGTGGCCTCCCTCCATGCGGCCACCCTCCTTTTCCCTCTGCTACGTATACAGCACACTCAGTCCCGTGCTTGCATTGGCTCGGCCTAAGCAACTCCTGTCTAATACTCGAGCAGCGTATCGGAGAATGCCGTAGATGCCCCCCCCCAAGAGGCCCAAGCCAGCCAAACTTGCTTCGCTTCGTTGCCGACTCTTTCGTTCTTCACTTTCCTTTCTTAGGAGTATCGGACCCGAGCGGCCCGTCGAGGAGTAGCGGTGTGTTGCCTTGTTTTAAAGGTTGTCGTCATCAAACACGCCAACCGCCACAGTACAGAACTCCATCCATAACCTCGCCCAAATCGTCACTTGTACAGTGGTTCGCCGTCCTCGCATGAACGCTGGCCATGCAACCCGTTTACCATGCCCTCGAACAAGTAATCCCGGCGCGTATGCATCAAAACGAGCAATACATACACGCCGTTGTATTCGTGTAGAGGCATATCAGAACCTGGTAGCTTAGCAACCGTCTGCCCGTCCCAGACATTATTTAGACCTCTGTGTGGCTTGACGAATCCCAACATGCCCAATCCCCTCCCAGCTTAATGAGGAATGTCCAACCACCTTGCGGCCGAAGACACTTTGCCTCAAAGGGTGCCCATGACGAAACTACTCCGGACAACACACTAAAACCAACACACACTATCTAAATGCGGTCAATGGCCGCATCGCTGAAGCATATCACAGGGACACATGCAAGCAACAGAGACAGCTACCAAGTGACATGACCTCGCAGGCTGGCAAGCCGGCAAGATTCGCGAGGGACACAATTCTACCCTCTTCGCATCTCGCTATTCAATTCGATCCTCTATGGCAGCAAAACGCCGGCTGAGCCCATTTTGTGACGCCCCCATTGTCCTGTTCTCCGTTTCCGTTCCCTTGCTGGAATCAATCATCCAACAATCTTCAACCAACCGTACCGTGCGCCTCCTCTATTCCAACTCATGCCAGGGTATACCAAAGCCTGCAGAAATCAACCCAGGCCCAAAAGTATTTCTCTTTTTCTCGTATGTGGTTGGCCATTTAGCTCCACGCCCCTGGCCGCGGCATCACGCCCCCCTTTACGGCGCCTGCTGCCCACATTTAGATGCTCTCGATCAGTATCCCCGGCACCGACATCAAATCGTTCGTGTCCGCCCACCGTCATCAGCTTGACGACGTTTCCAAAACTGAATGCCACTGATCGCTGTCCCACCCTGATCATGGGGCCAAGCTCCGACACCATCAGGTGCCCCGACTTCTCGTCGTCTTGAAACAACTGTCGTGTTTCGTCTGTCCTCATCCGACTAAGTTGGGATACTGTCCACACCTCCCAACGCCCAAAGACGTCCCTGCTGGTTTCCTTGCGTGGTGACCGATGCCGTAATCCGTCTGCTCTGCGTCTGCTCTCAGCTGTGACACCTCGACGCTGCCACGACTTTTGCCGGACACCCACGACGCTGCCATCAGAGACGATGTCCCAGGTCCCAGGGTTCTCCACATGTCTCTTCGTCTCCTCAGCCGAGTCCCATGAGCACCAGCCTCTGCTGATGGGTACGGCAGAGCTATCAAAGCAAATAAAATCGCTGTCCTCCGGTGGAACATACGAATGTATAATACAGTCCCCAGTCTCAGCCTCGGTATAGCAGAGAGTGAGCCACGTTAGACCTCCACTTCCTGTCTGTGCTGACTGCCGTGAGGAATGTGCGCTCTGGAGAGAGCGCGGGCCCATGTTTTCCGTTTGAAACGTATGAATGAGGGTGTGGTCCTCCAGATTGACAAGGTGAACGCGATTCGCCCCGGCAATGAGAAACAACCCCAGTGATGGCAAGGGAACGACTTGATGTACCGCGTGACCGTCTAGCCCCTCAAGCTCCACGCCGCGCGACTTCCAAGACGACGGCTCTCGTATTGCTGCGTGAACGCACCCTCGTCGAGATGCCGTGACGACTGATACCTTGGCTGGGGATGACTGCCTGCCTACTGGGACGATATACATTAGTTTCTGACCTTGATAATTGCTGCAACAAAATGACATACCTTTTTCGACTAGAGGCTGGACGCACGTCAATGGACTCCGGCAGACACCAAAGTCCTCTCCCACCCCAAGGTCGGGTGCGAATTCTGTCAGTGTTCCATTCCGCCGTACTACCACTAGTCTGGGTATATCGTCATTCTGATTAGACGGTGTGAAGAAGAAGGCCTCTGGCTTCTGGCCGTAGAGGTCGACTGGCAACGTGGGTCCCCATCTCCGTTCTTTGAGGTTCCACAACACCACTTTGTACGACGACAAGATGGCAAGCCACTCTGAGTCGCCGTCCATTGCCATGGCCAAAACGGGGAAGGGTACTTCGTCATTCTTTTCCCCGTCTATAATCACGTAGTTTATGCCACCCGGTCGGACATCCCAAATGCAAATTAGGCGATCAAGCCCGACCGATGCGACATGGCCGTCAGGAGATGCGGCTAGCATGGCAATGTCGAGCACATGCCCTCCAGCGAAGGATTTGACCGATAGCAGAGGGTCGCTATCCAAGTGGTGATGCTTATCATCACCAGCGTCGTCTTCCCAGAGCAGGTAGTTGGTCAAGAGCCGGACGGCAGCAAGAACCACTATCACAATGACGAGAAAGCGGGTAAGCTGGTGATTGAAGAAGTCGTACGCAGCCGGCAGAAGGGTCGGTTCCTTGACATTAGGCATGCGATCAGAGTCCTTCATAACGAAGACCACGGGCTCATAGACACGTGCAACATAGCTATGTGCTGAAGGCTTGATGATGCTGATAATCTCGTGCGCGGTTTCGTGATCCTGTAGCCGCAGCCAAGATTTCGGGCTCCGGGCTTGATGTAATCCATCCAGAGACGAGTGATCAGACATAATGGCCTCACTATGCACAGTTTCTCGCAGTATCCGGCCGAGAAAATGGCAGATGGTCTCGTCTTCGAAAAAGTGCCATTGTGCGATCAGGACGAAGCCGAGCATGATGATGGTTCCTGCAATGCGGGTCGACATGGTGGCCTTGCCTCGGAGGACAAGGTCCAAAGCAGAGTGAGTCTTCGCCTCCGATGCGTTCCAGTTGTGTCTCATGGACGCTTTGGCGAGAGCATCGCTGAGCTCTGTCCGTCGCACATCAACGCTTAGAACCGACAAGAAGAAAGTCGAAAGGTAGAAGAGATCGAACACGATAGCGATGGCTGCAAAAGTGCAAAACTCCGACACGCCAGGCGAAACCCATCGGGATAGTACCGTCAAGATGATAACATTTTGCATGGAGCTGGCAATTGCAGTATACGCCGTATCGCCAAATGCGTGTCCTATCCGACTGCTCGTGCTATCCTCAGATGGCGTCAGAATGACAGAGTTTATCAGCCTGAATATGTTCTCTAAGCTCATGGCCAGCACTACTAGAGGGTAAGCTGCCCGAGGAATACGGGACAAGTCAGTCCTAAAGATGGCGCAGATGGTGAAGCTAGACATGAGGGAGAAAGCAATTTGGGTGATAACTGTGAGAATGAGGCCAAACTTGGACTTGAAGGCCCGAAGCTTGGACAGGCTCATAAAAAAGTACAAAGCAGTCAGTCCATAGGCGATGGTAAGGATGACAGAGTCTTGTCGAGAAATTGGCCGGAAGTGAAACTCATAAAGCTGGCTGGCTGAGGTTCGACCGTCTGGAGGATACACGTCCCACTTGTTGCCGATTTTTTCTGGAATCGTGGCCGCCTTTCTCTCCCACTGTCGACCAACGGGAGAATCTCGCAGGTACACGAGGGTAATGACGAGGGCGTCGGCGGCCATTAGACGGCGTTCTTCGAAGCGCTTGCCGCTGAAAACAATAGAGTGCCTGAGCGTTACGTTGACCGAGGTTGACTGGTTCTTTCTGTCGTTGACAGTTGTCAGGATATCGGGATCAGCTAAGATGCGTTCCTTGGAGCAGTCCCAATACTGGAGCGGCGAATGAAAGAACCAAGACTGGTTGGTCAAGCCATTGATGGCGTGGAAAGCATCGCGCTGTAGGGGAGAGAGATCAATGTCGTGGTCTTGCGGGAGAAGGCGGTCTTCGCGACGAGCACGACTGGGGTTGAAGCTTTCGGTGGAACCTAGGAGTTGATCCTGGAGGTCGAGGGCTGAAGAGAGGAGGGACTTGTCAAGGGCCTGCATGTAACTGGAATGAACCCAGATGGAGCGCATCATGACATCCGGGTGAATAGCAGCGCCATAGGGCAGCGGCTGGGCGACAGTCCATGCATGGTGGGGTAGATTTGAGGCGCCATTGATGAAGTCAGTGGTGAAGAGGAAAGGAATGGGGTAGATGAACATGGTGGCCACGGCCACGGAGACGAGCAGGGTAGTGACAACATGGCTGGCGGCATAGGAGCCATAGCGAGCGAGTCCATTGCGCAGAGGGTGAGATGGAGCAAGGACAGGTGCTTCCGTTGTTCTGGGAGCTGGAATGAGCTGAGAGCGAAAGACGGGGCGCAAGACACGGCACGGGTAGGGAACGGGGATTCCCCGGGAACGGGAGCAGGAAGGGGAAGACTGACCCTCGAAACGGGTACAACAGGTACCAGATCATGAGGACGGGAGGCAAGATCGATGCCGCTCACTCACGCATTCGTAGATATGTAAGAGGAAAATGGAGGTAGAGTTGAACCAGGAGCGGGAGCTGGAGCTTCGTGGTGCCGGTGGAGGAAGCTGGCGTGACATGGGCCGAGAGGTTGTGACGTGATATTTGGGATCTGGGATCTATCTGACGGTGGTGCGATGCGCGAACACGGGGGTGCCGCGACTAAAAGCGCACCTCAGTAGGACCTACTTCAGACTACCAAGGCTCAGGTGCAGCCGAGCGTAAGGCGAGGTATGGACTGGCCTGGGTCAGGTCACGAGACGAGGGCGATGGTGAGGCCGTGGGGACGGGAACGATGACATCAAAGATGGATTCGTCTAGCGCCGCGAATCAGTCCCACGCGGTGACGGCGACAAGGGAGGTGTTTCTGGTCCGGGTTGCTGCTGCTGCTGCTTGGTTATAACGACCAAGGCGATGGGGTGGGCGTTGATGGTGAGCGTTGAAGGTGTCGAAGATGTCGATGGTGACAGCTGGTTTGGGTTGAGGGTTGAGAGAAATGGCGATGACCACACAAGGCACGGGAAGTAGGAAAATGCCACCCGGTAGACATCAGACGCTATATGACCCCATCAGGCAAGATCGGCAGGCGGCGGATTGATTGAGATGAGAGTTAGTTAGTACTTCGTGGGGATAGCGGAAAAGAGCAAAGTGGGTGGGTGATGGATTAAGGATTGGGGATTGGGGAACGGGGAACGGGAGAATGGGAACAGGTCTGAGGAACGGCTCGAGCGCGGGAGGCAGGGAGGGAAGGTGCTTTAAGACATGGAAGAACCGGACAGGAAGAGGCAGGTAGGTCAAGCTGCCGCTAAGGGCTGTCCTGCCGTTTCCATTGACATCCAGCCGCCTCCTGGGCGCGCCAGCCCGTGTCTAGATATGTGTGCAGTTGACGCGTCCGAGCGACTATCGGGACTCTGGATTTGCTCGATTCGAGTGCCATCTATGGACGTCTGTCTCCCCGGCGTAGAACCCACAGAATCTATCAAGACGGGGGTTTGATCCGACGAATCCCAAATCGCCCGAAATGTGACATACTACCACATGAATCGGCTCTGCGGCGGGGGCAGCACGCACTGCAAAAGGATTTAATGCCCACGGACGGCATGGCCGCTTTTTCCGCTATGCCTGGCTGGGGCCACGACGATCCCTCCCTCATGCGCCCCACCGCAGGTACAGGGACGGTACCAGTGTGAGCCACTGGCAGCGCGGCATTGACTGAGGTATATCCCGCGTACTGGTGGAAAGTGCTGTTTGAGACGGACGGGAATGAGGCGCCTCACCGATCTCAAATCTCGATCTGTCTGTGCTCTGTCATAGTTAAGCTACCTAACTTGCCTACGCTGGCCGTGTAATTTTTCGTGCCCTAATGTCCGTTGATGGTGGCTCAAGGCTTGCAAAACGCTGAAAACCAGTACCTTACAATGTCCCGTATTTGGATAAAAACATTCACCAGGTTGCATCACTCCCTCACTTGGTCGGCACACAGATCCCAATACGGCCCTCGCAGCAATTAATTTCCACACACTTAACCGCAGTCGTCTTCCATCTGCCACCCATATCCCTGCTACCCGCCCAACCTGGAAAGTTGGGCAGAGGCCCTGTAATTCTAACGAACATTCGAATCGGACTACTGTCGTATGACTGTATGACATCCGGCAGGCGGCCAAGGCTCCGCAGGCTCCCGTGAAAATGCGATTGTATTTTGTGGGCTTCGTTGCAGCAGCCACAATCCTTCCTTCTTCCCAACGTCCGGCGTTGTGCACCGTAACTTACCGGCCGCTTTGACTTTGCCTAATTGATCACCGCCGAAACTCAAGATTGCCAGTGTCTATTAGCGCCTTCAACTCTACACCAGGACCAAAACACGCCGTAAACACACACACACACACGCCGCAAACTGAAGCAATGGCATCGGATTACACAAATGCAGCTCTTGACGATCTGCTATCCACCTTCAACGAGCTCAATAGCCACGTTGTTGAAGAACTCACTGATGAACCAAGTCCCCTCGAATTTATGCGCTTTGTCGCCCGCAACACCCCGTTTGTCGTACGAGGCGGCGCCTCCTCATGGAAGGCATGCCAAGAATGGAACTCGGCCTACCTGCTCTTGGCCCTAAAGGAACAATCCGTCAATGTTGCTGTTACCCCGTACGGGTGCGTAATTTGTCTATTTTAGTTCTTGCGCCACTCTGCTCTTGAGTCGTGTAAACCTGCTCCGAAAAACTAAACTCTGAACTCTGGCAGCAACGCTGACGCCCCCACGGTTCATCCCGGGCACGATTCTCTTGTCTTCGCCAAACCTCATTATGAGGACCAGCCGTTTGACGAATTCCTCGAGTATGTCGTTCGTCATGAAACAGACCCTGACTTCCCCCCCGACGCGGAGGTCAGATATGCACAGACTCGTAAGCCAACACCAGCCACCGTCTCCCTCATTAGGCCAAGTACAACAGGACTAAGACATCCTCTCTTCTCAGAGAATGATAACCTCCGCGACGAATACATCACCCTCTTCTCAGATGTACACAAAGACATCCCGTTTGCGCGGATAGCTCTTGACAAAACCCCCGATGCGGTCAATTTATGGATAGGCAACTCCAAATCCGTCACGGCTTTACACAAGGACAACTACGAGAATATATACGTCCAAGTTCTCGGTAGAAAGCATTTTGTCCTCTTCCCATCGTTGTGTCATCCCTTCGTCAACGAGCAACCCCTGCGACCTGCGACATATTCTCGTACCGAGCATGGCCTGACGCTCGAGATGGATGCGAATGAGGAAACTGTTCCATTTGCAACATGGGATCCCGATAGTCCGGACGAGAATGCCACTTCATTTTCCCACCTCGCCCAGCCTCTACGAGTCACTTTGAATCCCGGGGATATGCTCTATCTGCCCGCCATGTGGTAAATCGCTCTCCCCACTTGTCCCAAACCAAGCACTCACTCCTCGTCTTTCAGGTACCACAAAGTATCACAATCATGCGCGGAAGAAGACGAGGGTTTTGTACTGGCCGTTAACTACTGGTAATACTCATGCTCTCATATGACCCGTCGGTGGTCATCTCCGCTGTATCGTATTTCTAATTTCACCCAGGTATGACATGGAGTTTAGTAGTCCGCTCTTCCCACTATCCGCCTTCGTTAGAAATATCAGCTTGGGGAATAGCATAAAGGCGACGACGCAGCCATCCGATGCAAATTGAAACGGAAGCAAAATAATTCCACATTAAGTCTATGCCGCTACATCCAAGCCTCCTCACCTCTTCTTCTTTTGAGCTATCCTCTTTTGCGCCCTCAATTCCTTCTTCATCCTAGGATCCACAATCCTGTACCGACCCTTAACACCCTTCGGTCGGCCCTTGATACCGCGGTTGATACCCTTGGCAACAACCAACTTGGCCGGCGTCGGGGCCTTCTTCCGGGAGGCCTTGCTAATTAGTCTGGAAATACTGTCGGCCTTCTCCTTCTCAGTCATGCCTTCGTCGGCGGCAAGCATATCGGACTTCTTCTTAAGCTTCTCCAGTCGTTGGGCAGCCTTGAACTTCTTACGAGCCTTTGCCTCTCGTACCTTCTTGATAGGTCGAGCATTCAAGGCACGCGTCTTCTCCTTGATCGCTTGAGCTGCAGCCTTGGTGATGGGCTTCTGTTGTTTGTCGTGCTTTCCTTCATCGTCCAAGAACCATTCGGGTAGGCCGTCGCGGTCTCGGAAAGCATGCTTGTTGAATCCGTCATCGATGACATCGTGACTTGTCTTCTGTCCTGTGGCAAGCTGGTGTGCCATTGTCATTGCCTCGGCAGTGATGATGTCAATGTCTGGATAATAGTTAGTATCCACGGTTAGGTTCTCAGTAGTGAGGAGTGAAGGGAGGGCTTACCAGGCCTTCCATTGGACATCCGCTTCTCATGCTGCTCCCAGTCATCCTCATCCACGTCCCGCTTGACAACCTCAAACCCATCTTGGTCGTCTCCCATTTCAGAATCCGAATCATCAAATGCCGATTTATGCGAAGGAGCAACCTGAACGTCACGGTTCTTCGACTGCTGCGCGAAAGCGGCATCCGCCTCTTGATTGATGGCTTCATCGGCACTGTCTTCGGCAGGGGAATCCTCTGCCTCGGGTACGAGACCAGTTATCCCCTGGAAGATATCCTGGTTGAAGAAGTTCGTTGCCCTTTTGGACAAACCACCTGCTCCTTTGGACGAGTCCAAATCAGTGATCAGGCCTTTCCTCAAGGAGGGCTCGTCGTCATCGTCAGAATCGGAGGAGCCCTCTTCTTCGTCAAGCTCAGAGGAATCGTCATGCTGATCAGCCTCATCGGCAGACAGTCCTTCCCATTCATCATCGCCATGCTCTGCACGAGCCTTCTTCGCACGATACTTGGCATCAGACTCGGCCTTGCGCTCCCTGTACGAGTCGTACATGGAATCTAACTCTCGGTCAAGACGATCCTCCTCGGGGTCGCTCTCCTCATCAGTCTCTCCAGATGACCCAAGACCGCTGTCCTTGTCTTTCTTCTGTGCCGACTGAGAGATGATCGCCATTCTGCCCTTGTTCATTCTGCGCATAGCGTCCGTCTTGTCGACCTTCTTGAGGGAAAACATGGCTCCCTCGCCGACCGGACCAGCTTCTTCCATGCCGATATCCATGGGAGCCGTCATGTTCAGCTGCATCCGAACGATTTCTCGCTGCTTTCGCTCGTTCTCCTTGCGCCTTTCCCTTTTCTTCTTGGAACTCTCCTTGTCCTTCATGGCCTGTAGATCCTCCTGGATCTGCAACTCCTCGTCCATAGGCTCGACTTCTGCCACCTCCTCGGGTTCGTCCGTTGCCGCCGTGTCCTTGGAGGCAAAGCCGAAAATCTCTCGAACCTTTAGTCGCCACTTGAGGAGATGCTTGAAGTCTTTTCGACCGAGAACTCGAAGATCGGCACAGCAGTCACGAATCTCGATGGTGGTTTCGGGCAACCTATCTAGCGCAGCCAAGGCGACATCTCCATTTTGGGCCTGCTCAAAGCTGAGCTTGTTGTAGCTACCAAGGATCGCGATGGGATCCGTGCTCTGGATGAATTCGCTGGCAGGCATTTCCTTGAATTGAGTGTAGTCTCCTTCGTCGTAACCATCACGCTTTCGCTTCTTGACTTCCGGATTGTAGACCTTGGCCTCGTTGTTCGGGGTCGCACCGGAAAGTTCTGCGAAGACTGATCGGGGGTCGAGGAATCGAGGGTCCATCTTCTTTGGGGCTTTGTAACCTCTGCAAACGACGAAAATTTCGGCCGACACGTTTCTCGACGAAGGAGGCTTCGTCGCTTCGACCTTGGTGAAAAGCTGGTTCAAAACCCACAGCAAGGGGTTGTAGTCCTTGGATCTGAAGACCTTGGTCACGAATGTACCACCCTCGACGAGGAACTCGGTTGCCAGCTTCATGGACTGCAGGGCAAGCTCGGCCTGGTTGAAGGAATCTTGAGCCCAAGCGGTACCGACGTTCGGGGCACCGTCGTGTAGAACGGTATCCGCCTTCCATGTCTTCAAATGTTGTCGGATGGTGGCGCGACACTTCTCGGTGGTGATGTCGCTCTGGAAAGTGATGACTCGAGGAATAGGCTTGATGGGGGCCAAATCGACACCGACAATGAGACTGTTCACTGGCATGACCTCGGCAGCAACCTGGCACCATGACTGCAAAAATTATTAGCTTAAGTCGACATCATCCTGGGGGGATTTACTTACACCAGGCGCAGCGCAAAGATCCAGCAGGACCTTGCTCTTCTCCAAAAAGCCATACTTCTTGTTCAATTGGATCAGCTTAAAAGCGGCTCGGGCACGATAACCCTTCTCCTTGGCAAGCTTGTACCACTTGTCCAGGCGGCCTTTGCCGTGCTTCTTCTGGATCGCCATGGTTGTGGCGTTGAGAAGGCAAACCGGGAAATGTGAAGTCGGACGGCGGCTGGTATACCGACTGGCGTCCAAAAGTTCAGAAAAGGCCCCGCGAAACCAGAAATTTTGCGACTGAAGCACGCTGATAAGGCCTGTCACGTGGAGATAACCAACGGGAGTTTTTTTGGGATGTGGTCGGTGACGGGTAGGCTTACCTAATTCTGAGCCTAGGCTCATTGGGAGGGACGCATTGCATTGGCAAGTTGTGGCAGGCGCATGACAGTTGGACCTGCCGTGCGGGACCAACATTTAATACCTTAGATAATCCTGGATGCATGACACCAGCATCTCCCAGAATCTGAGGCCACTTCGAATCGCACCTTAGATCTTGGATGCTTCACCAACGCGAACCCATTGTCTCCATCGCCCGGGCGTGTTTGACGGCCCCCAGACCTTGAACATCGACAGTCAACTCCTCGAACCCCCGACCGCCCTTCTTTCGACATGAGTGGACGAGTCCTCGCCGCTGGGCTTCGGCCTCTAACTCGGCGCTCCACCGTCCATCCCGTTCGACACCTCCATCGCCATCCCACAGGCGGACTCCTGCAAGCCGATGCTGCGATCCGCGCAACGCGGAAGCGTATGTGGTATGGCGGCAACTCCTTCCACAATGCCGTCACTGCGCGGAATGCCTCATTCGCCCGCTTCTTGCCCAAGTTGATGGTCAAGTTCATCCGAGTGCCCGCCATGTTTGGTGGCCTCGCAGTCGGTGCCTTTGCCTGGGTGCAATACCAAGCTGCTCGTATGTTTGGACTGTCTATGTTTAATCTTCTACCAATTCGACTGCTAACTCGGTCCTGCAGAGGCCGGAACTTTTGCCATCAATATCTTCAACACCACCAAGGATACCGTTTCCAATACTGCCTCAACGCTATTCGGAGGGGCTAAGGATATAGCCGAGCAGACGAGGCGAGGTTGGGAAAACACCAAGGAGCAGATCGAAGTTCCCGAGTGGTTGCAAAATGTTCTCCGATCTAAAGAAGGCGTTGCAACCGGTGGGTCCGGAGGCCCAGGCGGTGACGGTGATCCGAAGCAGAGTAACAGCGGTGCTGCCGCTCTTGCGGGTGCTTCAGCTGCGGCTTACGGATACGATAAATCTACCGAAGAGGACTCCCGAGGTGGCGACGAGATTGCTAGGGACGATCAGATGATGATTCTGACCAAGAAGATGATTGAGATTCGCAGCATCCTGCAGAGAGTCGGCCAATCCAGCACCTTGACTTTGCCGTCAATTGTTGTTATCGGTTCTCAGTCTTCTGGCAAGAGCTCCGTCCTGGAGGCCATCGTTGGCCATGAGTTTCTCCCTAAGGGTTCTAACATGGTCACGCGTAGACCTATCGAATTGACCCTCGTCAATACTCCATCATCCAAAGAGGAATACGGCGAGTTCCCCGACCTCGGTCTCAGGCGAATCTCGGACTTCACTTCTATCCAGAGGACGCTTACCGAGCTGAATATGGCTGTGTCAGACGCGGAGTGCGTCTCGGACGACCCAATTCACCTCACCGTCTACTCTCCCAACGTACCCGATCTGTCTCTCATCGATCTCCCGGGGTACATCCAAGTCGTCGGGGCAAACCAGCCTCTTCAACTGAAGCAAAAAATCACCGAGCTATGCGACAAGTATATCCAAGCCCCGAATGTCATCCTTGCCATCTCGGCAGCTGACGTCGATTTGGCTAACTCCACGGCTCTCCGGGCCTCACGAAGAGTCGATCCTCGTGGCGAGCGAACCATCGGAGTTATAACCAAGATGGACCTTGTTGATCCCGTGCGCGGTGCAAGTATCCTGAACGATCAGCAATATCCTCTGAGGCTAGGCTACGTCGGTGTTGTTTCGAGGGCTCCGCAATCTCAGGGCCTGTTCAAGATGGGCCCAACCAACCTACTATCGGCCATTGCCAAACAGGAAAACGCCTTTTTCTCGTCCCACCCTTTAGAGTACGGCACCGACGCCGGAGTTAACGTGGGAACGACGACGCTGCGCAAGAAGCTCATGCACGTCTTGGAACAGACCATGTCATCTAGCCTCTCAAGCACCAGCGACGCTATTCGACAGGAGCTGGAAGAGGCCACCTACGAGTTCAAGGTACAGTATAATGACCGTCCGCTCTCGGCCGAGTCGTACCTCGCTGAAAGCCTGGATGCTTTCAAGCACTCGTTCAAGCAATTTGCGGAGGAGTTCGGTCGACCGCAGATGCATGAGCTTCTGAAGAATGAGCTGGACCAGAAGGTTCTCGACTTGCTCGCAGCTAGGTACTGGAATAAGCCCATTGGCGACCTGGGGGTGGCAAAGCCAGACCTTGACAGCCTCGCGGATCTACCCAAGGCAGAACCCGATTCGCTCTACTGGCATCGACAGCTGGATGCCTCTACATCGGCTTTGACGAAGCTAGGAGTAGGTCGTCTAGCAACCACGGCTGTTGCCTCTTCGATCCAGGCACATATCGATTCCCTCATCACTAACTCGACTTTTTCAACCCATCCCTTTGCTCGACAAGCCATTATGGAAGCTGCCTCCACCATTTTGAATGAGAGGTTCTACAGCACTAGCGACCAGGTGGAAAACTGCATCAAGCCGTACAAGTTTGAGATTGACATTGAGGAACGGGAATGGACCCAGGGCCGTGAGCATGTGGGCGGTGTTCTCAAGAAAGAGCTGCAGGATTGCGAGTCTGCTCTCAAGAGCCTCGAGAGCAAGGTTGGCGGTCGACGAAAGTTGAAGGAGGTCATGACTTTTGTGGATAAGGCACGTAAGGGTGACATCATTGTCGAAGGTGATGGTGGAAGCGGCGCTGGTGGTTTCAGTGCGGCTCTCCTCGGCAAAGGTAAATAACAACTTCAACCTCACCGATGACAGACGCAGAGCTAACGAGTGATTTAGGACGAGAGGCTGTTTTCCTCCGCGACAGGGCCGACATCATCAAGATGCGACTGCTAGCGGTCAAGTCTAAGCAGTGCGTGAACCCGAAGAACAAATATTACTGCCCCGAGGTATTCCTAGACGCCGCAGCAACGAAGCTGGCGTCAACCGCCGTCCTCTTCCTCAACGTGGAGCTGCTCTCCGAGTTCTACTACAACTTTCCTCGGGAGCTGGATCTCCGTCTCGGCCGACACCTTTCCGAGGAAGAGATTGAGAAATTTGCTAAAGAAGACCCCAAGATCCGCCGACACCTCGAAGTCATCCGGCGAAAGGAGCTGCTCGAGTTGGTTCTCGGCAAGATGGAGAGCTTGCGCCAACTTGAGGGCCTTGAGCGGGATCGACAGTCGGCTGATTCGAGGAGAGATGCCGGAAAGAAACGTGGTCGATGGGGCCTATTCTGAGGTAGTCCAACCTGCGCCGGTCGCCACGAGATATGATGCATAGGGAGTTACGGGAGTAGTTTCTCTTGGGATTAGATTTGATAGGGGGCCGTTTCCCTCCTGATGGGCGCTGGGGATCGTCCTTTTCTCCCCTTTTGTCTTCGGCCTGTGCCCTTGCTCTCGAGACGTACCTCAAGTACAATGGGAACCAGCGTGCCGCGCTAGTTGGTGGTAGATGTTTTTCGTGCATGTAAGGATACCCTCCTCAACTCACTGTCCATAATTGGATTCATGCTGGATCTGGTTGTGTATTTTCGCGCAAAGCAGATACTTGAATCGATATTTGAATTCATACATACACATACATCCTTATGTGGACATGGTTTTAAAACTAAAACAAAACGGAAACCCTATGACCCGATATCTCACTGTAGTGCAGCACTGTATTTTATTAACAAGAATAACTTCCCTCTGTTCATCAGGCACTCCCATCCGTGCTCATCTGCAATGTGACTTCCCACCGAGTGTTTCCACCGTGGCCGTAGCCCCCGCCTAGACGGTTCTGAATCAAAGCCGTGACGCGGCCACGCAACTTGCTGAGAGACATCTCATCGTAACCCTTGATAACGCTGAGTTTGAGGTTGGCCATGCAGAGGCCATAGTGGACCTGCCAGAACTGGGCGTCGTCAATGGAGACGATGCTGGGCTCGGTCTCGATTTCGCGCAGAACGGCGGAGACGCCGGAGTTGCCATCACTGCCGCCGTATGACATGAGGAGCATGAGGCCCTGGGCGACTGCGAGGCGCATGCCGAGGCTGAACATGGCGAAGGCGATGATGGCGCAAATGAGGCGGTCGAGCCAAGTATAGAGGGAGATAGAGAGCATGGGCAGCAGGGCGATGAGGGCGGAGAAGGAGAGGGTGAGGAAGTGGAAGGGGTTCGAGAGAACGCTGGGTAGGGAGGCAAGGTACGAGACCTTCATCAGCCTGGCGATACGAGCATGATTGCGGAGTCCATATGCCGAGACGAGGGTGCTGATGATGGCGACGCCACAGACAAGGTCAATGGAGGTGTCAGGTCCGTCAGCGTGGCCATGATGAGCTTCATGGTTGCCAAGCGACTCGAGGAAATGCTTGAGAGTGTGGGAGACAAGGTCGAAGCCGCCAAAGAGGAGGAAGATGGACATGGCAAAGCCAGCCAGGACCTCGGCCCTCTCAAGGCCAAACGGATGGCGGATGCTGCTGCGGCGCCACACCTCAAAGTTGCCGAGGACATCAACGACGACACACACGGCAGCACTGCCGGCGTCGAAGAAGATGAGGTGCGACAGCGCCGTGGTGGCAAGGGAGCCCTCGGAGCGGAAGAAGACGTATGTCGCGACGGCGAGGTGGCAGATGCTCCAGTAAAAATGAATGCGCTGGTCCTTGGTCATGCTCTTCCAGGCATCGGTAACGGTGGGGATGGGGAGAGAGGCGGGCAGCACGGGCGGCGGTCTCGGAGGTGGTTCTTGGAAGATCTGATGCTGGCTGGAGATGCTACTGTGCTTGTATCTGTGGCCGCGACGCTGGCCGATGTTCTGATCGAGCAGATATGTTAGCAAGAGCAGCGCTAGAGGTGACGATATGGAGGGGACAGCGAGCGCAACGTACCGACTTGACGGGGCCCGTCGATATGACCTGGGTCTTGAAGTTGAAGGGGTTCGGGGCTGAGGCCGAGGTCGCGGGGCTTGAGCCGGCAACATCGCCGGTGTCAGAGCCGTCGGCTCCCATTGCGAAAGTAGGTACGGCGGTGGGCGAGGGAGGACAGAGGAGGTTGGACGTGGATGAATTGCGTAGGGCCTTGCTGGAGTCGCGATTCAGCTGTCGCTGGATGGCGAGGGCGTCGGGTTCGGGCTCGACGTCAATGTCAATGTTTATCGGCTCGGGGTCGTTGAGGTAGCGGCCACGGCGGTCGTCGTGATTGCGATTGTACTCGTGATTGTGGTCGTGGCCGTGATCTTCGTCGTGGTCCTGATCCTGATCGTATACGTCGACCACAAGTCGCGGCGGGGTGGAGATCGGGATCTGGACCTGCCGACGACTAGGACGGCCTGGATGGCCAGACTCCATGGGCAGTTGCCGTAAAGGGGAAGCGCCGTGCTATCCCTGAACAGATAGGCCGGACGAGGCTAAGAGGATTTGCGGGTGGGCATTGACTTGCAACTGTCTTACGTTGCGGGCGACGGCCAAGTCGAGCAGACTGGAGGTTTGTTTGGGCGCCGGTTTCGCAACGTGAGGGGCGGAGATGTCGACGAAGACGGAAGATGCGGCGTTGACGTCGTGCGTGTCGACAGGGCCGCCGCGACACGAGGCCTGGGCCATGGAGGTTTGATTTAGGGTGCTTAGGTCGCTAAGCCCCTAGCTTTAGAGTTGTGGCGGGCTTACAGCGCCCAAAGCTGACGGTGGCAGGGCCTACAGGAGACGCGGGCAACTGCACAGGCCGCCAAACCACTCAAGCTGAGTGCATTCCAGCGCCTGGACCCCTGGACGCCGACCTGGACATGTCCCTGGTCTCCCCAATTAGCGCCCGGACCCCAGGCCCCGTGGGCAGTTGTCCGCTGGGGCACGCTCTGGTCTGGTGGCGTTGCGGGCCACATCAGCCTCATTCAATTTGACAGCTCGGGGTGACGAAGACACCCATGCCACGTCAACCATCCCGTTTGTCGATGGACGCCAGGAATTAATTAACATCATTCAACTTACCTGTCAGCCGTCACCCATTAGCCACTCAACTCTCGGCGCTCACAGACAATTTCTAAATATCAAACACGATTCATGCGCCAGCAACCGTGCTCCCGGCCATCATGGTAGATCGCGGCCCTCGTTCGCTGCATTCATTGATCTCGTTCCTCTGAATCCTCCCACACGAGCCTCCTTGCGCCGACGTCCACGGCTGTCCGCGGAGCTCCGCCGTCTGCGAGCACGAGCATGGAGGGCACCGACCGAGCCCAACGCGATGGCTCCCCGACCTCTCCTACTCCGTCTTCCTCACACCGAAGAACGCCGTCTGGTTTCAGTCTCCTGTCTCGCTTCCCGTTCATGAGGCCTTCGCAAGACTCCAAACCCCGTGCCGACCGCGACGATCACCACCCCACACCGACCGCCTCCCGGTCGACCCCCCGTGCATCTTCCACCATCATCCAGCAGCAGCAAAAGACCCGCCGCCGCAGAGGATCCCTTAGGAAGGTAGCGCTGCTCGGACGCGGAGCGCAACGCGACAAGAAGGATAGCAAACCCCTGACCATTGACACCTCGCATGCTGCCGCCTTTGGTCTCGATCCAACATCCACCGAGACCCAAAGCCCAGAGCAACTCGAGACTCTGACCTATAATACCCCCCTGGAACTCACGCTGCTTTCTTCGACTGGCACCATCCCTCGAACAAGCGGCGTCGTCAAGCCCCCTTCCGCGCCGATCTTGCCAACCAACGGCGGCGACTCATCACATCCAGACCAAGACACCCACGGCTCATACACATCTACAGACGAGGAAGACATGCTCCAGATACCCCGGGGCTCAGCGGTCCTACGACAGGGCTTGGCCATGTCTCCCGGGCCAGACTCGTACTTCGGAACACTGGGCTCGGACACGACGCAGAGGCGAAGGTCCATCCACCGGGCGAAATCGCCCCTATCTTACGGCGGACTCTCAACCACAAACACGATGCCGACGCGCGAGGCTGAATGGGACTACTCAGACACAGAGTGGTGGGGATGGGTGGTGCTAATCGTGACATGGTTTGTCTTCGTCATTGGGATGGGCTCTTGCTTTGACATCTGGAGCTGGGCGTGGGACGTCGGCAAGACGCCATACGCGCCGCCAGAGCTGGAAGACGACCCTACATTGCCCATCGTGGGATACTACCCGGCACTAATCATCCTGACGGGTATCATGGCCTGGGTCTGGGTATTGACAGCATGGGTTGGGATGAAATACTTTCGGCATGCCAAGATCAGCGGCGACTGAGAGATACAGACTGAGAGGTACAAGGCAGTGGTCCCGAATTCAGAGCAAGTCAACGATCCTTCCACTGCAGCAACCACCTGTCCGCTCCTGTCTCCTACTGTCAGCCAGCCCCTGGATCACTGCATACCGGAACCTCTGAGCAGGCTCTCCGCAATACGCCATTGGACCCAGCACAGACTTATAATGCAAGCTCCCGGCGAAATCCCACAGCGCAGCTTTAGCCAACGCGCAACTTGTCCAATTGCGGGCGGCATGGCGCATGGCGCAGGATACATGGGACAAAGTCATGAAGAACGAAGCGAGCGGCATCTGCGTCTACTCAATTGGTGTTAGTTGGTGGCTTCTGGTTGGAGGCAATGGCTAAGCGCCGCTGTTTCAAGGGAGGGCGGCGGCAATGCGTCCAAAACGCCCAATCAAGCCCTGTGCACGCCGACCAAGGAAGTCCAGTCCCGCCCAACAGGGAGCGGCAGCCCTTTCGCAGCTGGGATTGACAATAATAGCCTTGACCCTGACTCCAACGCCCACGGCGAGAGAGTCTAGCGCCAGATGACTCGAATACAACCGACGCGGTGTGGCCGATTATGGGGAGTCCAGTATCGCTGGTCTCGCCTCTGGTCTACGCTGCCGTCAAAAGGTTCCTTCGTATCTCCAGATCATCTAGAGTGGAGCTACCTAGGTGGATGCGAATGTGTGTCGGCCATTCCCGACGCTACGTCACAGGTCCCTGCCTCAGCCTAGACGTCGGCATGTCTCCGTCTCTGTTTTGTGGGTGGCGAGATGGACAGCGAAGGATGCCAGGAGAAGAGAGGCTGCGGAATCATCATTATCGTCATCGTCATCATCGTTGTCAGCATTTTCGTCATCGGTGCATTGTAAAAATGCTTAGAGAAATAGTCGAGGGAAAATACGAGATTTTGACTGTCGAACTGTACAGTGGGATTGGTCATAGTTCATCATTATTCAGCAACCAGCCCTACTACCTCTACACTAGATATTGCGGAGGTGGGCGCGGGTGCCGCCAGTTCAGCCGCATGAGCACGATCCATCTGTCCACCGATTCGTCCTATCATGAGTCAGTCCTTACTCGCTGATAAGTGCTGATCGAGCTGACAAGTTTCCTTGGCATCTTGGCGGCTGAGTTGTATTGTGTTTGTGTTGTATATGGTGCCGTGTCGTGTCGTGCGCGTTGTGTCGTGTCATGTCTCGCGCAAGCCCGGCTTGATTCATGCGCTGCGTTTGAGGTTATGCGTAATGCATCTGCTGACATTGTTGAGCAGTGGCTTGGGGCGTTCACTAAAACTGAAACCGAACCAGCAAACAGCCAGCCGCATTCTTCATCGCTATTTATGACTGCATGTCTCTCTCTTCATCTCTGTCGTGGGTAATTCTTGAACCGCTTGTGGTATAATGCAGCCACAGGGGACGCTTGGCGGGAGGAGCGAGACATGGGCTGCATCAATGCGTCTGAACTCGACAGAGAGCCAACAGCTTCGGTTTGGTTTGGAAACCGTTCTCGAGGCCCACCAATCCTCTTCCTTTCAGACAGATGCCGACGTTTTGTCGGGCTTGACATATTACATCATCCTCGTTGCGCGTCTTTCGTGACTAGTTTCAGCCAGGATCGAGGCAAACTCGAGAGCAGTGCCGCCGGTGTCTGGACGTGGGCAACGTGAGCAACTTACTTTACCGCGAGCACCTCAAGACCTCGAATTCGCCGCCCCCGCACAGGTGATGATAAAGCACACTGTGCACGATGTGCATTTGGCCACCCTCAACTCAGGAATTCTTCGCCATGAGAGGTCGAGCCGCCGCTCAATTCAGTGGATTCCAGGCGGAGAGTCCAGTGGAGATGCTGATCGGGCACAGTGCAATGCGCAGGCGGGGAATGATGGCATCCACCCGATGCACCCTTACGGACCCAAGAGATGGAGCGCGCTTACCTTGAGGAAAATCGAGACCCGACTTTTTCAGGCAGGTAGGCACACCACGCAGCTACTCTTTCGGTCGGTCTATTTCTCTACGTCCGTCCCTGCCCCGGGTTCTCGGCCGGGAGAGAGTAGACGTCGGAGGGCCCTTGCACGATCCCGTCAGCCCATGCCCAAGCCAGGACTCTAAGAGGAATGGCTTTCCATAACCCCATGTGCACCCTTGTGGTGACTGGACTGGTGAGCTGACTGTTCGATGAGGCGAAATGTATGGCTGGGCTGGTCGGTGAGAAAGTTGGTTCTGTGTGGTTGGGTGTCGTGCCCCCTGTGATGTCGGATCGTCTCTGGAGCTCCTTCGCACTTGAATCCCGACCTCCGCAGCCGAAACGGTACCTTTAGTAATTGCCCGTGTTCTTCCCCAGATTATGCCTCAGTCTGCCAGTTTTCTGCCCCTATTTGCTTGTTCTTATTTGCTCTGTGGGAATCTCATATAAAAAAGGATAACAGTTCAACTGATCTCTGCCTGCCTTTCCTCCCAAGTTTGGATTCTCAGACCCAGCCTCTCTGCGTCAGACGGCGAGTGGGTGATGAGCAAGTGGGCTGGCTGGAATCACCTGAAGACGGACGGGTAAAAGAAGGTACTTGGGGTCCCGACCGTGGGTACCGACCTCCCGCAAAGGTACCTGCCTCCAGTTTTCCAGGTCTCTGTAGGGTCCTCTAATCTGATTGCCCATTGCCCACTGTCCACTGCCCATCGCCTATTACCCATTACAAACCAGCGGCCCCAGCGTGCCGGTCCTTGCACCCACGGACCTTGGCGGCCCAGCCAGCTTTGGACTGTGCCTGAAACACTTGCTACTGGTACCTGCCTGTAGAGAGCGGTACCGGTTGTCCGCCCAAGAGGTACCAGCCCTGCCAGGGACTCGACCCTGCTGGACTCGTTGCTGTGCAGAGCGCTGCAACCACCATCAACCCACTGGCAGACAGCGAGCACCACCTAACTTACAGGCGAGCTGCCAAATTTATCGATCTAATCTCTTGACGAGTCGCTCCGACTTTTTTTTCCTTCGGCGCAACCCATCCATCCGGCGAGGGCAAGAAAATTGCAAGGAAAAGAAGAAAAACTCGGACAAGGATTCAACAAGGCCTTTGTGTTTCCCTCTCGTTGTTCTGGGCGTCTGCTCTTCTGTCACTCTTGCCCAAGAACGGGTGATTTCTTGCATCGAATCACTCGCCTACCTAATTACTATGTAATATTCCCGATACCATTCCTCGGGGCTCCAGCGGTCCCTCTTCTGTCTCTCCACTGCCGCCTTCGCCGCCGCCCACTACGGGGCACCCACGCACAGAACATTAGAACACTGGCGCCTCCGTCTTAGGTACCCCTAGCACGCGGCCTAGGTGCCTACTGACAGTGAGACTGCTGTCCACTTCCCGCCTAAAACCCCCTACACCTGTAGTGGCACCGGCGCCGCCCCTGCACCCGATTCGGCCTCCCTACCCACCCTGCCAAAACCAAACCCAACCCAAACCAGCCTCTTCAACTCCTCCTCCTCTCTAATCATCCGTCCGTCCACCCATCCCTCTATTCCATCACACCCACACCCTCCTCGCCCTCAACCGCCGTCCTCCGACTCGACTCGATTCGACTCAACCTCTACCGTCAACCGTCAACCGTCGACGTCCTCGCATCTCCTCATCTCCCATTCAACCATCGTTCCATCCTCGTCGCTCTCGACCCGAGTCTATCTCCCTTCGCATCGTCTCGACCCCATCACGGCCCGTTCAATTGCCCGACTCGCTTCCTCGTGGTCGATCCCCGTCGAGGGGCTGCCAGAGCCTTCTCCGATCTCTCGCCCATCGCCGTATTTCCCTCGCCACGTTCAACACTCGCCAGCAGAGCACGCCCGCCCTGCATCGTCGCGCGAGCCCTCGCTTCGCCGCTGTCCGCGTCGAAATTCCATAATTTCTCCCCCCTTCACCTCCCTCACTCTCCCTCGGCCGGTCATCGCCCCGTTCTGCAAAGATGAGGGAAGTCAACTTCAGTATCCCCAACGTCAATAAGGCGTCAGTCGGCATCACCACCGCCCTCTACGACCGACGTGCTCTAGACTGCACATCCACCCTCCCTCTCATCAACTCCCTCAACCATCTCGCCTACCTTACCACGTCGTCGGCTCGCATCCGCGATATTCTCACAGTCGATGGCGGCATCGAGCGTCTCGTCTGCATCCTCAAGCAGGGTCGCAGCAAGGACATGATGGGCATGTGGAAGTGGAATCTCGCTTTCCAGTGCGTTGTCAATATTGGCGTCCGAGGCACGGAAAATGTCCGCACCCGTGTCGTCGAGGCAGACATGGTCCCCGTCATCGCCACCATCTTGGACAATTACATCAAGGTCATCGACAAGTGCCGTGAAAAAGCCGAGGAGGCCAAGCAGAAGCAGATACATGACCATCACCATCGCCACCGCAGCCACGATCATCGATCAGGCTCCAAGTCATCATCCTCCTCCTCCGCCGCCGCCCCCTTCGGCCACCGCTCCACCACCCGCGTCGATGCCGCCGACCAGAGATCTCTTCGCCGTCACGGCCCTCCTCCCTCCATCGACGTCTCGGCCACCTACGCTGGTCCATCCACCGCCGCCACTCAACAGCAGCCCCTGGATGGCGCCCTCGCAACTCCCCAGTATCCCTTGGCCACCCCGGACCGCCCTGGTTCCTTCACCCCGACCCGTCATCAGAGCCTGAGGTCCGCCGAAGGCCGTCACGCCACGACCTCGACACCCCGTCAGACCATGCAACCCCTTGCAACAGCCGTCCCAGTAACGGAGACGGTTGAGGGCTTTGTGAGACCCGTTCGTGATATCGACCGCCTCGCCTCCATGGCTCCATTCGGGCCCAGTGACTTGGCCTCGCAGCCTACATCCCCCACGACGCCTCTCCCGCCCCCTCAGATGCGGTCTCCCACCGTCCGCCCAGCTTCGGCCCTTGGGCCTTCAGGTCGATCTCGCCGGCGCCCATCAATCCGCCATCAAAACTCGACAGCTGACGCAGACGACATCAACGGTGACAGCATGCCGTCCGACGAGTCACCTGAGACAGAGATGACTGGTACCGGCGACATGCAATCTGCCGTTGATATCCAAGACATCACCATGGAGGATGGTGAAGCCATGCTTGCTGGTGCAGCTCTTGACTTGACCACCCCGACTGTGTCGGAGACGCACCAGGATGCCGGTACTTTCAACATCACCCACCGTACCCCGATTGACGGCAGCATCGCCAACAACAACACTCCAACCCCCGTGCCTCCGATTGGGCTATCACCCAACCGTCCTACAATGGTCACTCCTCCTCAACCACCCATGCCCACCTCCACCGTCCCACGCTACCTCCTGGACCGCCACTTCGTTCCGAACCCGCAGATGCTTGCCGCAATGCCCCGCGAGGAGGACGTGCTCATGTCTCTCCAGCTCCTGGCATACGTCTCTAAGTACTGCGGCCTTCGCTCCTACTTCCAGAAGAGCCACCTCGTCCCGAGACTCAAGATTGGCAAAGAGCTTGCCGTGCTCGACGGCGAGGAGGATATCCCTGAGGTCCACGACGAGGATGCCGATGACGAGGAGTACTTGTTGCCCAACGAGTTCAACCTCTTTCCGCTCGTTGAAAAGTTCACAGTCCGGTACCACAGCACCGACATGCAGTATTGGGCCGGTGTTGTGATGCGGAACCTCTGCCGCAAGGACGACACCCGCGGAGGCATCCGACAATGCGCTTACTACCAGTGCGGCAAGTGGGAGGAGTACACCCGCCAGTTTGCCAAGTGCCGTCGATGTCGACGTACCAAGTATTGCAGCAAGGAGTGCCAGAAAAGTGCTTGGGCGTTCCACCGTCACTGGTGCGTCGCGGCGACTCAGTAGACCGTCGGCACATTGCACGACGGTCCGTGACAGCATCAAACTCGGCGCATTCCGCAGCATATATGCTTGTTTCACAATGTTCTTGAAGGGTTGCGAATGCATTGCACAGCAAAGCGTGTCATGAGCGCATGGCGTTTCCTCTCGATACCACAGGTTTTAATTGGCGTAATCGGCTGGGCATGAACTGTTGACTTGGGGGCATTCTGACGTGTTTTTCTCTCTTCTGTTTTGCTTTGGGGTCTTGCGTTTCTAATTGTTCCTCGTTTGTGTTGGAACATCCAGCCCTAGATCATATTTATGGTCTATGGGCTCTTCCAAGGGGACGGGCTGGCCCTGAGCAGGCAACGACGACGGCGCTACCCGTTCTAGTATATAGATAGTTATGGAGGGACTTCACTGGGCTACGGCTCTTTTGGGGTATGGGATCTGGATATGATTGATGACGGTGATCATGGAGGGTGGACGGGGAGGTTTATTCGCAGGTCTGCTGCGCAAATTGACCAGATGGATGGTGTCCAGATGGGACATGCGACGTTCGACGGGTCCCTTGCACGGGATCTTGTTGGCGTGGACTGCGGCAACACGACCCAGTCGCTACTCAGAATCTTCTACATATTCCTTTGGGTATAGATGAATGGATCAACGAATTCAAAATAAATACATGACTTGTCCCGTATTGTGTGAGTAAAATAGGATGTCTAGAGGTATCGACGAAGTGTCCGGGAAGCTTAATCTCGAGGTATATGATGAGTTATCCGAAGAGGCGCAACTACTCTCCTTGTACTTATGGGACTCGCACTCGCACACTCCAATGACAACTTTCACTGTAGCACATACAAGATCTAGCAAAATGGGATTCAATTACACGCATCAAGGACCCATAAACGCCAGCCCTCTTTGGTTGTACGACTGATGGTTTGTACAAGACGTGAAGCTAAACTCGCCACCAACCACGACGTCCTTTTTCCTCTTCCATTCCACTCACCAACGCTCTATCTCTCCGTCATGCCCTTTTATTTGGTTCCCATGGACTTCCTCCGCGCCTTGCCTGGCCGCGACTTGGTGACCTTGTTGCGACTGCCACCGCCGGCCTTCATCCTCTTGGCGTCGAAGCCGCTCAGGTCGCCGGAGCTCTTGGCGTCGCCCGACTTGGCGTGGCGCTTCTTGCCGCCGAAGCCGAACTTTTCGTTCTTCTTCGCCCGCTTGTGGTTGGTACCGCCGGCAGCCTGGCCGCGGCCGGCGCCGGAGCGCTGGTTGTGTTTGCCGATTTCCTGCTCGACACCAACATCGAAGAGATCGGCCTCCTTGGTACCGAGATCACCACCGCCAGACTCTTGACGCTCTAGAAAAGGGGGAGTGTTAATGACATGGTAATCTTAAAATGAGGAATGAAAACTTACTTCGCTTGAGGGTCTTGATCTTGTCGAGAGTCTCACGCTTTTCCTTTTGTCGCTCCTGCAGCTTAGCGACCTGGACCTGCTTGCCAAACTTCTTGAGGTCCCGCATTTTGCGGGCCTCGGCAGCGGCCTTCTTGTTGGTGGCCTCCTCGACGAGCTTGGCCTTGATCTTGTCCATGTGAGCGTCCTCCTTAACCATCTCCGCAAAGTAGTCCTTGGGGCGGGAGAAGGGAACACCCTCGGCGCGGAGACGGGAGCGGCCCAGGCGGACGGCGTCGAGGCTCTGCTGGTAAAAGGCTAGCTCGCGCTGGAGGTCGTCGGAGACGTCGGGGATCGACTCGGCAGTCTCGTCAGAGGCGACGATTGTCTGGTGGGTGGTGAAGGGGACGGACTTGTCGGTGGGTATGGCGATGCGCTTAAGAGAGGCGAGCAGGGCCGTGGTGTTGTTGATAGTGAGGCGCTGGTGGGGGATGAGATCTTCCTTGTCGGCGTCGTCGAGGTCTTCAAGGTCTGACATGGGGATATCCTCGTCGTCTTCTTCTTCCTCGTCATCTTCCTCTTCCTCGACTGGGGCCGGGATCTTTTTTGAGATCTTGCGGGGGATCTTGTCCTCGAGCTCGATTGACGACTCGGAAGTGTCACTGTCGTTGAGGGCATCTAAGTCGACCTAGAATTGCGACTTGTTAGTGACACTACTCAGCCAATTGCCTGCAAGTACGAACTTGAAATTCCTCTTCATCGTCATCCTCGTCGTCTTCGGCATTGCCGCCCTCGACCTCCTCGACCTCATCCTCGTTCTCGTCGGCGCTGGAGTCGTCGACTGGTGCCCCACCGTTGGCCTTGCGCTGTTGCCTGGCGGCGGCCTTCTGTTTGCGCTTGAACGTGAGCTTCTTGAAATCGACACCCTTCTCCGCGGCCAGCGCCATCTTCAGTGCGCTTTTGGTAACCATGGTGAAGAATGGCGTTTGTGGGGGGTTGGTTGTATGTCTGGGCCGGAGAGCGCTGCAACTCGCATTTGAACGCAACTGGGTGCAAGATTGGAAAAATCTCAAGGATTCTGCCGCGGGACGAGCTTCACCGCCTTGACATTTTTTTAGTGGGGCTAGCTTCCGTGCATATACGCCAAACTGCTTCCTAATGTCTACTCTAGGGTAGGCTTGAAGTCAATTCTTGCAAACGGGCATTCTTGTTCAACTACCCAGGTTTTGATGGTTTGGGCATGGATTACCATGTGTGGGATATGCATGTTTTTTCCCTCTGTCTTTTCAATCATCGAAGGCAAGCCGTAGTTGGTTTCTGCTGGGATTTTGTACGATCAGTTCTTTCACATTGAGTATCGCATTCGCACAAAGGTAACGCCCCTCTACCTTAACCTCAGAACAAGCCTTGTACTTGTCTAGTTCATGCATTGGAGTTCCAGACGTAAGGCGTGTATTTATGAGTACATTTATTTGGCTGAAAGAAGAAAACATTAACGCATGAAATATTAAAAATTGGAAATTTAAAACCCATAATCAAAACAAGGGGTAATTATCAGCAGGATTGAGTATGTATTTACGGGTGCAAAGCAATTGGTGCGTGTGCATATTGCATCATGCCATCACTTTGGCTTTACGGGTCCCTAGAGGCGAATAAGAGGTCACCCAAGGAAGCAAATAGAGGATGGGAAGAGAAAGGTTTTGTCCAACGGCTTGTATTTAGAAAATTATGAGTTATATATCCAATGATTGTACTACCATCCCAAAATGTTCCGTCCCCTTGGGCTTTCGTGTCCACTATGGCCGTAGTGAACTCGAAGCAATTCGTATAAGTGGCTTCTGAATGCTGGCGTCCCGCCACCCAGAGCCCGTTTGTTCAAAAATAGATTAACGAAGCCGTTTGGATTTTTGATCCATCATCTAACAACCCAGCAGTGCTGTGCAGTGTCTGCGGTGGACTTGACCGTATGTGGTCGAAGTTGGTTGGTTGAGTTGGTTGTGTCATAAACCGAGACCTCATTAAGCGCTGCAGTAGAAGACCGAGGCTTTACATGATGGTGCAGCCGAGAGGGTAGCTGGGGTTCTGGTCCTTGGTGGGCTTAGCCATGACGCTGCAGCCCAGGGGGTAGCCGGGGGTGGTGGGCTTGACCATGACGTTGCACCCGAGAGGGTAGTTGTTGGTCTGGTCCTTGGTGTTGTTGGTCTGGGTGGAAGGCATTTTGAAGGTTGGTGTGGTGAGACTGTGGAAAGTCTGAGAATATTCAGTGTTGAGAATGGTGAAGAGTGTTGTAGCGAAGGCAGAGTGTGTGTTGGTGATGAGAGACTTCCAAGTTAAACAGCAGAGAGCATCCTATTTATACTTGATCTGGATCCTATCTTCGCATCATATCTCACACCAAGCTTCCCCCAAAAACCCCATGACTTCAACATGTGTCTTGCTGGTGGTAGCCCCGTGCGTGGTGCTTGATAATGTTTTTTCATATTGTCTTGGAATTAGACAAGGAAATCGGTCAACGCTAATGACTACATGCATCGAGCTCGGGCATGATTCCGATCTTGTGTAGACCAAATCCATGGATTTGAGAAGTAAAATCACAGTCCGTTCGGTAGAAGAATCGTAAGCCACCATCTCGTATGTCAGCTGGCGGTTCAGGGGCACGGTCTTGGGGTGGGTGGTCCTTTGTAGAAGCTTAATATTGTCTTTTAGTACGAACATATTGTTCTTCAAGCCTCACCAAGCCTCAATATCCTTAGGCTAATCCGCAGCCAATAGCACAACGCGGAGTCTCCGACCTAGAATTTTCCATTCCAACTTCTCTTTATAACGGTATGAGATGCGAATGGGAATCCTGCCAAGCCACCGAGTGAAAACAAGGCGATTCGGCAAGCCTCTGCCGGTGTCCCGGATAATTGACGCCACGGTTTCTCGACCATGAGACGGCGGTGAAGACCACGTGAGCTGGCTTAGAAGCGACTGAATGGAAGCCTTGGAATGTTAGAGCGGAGTTCAACGGACAAGGTGGTGGGCATCTTACCATTTCCCCCTCAATGTGATGACGACCCATGGTGTGCCAGCTTCATCCACCTCCTTATCGACTTTGGTTGAGAAGGCGATGGCACTCATGATACCATCCCCAAACTTCTCATTTAAGATGGCCTTATACGCGTAGCCGTAGTTCTGCACAATCTCGTACAGTCTGTAGATGAGAGGCTCAACTGGCGGCATCGGGCCGGCCTGGCCGCGGTTAGGGAAACCCGTCATCTGCACTGTGAGGGATTCTTTGGGCAAGTCCAGGAGCTCCGATAGCCGCTCAACGTCCTCAGAAGATGCCGTGGCCTGGCCATAGAACAATGCTGCACATGCAACCTCACTTCGGTCAAGGTGCTTGCCAATGGCCTCGAAGCTCAAGCCCTTTGCCGCCTTAGCATCGAAGAGCGACCTGGAGTAGGCCGGAAGCCTATCGGCGATGGTGGACTAAGACTGGGATGAGCATGAATCCGCTGCACAGACTCAACAAGGGAGATCATCTCACATCAAGGGTTGCGATACGGCCTTCGTTTGCCATTTTGATGTAGGGGGTCCTGTGGCGGTTCCACACGACTGATTGTTCTTTGGATGAAAGAAGAGAGGAAATTCAGAAGAGACAAGTAAATGATCTGGACGGGTCCCGCCGGCTCATGAAGGGCTCTCATTCTCGATGATCTGCGGGGTTGTATCCTACATCGGAACACGGCATGCAGGGTGTTATTCGGCGATATTCCGGAGACTCGGGAACCGCTGATTCGACGTTCGCCACTGTCATATGCGAGTGCTCGCATATCACCATCCCAAAAAAGACGGTCAACACTGACGTGCAAAATGGCATATTGTGACGTCTGTAAACGAAGCTGATATGTGCAGTGTACTACCTATTCTCGAAAATGCCTCTCACCCCAATCACATCGTCGACGTGGAGGATATCGAGGCCTTCGTTAACGAGAACATCCCAAAGTTGATTCCTCTTGGGCAAAGGCCATGACGGCAAACTCCAATACCGCACTTTGAGTCCTAGACTGTGCGCTTCCTTGATCTGGTTTCGCACCTTGAGGAGCTGTGACTGTCGCAAACCTCGAGGCCCGACTAGCCCAATCGACCTTCGGAAGGAAACACTGGCGTAGTATGAGTTGATTTTGTTGTACGTGCCCTTATTCAGCTTTGCCAAAGGTGCATCGAGGAAGACATCTCTTGAGGGGTTCGCCTCTACTTGTTCAACTCGCGTCTTTCCCGTCCCGACGACTGTGATGGGGCCTTGAATGAGCGACCCGTTTTTTATATGGCTTAGCCAACCCCTTTTTCGAAGTGGTTCCAGATTCTCAAGTAGGAGTGGCCATGCAGCAACTGGATTCGCTTTTATATCCACCAAGAGAACTAGAGTCTGGTTCGGATCGATGCCATAGACGCCCTGGGTTGGAAGGGCAGCACCTGTCGCCGAGTTTCGGTCTTGTAGAATCCTGACCAGAGGATCTATGTACAAGGTCGACAAGGTGCGGTCTGTGGCAAGGCGACTTCTGTCATGACTAACAAATAGTTCGTCTTGGAAAGCCCAAACATCGGCCTCTACGCCAATGCAGCCTGCGAGCAACGCTGAATGGAGCGGCTTCTTTCTCCAATAGTCATTGTGGGAACTGCACGGGATTGGGGATGCATGACAAGAACGGAGACTGATATTGGGGTTCTCTGGGAGAGATTCGTCGTCGTAGTTGTAGAAGATAGGCGCGAGTCTGACGATTAGAGCCAAGACAAGACCTACGGTGCTTCTCGGCATCAGTAGTGGAAAGGGATGATTTAGGAGCGGCCAATAACTCACACAAATACGGTCCCGACGAGGCCGGATGCCATCACAAATGTCTTTCGCCTTGACTGTAGATTAGTCCGAGTGGATGCCATCTTTGGCGATGCCATGATTCGCGGTTTGCGACGAGTAGTGTAGGCCAGCGCCGGTTAGAGAGCACAGGATGTCCAACCGAAGAAATGAGGCCACAGTAGACCAGAGACGAACTTACTGGATGTCTCAGGGACCCTGATGCCTCCAACTGGAATACAAGACAGCCAACGTCATCCTCTCATGGCCGCCGAATGTGTGGCATGGCTAGGCGGCCCCACTCAAACCGTATCGGCTTTCACTCATTTTAGTGGCTGCATGTCGCACAAATCATGAGACGAGATACCTAGTTGGATTTGACAGTTATGCATTGGCTAAGTAGAAGGCGCTGTAATCGGCATGAGCATGCGACGTTGTTCTCCTGCAGAGGGATGAAGCGAGATATTGATGCATCATCACAAGAGGGTCATCGGGAAGTACTACCACACCCAGGTAGGTACATACATCAACGACCTGGTACTTTCATTTGCTGCACTTCTAATGGTGCCGCGTGTGTAACTCGTTGTACCTTAACGGTGGGTCCTGGCGGGGAACACGATCTGCCGATAAGGCACGGCCGCTACGATAACATAATTTCTTTGGAGAATCTTTCTCCATCAATTGTCTCCGGACTCCCTCCCCATACAACTTGTCAACGAAACACAACACCTCCTTGCATTCGCCGCCCCAACATCGCGGCTGCACGAATTCAACACCCCCAGTCAACCAGGAGCTAGAGAGACGATTGGGGCACTATATTCAACTCGGAACCCTTACGCGAACTCGCCGACCATGCCTCACAAGCACAAGAGGAAGAGGGGAGACGACGAGGCAGAGTACGAAAACCCATGACACCCGTTGTGACTGCACATCTGACATTTGTATTCGCAGATTCAATCTTCCCCCGTCTCAAAAAGCGCGCTCCCTCCCAGTTACGTTGAGGAGCTCAAAACATGCCAAGGATCAGAAGAACACGAAGAATGGGAAGAATGGGAAGAACCCTGCACCAACCCAGGATAGTCCAAAACCAAGAGGAAAGAAGGCCCGGGGCAAGGACAACGATGCACCGCGAGCATTCAGGCGTCTCATGTCAGTGGCAAATGGAAAGAAGGTCAGATCTGGCCTTGATGACGGCAATGATGGCAAGAGTGTAGCGAAAGAGGTCTCTCAGGATCTGAAGATTCGCCCAGGGGAGGACATGAGGTCCTTCGCATTTCGAGTCAATGCTGCACTCCCAGTGGCTGGTCTTGCTAAGAAGACGGTGATTAAGGACGGCAAAGATGAGGCTGGCTTCAAGGTGGTACGCACTAGGAAGGAGCGGAAAATGCACAAACTCTACGACCAGTGGCGGGCCGAGGACCAAAAGATCAAAGACCAACGAGAGGAAGAGGCCGCACAGGCTGCGGAACGGGAAATTGACGACGAGGGAGCTGGAATGACAGCCTTGGCCACGGCCGAATTGGAGGAAGCGACAAGCAAGAGAAAGAAGAAGAAGTCAGGACGCGGGAAAGCCGAAGAGGATCCGTGGTTGGAATTGAAGAAAAAGAGAGCGGAAGCTAAGGTTGGGCTGCACGACACAGCCCAGGCACCACCGGAACTTAACAAGAAGGTGATTAAGCAGCTCAAGGTCAGAGGCGCTGCTGTGGAGGTCGACAATATCCCCAAATCCGCCGGTAGCTTGAGACGTCGTGAGGAGTTGCAAGCAGTCAGGGCGGACGTTGTGGATGCATACAGAAAGATCCGGGAACACGAGCAGGCCAAGTTGAATGGCCGAGGATGATGCGCGTTACTCGGAGGATGGATGAGCGGTTGAAAATTGAATAAAAGCTTCTGAGATGAGTTGTGGAGCTTTCCTTGTCGAACCCTTCTTCTTCTATTTGCGCGAACGTGTCTGTGAATGTCTCCGTACTATCCGCGAACATGGATTTTGTTAGCTATCGACCAACCTGTCTGCCCTTCAACGTCGTCCGTGATGATGCACTCTGATTAGCTGAATGCAACTCTCGTCGAAGTCAGTTGCCAGGGTGCGGTGGCTTACGTCATCATGGTCATACGGGTCTAATCGTTTTAGACGATCGCGTCTCCCAGTGGCACCCCGCCATCCCCACATCATCGTCAAGCTGCAGCAACAAGCAAAAAAAAGTTACAGTCTTTGCCATCGCGCTGGGTTCTCGGTTCAATTCGCGCCCAGACACATTTCTCATCGACACTTTTTCAGTTGCGTTTTTCGCCAAGAATGAACACCTCGGATCCTGAGAGACCATGGCTTCGGAGCTCGAGGGCTTGATCGCGGCGCTCTTGCTGCTCATCTCCTGCGGCGGAGAGCAGGGTAAGTCACTGTTGCTATGGCTTCACCAGAGGTCGACTTCCAGGAATTGCCTGGTCGCGTGGGTTTTGGGGGCAGTTGCGCGGACGCTGCTGCTATGAATACCAAATCCAGCTCAGGTTTGGGGGCCGTCATGAGAATTCGACGCTGACCCAGTTCTCTCCCATAGGATGTTCTGTGAGCGACCTTGTTGATGCCATCCATAATCCTTCCGGATCTCAGCACGCTGCTCCTGGCCAACCTGAACATCATCCACCCCTTCAAAATGAAGAATCTGGCTTCCGCCAGCGCACTGCCTCCACCATCTGGAAATGGCTGGCAGCAAGGAGGGACGTATCCATCGGTCCCGAGAGGAACTACAACCACCTGTCTTTGGACGAGGTGTTGGCTCTGTCACAACCTCCATCACCAGTAGACGAAGAAGATGCCGCCTCTCCGGGAACAACCAATCCCCAGAAAGCTGGAGACCATGTTAGGGTGTACGCCTCTGAGGAAACCATGTGGGAATCGCTTACAGGCCATGCCATCGACTACAAGCGAGTCCCCAGATCTGAGTGGCTCTTGTTGCTTGGAATCGCCTCTACGACTATGCATGGAATTCTGCAAGGCGATCTCGGTCGACTCGTTGACCAAGATAAGCGATCAGTCCCTAAACGGACGGACGCCTTGCTGAAAAAGCGATACATTGTGAAGAGAACCACCCTCGTTCGAGGCACTAAGACAAGCAAGATGTGGCTCAAACTGTTTGCTCCACCACTACCCAAGGACGGAGATGCCATCGATGAGCCGCGCGCAGAGATGAACCTTTCCCGTCAAGTTCTGGCTGCGAACCTCGATCCGGTCCCATGGCACGTCCGATGGACCGGTGAATCTGTCGATTACACGGCGCTGGCCACCACAATCCAGGCCGTTTCCAAGGAATGGGGTGTGTTGCGGATGCTGGACCTCAAGTCCAAACTCGGAGTATTGGGAATGCGTTGGCAGATGAAGGTCTTGGCCAAAGTTTGCCGATTTCTTAACTCTCGAGGAGTCATCCAGTATGTCGCCGCTAAGCTCGGTGACAAAGTGTTCAAGGATTGTATCAAGTATGGCCGAGATCTCAACGCCGAAGATTGGTCTATATACCTTGCCACGGGGAAGCGCACAACAAAGCCTTCAAGAAACCCTGATCTCGCCGCCGGCGAAGGCACTGATGGGAAGTCGCTCTTCGGTCAAACGACCAACGCCTCGGAGGTATCTTCTAGCCCTCCGTGGTCACTAGATAAGCCCCTTCCCGCCACCATTGCAGAGATGGCCCAGAGACTAGGTGATAAAGGGTTGAGTAACCCGGATGTTTATGGGTTAACACTAGGTCCATCCTTCAGCAGGTACCTCTCATCGATGACCTCTGCCTTGGCGACCCCGAACCTCCAGCCGCCTCATCTGAGACATTTTCAATTACGAAGTGAGCACACAAGAGTTGGAAAGATAGCTTCGTATCGATACTTTGCCCAAAAAGGCTGTTCGCCGACGCCTGGCCAATCCAATGGGACTGAACCGCTAGAATCGTCTCAGAAAGAGGGCAGCGATGAAGGCACGGGCAACAACCCCACGCGTCCATCACCTGAATCTTTCTATGGCTTTGCTCCGGTCTCCGCTTCAGCATTGACTAGTAAACCCGCAGCTACGTTTACTGACTTGTGCACAACGGGGGTGGCACATCGGAAATCGAAAGGTCGCCCGAAAAAGAAACAACCGACAAAGTCAGTCAAAACTCTCCCAGAGGCAGCGAGACTAAGTGAAGAGGTGCCCCAGACGCCACAGAACGATATCAAACCCCAGGACAACGGCACCCGCCAGCAGGATTCTACTCCTCAGCAGGAGAGCGTTCTTCAGCTGGAAACGACCCTTCATGAGACCAACACGCCCCACGCTACATGCGATACCGGCAAACTCGTCGTGACATTAAAGGTTTCTGCTGAGGCATTGAAGGATCTGATCGAACAACCAACCTTACCAATTCCGCCTCAGGCGAGAAAAACCAGGACGCCACGGAAAATCTCAGAGCTTGTGACAGAGAGTCCGATTGGAGTGACGGTTGACACGAGTATCGCTTCCGACATAAGCCAACCTGCCCCGAAGAAACGTGGCCGTCCACGACGTGGAACCCAGGCAGCACGACCCAGCGAGCCTGCCCCTGATGCTCGCCCTTGGACGTGCGAAAAATGCGGTGGTACCTGGAAGAATGATATTGGTCTGAAGTACCATCTAGAAAAGTCAAGGACTCCTTGTAACCCCTCGTTCGACCCATCTGAGCCGACGCCACGACGTGGACGAAAGCCGGCCAATTTGGAGACGGGAGATCCAGCTTCACCAATGCCAGCACCCTCTGGAACTCCACGAAACAATAGCGCGGTAGCATCGGATTCAGGCTCGAAGGATCAAGATGAAGATGAAGATTCAGAGGAGGAGCCAACCCCAAAGAAATCTCAACCCCGGAAACGGCCAATGGCCACACCAGGATTATCTTCACGGCCCTCCGTCAGCCTCACCGGAGGTCCGCTTCAAGCGGTTCCAGAATGGCGACGTCCTCCATCCATGAACTTCGACTCGCCAAGCAAAACCTCGGTACCAAGCACCAATGGCGGAGCTCTCGTGCAAAGTCAGGATGGGCAGTTGCGTCCTGTCTTAGGATTGAATGGAGGTCCCAAATCAAGATCTGGTACTCCGAAAACCGCCCGGAAGAAACATCCCGCAAAGGGGGACAAGCCAAAGATAGAGGAGGCGCCGCCTAGGGCACCGGAACCAACGGATGAACCTGGTAGTGAGTTCTTTGCAAACATAGAGCCAGGAGGAAAACCAGCAAGAAAATCAGCACCCTCGACCATTGTCGACAGTCTGCTACCCAAGGTCACTTGGAATAGTCGCATCTCGGCGATTGTCAAGGAGATCCTAGAGGAGCAGGCCGGCGTTTTCCCTGGAGGGCGTGGGCTGTGGCATGCCATCACGACGCGGTGGGGAGAGAGGTTCCCAAGAGAGACACTTCCTACTGTCAAGGCCTCCCAAGCTGCGCTCCGAGAAATGTTCAAGACTAAAGCCGCGGCCGAACATTGGCACGCTTTCCGTGACAGCAAGGGGATATTTTCAAAGTGCCAGATTATTGTGCTGGGTGCCCAAGATCCGTTTTCAGCAGAAGCTATGCACTTGGTGGAGATGATCAAGGAAGCCTATCCCCGGACATACGTCCCACCTCCATTCACGGCGCCTCCTGGCGTTGAGGCGGCGAAAGAAAGTCGCCGTGGACGTCGGAAGCTTGGGGATGAAGTTGAGACCTTGAGCGCTCCAGTTTACGTTGCCCAAGTTGCTGCAAAGAGAGCTATGAACGAATTTGATGTAGATGGTGCTCTGACATCTAAGCGTCGAAAAGCAAGGGCCACAGACATCGCCTCTTCCCCGGGTAGCCCCCGAAAGAGAACGCACGTCAGCTGGGCTGGTGCCGATCAGGAAGATTACATCCCACAGCCCATGTGGTCGGGACCCTCTGGGTATTTGTTGAACCAAGAACCGTTGGAAACGATCCAGTTCCTTGAGCCGAACACATATCTGCACGATGAATCAGCGCGGGTTCGTAAGCGCCGTCGTCTTTCGAAGGACTCTGTTAGTGAATGTCTGGACCCGCGATTAGTCGCGGACAGCGAGCCGGTCTGTATGACATTTGACAAGGCAATTTCAGTCCTTGGTTCTGTCGGTACATGGCCATATATCAGTACCGTCGATTTTGAGACCCAAGATGGCAGTTATACGTTGAAGGGCTGGATGCCAGACGCTACGTGGTTTTCTTGGGCAGCAATAGTCGAGGAGATTGAGATCCGAACTGCCGCTTTTAGTGGTCTCAAACGTCAGCCCAGAACGTGTACCGGGCAGTATTACCGATTCTTGGACAGGCTGTTTGCTTGCATAGATGTGGAGCGCTCGTGGGCCCAGTCCTTTATCAACGCTCATCCCGGCGCAACAGGGCCTCACAATATCTTCGTCAGGTTCTTTAGTGGAAGAGGAAGTGAGATGATGTTGCCATCGGAGCCCCTAACATGGCCTGCAGAGTGGCAACTCACACCGGAATCTTTCCAACTCTCTCCTCAACATGATGAGGTTTCTGAGGATTCGTCGTCCAGTGATGAAGAAGGCACATTTGTCTGGCCTAAATTCCGAAGGCGCTTGGTCGAGCCCACCAGACCTTATGCGACTGGTCTTCAGCTTAACAATCGACAAGACCAACTCCGGGCTAAGCGTGTTCAACTTGTGGCGAGGTCCTTGACATCCTTGCCCCCAGGAGTAGGGAAATCTAAGACTGTCGAGGACAGTACCGCAGGAAAGGATGCAATTGACGACCCGGACAAGCTGCTTGCCGCCTTCATCGCTGTTCGCGTCCTTCTGGGAGGCTCCGATAAAGCGATTGACTGGGGCCTGTTGCTTAAATTATTCCCAGCAATCGACCTTCACCATCTCCGCCGGTTTTGGCTGTCTGCTCGCAAGGAACAGGGGGCCTACGTTGCGAAACTAACCCAAGATTTCCAGGAAAAGTTCCTGGTTGCATACGAGAAGGGCGAGCTGCCTGAAATTGACTTCGATGCGCCCCTGGAATGCGACTGGCAGGCGATCATTGCGTGGACTATGCAGCTCCCGCGTCAAGAGGGCGTCCAAATCCCGTCCACTAGGGGCCTTTTGGACCAACAATTTTCCTCCCAAGATGTACCTGGCCCCGATGAGGACTGGAGAGAGAAGTTCTTTCATCCCCAATCTTCCGTGTTTGCTCGCTTTGAGGCAGCGACTGCGAGGCCCGCCGCTCTTGCTGTGGGCAAGATGCAAAGCGGGAACAGTCAGATTGTCACGATCACAGACCTCGATGTCACTAGATCTTGGATCAGATCACTTTGTTGCACAGATGAGACTCAGTACTCGGTGCAGCAGATCAAGGACAAGTTCTCCACGCTGGCGAATGGCGATGCAAACAGAAACAACATGCTTCTAAAGCAGGCAATTGATGACTTGACTCGACAGCGTGTCATATGCAGAAGCAAAAAGCCACCCCTCGGTGGCAGACCGTATCGACTGAACGAGTCGTACATGTATGTTTTGGGAAAGCTAGCTCAGCAGGCCAAGTACCAAGAGGCGGCTGCCTTCAAGGCCAAGCTTGACACCATTTTCCGTCGTGGGGAGACATTGAAGGTACCGTACACCCTTGACGACGGGTCCGTCATGGCACTGACCAACTTGAACGCCTCTGAGAGGATCAGGTTGGTGCCAGTTGGCGTTCCGCATATCCCGATGGGTTTCGAGCCAGGCAACTATGAAAGTCGGAAGTATCCAAAGTCATACTACCACTTCAACCTCGAAGCAGTCCCCACGGACATGTATCTATACGACGAGGATATTGAGGTGCTCAAGACGGCCGCCGAGGCGGGGCCGCCGACTGAAGGTCCACAAGGTGAGCTGCCTCAGTGGATCGACTTCTTTGGGAAGCGAGATCTCAACCGGTGGATGCACGTCCTGGGGGCATTTTGTTTCATCTACGCCACAAGAGGGCTCATGACGATTGAGGGCATCTGCAGCGCTCTCAAGCCAATCTTGGAGGAGTTCGAGGCACAGATGATCATCAACTGGGGGAAGTCGACGGGTGTGCTGAAGGATTCCGAGGATGGGCTGGGGCCGATGGTGGGAGAGTGGTGGTGGTTGGTGGTGGCATGGCAGTCAAGAGCCCAGGCCGTGAGCAAGGTGTGATGAGTGTAAGACAACAAAACGGGTCTCTGATTAGGAGGAAGGTGGCTAGGGATATAGATGTGCCATGTAGGATTACCATGATACCCGCTCGGGAAGAAACGCAACGGTCAGGGATGTGGCATCAATTGTATAACAAGCAAAACACTGCATTGGATATCTATTTCGCTTGCCCAACCATGATGAATATAATAAAGCAGACGCCCGGCGCCCGTAACATAAGTAGTTCCCAAACACAGTTCCCAAACACGGTATCCCCTCAAAGAGCGAAGAGGATTTTTAGTACAAGTGCGACCAAAAGCACAACCATCACCACAATGAGTCGATCCAACCAGAGCGGTACCCCGTCATCGGAAGCTAGTCGTGCTGGCCGAGGCGGTGCTACGGCGGCCGCGGGGAGTGGTGTGGTACGGGTGGGAGTGGGGTTCCGGATCCCCGAAGGCAGATGGGGAACGGCCTGATCAGCCGGAGGTACGGGGATCGCCGGATAAGGATCGACTGTGGTAGGGTTCGGAGCAGTCTGGACGAAGCCCTCGGCAAGCTCAGCAGTCTCAGCCTCATCGGCGGTAGGCTCGGGTTTCGCCTGGGCCTTCTTCTTGGCCTCCATCTCGTCTCGCCAGCCCATGTTCAGCTCCTTGGGGACCTCGACTTCCTGGGCGGTCGAAGAGACCTCCTTGGCTCTCTCCTCGCACTCCTTTATGATCTCCCCATTTGTCTTTCCGCATGCTGCGCATTTGAAGGCAGATGACTCAGATGCTAACCGCTGGCGTACAGTATCCGTGGTCTCGAGGCCGCCCAATTGGCCGCGGGCATCAGTTTCCATGAAGCTTCGGAGCCTAAGAAAATAAGACATGTTAGCCAAGAATAGCGAGCCTCGTCGTCGATATTTATAACAGGGCAAGGCTACGTACGCTACCAGAGCTGTCCGAACGCCCCAGGCGGGCTGCCAGGTCTCCTCGTGGTGCCCACTGATGCTAAGGCAGATCTCGCGGTTGGCCTCAAAGCGGCCATTGGGGGTCATGAAGCGAAAGCTTGGAGGACGCAGGGGGTATGTCGGCGGCAAGACGATTCGGCCATGGTAGATGCCATCGCTATAGACGGAGTTGGGGGGGCCTCGTAGGGTGAAGTGCCACTCGAAGAAGTCGGACTCGAGGGGTTCGGCGGAGTAGTCGGCGGAGGGGGAGCTGGATATCTCGGCGGCTTCGCGGACTATTCCGTGTCAGAATGGTAGATCGTCTTGAAAGTGAATTGGAGAGTGGAAACAGTAGGAGTGAGGCTAGGCGCGTGGCGTTGGGGAGGGAGAGACTGACGAATGCGCCGGATGGTAGGAGACTTGGTGTTAAATCTGGGAGCGGGTGTCGCCATGGTCAGGATGTGTGGACTCGTGTGTTCGTATGTTTATATTCTTCGTATGAGTCGCGTATGTATATATGAGCTATTGTGCTGGAACCTGCTTGAGGTTGGTGTTGATGGTAGCGATGCTGACGTTTGGTGATGGCTGTTTCAAGAGGGCATCGCTTGGTGGTTGGAACAGGTGGTTGGAACAGCACAAGGAGGGGGAAGCAACGGAACAAAGGAGCAAAGGAGCCAGGGATTGCCCTAGTATTAGACACGTTCAAATAGAAGCTGCGATACACGTGGTAATGAAGATAAATGCGGGCGGCACCGGTGGTTGAATCTTGGTGATGGGAGTTCGTTGATAGATGCAAGGTGAAGACACGCGCAATGTGGTAACTTAGACGAACCGTCGCATTGCCTCACCTCAGAGCCGGGGTAGGTACGAAGTAGGGAGGTAGGTACCTTAGGTAGGTATAGGCACCGAACTGGGCACCACTCGGAAGCAGGAGGATAACCCCACCAGTACGTACTCCCTTCTTAAAAGGATAGGTACTGCTTTATAGCGCAGCCGTCTATCGGCAGACTTCGTACATCTCAGTATATGCATATCTGTCCCCTACCCAATCAGACGCCGTCCTTACCTAAGCAGAGCCTGGCCCGTATTGGCCCAACCTCGACGACTCCATCTACGATTAATTGATCATTGCCGTCGCCGCCCATTCAACTCATCCGCCTCACGAGTTGTGCTGCCGTCGCCCGCCTCGCCACCGCTCCAATCGGCCTTCCAGTACGTCAATTGCCCGTTCCCCGTGTCGCCAACGCCGTCAATTCGCCCCGGTCCGCTAACTCGATCCGCGCCTCCAGCTCCTCCGGCCGTTATCCCGTTCCCTTCTACCCGCCGCGAGCGACTTCGACTTCGAACATCATGGGCGCTTCCCACCACCGTTTCCCCACGGGTCCCCCCAAGCCCCCGGTGGCTCACCTACCTCGCATCTACGGAATCACCGCGACGGCTCTGGGTGCTGGCATGTGGTTCTGGGTGAGTACCGCCGCCCAGACACATCTCGAATGATTGTGGACAGCTCAACTGACGATTGCTACTCCTGACTACAGGTCATGTACCGTGCCAAGAAGGAAGGTATGTTAACACTGTCCCTCTCCCTCTACTCCGCCAACTGGCACCTCTCTATCCGCAATCACTCACACGAATCTCCTCACAGGTGCGGTCCTCCTGGGTCTGAAGCACCCTTGGGATCACTAAACGACGACGGCATGTACTATTATTCCTGCTACGACCGCAATAAGGTTGGCGCCTCGCCCAACAACGGGAGGTCTTTGGCGCAGTGTACATAGGGCCTATGGAACAATGAAAAATCTACACCAACAAACACAGCTCACGCGCTCGGCTTCTCGAACAGATAGTGTGCGACTCCCCAGGTGTCTCCTCCCTTGTACGCGAACAGCTCCGAACACGCCATGTAAAAGATCTGCCACCGGTTATACCATGTCGACGCATTCTCCTCCCCGTACGTCTCTACGAGGTGTGGCCATATTTGCTTCTTGTTTGCCATCATGTTGGACAGCCAGTCCTAGAGCCGATCGATATTAGCCACGACATACTAGCCGAAAGACAGGGACAACGGAGAGCTGCAAATGCGCTCATCACCTACCTCACATGTCCGCGAATAGTGCCGCCCATTGACCCACCACTGCTGCTGAATCTGAAGGTCGCGTTGGAAGTACAACAGCAGATCGCTCGACGGCATCGTCCCGCCCGTGAAGAAGTGTGTCGTCATCCAGCCCTCTTCGTAGTCGTACGGGGTCGTCTTGTGGGCAAACAGATGTACAAATAGCTTACCCTTAGGCTTCAGCGCCCACGCAATCTTGGCCATGAGCAGCTCATAGTTCTTCATGTGCTCGAACAACTGCGGGCTCGGCCGTCAAGAGGGATCTCATATTGGACTAGGTAAGACTTGGGCTCACCTCGATGGAGACGACGCGGTCATAGGACTCGGCCTCGAATTCGTAGTCGACGACATTGCCTGTGATAACGTTGAGGTTCGTGAAGCCCTTGGCCTTGGCCACTGAGTCAATGTACTCCTTCTGCGTCCGCGAGTTAGAGAAGGCCGTGACGTGCGACTTGGGCAGCATCTCGGCAAAGTAAAGAGCTCCAGATCCCCACCCGCAACTATTCGGTGCACATTTACTTGTTAGCTTTCACGAGCCTTCTCGTTCACCTTCAGGCTTGGCCTCTCACCCCAAGTCCAGTATGCTCATGCCGTCCTTCAACTCTGCCTTGACCATGTACGACTTCAGCATAGCAACTTCGGCCTCGGCCAGCGTCTCCCCGCCCTCTGGGTAAAGGCAAGACGAATATTTCATCCTCGGCCCTAGACACGCCGCCAAAACTCCAGTGCCGACTTCATAGTGTTGCGTGTTTGCGCTGTCCGTCTCAATGGCCATAGGCCGTGTGCGCAGCTGGTCTAAATAGGCCATCTTGCGCTCCATGCCATCTCCCAAAGACGTGGTCTGGATGGATTGGATGCGATCTCGGAGTTGCCGTCGGATGCCTACACGAATCACCGACTGTGGCAGATACCCGCCGTCCAAAATCCAATCTACTCGTAGTTAGTCTCATGTGGCTATCCACGCCAAGGGAGAGAGGGTTAGGAGCCATTGACCGTAATTCATGTTGAAGTTTCGAAATGCCCTTACAAACTGCTGCTACGTTGTTCAGTGCAAGTATTAAAGTTACTAGAGAGTGGCTGTCGGTATTTCGTAGATGTAGGTGGGCGTATGCACCACAATCGATGCCAGTTGTAAGTCAAATACGTCATGACATGCAGGAGCTCGGTAGCCCCGATCAACTTCGATTTCAGGAATTTTAATATTCGACGCAATCGGCCGAAAATTACCACCACCCTCGCTCTCCTAGATAGCTACACCGAATACAACGCCAGTCCCAGTCAAACTCTGTGTACAAAAGTCTACATTCGGGCCGCCTCTAGAATGACCTTATACTCCTTCCGCTTTTTTGACGCTCCTGTGATTCGCTGTTTCGCGTGCCCGATGAGTCGGGCCAGCCGCAGAGACAGGTACTTCTCGTATCCCCAAGCCACCAAGAGATAGGCAATGCCCAGACCAATCAAGAAGACCTCATAATCCCAACTCATATTTGTCAACTCCATTAAGGCGGTCAACCATTTAGACGGTATGAGAACCATGTACACCGTTGCCAGGATTGCCAGGGTAACTGTGATCATAAATGGCCCTATAATAAGTCAGCATTGTCTATTTTTTGCACTTCGCCTCGGCAACGTCACTCACAGTTCTGGGCTATTCCTTGTCGGAAGGGAGCACCGGCATTGAGAATCAAACCTGATAAAATATACTCGAAGCATGACACCAGGAAAAGCGCCGTATTCTCCGAGTTCTTGATATCCGGTTCGTCATGATTGACCTTGGGGGGGATGTACCATGGCTGCTCCTTGACCGTCACGTAGGTCACAGCTTGGAACGCAATGCATACGACCATCAATCCAAGCAATGGAGTAAGGACCTTGCGCGAGACGAGATCCGCTGTTGGTCGTTTTCGACATAGAGTGGACGCTGGCCCAGCCCAGCCCATAAAGATGGCAATGGGTAGAATCAGGAGCAGATCGATGAAGAGGAACTGGAAGTCGCCAAGGTTCGAAGCCTTGGCATAGAGGAAGGTGACCGACGTAAACTGAATTGCCGAATACAAACTCATATACTTGAAACAGCTGAAGCTGGTCACCAGAGCGGCGCGGCCCTCCCTGTTTCGTGTTAGCCAGCCCATGAATGAGCGAACATGTTGACGTACTTGATGACTTCGAGCACACAACGGATATCAAACACCCTCGAGGTGAACGGAGCTGCCACGGAGGCTTCAGCTTCGGACAGGGAGATACCGACGTCTGCTGCCTTTAGAGCTCCGCAGTCGTTGGCTCCATCTCCACAAAAGCCGCAGGTGTAATCGATGCTTTGAAGCTTCTCAACCAGCTCATGCTTCTCATCTGGCGACATTCTCGCGAAGACTTTCCCGGTCACAAGCATCTATTCAACGCCGTTAGCTAATGCCAAAACAAACAGGTGTAATGAACGGACTCTTTGGAGGACCTGCGGGGATCCATAGTCTACAATCCAGCGAAACACATCTCCGCTGACTGCCAACGAATAATTACGCAGATTCGAAATATCATATGGCAGCGATGCATCACCTTCCGGTGGAGCAGGGTGGGGCTGTGTATGTTAGAGAGTTCTTTAGATCATCACAAAGAGGCATACTCACCAGTAGCGTAGATTCATCCAGGCAGTACAGATTGTTGTCAATGCTCTCCCATCGCAGTTGAGCCTTCGCATCACGACAATCACCTAAATGATTAGCATCGGTCACATTGTTTCAAGACTCGGTCGACTTACCTTGGATGAAGCGAGGGACGAAGCAGTGAGCAGTACGGTCCATAAGACCGCACTCCCGCGCCACACTGATGGCTGTCAGAATATTATCACCCGTTACCATGACCGCACCAATGTTGGATGCAAGTAGTTCCTCCAGGACGCCGGCAGTGGTGGGCTTAAGCTTGTTTTCGAAGACGATGAAACCGATGAAGTCAAGATCATTTTCGACATCAGATCGACTCATCTTTTGAGCCTTGACCCAGCTCAACTTCTTCAGATGTCGGGAGGCACACCCAATGACTCTGTATCCTTTATGGGTATAAAATGATAAGAGTTGATCGTAATCGCTCGGAACTTATTGGAGAGTCAGTAGCCAGTCGTGGACATCATATCCCTGCATCACTCACAGCTTTCGGGGCGACAGATTTCCCGCATCGCCTCGGGAGCACCCTTGACAAAGATATCACCACTCTTCTGGCCAAATTGACGAACAATAACACTGGCTCGTCGTAGCTGGGAGACAAACTCAAACGACTTGAGCACACCAATTTCAAGGTTGGCCTAGAAAATATGGTCAGTGGTACTCCTAGCGAAGTCGTACTCATGATTGCCTACATTAGGGGGCCTCGCGATAGATGGCGCAAGCCCACCTTGTTCCTCATCTTCTCCTTCGCCCACGCTCTGTTTCCCCTCCTCGTAAGTCCAGCGAGTGAACTCAAACATCTTGAGATCAAGAGGATCACCCACGAGCTCATCATCGACAGATCGCAGTGTGTGGCAGGTGGCCATAGTGTGCAAAGCGGCTCGAAAACTGCTCTGGGGTCCCTGGTGCATCGCCTCTGCAAGTAGCAGTTGAGGTTCTGTGATGATCTCACTAAATTTGTTCGTTTCACGGCGAACAACTCGAACACCGAGTACATCCAGACCATCCTCGGTCAGCGTCCCCGTCTTGTCGAAACACATAATATCGATCTTGCCACCAACGTTCACCCTCTGGGGGCTGATGCAGAATACCTGCTTTTTCTTTAATCGGCTGAGTGCGAAATTGGTTCCAATGGTCAACGTGGCAGGGAGAGCCGGAGGTACAACAATGGTGATGAGGTCGAGCGCTCGAACAATGACCAGGTGCCAAGCAACACCGAGCCGGATAAAGTTGATGAACGACGCAACGAAGCCGATGCCAGCGATAATAGCCATGACACTAATGTACCTAAACGAGTCACGGTAAAACTTGAAACCCGACGGCTTCGGGAACAACATTGAGCGCACAAGGGAGCCCTTGGTAGTGTTAAAACCCGTTCGAACAACAAGGGCAAGGGCGACAGCATCGCCATCTTGATCTTCTTGTGGGCGCCTAGCACGAATAATCTTCGTACCACAGAAAAGGAAGTGCCTAGCCGTATCAGGAGTAACAGATGAAGCCGCTAAGTCCATACCGAGAAGCGTTTCGTCCGTTGCCGGAAGTTTTGAAACAGGCACGGATTCTCCTAGGACAGTATCAGCGACATCCTAGGGGGAAAGAAGAATAAAAAACAGTGCGATTTACCAGTAAGCATGCTCTCGTTGACTATACAGTCTCCAGCCAATAGAAGACTGTCGCTTGGGAATTGTGTCAGATTTGGGTCGCTGATTTCATATACGTCGCCAGGGACAAGATCACTCGAAGATATGTATCTCCCTATACGCTAATTATGAGCATATTCCAAGTGCAGAAGTGTTGGGGTGAGGGTTTCAACATACAGAAACCGTTCCGAAGAACTCGAACGTCGCATTCGAATCGGGAAATTTCCCGCAATCGTTTCATAGTCTATATCGTTAGACTTAAAAAACAGGTTGGGAAGTGAGATCTGATAAACATACCGCTCGAGTTTCGATCAATGTCGCGGCGATGCTTCCAACGGACATAATGAAGATACAGGCCGCATAATAATAATAGCTGTCGAGGGACCACAACACAAGGCTGGCAACCTGGAAAATGTAGAAAGGGTGGAGCACCTGGGCAGGTTAGCAAAAATACACCATGAAGAATCATATCTAAAAAAATTGTTACCTCATCTACTAACAACTGGCCCGTCGATTTCTGCTCGATGTCAATGAGATTGGCGCCAAACACGATTTCGCGGACGCCCTTCTCATCGCTATCCAGACCGGCACGGGTGAGTCGTATATCGGTCCAGTTTGGGTCCTTCCAGCCGTTGCAAAGTGTAAACTTGTCTTTGAGGGGATGGTAGCAGAGACGGACGTAACGATAATCCAAGGTTCGCAAGTCGTCCAAGACAGGGTCGCTATCTTCGTCGAGGACATCTGAATATAACTTCTCGGGCAAACCAAAGATGGTCGACAGAACCCGACCATAGGGCTGCGATCGCACTTTCATGGTGACAAGCTCCCCCCACTGATTCTCAATCACAACCCAGTCACAGTCTCTTAATGGGCATGCTTCGCCGAGGACGGCAACATACCATCGGGGCACCCACCGAAACAGCAGATACGCGAGTCCGCCAGTCAGAATACATGATAAAATATAGAAAATATAGCCAGCCTGGCTTGTCCGGAAACCAGCGATAGCAATGGTAAGGTCCTCGTTCACCATATACACCTTTTGACTCGTGCGACCACGATGGCGGAAGCTTCCAATCGTTGTGGTGCTATCTCTGCGAAGAAGGCGATCGTGGACCGAGCTCCGAGAATGGTTTGAGGAGCGTCGGTGAAGGGCATAGTCGTCGTGGGAGGCGTCGTACTCGCGATCGGAAGAGACATCATCTTCGTCCTCGTCGTCAACGTCGCCAAATTCCAAGTCTCCGATATCCGAGACGCTTCGTCGAATGTAGTCATTGGAGGCACCTCGCCGAGCTATGCCATCGGAATCGATAGTATCCGGGAATATCTCGGGCTCGTCCTCGTAGTATGTGAAGCTAGTCGTCGAGTCGACACGTGGTCGGCGATGGGAGAAGGCAGACACGCTTGTCGGGAGACTTTCGGCGACAGGCCCCGAGTAAAGCTGCGGCAGAGAGAGCAGAGTCAGCAAGAGAACTTGGGGGGGGGGGGGGGTATTTGGGGCCAATCGCACCTCTTCATGAGCCATCTCGACATCCTCAAAGATGCTTGATCGACTCATATTAGAACTGATACGGTAGAGCGAGACAGGTCCGTCGTTGGACCTGTGGGCATCGTCGCCCTCGCTGGGGCTCAGGGGAGCGTTTTCTTCCATGGCTGGATATTAGGGACGACTGTCTCTCATTTCGGGGACGAATTGGGGCAGTCGAGTGGTGGAGGTCGGGTCAGATGGTGACTCGCGGTGGTTCGGCGTGGTCTTCTGGTGATGCGATTACGTCGTTAGCCCAGGGTCGACCAAGGCTGAAGACAGGCCTTGCCCCTCTACTCAGGCACTTTAAAAAAAATGGAGCCGGAGTCACCCGCCGATAGGCCGGATTACATGCAAGGCTGGAACCACGAGGTACTAGATGTACCTTGGCGGTCAACTGGCTTGACGACGAAAGCAAGCAAAAAAAAAAAGAGGAAATGAATAATGACAAAGGCGGTGACGTTTTTTTTTTTCCTTTTTTCCTTTTCGCGTGTGAAAGGGTACAACGACGTCCCCATCCTACTGGTTGGCACGATCATACATGGTCCTTCGCCTAGGAGCAGGACCTGAAGCACTTGGATGCTGCACAGTGCCAGATGAGTGGCGATTGCCTCTTCCGCTGGATCTATCTACATCCAGAAGCGGCGTTGTTTCCCTTTCGATACTTGTGGGAATTTGCTTTGTTTGCTTCCTTGTTCCTCTTCTTCATGCCTCATCGTCCAGGTTGATGCGTGGGCCGAAATTGGGTGCGAATGGCCCACGTCCACGTCTGGGCTATTGCTGGCACATGAATAAATAAATACAGGGTCAGCCAATCAAGCAAGGCAGGTCGCGTATTACCCACGAGTTAGTAGGTACCTCCCATTGCTCTAGTCTTGGTACCCGGCCAGGTTCATGGAACCGCTCATGATTCCAGAACGTCGCCTCGCCAATGAGACACGCATGTGGAGATTAGGTAAGCCTGTGCACGAACAGGCCTTTTGGAGGGCATCACGGGCTTGTCACGGGCTCTCGCGGGCGCACACGGACGCGATTGAGTGCCGCCCACACCCGGGATATGGGAGTGGAGCGCGGCTCGGGGAAGACTGTGCGGGGAGTCACACAACGGGCACAGTGCTGCTGTGGCTCGTTCTTCCAGCAGACCGACCCTCTCTCCCCCCTCTACCGCCCGCCGACCGACCAGTTAGTTGAGCGTTTGGGTGGCCCAACAACTCAGCTGCGAGTACCAGGCCAGTGCCCAAATTTTTTTCTACTTATCGCCCCCCACCAAAATTTAGCAAACGTCAACGGCCGCCGCCTTCTCAACTTTCTCTCCTCCCAACCTCACATCCCTTCCACGACATTTATCTTCTGCTGCTCCGGCTCGCATCTGATACACCATGGCCGAACCCATCCGAGGCAAGCGATCCGACATGTCTGTCGCTCCGTGAGTCTTGTCCCTCTGCCGCTTCTCCGGCCTCATCTTCCCCTCTTCTTGTCGTCTGGTCGTTGTTTGTGCCCGCTTCGATTGCTAACTACCCCACCTTCGTCCAGCACGCCGCAGAACACTCCCCTGAACAACGCTCCCATTTCCTCCCACGCCCAGCAGCCGGGCGTCTCTAGCATCAAGGAGGGTGAGTTGTGTCCTCCATGTGCCGTCTTGCTTGAGTTTCATGACATCGTCTAACCCCGCCGCAGAGGAGTTGGACCGTGCCGCCGCCGCGTCCGTCTTCGCCCAGAACCCCAAGCTCATCCAGATGATTCAGGGTCGACTAGGCTCCCTGGTGGGCCAATCATCGGGCTACATCGAGTCCCTTCCTGCTCCCGTCCGCCGTCGCGTTGCCGGTCTCAAGGGCATCCAGAAGGAGCACTCCAAGCTTGAGGCGGAGTTCCAGGAGGAGGTCCTTCAGCTCGAAAAGAAGTACTTTGCCAAGTTCTCTCCCCTGTACCAGAAACGTTCCACCATCGTCAATGGTGCCGCTGAGCCCACCGAGGAGGAGGTCAAGGCTGGTGAGGAGGACGATGAGCTCGACGCCGACGAGGAGGGTGCTTCGGCCGCCCAGCCCGAGGGCAAGTCCGACGTCCCCGAGGACGTGGCCGGTATCCCTGAGTTCTGGCTGTCTGCCATGAAGAACCAAATCTCCCTGGCCGAGATGATCACCGACCGCGATGAGGCTGCCCTCAAGCACGTCACCGACATCCGCATGGAGTACCTTGACAAGCCCGGCTTCCGTCTCATCTTCGAGTTCGCTGAGAACGGCTTCTTTAAGAACAAGACCCTCTCCAAGACCTACATCTACCAGAACGAGAGCGGATATGGCGGCGACTTCATCTACGACCATGCCGACGGTGACAAGATCGAGTGGCTTCCCGGCAGAGACCTGACCGTCCGCATCGAGAGCAAGAAGCAGCGCAACAAGAGTAAGCGACTTGCACTACCACCTCTCTCGGCCAAATTCAAGCAGACCAACTAACGAACAATGACAGACACCAAGCAGACCCGCATCGTGAAGAAGACTGTCCCCACTGAGTCTTTCTTCAACTTCTTCTCCCCACCCAAGGCCCCCACTGACGACGACGATGATGATGCCGAGTCGGACATCGAGGAGCGCCTCGAGCTGGACTACCAGCTGGGCGAGGACATCAAGGAGAAGCTCATCCCCCGCGCCATCGATTGGTTCACCGGCGAGGCTCTTGCCTTTGAGGAGATCTCGGATGATGAGTTGGATGGCGCCGATTTCGATGATGACGATGATGATGACGAGGATGACCTCAGTGAGGACCATGACGACGAGGAGGAGTCTGATGACGATGTACGTGCCAACTTCCCCAAACAAGTCGGTGCTTCAGAGGGCAAATCTAATGCGTGTAACAGGACGAGTCGGGCAAGCCCAAACAGGAGGCTGCTGAGTGCAAACAGAGCTAAGTGACGCAAGATATCATGACATGAAAGGATCTTTATGGGGGGGATTCATCTGAGCCGCCGATAAAGGCAGAAGCGGTCGGTAGGCTTGCGGAAAAGGCTTCGGAGCAGAGGAGACGGTCGAAGCAGGTCGGCAATCGAGCCAGTGCCATTTTCAAGATAGCTCGTCAGTTGATAGGCATCGTTGCGGGAACCAGGGTTTCGAAGCTCTGGGGACCATCTGATAGACAGCCAGGGGGCAGAGTCGGCCCGCGGTCTTGTTTCCTTGTTTTTGCAGTCTTCTTCGGGGTTTCTTTTTTTGTTTTGTTGTTTTTTCATGTGTCTGATTCGAATCCTGGCATGGAGGTAAGGCAGTGAAGGTCTCAAGGGAGCTGGGTTTTCTGGGTGCATAATAGAGAATGATCCGTCGCCACTTTGGGTGCGCGTTTGGTGTATAGTTTCGTTCCTTGGGCTCCTTTTTTCGCCTCCGGCTTGCATGTGAAGTCAGTCAGATTGCTGTAAACCCGGGCAAGTGCATGAGTTAAGAAGTTATCCTTGGATTTTCCACGGCAAGGCACCTCGCCCTTCTGTCGGTCTGAGTGGTCCCGTCACGTTCAATCATTGGGCTTGGTTTGGGTGGGAATAGTAGCACCACCTGGACAGTGAGTAAGTACCGAGTCCGCCCACTCATGCTCCATAAATATAAATCACATATCACATATTATGTATATATCAAGCCATTCATATGTCAAGGATGAGGCAAACTACCGGCGCTATGATGTAACATAAAACCAGTTGGCTTAGGGTCTCCTAATAGCTTCACGTTCTATTTTGCTGGATTCTGACAGCACCACCTGTAGGGTAGGCCTTGTATTGGAGAACCTTGAGCCTGGGCTTTGACATTCACAGCAGTGGGTTGTGGTAACTCCCGTGATATAATTCCGCACGAATATCCGCGTGGGTAATGGATGCGGGAGACATTGATGAGTCACTGTATCCCCAATTAATCGCCAGTGACGGTGCCTTAGCACAGTGACCTGTATGTCACGTCTACTTCTTTGTACGAGGATTCGTGACAAAGAGGGCCGGCCGTAGGTGCCGCGTCCGCTCCGCCGTCCGGCCGCATGTGAGCAGCAGGATGGGACAAGGAACGTGCAGCAAGCACAGACACGCAAGGATGGGCAACCAACCATTCGCGCAACAAACTTCCGTCCCGTCCTCGCCGCTTGGGCCGGAGCGGGACTCGACGCTGCGGCGAAAGAATGCCTGCTCGGAGGGCGGAATGCGGCATGCGGCATGCGGCCTGTGGCGGGACTGCTGGAAGCGGAAACGCCCAGCACAGGCCCGCAAGCAAACACCCTCATGACCAGTAGGCAGTCGGCCGGGGATTGCTCCTACAGAAAACTGACGCCATAGCATGATTGCATGGTGGCAGTGGACATGGCGCTGGCTGTGGATCGCCGGGCTCCCATTGCGGTGCCCTACTGTCCAGTAGTTGCGGCATTCCGTTGGTCTGGAGTGGCGAGCCTGGTGTAGCGCCGTGGCCGCGGACATTTAACTCGTCCGTCTAACTCGACCAAGCGCGTCCGCTGTCGGACAATGCAAAAGAAAAAAAAAAGTTTTCCTCGTCCCTCTTGCGCAAGCAGCAGCAGGCAGGGTTTTTGTTTCTTGTACGTAGCTACATTACCTACGGGTACCTTGTCGATGACCTAAGGAGGCGAATTGGCCTCTTAGGAACCGCCTCAGGACCACTTCCTTCGGTAGCATTCCACGGTGCTCCGTAGGGAGTTCCTCCATGACAGGGACACCGATGATGACTCAGTTGTACGTAGTAGTCATCGGAAGTCGGGGAAAGTTCTCGATGCGTGGGCTCCGACTCCCATGCATGCGCCGGTCCGTCGCCAGCTCGTGAACACGCCTTCATCCCAGCCCATCCCGGCCAGCCCAGCCAGCCCACTTACGAACGCAAGGAGTCATTGGCTCCGCGGCTTGATCTTGACAGCTTGTATAGTTAAATATTGATCCCGTACCTCTACCAAGAATCTTTCCTCTTATTTACACGTATCCACCCATTCAACCAGCTGTCGCTGACAACGAACCCTGGAGGCCGCAAACGTCGCTCGCATATAACAGCTTCTCTGGCACCCCGCCCCTCGAACCATTGCCCCTCCTTTCAACCTACAAAAACTCTCCGACACCAAAACGCCATCATGACTCCCGCTCAGGATATTCAGGCCAACCTCTCAGCCTCATTCCAGAGGTCCGTCTCCAACAGCTGGGGCCAGAACCTCTCTGGCTCGCCCACTGCCACCTTCAACTCCCCTCCCAGCAGCTGGGGCGGCCCCATCCCCCGTCGCAGCGCCCCCAAGTCTCTCAAGCCCTTCAACACCCAGGACATTAAGATCCTGCTTCTGGAGAATGTCAACGTCGGCGGCCAAGAGATCCTGAGGAGCCAGGGCTACCAAGTTGAGGCTCTTAAGACCTCTCTCCCCGAGGACCAGCTGATTGAGAAGATCCGGTGCGTTCATCCTCGTTGTGTACCCCGCCACGACCGGGTGATTTTTTTGCCCCTCGTCGCCAAACAATGCCCCTCACCATCGTCATTCTTGTCCCTTGTCAATTGAAATCAGGAATTGCTCTGTTACGCTTGCTAACAGCCCGTCTCCAGCGATATCCACGTCATCGGCATCCGCTCCAAGACTAAGCTGACCGAGAGTGTTCTCCGTGAGGCCAAGAACCTCCTTGTCGTTGGTTGCTTCTGCATTGGTACCAACCAGGTCGACCTCGACTTTGCTGCCCGTCATGGTATCTCCGTCTTCAACTCCCCTTTCGCCAACTCCCGCAGTGTGGCCGAACTCGTCATTGCCGAGATCATCACCCTCGCCCGTCAGCTCGGCGACCGATCCAACGAGATGCACCGTGGCACCTGGAACAAGGTTAGCTCCAAGTGCTGGGAAATTCGTGGCAAGACTTTGGGTATGCATGCGCCGTCTCGTATTCAAGTGATGTGAATTACTTGCTGACTTTATGGGACAACAGGAATTGTCGGATATGGCCACATCGGCTCGCAGCTTTCTGTCCTCGCCGAGGCCATGGGAATGAACGTCATTTACTACGATGTTGTCACCCTCATGGCCCTGGGAACCGCCCGTCAAGTGCCTACCCTCGAGAAACTCCTCGAGGAGAGTGACTTTGTCACCCTCCACGTGCCCGACTTGCCCGAAACCCGCAATTTGATCTCGACTACCCAGTTCGAGCACATGAAGAACGGCTCTTACCTCATCAACGCTAGCCGTGGCAGCGTTGTTGACATCCCGGCCCTAATCAAGGCCTCCCGCTCGGGCAAGATTGCTGGAGCTGCCCTGGATGTGTTTCCCCAGGAGCCTGCCGCTAACGGCGACTACTTCAACAGCAACCTCAACACCTGGGGCGAGGACTTGAGGAGCTTGAACAACATCATCCTCACCCCTCACATCGGCGGAAGCACCGAGGAAGCTCAGCGTGCCATTGGTATCGAGGGTAAGTGGACACACCAATTAATATTTTTACAGCCTGTGATAACTGACCCTGCTTCACAGTTGCCGACGCCTTGGTGCGATACATCAACCAGGGCATTACCCTTGGCAGTGTCAACCTGCCCGAGGTGCAACTGCGATCATTGACTCTGGATGAGCCCGACCACGCTCGTGTCATCTACATCCACCGCAACGTCCCTGGTGTGCTCCGAAAAGGTAAAAAAAACCATCTCTTGGCATCACCTTTTTCGGTGATGTTCGAAATGCAAGTAGGCTAACATTGGGCTATAGTCAACGAGATTCTCGGCGACCACAACGTCGACAAGCAGATCAGCGACAGCAGAGGCGATGTAAGGACATCCTGTGCTATACAATGGAACGAAGCTGACCAAGATTACGTAGGTGGCCTACCTGATGGCTGATATTAGCAACGTCCGATACGAGCAGATCAAAGACATCCAAGAAAGCCTGGAGGCGCTCAGCTGTAAGTGATGCAAGCAGGATGAAGAGTGATCGGAGAATCAGAAGCTAACAAGCAACCACAGCACGAATCTTGACCCGAGTCCTCTACTAAGCGGTATTCTGGATAGACGAAGTCGATCCCTCGCCACTGCAGAGGAGTCGCGCCACGGATAAAAGGGGAACTAGGCCAGGGCACGAGGATGGTCGACCGGTAGACGATGATATGTGATCCCCAAAAATGCACGAATATTGGGTATTGATTGCACTGAGCGAGGCCCTGGACGCCGAATTTAGACGGAGCCCTGGCGCGCGGGATCACTTTGCAAGACGGTGTGACTATCGCGGCCGGGATTGGCGATGTGGATTTGGCGGTGGCCGGGTGTACTGACCCAAAAAGATCGGATGGACTGTGGACCGTGGACAACTGGTGTCTGGAAACGGGAGCCGGCCGCGACATTGCCGTGCCAGGCGGTGGCAGTCAGGGGGCTGGTGTTTTGATGGTTGGGGCTGGTGCTTGAGGCTGGTGCCAAGTGCGAAAAAACACTGTACATAGACAGGGAACTCAACGACTCGCAACGGGCGAGAGGATGCTTCAACGCATCAGGGATCCGACCCGTATCAGCGATGCGATATTTATATGGTTTTGTTTTTGTTGGCGCAAGGTGGGAACCGAAACCGTCCCAAGCATCTTTCCAATCTCTCCAATCCTGAGTCCCGATAGCGACGTTCTCCATTCTTCTGAGTCCTGTGATGGGTGGTACCCGAGGTAGGTTAAGTGACGCAGGGTGCAGGTTGGTGGTTGGTGAGAGATACTGCAGGGACCTCAGCCGGGATGTGCGTCCACATGGAGGCAGACATGCAGGTGGATTGGTATTGACGTCAGGGATGGAGTGAATGTTGGGGATGGGATGCCCATCGAGAGGGCAGTGTGGATGTGTTTGAGAGGAGAGTTGAGAGTTCAACGAGAGTCTGGACTGTCAGCACTACCCGGTCCGGCCGGCTGGCCGGGAGAAGGCCAATTGCCATGAACCTGCGGAGGCGTGAAGCCAATCATTGACGACGAAACTGAACGTACCCCGTATGTTGGCCGGCATATTGTGCGTGCGTGTGTCAGCCACCGTCTTGGTTACCCGCGGTACCTGGCTGTGAATGCCATGCAGAGTCATCCCTTGTTTTTGTTGCTGGGTTGGTAGGTAATTAATTAGATACCTACCTAGTTGAGCTCGCTATCACAGCATTGCTCAGGGTACCTTCCATGGGGTAATTACCTGGCTGAGTGGCTGGCTGGCTGGCTGGCTGGACGGCTGGGGTCTACGTTGTGGAATATTCCACGGACACGGAGTACTTGAACCCAAGTATCTGCGCATCTCTCTCCACCGAGCATGGCTTGGAGAAGTTCCACCCCTGGAGAGTCTTCATTTCGCATGTTTGTGTCGACTTCCATGGCCTTCCATTGTCCATCCTTCCCAGCTAACGGAGTAGCCATACCAGCTACCTCAGCCATCTCTAGAGCGCTGTGCCCCTCCGGTGTGCAGTCACCTTGGAACCGCGCAAGACTAATAAGTTAATTCATGCCCTCTCAGAGCTCCCCGCCAATCCAAAAATAGCCTGTACGCCCTGTGATAGGAGCATTAATGGCAGTAGATTATCGACAAAGGGAGACATGAGCAATCCGTAACCATGTTAGGGGCAGTGACAAGAGTCCCCTGACATTTTCTTTTCATCTACAGCACCACAATACTGTGTATGCACCGCCAGCTTCTTTACCGCTCATCTGAGGTGCTACTGCTACGTAACCTATCTCCTCAACTCGGTTAGCACCCCAAGTCCTGGGCGGTCACCTTTTTTCCCCCGCCCTCACCTCTCCTCCCAAAGGAATATGGATATTGGTTGCCGCACCTACGAGATGTTCTCACCTCGTTTCCATTGCAGGGCCGTTGCTACAGCAAAGTGCCGACTGCACCTGAGTCCCCGACTGCAGGTTGATTGGAAGAAGCCATGCCTTGTCTCGCCTCTCCCCCTCTCAGCGGCCAGAGAGACATCAAAAGATGCGGACGGGTCGGCCCCTCATTGGCCCGCGCAGGCGTCCCACGGTTCTAGAGCCCCTAATACCGCTGAGACCAACTTCTTGTGGGAGCTGAGGCTGGGTTTTAGAGGCTAGTAAATCAGGTATCGCAAAGCAGGGAGATATGTACCGACCATATGTAAAATGCGGCCTCAAGTACCTGTGTTTCAGCCCCCAGGTACACTCGGGCCCTAACAGAGGGCCGATCCCTTCCCCCTGCTCTGCTTCCCCCCCGTGCTCCGTGCCCCCCGTGCCCCGTGCGGCTGCAGCACTTGGCCCTTGAATCAGGAGCAAAACGCGTGCTGGCATCACTGTGTCGTCCAGTCCATTACTTTTGAACTCCAGCTTGTTCATTTGCCTTGCCTCATTGCCTGTGCGACTTTGTGGCTCGACCCCTTGTCGACGAGTTCCTGTCCCCGGAAGAAAGAGTCCTCGGTCTCTTCATACTCCTCGCTCCGCTACAAAGGACAGACGGACAGATCGTCTTGTCCCGCATTGTGGCTCCTGCGACACCGCCTCGAGCCGATCCTCGACATCTGCGCAAGCCAAGCGGGCTTTGGCCAGCACCTCCAAACACCAACGCAACCCCAGACGGCCACACGTATCGTCTTCGACACTTCTTCAACCCCTTGTTCCTTCAGACGACCTCGCTTCTTCTCGCTTCCGCCTGCGAATGAATGCCTCCCGCCGTCCGGCCTCGTTCTCCGCCTCTTAGTCCTGCCGCCGCTTTCTTGTAGTCGTCCTCCGATCCCGCGCCTCCTGGCCAAACCGCCGCCTCCATGGCATCGACTTACGATGTCGGCACGAGAGCGTGGCAGCCCGATGCTGCCGAGGGCTGGGTAGCCTCCGAGCTCATCAACAAGACCGTGGATGGTGCCAAGGTTAAGCTCGAATTCCAGCTGGAAAATGGCGAGGTGCGTATCCATGTCCGATTACCACACCTACTCTCCCAAGCAGCCTTTGTCTGACCCCATTCTCTCTTTCTAGACCAAGATCATCCAAGTCTCCGTTGAGGGGCTCCAGAGTGGCTCCGATCCCGCTCTGCCTCCTCTGATGAACCCGACTATACTCGAAGCCAGTGACGATCTTACAAACCTTTCCCATCTTAATGAGCCAGCTGGTACGTTTATCTCTGCCAACTAGGCCTTTGCAGAACGTAGCAGAGCCCATTGATGGCGATTATGCTGACACCTCCCTCTCAGTTCTGCAAGCGATCCGGTTACGATACCTACAAAAGGAGATCTACACATACAGTGGTATCGTTCTCATTGCCACAAATCCTTTTGCGCGAGTCGACTCCCTCTACGTCCCTGGTATGGTACAAGTCTATGCTGGGAAGCAAAGAGCGACCCAGGCTCCTCACTTGTTTGCCATCGCCGAGGAGGCGTTTATGTACGACCCTTCTTCTTTGCCCCTGCCCTCAATATGTCAATGCTGACTGTTGTACTAGGGACATGATCCGAGACAATAAGAACCAGACCGTTGTTGTGTCTGGAGAGTCTGGTGCTGGAAAGACGGTCAGTGCAAAGTACATCATGCGATACTTTGCCACCAGAGAGTCTCCCGACAACCCAGGCACGCGCTCCAAGCGCGGGCATGAAACCATGAGCGAGACCGAGGAGCAGATTCTCGCAACTAACCCTATCATGGAAGCGTTCGGTAACGCCAAGACAACCAGAAACGACAACTCGTCCCGATTTGGAAAGTACATCGAGATTATGTTTGACGACAAGACCAACATTATTGGCGCCAAGATCCGAACCTACCTCCTCGAGCGTTCCCGTCTCGTTTTCCAGCCTCTCAAGGAGCGAAATTACCACATCTTCTACCAGCTTGTCGCCGGTGCCTCTGATAAGGAACGCCAGGAACTCAACATCCAGGCTATCGAACAGTTTGAGTATCTCAATCAAGGAAATTGCCCGACTATCGACGGCGTGGATGACAAGGCCGAGTTCGAGGACACAAAACAGTCCCTGGGAACGATCGGTGTCCCAGAGGCCCAGCAGTCTGAGATTTTCAAGATATTGGCCGGTCTTCTGCATCTAGGAAACGTCAAGATTACTGCATCGCGCAATGACAGTGTTCTTGCGCCCACTGAGCCCTCACTCAAGCAAGCCAGTGAGATCTTGGGTGTTGACGCAACCGAGTTTTCCAAGTGGATCGTCAAGAAGCAGCTTGTGACTCGTGGTGAGAAGATCACATCCAACTTGAGCCAGGCCCAGGCCATCGTTGTCCGTGACTCCGTTGCCAAGTTTATCTACTCGAGTCTCTTCGATTGGCTTGTCGACATCATCAACGACAGTCTTGCCACCGAGGAGGTATTGAGTCGTGTCACCTCCTTCATCGGTGTGCTGGATATCTACGGTTTCGAGCATTTCGCCAAGAATTCGTTTGAGCAGTTCTGTATCAACTATGCAAATGAGAAGCTTCAGCAGGAATTCAACCAGCACGTCTTCAAGCTCGAGCAAGAGGAGTATCTGAGGGAGCAGATCGATTGGACCTTCATTGATTTCTCTGACAACCAGCCCTGCATTGATCTCATCGAAGGCAGGATGGGCATTCTCGGTCTCCTTGATGAAGAGTCTAGACTTCCCATGGGCTCAGATGAGCAGTTCGTTACCAAGCTACATCACAACTTCTCACCCGATAAGAACAAGTTCTACAAGAAGCCGAGATTTGGCAAGTCTGCCTTCACAGTTTGCCACTACGCCATCGATGTCACCTATGAATCCGAGGGCTTCATCGAGAAGAACCGTGATACTGTTCCCGACGAGCATATGGCTGTACTCCGTGCCACGTCCAACAGCTTCCTCAAGCAGGTCTTGGACGCCGCGTCGGCCGTCAGAGAAAAGGATGCTGCCTCATCGTCATCAAATGCTGTCAAGCCCGCTGGTGGCAGGAAGATTGGTGTGGCCGTGAACCGAAAGCCGACTCTCGGTGGAATCTTCCGTTCCTCCCTGATTGAGCTGATGAATACCATCAACAACACAGACGTCCACTACATCCGATGCATCAAGCCAAATGAAGCAAAAGAGGCATGGAAATTTGAAGGACCCATGGTTCTCAGCCAGCTTCGTGCTTGTGGTGTCCTCGAGACTGTGCGCATTAGTTGTGCTGGTTACCCCACTCGCTGGACCTATGAGGAATTTGCTCTCCGGTATTACATGCTCGTGCACTCCAGCCAGTGGACATCGGAGATTCGGGATATGGCTGATGCTATCCTGAAGAAGGCACTGGGAACGAGTACCGGTAAGGGCCTTGACAAGTACCAGCTTGGTCTTACGAAGATTTTCTTCCGAGCTGGTATGCTGGCCTTCTTGGAGAACCTTCGAACCACGCGTCTTAACGACTGTGCCATTATGATACAGAAGAACCTGAGAGCCAAGTACTACCGTCGCCGTTACCTGGAGGCCCGTGAGGCCGTGGTCAGGACCCAGTCCGCCATCAGGGCATGGAAGGCGAGAAAGGAAGCTCAAGAACTGCGGACGATTAGGGCCGCCACTACCATCCAGCGAGTCTGGCGGGGACAGAAGCAGCGCAGGGTCTTCTTGCGCATCCGTCAAGATATGGTGTTGTTTGAATCTGCCGCTAAGGGATACTTGCGCAGAAAGAACATCATGGAGACGCGACTTGGTAACGCTGCGCTTGTGATCCAGAGAGTGTGGAGGTCTCGACAGCAGATGCGGTCGTGGCGACAATACCGCAAGAAGGTCATCCTGATCCAGAGCCTGTGGCGTGGTAAGCTTGCCCGCAAGGATTACAAGAAGGTTCGAGAGGAGGCGCGCGACCTCAAGCAGATCTCTTATAAGCTTGAAAACAAGGTTGTCGAGCTCACGCAGTCCCTGGGTTCCATGAAGGAGAAGAACAAGAACCTAGCATCCCAGGTGGAGAACTACGAGGGGCAGATCAAGTCCTGGAAGAACCGCCACAACGCCCTGGAAGCGCGGACCAAGGAGTTACAGACTGAAGCCAACCAGGCCGGCATTGCCGTTGCCAGACTCCAGGCGATGGAAGACGAGATGAAAAAGCTTCAGGTAGCTTTTGACGAGTCCACTGCCAATATCAAGAGGATGCAGGATGAAGAGCGAGAGCTCAGAGAGTCTCTTCGCACAACCAACACAGAGCTCGAGACGGCGAGGAGGACCAGCACGCAGCACGAGAAGGACAACACGAGCCTCAGGCAAGAACTTGAGGCTCTCAGGGACGCTCTCGAGACGGCACGGAGAAATGCACCGGTCAACGGCGAGCTGGCCAATGGCACATCTGCGGTTGCACCGGCCAGTGGCCTCATCAACCTAGTTTCGTCCAAGAAACCGAAGCGCCGTAGCGCCGGCGCCGAGCCTCGCGAGCTGGACCGCTTCAGCGGTGCTTACAACCCTCGACCGGTCTCGATGGCTGTCACCAGCACTGCTCATCGCCAGAACTTGTCTGGAACAACCTTCATTCCTGGTGTCGATAACATCGAGGTGGAGCTCGAGGGTCTCCTTGCCGATGAGGACGGCTTGAACGAGGAAGTGACAATGGGTCTGATTCGGAACCTCAAGATCCCCAACCCCAACACCACCCCACCTCCCTCTGACAAGGAGGTGCTATTCCCTTCATACCTCATCAACCTGGTCACCTCAGAGATGTGGAACAATGGCTTTGTTAAGGAGTCTGAGCGCTTCCTGGCAAATGTGATGCAGTCCATCCAACAGGAAGTAATGCAGCATGATGGTGACGAGGCCATTAACCCCGGTGCTTTCTGGCTGTCCAACGTCCACGAGATGCTCTCGTTTGTGTTCTTGGCGGAGGACTGGTATGAGGCCCAGAAGTCGGACAACTATGAGTACGACCGACTCTTGGAGATTGTCAAGCATGACTTGGAGAGTCTGGAGTTCAACATCTACCACACCTGGATGAAAGTGCTGAAGAAGAAGCTGCAGAAGATGATTATCCCTGCCATCATCGAGTCCCAGTCACTGCCTGGCTTCGTTACCAACGAAAGCAGCCGATTCCTGGGCAAACTCCTGCAGACAAACTCAACGCCAGCCTACAGCATGGACAACCTGCTCAGCTTGCTTAATAGCGTGTTCCGGGCTATGAAGGCGTACTACCTGGAAGACTCAATCATCACACAGACGATTACGGAGCTCCTGCGCCTCGTTGGTGTTACCGCCTTCAACGACCTGCTGATGCGACGAAACTTCCTCTCTTGGAAGCGAGGCCTTCAGATCAACTACAACATCACGCGCATTGAAGAATGGTGTAAGAGCCACGACATGCCCGAAGGCACCCTTCAACTGGAGCACTTGATGGTTAGTACATTCGAGTGACGACAAAACTGTAGCAACGCTAACCGTCTTCCAGCAAGCCACCAAGCTTCTCCAACTGAAGAAGGCTACGCTTAATGACATTGAGATCATCCAGGACATCTGCTGGATGTAAGTTGCTCTTGTTTCCACAGCCTATCTTAAATCGCAACTGACCAGTTCCAGGCTGTCTCCCAACCAAATTCAGAAGCTCCTGAACCAGTACCTAGTTGCCGACTACGAGCAACCGATTAATGGGGAGATCATGAAGGCGGTTGCTTCGCGCGTGACTGAGAAGAGCGATGTGCTCCTCTTGCAAGCTGTGGACATGGATGATAGCGGTCCCTACGAGATTGCCGAGCCTAGAGTTATCACCGCGCTCGAGACTTACACGCCCTCTTGTAAGTGTGGCCTTTACCAGTAGCCGACTGACCGACTAGTGGACTCATTTCGCTAACCATATGTAATAGGGCTTCAAACCCCTCGATTGAAGCGACTGGCAGAGATCGTCTCGGCACAGGCTATTGCTCAGCAGGAGAAGCTGGACTACACGGATGGCGATGACTTTGATGAACAAGACGAATTGCCTGGTGTGGAGGAGGTGGAAGCCGAGCAGTAAAGGAATGATAAAGCGGGATGACAGGCATATCGATGTTGATGTTGATGTTGATGTCGATTGCACATAACGGATAGAGGCCGCAACGCATTTTCAGGGTGTTTGATGTCGAATTTTCTAACGCGGTGTGGTCGGAGCGGATCTCGAGGACGTGATCACATATGCCATCTATGTCGTACCTGGAACGCCTTGTTATGTATTCAAGAGGGAAAAGACGCCTACTTTTCCTTGCCGCAAGCGGGAGGATGGAAGGGCTGGCTCTGTTTGTAAGATGAGACCACGGTTGTATTGGAGAGAGAGAGAGAGAGAGAGAGCGCACGATTTATTGTTAATGTTTCCCCTCCCCCACACACAAACCTGTCTGTCTTGTTACACAGAGAGTTTGTCAGCTCCGTCAACAAGAAACCATCGGTCCACTCCGTCCTCACTGAGACTCCGGCGGCCGCCTCCCGTGTCGTCCGGGTCCTCTCCGGATCGGCCCCGGATGGTATTCATCAAAGCGATCCGAGACACCCCGATACATGCATGGAGCGGGTTTGCCCACAGGGTCGGCAGTGAGTGGACGCAGGGAGCTCAAATCTCTGCAGCCACCGATCGCATTGTATCGCATCGCATTCCATTGCAGCGCAAATCACGATGCGCCAGTCGCCTAACATTATTGTGACAGGCACGCCCGGTGTTGGCAAGACCACGCACTGTGAGGGCCTAGCAGAACGGACGGGGCTGCGTCACTTGTCTGTGAACCAGGTGGTCAAGGACAAGGAGTGCCACGAGGGATGGAGCGATGAGTTCCACAGCTGGATTGTTGACGAGGACAAGGTGAGAGAGACAGGGCCTTGATTTCAACTCCATTTAAACATGACACAGCAGCAAATATGAATGGATATTGACGGCTGACACATGGTTCTTTTCGCGACGAATAGCTCCTAGACGCCATCGAGGACGAAGTAAAGGCTGGCGGTTGCATTATCGACTGGCACGCTTGTGATTTGTTCCCCCGCAGCTGGATCGATCTGGTCGTGGTCCTCCGAGTCGACTCGACAACTCTCTATGACCGACTGACGGCGAGGTCAGTTCCAACCAATCACTCAAGCTGTTTGATGTTTCTCCCGACGGCTGACATGTTTATTCTTTTTACCCCCGAGCAGAAATTATCCCGAGTCCAAGCTGCAGGAGAACCTCGACTCTGAGATTATGGAAGTGCTTCTACAGGAGGCGCGTGACGCCTTTGACAGCGAGATTGTCATTGAGCTGACGAGCAACGAGGCCGACGAGATGGAATCCAACGTTGAACGCATCGAGGGATGGGTCAAGCAATGGAAGCAGGACAATCAATGAGATAAAATAATAAGAAACACAGGATACATAGAGAAAAGTGCATTTCACGCCCATCCTCCATTGGTGCAAACCATCAGGTGGATATATAGTTATTTCCTGTCTACCTCGTAGATGAGACAGGATGAATTTACGATTTACCACACACCTCTCGGTGCGCCCTCTATATAAGGATTTGTAGTCCCGAAAAATGCATATCCTGTCCACAGACTGCCCACCCAACTGTGGGGTTCCGTGGTTATCTTGCACGGCAACTCGCGGGGCAGAGTCAAATCTCGTCTTGTTCAACTCCCTTGTCCTCTCTGTCTTCGAAACTCATTTCTCAACCTTTAACTAAAATCAAGTCACTTACAAAAAGCGCGTAAATAGGCCATCTACCGCAGAAATGGCTCCCACTGTCAACTTCATTTCTGGCAACGCCAACAAGTTGCGCGAGGTTAAGGCAATCCTCGAACCTGAAATTGAAGTCCGGAGCCAGTCTTTGGATCTTGAGGAAGTTCAGGGAACCCTCGAGGAGGTGACTGAGTCTAAATGCCGCAGGGCTGCAGACCTAGTAGGGCTTTCCTCCTCCACTACCTTCGAGCTTCTATTTACATATAGCCTAGGTCCAAGGTCCTGTCCTTGTTGAAGATACCGCCCTCTGCTATAACGCCCTCAAGGGCCTCCCTGGCCCATACATGTGTGTTATCCAACAACTCTGAATCACTCCTCTCCGCCTTGAGTCTCGTCTGCTAACGTCTCCTTCTTCTGTAGCAAGTGGTTCATGACATCCACCGGACATGAGGGCCTGAACAACCTCCTGGCTGCATACGCCGACAAATCCGCCGAGGCTGTCTGCACGTTCGGGTACTCCGCGGGGCCTGGCCACAAGCCTATTCTTTTCCAGGGCCGCTGTCCGGTACTTCACGCCTCTAATTGTCCGAAACGAACTGACTTTAGTTGACGCTTCTCATAGGGCAAGATTGTTCCCGCACGAGGACCCGCCGACTTTGGTGAGAAATCCAAATAGTACTGTCTTGAGTGATGAAAACTAATTTCTCATATTCAGGATGGGATGCTGTTTTCGAATTTGAAGGCCAAACGTGCGATTCTCCTCGCTCACTTCCACATTGACCCAGAATAGTACTGACATTCTCCAGGTTCGCCGAGATGGAGAAGACGGAGAAGAACAAGATCTCTCACCGTGGTCGTGCCCTGACCAAGCTTCAGGCTTGGTTCAAGGAACAGCAATGAGCGAACTACGGTTGAGGGCCAGCTACAAAGCCGCTAGGGTGCGGTGGCATTGTTCGTTAAGCTGTTCAAGGTACACATCGTTAGTGATTCCGTTATATATAGAGAACTAAGGAAGCCTTACTAGAGCACCTCGAATTCACTGTACTTGCGGAGGTATTGTGTGCCTCGGCGATATGGCTGCACCGCCTCATCGACGGTTGATAGCTTGTGCCGAAAGGCCTTGCCAACAAGATGTCTTATCTTGGTAGAATCGCGAAAACTAGGGTCGAATACGAGAAGATTAACCTCGCCGTTCATCTGTTTTTCAAGGCCCACAATGGTCAAAGAATGCCCTTGAGAATATGGTCAGCAGTTTCGGCCATTGATGGGCTTCATTTTATTACCTGGGTGCTGAAGATAGATTGGAGGGAGTCCGGTGAGGTGGATTCTCGCTTCCACATCCATCACACCTCCCTGAAAGTATTGTTCGATGCCTTGGAGTAAGAGTGACTTTGCTTTGCCACGCTCTTTGTCCTTGAACGCCTGGACTGAGCAGCTACAGCAGCCACGAATTAGCTCAAGAAGCTGGGATTTTGGATGGGAGTTTTATAAACTTACGGTATCGACAAGCTACAGAAGACTGCTTGGGCCTATATACTGTTAGCTTTGTGCTGCTGAAGGCTGGCAGAAGCTGTGGATGGATACCTCTGGTGTGCCAATGTATTTTCGAGTTCCCTTAACGCCTCCAGTCTCTATGCGGCCTTGGGCATTGAAGCCCATGTCCCAGGCATTCTCGATAAGATCCTGGATCTCGAAAATGGTCGGGAAGGTGGGGCCGAACAAATCTGCTCCCGTTGATCTCGCTCCGATGATGTGGGAGGTCAGCATTTGAATGTTCCTGTATCCGCAGAAGCCACCTGTAGCTAGTTGTTAGCACCACACCATGCAGGGATCCATTCACACGGGTGTCCCGGGGTGCCTTATATTAATACCTTCTCGCCGCAACTTGGAGACGTGTTGCACTTGGGGGTGACATAAATATGCGTATTGGGTGGAAGGACTCTGCTCGAGGAGCTGACCGAGTACCGGCATCACGCCTGGATGCATGAGATAATATTTAGATGTGTGTGGGTCAGAACTCATGGTGTAAGGATCTCACCTTCATTGATGACCTGGCCCTCCTGTTGGAGAAGCTCGACAAGCCACGGAGGCATCTGATTTTCGTGTGCAAATCTACCCAGCTCGGATTTCTATCCGCCACGCCGTTAGCCAGTATAGATTTTTGGAAGGATTTGAAGACACGGACCCCTAACCGAGCAATCTGTCGGCTTGGATCTCCCTGACGGGCTGAATGTCGGGGGCCTGGGTGATCCGACGCATTACTTTCAGAGGTCTGGTCACTCGAGGATGGCTCAGCGGTGGAGAGTTTTTTTGACTTGTGGCGAGTTCGATGACTTGTGTTGGGATCGTGTCGCGACTTTTGGCCCCCGAAAAGGGCTTTCCAGGCCTGGATAGTGGTGCTTTGTTTCTCACGCCGCTTCCTGTGAGTTTCATCTCGTATAGATTTGTCGGGTTCCGCCGCAACAGTTGCGGGACTTGCAGATAGTTGTTCCGAGGCGTCTGCCACATCGTCACTGGCTTCGAGGGCATGGAGTTCGAGATGGTACGTCAATTCGTCCTGGGGAACAATCTCGCCACAGCCGTCCTGGGGACACAGAACTGGATCTTCGGCGACAGCAAAGGGGGACTGGCCCTCTGGATGACGCGTTTCGATATGCTGCAAAGACCTCAGTTAGCCTGAACCCATCGCGATGGCGTGTCTCGCGGAGGCTCATGCGCACTAATAGAAGCTCATAGTCTCCTTCGCTCGGCCTGAACCCGCAGAAGGGGCATTTGGGAGTTGGCTCAGAGCTGACCATGGCGGGTAGGCAGATGGGAACCCTCTCAGTACGTTATCTGGGTAGAATAAATGCAAATCAAGTTTGGGATAGAATGGGGTATATGGATAATTCCGGTGGCAACAGGCTCATCCGCTAAATGATAAATGTTGGCAGAGTGGGATAAAGAGGGAAACAAGGACTCAAAGCCCGATGTTGACGTGGTGGTGAGGCGTATGACTTGCGGCTTAGACGCCTGTGCACGTACACGTCCTCGCCAGACCAGTGTGGGCGGTAAGGTACATACCTGCATCATCGCTGTGAGAGGTTTAGCAAAGACAAGCAATCACAATGCCTCCTTGAGGCTGCATGAAGGAAAAGAAATATCCCAAAAAACAGAGTATGAAGCTGGGACTATATAAGAAGGCCAGGAGTTTCATAAAATTATAATCTCCTCTGACGAAACCATGTACTTTTGAAACTGTTCCCAGGAGATATCTATCCACTCTCGGGCCAGCCGCTGCCGTCCCGTGGTCTCGGCTCACATGTATATAACGGGGCGCATGCTGCGTTGTAACGAAATCCACTGTCCAAGAGGAGTACCCAAACATACACGCACCGATTTCAAACTTGCCTACATAGGTACTTACACCAAATTGCATTAACATACAGGATATTCTATACTTATTTTTAACTTTTATTTTATAGATAAATATTTATGTTTAAAATTAATTTATCTTTAAGTTATAATTTTTAATAGAAATATATTTTAAAAAGTATTTTATTTTAATTAGAAGATTTATTTAAATTTAATATTTAAAAAAATCTCAGATAAAAAGGGACTTAGAGTAGATATTTTTATTCAGCTAGTAAATATACTAAAGATTAAGCTAAGGCAAATTAGGAAATTGTAGATACAGTCTAAAGGTTTAAGCCAATTAGATACATTAGGCTGTATAGGTGAGTTTGAAATCGGTGCGTGTATGTATGTTTGGGTACTCGTCCAAGATGTCTACTACGCACGCCGCCGCCGACAACGGCACCGGTTGCTGAAATGGGTTAGGTCGGGCAGCTTGTGCATTCACATGATGATCCCAACTTTACAATGTCAGAACATGGCGCTGTCCTGACTCCTTCGAGAGGTGTGCTGAAACATCCCTTTTCGAATGAGCACGAATATTATCCGGCCGAGGTTGTAAATGTTGCCGGAGTCCAGAGGGACGGGTCGAGCCAAAGCGGGCCGTAGCAAGCGGGCGGGTGAGCCAGGGCAACTATCAATGCATCGGACCGGGCAAGGGACTGCATGATGGACTGGTGTCTTCGGCGGATCTGCCGAAGCGCGTCGGAGATTCAGGGTGCGGTTGCAGGTCAAAACGTATATTCTAGACGATAGGCAAGGTGGAAAGTCGGTAAGTACTCCAGACAAACAAAACATATTAATTATCATCCTGCGCCGCTGGTGAGCGATACCGCCCATGTGCCATCCCTAATCCTTTGGGCGACGACTCTGCAGCGATTTGCCCTGATCCGGTGAATATCTAGGCGTCGTGGTGGCTTGGAGCTTCAACCCACAGGAGAAAAAAGATCATCGGTGGGAGTCGTGGTGGTCTGATGGCTTGGTGGTCCGTTGACCAATGATTCGGTTTTGGTTCTACATGAGATGGCAGTTGCCCTTTTCGGGGGCCTCGCCGGGGTTCTGCGACTTCTCGATCTGGGCAATCAACAGCTCAAAAGCCTTGCTGACGTTCTCGTTATATCGTGCACTCGCTTCGGTCCATCCGCACTGGATCTTTTCCGATACCTTCTGGCCATCCTCCGGGGTGACTTGGCGCTGCTCGGGACGGAGATCGCTCTTGTTGCCGACAATGACGATGGGAACGGACTCGGTGCCCTTTGGAAACGGACAAAGGTGGCAGAGGTCAGCGACGCCGTTCTTCGATCTCTTGTTGACGGAGTCTGGGCACTTACCAGGTGGCTCAGAATCTTTTCGCGGATGACTTGCACCATCTCAAACGAGGGTAGCGAAGACACCGAGTATACGAGCATGTAGCCATGGATACCGATGAAGTGCTTCGAGTTGAGGATGCTGTACTCGTCTTGCCCAGCCGTGTCGACAATCTCGGTTGAGAAGTCTTGTCCCTTGTATCGGATGGTCTTGCTAAACGTGTTCTCGATTGTCGGGTAGTAGCTGTCGACGAAGTGTCCGTCTACGAAGCGCACCGCTAGGGACGATTTGCCTGTCGAGCGTCAGCCTCTGGTCTCTCGGTAACACGCACGTTCGTTCGTGACCACATCCGCGTCCATCGTCACATGTCTTGCACCTTTAGGGTAGGCGTGCATCAAGAGGAAGAACGTACCAACAGACCGGCTGCCGACAATGGCGATCTTTCTCTGCTTGGGGGACGGCATTGTGTTCTTGGGAGGGACTGGGATGGCGCAGCCACAGTAGTGGAACAAAGAGTATGTCGGGACGCCGGGGCAATTGGGGGATGGCTCAACTCCCCGGGGGCAGCAAACACGAACGGGACGAGCAATACGTATGCCGCTGTGCGTATGCGGTATCCCGTGAGCTATGAGCCGTATGTGTGTGGTTGTGTGGTGCAGTATGCTGTAAGTTATGCGGTAGGCTGTATGCTGTGTATGTACTGTCTGACGTCTGCCGCAGGCTGGCGCTGATGCTGATGCTAGGTGCAGCGGGCGTCAGTCGAGAGCCATGTGCAACTCTGGATGGATTGCATTTTGCCCCCACCGGGTCCCCCTCCATTTGCCCCCCTCTCCCCTCCGTCCTCCTCCCCTTGCATCATGACCTTGCGCCTGGTTCCTAAACTGTCCAGGGTGCTCAGTGGCGCCGCCCCGCCGCCATAGGTGCTTACGGTATGTATATAAGCATCAGGACTCCGCCCAGGAGGTGTGGCCCGTGAGCCGGTATGCGTCTACTCGAGTTGACGGGTTTCTAGAAGGGGCTAGACGGAAGCTTTGGGTCCTCCAAGCACCTGGTGAAGCCCGCCTTGAGACGATTCAGTAGTTTGTTGGGCTCGAACACCTGGGGATAGTCTCGTTTGTTCACCGTCTTCTCAAATGCCCGTTCGTGAAGCAGTAGCGGTGGTGTCGACTCTCATCTCCCAACGGATCAATTGCCCCGTAAAACAGCTCAATGGCACAGACCAGTGGTCATGGTCAGCAGGCACCGACGACATGCGTTCAGGTCTCGAGACAACACATGATTCTATTCTATGCGCTCTGTCACCTTGGCATCCGCCGCAGCCGCTGTAGCTCATTCACTAATCCCTCGAGCTCGTGCACCTTGCTATCCACAGATCTGTACATGCCAATGAATTCTTGAATCGACCCTATCAGGCCCGAGACCCCTTCGTCACCCGTCCGGTCGGCCAAGCGCCGCCGGACTGATCCCACCAGGGACAAATACCCGAGGAGCACGGCGAGATACCCAACCGCCACGCTGAGCTGTGATTTTTCCACCGAGTCGGCCTGTAGTCTTGGTCAGCCTTTGGCCATTGTATTTGCATGGGTGTTGTATCCCTTACCTCACTCGTCGAAGCCTGGTTTTGCACGTACAGAGCTACCAAGCTCTCCAAAGACTCACCATCTACGTTCTCTCGCGCGGGCGGACAGTGCTCTAGGATGTTGATCATGACACCCAGTATCAGCAGCAACCCATCGTACGACTCTGCCCGCAGACTTCGGTTGCTGACCGCCTCCTGGGCAGACTTGAATCCCGCGCAGATTCGGTTCGAGAGCCTCGAAAGCAAAGTCCTATTATTGAGTCCCGCCGCTCCCTGGGCCGTATTTGATGTATTGATGGCGAGTTTGATGATTGCGGACTGGATGTCAGTGGGTTTCTCTGACCATTCCTGGAGAGCGTTTGATAGGAACTGCGCAATCTTGGGCGTCTGGCGCAGGATCCACGAGACCTCATCATCGCCATCCATTGTCAGTGTAGACTGGGTCTCTAGAATCGACACCACAAGGGCAAAGACTGCATCTTGGGTTGAACCATCATCTGTATAATGATCCATAATGCCAGTGAGATCCTTTCCCGTGTCCTTGATTACCCCCGCGGAGTATCCTGGGTCCACGCGTCGACACAATATGTTCAACAGCTGAAGAGCAAGAGTTTGTGGGGAAAGTTCCTCAAGATGACGACCTTCCCAAATATCCATGCGCATCATGGTCTTCTTTACCTCGCCCAGCGATCTCTTGCTAGCCCCCGAGAGCCGCATCTTTTTTTGGGACGCCAGGGTGTCAATGTCTTCAGAGACACGGAGAAGGCGGCCCAGCATCTTTCCAAGCCCATCCTCAGCTAGCTGGCGGAGGAGATGTGCGGCAGGGTTAAAATTCAAAAATGTGATGAGTATAGAGGTCAAGCCAAACCCGCTGACTACATCCTCTTCTTGGCCAATGTCTATTGCCACTTTATCGCGGGTAGCATGGTCGCGGAATTGGCTGATGAAGTCTTTGCGTTGCAATTTTTGGGCCAGTTCCAGCAACGCATTCCTCCTCATGGACGAGGGGCCACTGCTAGGCGTTGAAATCCTAGCAAGAAGATCTTCCATCTCGTCGGCAAATCTATTGTTTGCCCCGGCTCGTCGCAACTCATGAACACTCTTGATTGCGGGCCGAACGTCACCATCCAGATCAACGTCATCGTCCCCGAATGAAAAAGGATCAGGCTGGGAAATTGCTGGGGGAGTGGCCAAAAGTGCATCCAAGTCATCTTCACAGCTGCCCATGCCAGAATCGACGGTCTTCTGGGAGTCATTGAGAATGGTTCGGGTCTGCCCGTAGGTGTACTTGACCCTCTTGCCTTGTAGAATCACACCTGGACGAGCCTTTGGCCGTGAAATCGAGTCCTCCCGAGTCAGAGTTGGAGGCTGTTGCGAAGGGGTTGCCGGCCCGCTAAAGAGAGACGACTGTGTTAGTCCTTCCTCTTCTAGTGATGAATCGGACTCTGGGCTGTTGGATCTCTGGGCAGCGAGAGCGTCAATCAATCGAGGACGCCGAGTTTGAGAGCTTGTTCCACGATCTCCATGGCATTTTGGGCCAGGTGCAGGCCCCAGACGAGCTTTATTGCTTGATATATCCGTTGCGACAACATCGGGGTGGCGGGTTGGGTTGCTTGTCTTTCTCAGGTTGTCCTTGGTGATGGTTGGATGTCGGAGAGGCTCGGTGTTGTTGCTGGCGCTGCTCTTCAAGGGCCCAACCGGCCGAGTTCGCGGTGATGGTGTATGAGGTTTGGAGCGCCTTTGAGACGAAGACGCTGCTGGATTTCCGTGCGCTGCGTCAGACAAACCGGCTTGAGGGCGCTTCCGTTTTCTCGAGATCGCGTCGTCCCGAGACTCCTGGTCGTGCGCTTGTGTAGGCACTACACGGTCACGGCCATACTGAACGTTCGAACGATTTCCGGTAGATGGTTTCGGTGATGGATCGCGAAGCGGCGCTGGGCTACGTGGTTTTGATTGCTTTGTTGTATTCTCGACGCCAGCGGTGGCAGTAGCGGTAGCGGTGGTTAGGCGCTCGGATGGCGGAACATGTGGTTCGGTGGCTCGTAGTGGTATCGGGTCGCGTAGATGTCGCTTGCGCGATGCCTTTCCGTATGTGACGAGCTTCTTCTGTGTAGGCATGGTTGAACCAGTTCGTGATGCCATCGCGACCATGCCCTTTGAGACCAGCAACCGGATGCCAGATCTAGTCCATAGACAAGGGAATAAGACGGGTTGAAGGAGTGTTGCTGAATCACAGTCGATAATCGAAAGGCCAAGGCTAGATTAGGCGTGGTGATCAATTCGATGAGACGAGGGAGGTTGAAGCTTTGATGGAGGCGACGCTCGCGGGTGGCTGGCTCGTGTCAGATCAAGGGACGAATTCGCTGTGGATCTTGCGTGCGGCTCTGGCACATCCACACCAACCACAGTGGCCGTGCCTCGGGGGGGGACAAGTTGCGGCAGGCCCCACTAACAGTCGCTGGTGGATGCTTGCTTAACGCTTTGATAGTGCACCTTAGAAATGTCCACACCCAAAAGGCGAGCTAGGTACCTAAATGGAAACCTAGCCACTAAATCTAGGCCCTGGCACGATGGACAGCTGGTACCGGCGTAGGTACCGTCGTACCCCAGTCTGTACGTCGAACAGAGATGTGGTGGAGTCTCCATCAGGTGGCCGAGGCGGTCTCCTTCGTTATCAGTGAAATGCGCGGTTGACTCCGGGCCCTTTGTTGCTGAGAATGGTGGAAGCCCCCGTGCTGCAGGCCGCGGCCTCCCCACCCCGTTTCACGCATATGCATAGGCCTCGATAAAGGCTAGAGAGACCAAGCTGAAGCTTGAAGCTTGCTGTCAAGGCTTATGCCATGTTGACGCTGATTCACCTCTCTCCTCACAGTCTCCATTTCTTACTACTCTGCGGGGGACCCGGTGACCATTCTTCGCTCTTCTGCCCTAAACTTGGTGTCCAAAGTGCCATCCAGGATCTTGCCATAACCACATCGCCGTCGTGAAGGCGCGTCCCCCTCCCCCTCTCGGCTGAACAACCACAAGTGCCGTCTTCAGCATTGGGCTCATACCCTGCTCGCCACCATGACAGACCAGACGACTTCCCAAGCGCCGCCCAAGCAATCTGTCGGGCCAGAGTACCGAGCGCAGAACCAGAAGCCCAGTGCCACTGTCTCCGTTGACGTCGCTTTGGAAAACGTCCATGTGCTGCCCCAGACCCCTCAGCTCATCGCTCTCCTATCGTAGGTCTCCCACTGTTGGCCGACTTTTACCTCGTGGCGTGCTGAGTATCGGTCTAGGATGATTCGCAGTAAGACCACGGACCGAGCAGACTTCATATTCTACTCCAATCGAATCATTCGCTTGCTGGTGGAGGAGGGCCTCAACCACCTGCCCGTCATCGAACATACTGTCACCACTCCTGTAGGCCGGACCTACAATGGCCTTATGTTCCAGGGCAAGATTTGCGGCGTATCAATCATGCGGGCTGGCGAGGCAATGGAGCAGGGCCTCCGTGACTGCTGCCGCTCCGTCCGCATCGGCAAAATTCTGATCCAGCGCGATGAGGAGACATCGCAGCCTAAGTTGTTCTACGACAAGCTCCCCGAGGATATTGCCGATCGCTGGGTGCTTCTCCTGGACCCCATGTTTGCTACGGGTACGAAATATTATCTCATTTCCCTCGCTCTTCCGTTGTCCAGCTCCCACGTCAGCCTGGCAGTTTATTCTAATACCAAGTCTTAGGTGGATCTGCCACCATGGCAGTCGAGGTCCTCAAGTCTCGGGGTGTACCCGAGGATCACATTCTTTTCCTCAACCTCATTGCCAGCCCAGAAGGTGTCAGGGCCTTCTCCGCTAAATTCCCCCGTTTGAGGGTCGTCACTTCCTTCATCGACCAGGTACGTCAATTTTGTCTCTCGTGGCATCTCTGTTACTTTGACTAACCGCCAAACACAGGGCTTGGATGAGAAGAAGTATGGGAACCCTGTCCCATTGAAGCGCATGCTGACCGTTCCGCAGTTATATAGTTCCTGGTCTTGGAGACTTTGGGGACAGGTTTTACACCATCTGATGCAAAAACCGCCACTGCGGTCAAGTTTTCGTCCATATTGCAAGGGAACAAAGGCGATGTGTCGGATACCGGTTGAAACAAGCATTGAATTTCAAGCAGGGCAGCTCAAAGCAACGTTCAATATTCATCGTCATCTGCCACAATTCCATCGCCATCATATGACCGTCTATCGTCGTCGTCGTTGTCGTTGACCGCCGACCGGCCGCCCGGCGCCCGTCCAGATCCGGCTGTTCGGGAGGTACCACCATAGCCAGCCTCCGCATTGTCCTCCTTGGCCACAGCATCTAGTGAAAACCGTCAGTGTCTTAAACTTGTGCGCGGGGAGTAGTAAGTCGCGGGGCATACCAGCTGCGTCAACCCACTCGCCGTAAACATCCACTGCAGCGGACAAATCTAGATGTGCGTTAGTCGAGACGAATTGCGCCAGAGGCTTAAGATGGGGTATGTCGCACAGTTGACGGCGCACTGAAATTTTTGACCACAGATGCGGCAGTCTAGCTGCCCAACGCCAGCCTTCTTGTCAAGTTTGACCGTAACGGACTTCTCGTGGTTGCAGAAGAGGCAGGTGAAGGTGGTCGGTAACGGATCGGCCTGCGGTCGCAAGGCGTTAGTGTGAGTGCGCAAGGAGTCTGGGTACTTTAACCAACCCTCTTCGGGCCCATAGGCTTTGAGGACGACTTGCGCTTGCCCATGGTGACGTCGGCAGGTCGAAGTGCCCCAAGTCGAAGAAAAGCTGCGCTGTCGTGCTGATGTCAAGCTTTGGCTGCCAGAGGAACGAACACGCGCCCGGGTGGTGGGCCTTATCTTATCAGCAGCATGCCGCTTTTCACGGCACGTGCTCACTGCCGTCGTGCAACCTTTCACTGGGTGGTAGGTACCTTCCTCAGGCTCTTTGTACCGCTCGCAGTTGCCCTGGCTAGTATATGCATCAAACGGGGTTGGCGCCGAGCCCCGTCCCGCCGCCGGCGAGCTCCGAAGTACCTCCCTTCCGCGCCCCACTCCGACAGATGCGGGATTGGAACTAACAAGAGGCGCACCAGGGCAGCTGATCTAAACATGAATGGGCTCCAGCAGGATAGGGGCGCTGTAGACTTCCGTTCAGGATCTAAAGAGGGCGAACAGAATCCCAAGGCAAACTTTGATGGAGAAATTTTTGAAGAAACAATCAAGGTTAGCGGTCGAGAGCCCACTGCCTGCTGGGCTTTGAGTGAGGGAAGGGTTGTGAGTTCCCAACAAAGGCGACGCCGCCCGTGCATATTATCCTCTGCTTACTGTGATAAAGCCTGAAATCGGTCCAAGCATGCTGCAGGGGACAGCGATTTGGCGGGGTAGCTCCGCCCGTAGTGGGGGGGCGAGGCTTTGGGAGTTTAGCATCCGCCTTTCCGGTTAACTTATCATGTGGTCCTTATCATCCCTTGCGAGGTCCTTGGCATGTACAGAGAGGTAGATCCTTTGATGGGATACTTACTCTTGGTCCTATCAGTGGATTGTGAGAGCTCGTGTACTGTCCGAGGTTACGACGCTACCTTTTCATCAGGTATACGGCCTCGGCGCCTATTTATTAGCAGTGGGCGTGTCATTGACCTAAGCTGGCAGCGCTTAGCAACTATCCGGTTCAAGCGCTGTACACGGAGGACTCACCATCTGAGACAGTAGGCGGCGACTGGCCCCGGTAAGAGAGCTATCCACGGTCAGGATTTAGGTCGGTGTGCGTCCCGCGTGATACGTGACGTAAATTGGTGCGAGGTGAAGGCCGGGCTCGGGAAACGGCAGGTACCTTAGGGTACGGCCTCCTCAAATCGTCGACCGCTCTTCTTGTCAGCTCTTTCGCATTTTCTTGCATTCCTCATCCGTCCTTTCTCCTTCTCCTTTCTAACCCATCTTCTCATCTCGCCGCTGATCTAGTACTGACTCTCTTGAATCATTCACCTACCTAAATCTGCTGCATTGACTTTGTCTCTCTACTTCCAACCACTCCGTCTACCTCCTCAAGCTCACCGTGAATAGCGTCCCACCATCAGCTCGCCACGATCAGCTGCACTCTACGATGGATGCCAGTGACCAGCAGCCCGGCGTCATAGACGTCCTTCGGGATATTCAACGGACGCAATCGCTCCTCCTCAATGCCGTCGAGGCCATGTCTGGCAAACCCGTAGCCGATGCTCAAGAAGACGGAACCACTGCCTCCACCGTCGTGCCAGTCTCTGGCGTCTTCGATCCAGACTCCGGTAACGACCGCAGCACGACCGAGTCAACAGTACCAGACAATGCAATTGAGGCTGTGGTCACACAGCAAGCGGTGCCCTCGTCCTCTCCGAGCAGCTCCGGTCAACGCGCAGGTTACACCTCTCGCATCATTTTGACGTAGGACTCCTCGCTGCCTGTTTTGCAGATATTCCTTTGGTGCTAACTGTAGTCAGAACATACCCCAAGCAGATCGGAATCAACCCTCTACCGATGGATTGGGGAAACTCGGATCCGCTGAAACGTGGGCCAATTGTTGTCTCAAGAGCGCCTTCCACCATCCGCCGTCGAAATGGTGCGTTCAATGCCCGCTGTCTCAAGTTGATATTGTTTTGCTGACATTCGCTGCCATTAACCAGCCATTGGAGGTCAGTTTATTTTTATTTTATCATTTTGCTGACATGTATATAAGCTAACCCACCTTTCCAGCCCAGTGAGTATCCATCGCCGAGATGGCCAGTTTGTGGTTTTACTAAGACAGCATGGCAGTGGTGGCTCGTATTCCATTTATTATGCCTTGGCCGTGGCTAGTAAAGAACTCGACAGTGACCACAAGTTCGTTTCCCTGCGTCTCTGTGGAAATATGATGAAGCTCACAATTCGCCACACAGACCTGACTTCACCAACACCGAACCAACAGCCCAGGTCGGCCCCTTTCCTCAATGGGAGGGCCGTGAAAAGATTGTGGCGATGGACCCTTGGGGTCACCTTGCTCCCTGGATCTTCAAAGACATAATGGGCCAGGACAATGGTACCGTACAAGCGCCAAGGGATAAATCGGTGCGGCTAGCTAATATGTGGTTTTGCAGTCGATATTCGGCCCACGATTGCCATAACCAAGGCTCACATGAAGGCAAGAGCCCCACCGTTGGGATACATTCCCGCATAGCTAACTGAAGGCAAATTAGTTACCCGAACTCGAAGAGAGCGTAAAGGCTGGACGCCTGTCCGTTCAATATATCCGAGACCTTTGTTTTTCGACTGACTCGTCATAGTGTACCTGATGGCAAGGTGTGCCTGAATGAACTCGGCGAAGTGGCGGTCACGAAGTTCGCTGTTGAACCTGTGCGTGTATTGTTCAAGTTGATGGCATGTTGTGCTTACCAGTTGTGCGGCAGGTTTGGTATCTTCCTGGCGTTGCGGAAAGATTTGGGATCGGTACGGCAACAACCACTTTAACATCTTTTGGGTTCTAACGTGAGGTAGACGAGGCATCATTGAGACGTTCATTGTTTGAGCATACTGGCGGAAGCTATCCGGAGGTATGAAACACTCGTTCCGTTGAGATCTTGGCGACTAATGAGCGAAAGTTGATCACTCGCGGTGATATCAAAGTCTTCTTGCCACCAATTGGTATGTCACGAGAGCACGACTCTTATTAGTCCATAGCCATCATTAAGCTTACAATTCTCAGGGGGCCTAACGGTTTACTGTTTCGGTGACCCTGCCAAGATGTCCGATGAGTCTGCTCGCTTGTCATTGAGGATCCACGATGAGGTATGCTTCTGTTCATGAGTCTCTATCGTTAAACTGACCCATCTAGTGCAACGGAAGTGATGTCTTTGGATCCGACATTTGCACCTGTCGCCCTTATCTGATTTTCGGTATTGAGGAGGCTGTCAAGGAAGCCCAAAATGGCGGAAGTGGTGTCGTCATTTACTTCCGAAAGGAGGGCCGAGCATTGGGAGAGGTTACCAAGGTATGTCTGCTAAGTTTTCGATAGATAGATCATTGATGCTAACGTCGCACAGTACTGTGAGTGCAGATCACTGTTATATCCTATCCAGGGTGTATCATCCGGGTTGGGAAACTAACACCGAACAGTGGTCTACAACGCCCGCAAACGTGGGGCCGATCGAGCTTCGGACTATTTCAAGCGAACCGAGAACATCGCAGGTGTCAAGGATATGCGATTCCAGGCTTTGATGCCAGACATTCTCCACTGGCTAGGGATCAAGAAAATTGACAGAATGCTGAGCATGAGCAAGTAAGCGCGGTTCGGCCGGAACCGTTTAGCAACTCCCGACAGCTGACAACTCCCTGCAGCATGAAGCATGATGCCATTGTTGGTCAAGGGTAAGTCCCAGGAAATAATTGCACTGTGCAGACGGTAGCACGTATTAACGAGCAGCCAGTATTCCCATCCACGAGCGGGTGGAACTTCCGGAAGAATTGATTCCCGCCGATTCCCGAGTTGAGATTGATGCCAAGATCACGGCTGGTAAGTAACATGATGCAAGTGATGAAGGTCTCCTAACGGATTGCGAAGGTTACTTCACAACGGGCAAACGAATGACGGCCGAGGAACTTCAGGCAGTCCAGGGAAGAATCTGGGAAGAGTAAGAAAGTCATCCGAGCGGATTTAGGTGCACTGCTGATTCCGATGGTAGCTTTGACCACTAGCGAAGCCGGCTCTCTGGGGTAGCTGGCGTGGTGGTTGTTGGGTGCGTCAGCAATGGCCAACGTGCATGCCGGACTAGCACCCCAAGTGGCTTTGATTGATCAGAGTCCATACGATGCCACGGTCCCATCCGCCCATTCTGGTGGAGGGTGTGTGTTGGGGCTGAGTACGGTACTACAGTCTGTACTAAAGGAGGTAGTAGTAGTAGTGGCGACGTCGGAGGATGATAAACGGTGTTACACAAAGCCCCAGCTCTAGAGCAGATGGAGGATGGAGGATGGAACCTGAAGAGATGGGGTTTATCAGGTCCCCACATAGTCACCACACACATCAACTGCTTCAAAGGAGGATAGCCCTAATACAGCCCAGTTTCGTATTGTTACGCCAGACTTTTGGTGGTTTTAACACAACGAGTCTGAGGACCGGATTTAATCCCGGATCGGATACTCGGTGCCGTGAGGGAAATGCTTGACGTGGCCGCTGACCGGCGGCTGACAACTGACGAGTCGCATGGGGGCGCGCGTACCTACGTGAGGTACCTGGAGTACCTCTCTCTCGGGAGGTGGTGCTCAGGCACCACTCCATTCTGGACGCACATGGACGCTCTCGCTGGCTCTCCGGTACTGGATTCGTCCTAGTTGCCGCTCCCCGACCCTCCATCCATCCCCCCATTCACGGCCGCCAGAGGGCCACCAGAGGGCCGGCGGCTGTCTCTCAGGTTGGGGGTAGTTGGGTAGCAATGCGACGGTAGCTACTCCGTATAACGCTGGCTCAACCTTTACCGACCTTTGGCTGACGGGGTACCTCTCTGTCAAGCTCTGACTGGCCTCGCGGGCTGGAGAATCCCCGCATGCGTATGCACGGGAGGCCCGCCTGCAGGCTCCGGGCCCCGGCGCCGCCCAAGCCAGGGATGCTGGGCCATACACCTCGAGACACATAGTTGGCACCCAATGCACCGATGAGCCGACAAGTGGCGAGCAGGTAGGCGTGCTAGGAGGACCTGTTGCGTGATGATAGTGGACGGTCGCTGTGGCATTCCGTCGCCGCCGAGGTTGATATTCCCAGCACCTCCGACGGCCAGGCTTCCGTGTCAACCCTCGACCTTACCCATCAACCATCGTCATCACCTCGATGCAGAGCGAACCCCCCGGCCTAATTATCAACGTGGATGCGTTTTTTGCACGACGCTGCTCTCCATTGAACAATTCATCAATTTGCCTGCCAGCCTAGGTCGCTGTTGATAGCTGCCATGGCTTCCTTCTCTCGAGATACCCGCAATGCGGTGAGGGCGCACCGACGTGACTCGTCCTCACACAACGCGTCGCGCCAACGGCCCCGTCTGTTGCGATCCAGTGCCACAGAGCCTTCCATCACCGCATCGAATGCAATCCGAGGACCTTTGGCCAGCTCAAACTCACCCCAGAAGGCAACAGACCTGCTCAGCCGTGTCGCCGTTTACTCTCCAACACACAATCACCTCGAGCACTCTTCTGCCTCGGAGCATATTTCGCACCAGGTGGACGCGATTGTGATATGTCGCGGGGACTCTGAGGTGTCGCCCACCGGCTGTCAAGACGTCGTCTTGGTTGATTCCCCGTCAGGTATGTCGTGGCTTTCTCAACAGTCCCACCATTCTTCTTCGTACCTGGGCTTGAAGGCTAATAATCAACAAGGCTACTACTTCAGCTTCCCAAGCTTTGACGACTGGAACCGGGATAAGCAGGATCTCGACAAAGACGCAGACGACTGAGATAATCCAAGGGAGGGATTAAGGACAGCCTTTCGAAATAGAGGCGGACATATAGCGATTTGAACGATGAACCTCGTTCCGGCGACACGTGGAGAGCACTGGCGAAGCGATACGATTCCCGCTGACGGCTCCCGGAGAAGAGAGTGGCTGGAAGGCCATGGAATCCGGAGGATGCACCATCCGGTCCTCCGTCACCGACCACATACGTACCTACCACTTATGTTAGGGGTGACGGAACCTGCAAGGGACGTGTTTCTCAACCCAAGTTGAGGGCAGGTAAAATGGCGTCTTGGGAGGAGGGAGGAGAGGTTCATGAGGTACCATGCTGGACACGATAGATGGGAAGGAGATCCACCCGCCCGTCCACCAACACAGCGCCAGTCTTGATAGGGGACGAGGCCAGGAGCAGCGGGACCCGAGATATACCACAGAAGTCCGTGATACCAAAATTGGAAATTAAGAAATGAAAATATTAGATGGTATCCAAGTAGACACCCAGTTCGTGTTCATCACTTCCTCCCAACCACAAAAATGTTTGTCAATGGGGAATGAGAGCCGTCACCACTGTGAGCCGCAACAATAGGAATCACAAGCCTTACCTTACACAAGTTTGATTCAGGGGAAGGAGTCTTGATGTGATAGGAGAAGAAGAAAAAGATGGAAAAAAATAAAAATAACATACAACAGCGAGGATTCCCCGGTCGTCACCGACCCGAGTACTAATTCGCCGCTTCTCAGCTTGACTAAGGGAGAGCGGACGGGATCCCGTATTTTCTAAGAGCTATGGTCGTATGTGCTTGAGTTCGAGCAAAAACAAGATCATGTCTTCACGATGCAGGACTGTGGAGTGGCGAACATTTCGTCACGTGATCTGGGGCCACGCCCACACACTGCGCTAGTGCCGGAAAAAACCTGGACCGCGAATTTCGTCCCTTTCGCTTAGACCTAAGGTGCACACAAGAAATTGAAATTATTTCGCCCCTCCACCAATCCTCCAGCCAGCACCTACGTTTCTCCAACGGTTCACGAATAAGCCAGCAATCATGGCGGTTGGAAAGTGAGCATCACGACGACAACAACGCTTAAGATAATATGCTTACGCACGCCGCAGGAACAAGAGACTCTCTAAGGGCAAGAAGGGCCTCAAGAAGAAGACCGTGGACCCCTTCACCCGCAAGGACTGGTACTCGATCAAGGTGGGTGATTTATCCATGCGACGCACATTCCTCTGGATGATTTTGCTGACCCGATTCTTCTAGGCCCCTAACCCTTTCAACGTCCGAGAGTGAGTTGCGACGCGAATCGAGAAATTGACAAAATTGGGACAAGTGATTGACGATTTCGATTTACAGTGTCGGCAAGACCCTGGTGAACCGAACCACCGGTCTCAAGAACGCCAACGAGGCCCTCAAGGGCCGTATCGTCGAGGTCTCGCTCGCCGATCTTCAGAAGGATGAGGACCACGCTTTCCGCAAGGTCCGCCTCCGTATCGACGAGGTCCAGGGCAAGAACTGCCTGACTGCCTTCCACGGTCTCGACTTCACCTCTGACAAGCTGCGATCCCTCGTGCGAAAGTGGCAGACCCTCATTGAGGCCAACGTTACCGTCAAGACCACCGACGACTACCTCATCCGCCTCTTCGCCATTGCTTTCACCAAGCGCCGCCCCAACCAGATCAAGAAGACCACATACGCTGCCTCCTCGCAGATTCGGGCCATCCGACGCAAGATGACCGAGATCATCCAGCGTGAGGCCTCAAGCTGCACCCTCACCCAGCTCACCTCCAAGCTCATTCCCGAGGTCATTGGCCGCGAGATTGAGAAGTCCACCCAGGGTATCTACCCTCTCCAGAACGTAAGTCAAAAAGCATACCCCGGCAACTTTGGTGCGCCATTCACTCCTATGATCTCCGTGCTGACCTTTTTTTGCTTCGATAGGTCCACATCCGCAAGGTCAAGCTGCTGAAGCAGCCCAAGTTCGACCTCGGAGCCTTGATGGCTCTCCACGGCGAGTCGGGTACGGACGACCAAGGCCAGAAGGTTGAGCGGGAGTTCAAGGAGCGTGTTCTTGAGGAGGTTTAAAAGGCACTGGCTGGATGGCGCGGGGAAGGCATAGGGCCTCGTGGCTAATAAACTCATCCCTGGCATTGTTTCGGTCATCGCAAATGGCGTAGCATCACAAAGGCGGCTAGGGAATTGGGTCATGTTCCTTTGAAATGGCAAAAACGTTCAGGTCAAAATCTCCTTGGATTAATACGTGACCGAAATGAGAAGACGTCGTGTGATGTTGTGAAGTCGTGGGGTTCCACTAAACCCTGCCCACCATGCAAGAGGGCTACAGCAGCTGCAGGAGCAACTTGGCAGGGCCCCTGTGTCCCTGGTCCTTGTTCTCAAACCGAGTCGGTGGGTCGGTGGAAAATGTGGCAATATTGCTGTGGCTCTCTATCCATTCTATCGGTAATGTAAAACTCTATGAGGTACAAGTAGGGCATGGTAAAGGGCAGTGGGGCCCTGTGCTAGCGAACCATTTGAATCGATGATATCTCTTTCTGTATCTCGGTCTCTAGTTTTGTCTCGCTAGCCGAGAAATATCGCAGGGCTTGGGTTTGACTACTCGGGTTTTTGGAGGAACTCGACCACAGCTGCAACAGGCATTAGTATCCGTCGTTAATTGCACATGGTCGTAGGGAGTGGTTACCTCTTCTGAAGGCT